ACCGAGAACGGTATCGTTGACCAGGTGCTGATCTCCACTGGTAACGACGACTTGAAGTTCGTCAAGGTTCGCATGCGTACTACCAAGATCCCCCAGATTGGTGACAAGTTCGCCTCTCGTCACGGTCAGAAGGGTACCATTGGTATCACCTACCGACAGGAGGACATGCCTTTCACTCGGGAAGGTGTCGTTCCCGATCTGATTATTAACCCCCACGCCATTCCGTCCCGTATGACCATTGCTCACTTGATCGAGTGTCAGCTCAGCAAGGTTTCGGCTCTTCGTGGATTCGAGGGTGATGCTACTCCTTTCACTGATGTCACTGTCGACTCAGTCTCGCGTCTGCTGCGCGAGCACGGCTACCAGTCGCGTGGCTTCGAGGTCATGTTCAACGGCCACACTGGTCGCAAGCTGGTGGCGCAGGTCTTCCTGGGTCCCACCTACTACCAGCGTCTGCGCCACATGGTGGACGACAAGATCCACGCTCGTGCTCGTGGTCCCACTCAGATTCTTACCCGCCAGCCTGTGGAGGGTCGTGCCCGTGACGGTGGTCTCCGTTTCGGAGAGATGGAGCGCGATTGTATGATCGCGCACGGCGCCAGTGCTTTCCTGAAGGAACGTCTCTTTGACGTTTCTGATCCGTTCCGTGTTCATATTTGCGACGATTGCGGCTTGATGACACCAGTTGCGTGAGTTTTTCAATCCCCACTTTTATGCCTTTTCGTCGCACCAAAAACTAACTGTCTTTATAGGAAACTGAAGAAGGGCCTTTTCGAGTGCCGTCTTTGCAACAACAAGCACCGTATCTCGCAAGTGCACATCCCCTATGCTGCCAAGCTGTTGTTCCAAGAGCTGGCCTCCATGAACATTGCCGCTCGGATGTTCACCGATCGCTCTGGGGTTTCGGTGCGTTGATTTACGGTTGCTCAATTCTTTCACATTTGTACTTTAATGATCTTGCTGGAAAAATGCGCATCTGCTTGGCCTGTTTCGCGGCGTCTCGGAGGATAGTTGGCCATCGCATTCCAATCACCGGCCTTACATATTTGAATTTAGACACTTTATGTGTGGTTTTTTTACCATCGAGTCGTAGGTCAGTAATGAACAGTAATTCGAGTTGATGCTCCAACACAGTTTGACATCTATACCTGTTTTTTTGTAATGTGTCTACCTTCCCACGTACCCAGGAATACAATATTCTCTATCCCCCACTAGTAGACCCCAAGCGTTGTTCGAGGGTGTCTGTCTATTACAGACGGGGTGTTTATAGAGCGTTGTATTTAGTAATGGCCTACAACCACAAGAATCTTTCATCTACAGCGCACATGGACACAGGTCATATCTCATTATTCATTGGTATCTCAGAGTAAGACCTAAACCAAAGCATGAACAATTGTCCGTCCATGACACCGGGCGATGTTCTTTGGTTAACGAGATACCGTTTTTCATCTTGGTCCGGCCTCCTTTGGATCCAGGAGGCTCAGGACAGATCTTGTCATCTTATGGCTTGGCTGGTCAGACCTTGACCGGCGCAAGATAAGCTTGTCGGGGTCCACGAGGCTGGATGGGATCCAGGGTGGATGTTGTCTGCATCGAGATATTGTCGATGGCTTCTTCTTCTTCTTCTTCTTCTTCTTCTCTTCTTCTCTCCTTCCCCATTCTCCTTCATTTCCTCCCCTCTCACCACACAATCCTCATCCCCGCCCAACCGCAGCGCGAAACCAGTCCACCCGCGGCCCGGGCTGTTTTTGGTAAATTTATCTTTTTCAAAAATCAAAACAAACGCAATGACCAAGTCTCACCAGACCAGAACATGTCAAGCGCAAGAACAAAAACAAATACCCTAGCAAGTTCCAGGACCCGAACCTGCCACCAGATATACATCTACCGACGAACAACAATACCCTGACGACGAACAGCATTGCGAGCACGGGAGTACTCCTCATCACTCTCATACTCAGACTCAGAGCAGCTATCATCGGAAGACTCAACGTATCCACAGCGCGAACCACCACAGTCAAGCTTGACACGGTCACCCTTGCGAGTGATACCGTAGCGTTCGCAGCGACAGTGAACAGGCGGGTCACTCATAGACGAGAGCGACGAAGGCGAAGTGGAACCAGATGACCGCGACGAAAGAGACGACCCGGCAGAGCTGGGCGGGCTATTCGAGTACGAGTACTCATCTGACAGACGGGAGCCGGCGAAGCGACGGGTGAGGTCATCGACGGTGGGAGCGAAGTCCGCTTCGCGGAGCTGGCGGGAAGCGTAGTGCTTTGTTGGCTTTGGGTGCTGAATGCGCGAGGGGGACAAGGCGCGACCGGTTGCGATGTTTCCGCGGCTGGTCTTTGGTGCGGAGGAGCGGGTGGTTGGCTTGCCGCCGGGAACATCGAGGATGTTGAGCTTGCGGCCGGTTGTTGGCTCCACGGTGTATTCGACGGCGGGGTCGTGCGAGACGTGGTATCCGTCCATCATGTAGTAGTACCAGTAGCGGCCTCCGAGTTGGAGCATGGAGGTCTGGAAGCGGAATTTGCCGACCCAGGCGCCGGGCTTGCCTTCGCTGGAGAGCGGGATTTGACGTTGGTAGTTGTCCCAGGAGCCGACGAGGTGGACGGTCTTGACGTTGGACGAGGTCCGGAGAGAGAACTTGAGTTGAACGGCGGCCATGATGAATCAAACGTATTCAAAAAATAAAATGGAATTTAAAAAAGTTGTCGTACGAGATAAAGATCAAGAGTATCGTATAGATAGAACAACCTAAAACTGCCGGAGTTCGGGTTGTCAAGTTGGGATATTGGACTCTTTGATCTTTGGGGAACCGGTCCGACAAAGAAGAATAATCGAGCGAGATTATATTAAAGTGAGTTTGTTGTAGATATCTGTTAAACAGCGAAATCAAGTCGACCGGCGACAAGGTAAGCTGTTAATGGTTGTAAAATTCGAGGAAATCCGTAGCAAGGCAGAATCTCAAAGAGCACAGCTCGTTTGAGGAAAGGGTAAAAAAATTAGAATAGTATAGAAGATAAAGAAAGAAGAAAAAAAAGGTCCAGGCAACCAGTGCTCAGGATCACTCGAATAAGGCAGATAAAACACAACAAACACTCGCTGAAGAAAAAAAGAGAGAAGAAATCCGCCTCGAGGTGGCTATGGCATTCTTTTAAGCAGAGCCCAACTGGCAGTGGGCGGGTAATTGACGATGTTGGTTGGTTCGATGCAAGTTGCACTGTGATGTGCTGCCCTCACGGCTGTGGCCAATAGCTGCCGGGGATTTGGCGCTGACGCTCGGACCAGAAGAGGAAAGAGTTTTTCTATACGAAAGGCCATTGTCCAAGCAAATTCAGGCATTTGACTGAAGAAGTTGTCAGCCTCATGAATTGTGGAGGGGTGGAGGGGTATGTGTGTTGTCATGTCTAGACTGTTGAGGTTGAGAGCCTCGGGAGATGAGGTTGGACTCTCTCCACTCCCCCACCTTCCTAGCCTGGAGATATATGGGAATGTATCTCTCAGGTCTGTATCTCAGGCATACTTCGTACGGAGGTCACAGGATTTCAAAGGATCCTGGTGTGCGTTCATGTACTCATGTACTCATGTACTCCCCGACATTGGAATATTCCGGGAGACGTCACCCGGCCTTCATAATTTAAAATGCGCCGAGACCAAGAAGCGGGATGAGATGCATTAAACCTATTCAATCAGAGGCAGGCTGACAGGGATGCTGACAGGATATGAACAAGGATAGGGACAAGGATGTTGACAAGGGTGAGGTATCGTGCACATCGTGCCATGTGGTGAAGTGCCGACTTTCCCTTTCCGCCTTTCCGAGTCGACACAACACTGGCCTGGTCTTTATCTTCTTAATATTCCCCTTTTCGAAGAACAAAGAGAGAGAAAGAAAAGAAAAAGGCTCTTCAATCTAGGACTTGCGACCGATGGATACCTTATTGTCCCCTGATTGGCTAACTCCTTCCCGCAACGAGGTGGGTAAAAATATACAAGGACAAGGGGGCAATCGTAAGGTCGTTGGTCAGTCCATGAGTAGTCGAAGCACTAAAGCTGGAAAGAGTCATGTATGCGTCTTGATCCCAGACATTTTGATCCCTGATGGGTTCTTTTGTCTAGCCTACCGTGTTAAATAATGGGTTTCCTGTTTTCTCTTGAAATTGCAATTGTTCTTTCCTTCCAGTACTCCTTCTAGCCATGGAAAAATCAATCGAGATAGTAAGGGAAGTCCTATGATCTAATTGACGGCCATCTAATATCAGTCATAGGACCCGGCTTACTATGACCTTGGACGCGACGACTATGTAGATAGTGACTTTGCCTCGTGGGTATACTCTACTGGGATACTATCAATCACTCTAACCTGGTCTTAGCGAAACAACTTCCCTATCATCATCCATCTACAGGGGAGTGTTTGAAAATGGAAGACGGTATGCATATGTGCGATTCTACAAAAATCGGATATTGACAAGATATCAGATATCAGACTGTGAGGGAGGGCGCATCTTGGTAAATATCCCCTCATAAACTCCATCATACCCCTGCTAATCTTCATCCAGGTGTCCATCTGACGAGCAGCAGTTTGAGAGCTTAGAAGCAGGGTGCGTTTGACTACCACCAACAATATGCAAGCTAACTCGTCCAGTCACCTACTCTGCGTACTTCTGGACGCCAATACCGACAACCCACTCTTCCATGCACCAGTGAAAGACCCTAAGGTATACACCCAAAAGTTAAATAGATATGGAAGTCCCCGCTAACCAAATGAAAGCAAATCCTGGACATCGGCACTGGCCGAGGCACCTGGGCCATGTAAGAGCAAGCTCTTCTTAAGCCAACACAAACTGACAAAATACAGCGATGTATCTGACATGTTCCCAAATGGTAAGTGCATATATCTGCATATCCATACCCTGAACATTGAACTAACCAACCAAGCAACCGTCAGAGGCGTAGACCTCTTCCCCCACCAGTAAACTGGCTCCCCCCCAAACTGCACCATGGAAGTCGACGACATCCTCCAGGAATGGACCTGGCGCCATCCCTTCGACCTAATCCATATGCGCCAGCTAATAGGCGCCTTCACGCCCGTAGAATGGGACGGTCTATTCACGCAGTGTTATAAGTAAGCCTTCCTATCCTATCCTACCTCAATATCAACCACTCACATACACTCCTGGCCCCTGCCCCTTTTCGTACCCATCAATCTAACATAAAGTACCAGAAACCTAAGCCCAGGTGGCTGGATCGAACAAATAGAAGGCGATCCACGAATCCGCTGCTCAGATTCCAGCATGTCGACAGACTCCAGTATGGTCCAGTTTACGGAAGCCGTGTTCCGCGCCGGACAGAACTGGAATCATCCCCTCGATACACTGGACACCATGCGCACCGCCATGGAAAAGGCCGGGTTTGTCGATATCCAGGAGAAGACGTATAGATGGCCTATTGGGCCGTGGGCGAGAGACCCTACGCTGAAAGAAGCGGGGAGGTTGCATTATCATCAGTGGACGGCGGGGATGGAGGGTTGGGGCTTGTATCTTCTTACTAAGTTTGGGCTTCCGCGGCCGTGGACGAAGGAGGAGGTGTTGGTTTTGTTGGCGAGGGTTAGGAAGGAGTTGCAGGATCCGCATGTTCATATGTGGCAGTATGCGTGAGTTTTTCTTTTTCTTTTCGTTTCTTTTCTTTGATTATTTGATGAGTGAGATGGCTGATGTTTTACAGGAGGAGGGTTTGGGGCAGGAAGCCTACGCAAGAGGAAGTGGAGGGCAAGTGAAGAGGGAGGAGATTGTTAAAGACTCGGAGATGTAGTTTTGGCTATACTTGTTTACCTGGGTTAATAATTTGGAAGGATACGAAGCACTACGTGCGCACAATCCCGTTCGAGAACTCATTCATGCCCTGGTCATGTCCTCTCATCCTCAAATTGTGGCATGCAGAAGGAATCAAAGTGGATTGACCCAAACCGAACCAAAATCAGAATTTGAGAGTGTCATTCAGCTTGTACAGTATGTCAGACACCCGCTCATCGGACAAGTCGTGTAGAGACACGATGTCGAAGCAGGATTGATGGGTGCTTTTCACAACAATCGTACTGATATCGGCCACGGGGAATCTCAACTAGGGCCCAATCCAAATTTGAACTGTTCCTGTCCTCGGTGGTCCTTAATCTGGAGGCAGCAAATACTCGGAGAAAGCTCTTCAGGTCCGAGAGATTCTTGCTCATATTAAGGAAGGTCTGTCCCACGGGTCGGCCCAATTGGCCTTGTAAACAATTGGGTTACCAACTCGCAGTGTTATAATTGGATATATTGTTCGTTTGTTTCTATGGCTTGGATTTCGTCTGTGAGGGAAGCAATCTTGTCTTCCATAGCCATGGAACTCGGGTGTTCCACCTGAAGTTCTCTTCTCAGGTCGTCATCCGGTTTGACGCCATTTTCGCGCCATTGCTGGACCCTCGTGACGAGGTCAAGACGCAGATCTTTCTCTGGTTGACACAGTGGAAGCACGTGGTTGCCATGGTCTGCCCACCTTTAATTACCATAAATCACTATACCATCAGGAATAGGCTGCGTCGCTCCTGGGCGCTCTTGGAGATAGAATGTCACTGGAATTGACATGTCTCGATCCGCTACCGCTTCCTTGCTAGTAGGTCGCTGCTCCTACTGACACTTAACACATGAAAACTGGGTGCTGCTGACTGCGGAGTGCTTGTTGGCTGGCTTGGTGAAGGCGCAGGAGTCAACGGAGGTGCGATCAGCCGAGATGTGGTGCTGCACTCTGTTTCCCAAAGAAGCCAAATGCAATGGGAAACAAGCAGACCGAGATGGATAGGAAGCACTGCTGTCTCATCGAATACGACAAAAGAGGGATGATCCGGGAGCCCGCCTAATGTGCCAGAATTGTAGGCATTTCCAGGACTAGAATTTCACCGCCGCTTTCCGGGACGAAGGTGTTGATATTACGGGATCTCCGGGCTCTGTGGCTTTTGCCTCGTGCTTGAGCCCTGTGACCTGTAGTCACGTTGATGGGGTTCTTTGGCCATATTTTTCAAAGTCGCTCGCTTTGGGGGACGGGAAGGTGTGGTAGTGCCAGGCGCTGGAGCCTTCGGTTGATCGTTTTGTGGTTGCCCTCCTCAACAAGCGAGTTCCCATGTGGTCCTCGAGGGTTTGGTACACCCCACTTTCTCTGTGTTGGCGTTGAGTAAGAAAGCTTACTTAGTTGATTCGGATATCTGTCTTAACCGGCGATATCTGCGTTGGTCGTTGAGTGAGATAAGAATGAAAATAAAGGAAAAGCAGAAGGATGAGCGTAGTCAGATAACATACTGTCCCTTACCCAAATATCAAGAGTACAGATCAGCTCCCAGTTCAGGCGATATAATAGTATTCTTTATATCAAGCTATTATCGAAGAGCTAGGATCTGGAAGTAAAATTAGCTGCATGCTGCGGGGTATGGTATTGCCAAATCCTGACCTTTTGTCCAATCTCACAGAGACAGACTTGTGTGTATCCTGACGGCAGTGATGGTAGTTGATGCCTAGAGCATCATCGATGATAAAAAGTCAGAAGAAGCTGTCTAATAGCCTCGTGAAAAGAGGAAGAGCAGACAGTGTACATACTTATTCCCAAAGGAATGGTAAAAGGAAGCGAGAAGTGCAGTGATGAGTAGTGAAGTGAAGTGAAGTGAAGTGAAAGAGCTGGAAATAAAAACAATGCCTAAATATAGGAGGGGTAGTGCCTTAGGTGTCAAAGCCTTTGTTTGTCGTCAAACAACAACTTCCTGCCTGGGTACATACGTAGTCAAGATGGAATTCCAGTACCATGTACTTTATCGAATGGAAGTAAAGGTCAATAGAAGGGAAATCAATACCGAAACCAAGCAGCTTCGACAATGAGGGGCATGATACTAACAAGAATGATAATTCACGGGTCAAATTCCAAGGGAAACCAGTCAAACTCGTTGGATACCAAAAGAACCTATGTCTACATATGTAAAAGCTCCGCGTGGATGATTTTAAAAACACAAATTGACCTAATAGACTATGGCTTTAGAGCAATAAATGCCCCTTTAATAAAGTGTGTATACCAGATGCGGAAATAGCCGGGTTTATTTTCATCCAGACGACCCGGCTTGACTACATGTAGCTTCTGTATAAAATCTCCAAGGGACAAAATTTGCCTACCCATGTCCACCTGAAGGCCGGTCTCAGTAATAGATTGCTCTGTTGCATTACACAGACATGACTACATCCCGAGGAAAAAGCAGACAGGATGGTGCTACATTCGGCATTTGGTTATTAGCAACTTCCTTTCTCATTCTAACCAAAGGAGAGCAAATCCCTAATCTATACGAACAGACGGACGAAGACAAAATCTTGTGGATCAAGCTTCGTCAGGTGGATTGCAATGTTGACTCTAGACCTGCTGAAATATTCCTGCGTCAAAAGGTATAAAGCGAGCCTACGCCAGAGGTCCCTAACCATTCTTTTGTCCAAACAATTGCTTTGTAGACAGATTGGCAATCTGTTTCTTCTATACAAAATGAAGGCCGCTCTACCTTCCTTGTTCTTGTGAATGAAGCCATGGTACTAGCAGCCCCAGCCATCGAGTTGAACAACGATGCTCCTCCCTCAAGTGGATGCTATCCATTGTGAGTTGACACATACTTTACTACATCAACCGATTTATTGACAATCCTATAGCGCGAATCCTCATTGCGGTGTTGCTGATACCTTCTGTCAGTGCAGAGGTGGTAGGAGCTCTAACCCTTCCGTACAATCTATTTGAATAAAACGTTCTCATATAGACAACAGGTTACTTTCATCTCTTCAACCGTGCAGCAGGCGGCTGTGACCCTCCCTGGGTCTATGTTGGAGATTCGGTGGGGTCACTTCCTGGATATCACTGCAGGAAATAAACAGTGATGAAGTCATATAAGAGTTGCCCCAATCTTCAAGTGGCAATCTCTTGATATTATGACTAAAAGGGTCATTATGTTACTATTGAATTTGGTTATGCTATGCAGCAGATATTGCTGTATCTTATGAAGCAGTCTCAACATCTTTCTCATCTACCTCCACTGGTCATTATTGTAATCCCTTCGACGATTACTAATGGTGCAATTCATTGAGTAATTAACCAACAGACTTCTTTAGATCATTAATATTAAAGTAGAGAACTGATACCCAATACTCAGCACACACATGTATATATCGTGATCCGATTGAGAATACCTAAGTGAAGCAATTACAACGGGCTTGATTATATCCATTGCTGGTTTCGTATATAATGCTACGGAGTTACTAATACTGCTTATTTGTATTCAATACTAATTGTTTCTTAGTAGACTAGGACTACACGGCTTCGTGCCTACTACTAGCAGCGTAAGCCTTGAACTAGGGACAAAGGAGATAGGCCTCTAAAAAATACATACAATTAGAGGACAATTTTGGTCAGTCCAATGGGAAGCTGCTCATATAACTTAACAATTATCAACCTGTTGTACAAGAAGTTTGGCCTTCTGAAGAAGAATCTGGCTTATTTTGTCATTTGGACCCTGCAGAAAAATAACGATTTTCAGGGGTATACGAACATAGCAGCTCCATAGAACCGTGAAGATTATCAAATGTAATTGATTCTACTGCCTAAATTAGTGCTTCATTATTCATTTTTCTTGACGCCGTACTCTCACTTTCTGTTCACTGGGGCTTTTTAAAGTTTGCTAAGACCGTTGAGCCGCACATGACGACTCCACTCCAGGGTCTCCCCCAGACTTTCTCATCAACCATCACCGATCTGTCTGTTTATCCGTTTCCAACCCTCCCCGTCAAATTTGGCAAATTCTTTCATCTCATATTTTGCCAAGACAGGCTGATAAGCACCACCACGTCGTTGATCTCCACTTGTTGGCCTGCACATTATCGTTCACTGATACCTTCAAACCTTCAAAGCATCGCCATGCCCGAGACATCCACTGAACCCACATCTGAGCCCCCGACTATCGCTATGTGCAACGGGCCTCTCCAGGAAAATTACGAGCTTCAGCTTGGCGACATGTCTGATTCTCTCGCCGCGGTCACTCTGGATGTTGAACCCAAAGCCAAGTCCGACTCATCGTCTCCTGAGGTCCCTGACGATCGCCGCGCTATCGAGTTCGATTGCTCATCTCCCGACAGCTCCGACTCGTCACCTGAGGATGGATCTGACATATTCTCCTCAGATGGCTCCAACTCGTCCTCGCCTAATAGCTCATCCCCCAATAGTCTTCAAACGGCATTTCCAGACAGCAACGTTTTGAAAACAAGCGATTTGTTCCAGGATACCTCCAAGAAAAGCCAAAATCCTCAACCCAACGCGGTCTGGGACACATCTCCTCAGTCTGATGCCGACGTTGAAACCGTTATTTTGTGGAACCCTGCTGCCAAGAATGACTGTGACATGGACTCTGCCGATGACCCTACGGAAGACTCGAATACTCAAACAAGTACCGCCTGGGAAGCATCTTCACAGTCCGATTCAGACGCCGAAACAGTTATCTTGGGGAAGGCTGCTTCTAAGGATGACGCTGACACGGTCTTTCCCAATAACTCCGGCTCCTCCGAAGAGTCCGGCGCTGTATCTGGTGATTGCATTCAAGGGAATCCTGATGACAAAAGGAGCAACGCGTCCGATTCTGGCAGTGAGGATGGCTCTGAGTCGCCCTCTCAGGATTGCTTCGACACATTCTCCCCAGCCGGCCCCCGCTCCATCTCGCCTGCTAGCTCAACTACATCATTCCAAGTCCCCCTCGACACTGAAGAACATGAACTGAGAATCCCCCAAGGCTCACAAAGTATCTGTGCATATGCGTCTCCCGTTCAAAATGGCTGTCGCATTCGGACCAGCTGTGACAGAAATGATGACACTGGCAGGTGGCACGTTGAACCGGACGGCTTTATCAACGAAGCCGGACGGGCCGGAGGGCCATTCCTTTTCCCTTTGCCCGTTCAAGAACTCAGATTGAGCCTTGATGATCCCCTCCATGACATTCTCGAGGACTATAGACTCTTTCAACGGATAACGTCAATTCTCGCTGAACACGGAATCCACCCATTCTCGATGAGGCTCAGAAAATGCGAGTACGGACTTTTCAATCGGTTTGACTATCTGCCAACTTTGATTTTCTCTGCAACTCGTGACACCGTCGATGACTCTTGGGTCCAGGCATGTCGCCAAATCTGGAATCACTTATCCAATGTCGGCCTTGGACAAGTCAATGTTGAAATATCCGAATGCGAGATCAAGCCAACTTACACGTGGATAATGAAAAAGACTGATCGCGTTTATCCAGTCTACATGGACCTACTTCACAGGATACAGACTGAACTTGATGTTACGGGAATGATCAGGCTTGCCGTACACCGTGAGGGAACGACTGATAGCAGAGAGAATCTGCCGCTTACTGTGGGGATGACCGTGGAATATGATAGCACTCGAGACTGGCGTGATACAAGGGATGGTATTGTGAAGATTCTGGATGACATGAATCTCCCTATGGTTGGGGTCATCATCAGGAAGGGCAAAAACTATAGGGGTTAAAATAGCCGACAATGGTTTCGGGAACACATGATCGGGACAAGCAAGTCGCGGGCCGGGGCCCAGTACCAAGGAATAAGGACTCGCACTATGTGACTCCATTGCTTTGAGATTAAAGAGAATTCCTTACTTGCAATACTACAAGCTTATGGGTAACCTATTGCTAATACAAATATAGTTAATAAACACGAACCCCGACCTTCTTACTTAAGCGAGGCAAACTACCTAGGTACCTACCTAGGTAGGTAGGAGAAAGCAAACTAATCCATAACATATGATCTAGCATATAGCATCAGATCGTGACAGGCCATGGTTCATTTATTTGATCCAACTACCTGATTAAATATCAATCGGACTAGATCAGGACCACCGAAATCGAAATGCGAAAGAAAGCAAAAAGCGAAAAAGAAAAAAGCAAAAAAAAAAAGAAGAAGAAGAAGAACGAATAGAAAAAGGGCGGAGCAGATGCGAAATGAACGGAAGAGAAGACGTCGATGTCCTAAGAAGAAAAAGAGGAACGATCCATCTTTAGCCGAACATCGGTGGCTTTGGTGACTTCCTTGATGTCTTCGACGAGGACTTCAATGGGCGTGAAATAGGACATCGAATGGCTAAGACCACCGGCGAACAGCATTCCAATGACCACATGGGAGGCAGTAAATACGAGGGACCCAGAATCACCTTCATGGGAGAACTCAGGGGTATGCGCCGGGTGGATTGAATGTTCATATGTAGTTCGCTTAGTACTTTTCCCGTCAATGATTGCATAGTCGAGAACTGCTGACTCGAGGGGATGTTTTATCCCCTTTCGGTGCCCTGACCGTTGACCGTGAATGAAAACCTGCATTCCTTCAAGATTTTCAGGGACTGGGGCTTCCTTTAGATCGTGGCCATCTGGTGTCTGAAGAAGAGATGATGTTAGCACGTGTTTCAGACAAATTCACGTGAAAAGGGACTCAGAAGAAGAGAAGAAAAGTCTTACCACATTGTGCCCTATCCGATCATTTGGGACTTCAATAAGAGCCCAATCGAGGTTCATTGTAATTCCGGAGGCCGGCGGTGTTGTTCGAAAACCTGACGCCGCGTACACGTGTCCGAAAGCCGCACGGTTGTCGCTTTTGAAGGCTTCGATCTCACCAAGGAAGTCGTTGAGATTGGACAGTGTATCCTTCATTCTGGTGAATGTTCGCGCGGCAGTCCGGCCTAACATGGACTCAATATCCTCACCCTCCAATTCACGGAATTGGCCGTATTGTTCGCTTGTCTCAATGCCTTGGATTTCGTCTGTGAGGGAAGCAATCTTGTCTTCCATGGCCATGGAACTCGGGTGTTCCATTTGGAGTTCTCTTCTCAGGTCGTCATCCGGTTCAACCCCCTTTTCCCGCCACATCCGCACCCTCTCTACGAGGTCGGGATCTAGATCCTCCTCACTGGGGTTGACACAGTGGAAACAGGTGAGGGCCAAGGTTTTGTAGCTGGATTGACCCGGTAGCTTGATCTCTATAAAACCACCGAGCGTTCCCGAGCCGTACGTGCCTCTGGGTGCAAGACTTTGACCAATCATAGAAGGTTGATGTAGAACACGTCGGTCAAGCTGCTCCTTATGGAGACCTGACGCTTCTCGAGTGAAGTCCCCAGGCACAAACTCGACTGACACACTTGACAGGCTAATTTCGTCGAGGAGTCCTCGAATCTTGGCAATCGAGGTGTATCTATGGCTTGGGGGTTTTGGAGAATTGCAGACGACGAGTATGGTGGTGGTAAAGCCCGGGTCGCGACCTTTCTTCTGTAGAACACACGTGATAATACACACTCCATCGTGGTCAATCTTTCGGACAATTTCACGTAGCAGAGATGGCCATTCTCGGCAGATGGGATCATTCCTCGATACCGGCAAGTACTTGGCGGTAGGGTTAGGCTCCGGGTCTTTTGGGGGCTCGGTTGACCCTGGGCTCTTTGTCTTGTCATGTCGATGGCCTTTCTTTGACGACTTTGGATATGGCATGGTGGGATGCGAGGTGAAAGTTGACTGGGAGGGTGATCAGAAGGAACGGCTCGGAGGTCACTGGAAGGAACGGCTGGACGATCGATTAAGAAGATGGGCGAAATGACGGCTCGAAAGGCAGTTGGAATGGCGATTGAGAAGGCGATTGGGAAAACGATTGGGTGCACAGAAAGAAGATCTCTCGAATGGTGTCTGAGACCAGTAAACTGAGAAAGGTATATGCCAGTAGAGGTCTGGAACAAGTGAAAGGTCGCCAGGGAAAGGCAAAGGACTTCGAGAAGGACGAAGTCTCAAGAAGTCAAGTGTTTCTTCGCAATATCAAAGGACCTGCCGCAGAGGGTTGGTAGTCGAAGAGGGTCGAGTCTCGAGGAGAGTTGAGACTTGATCGGTACGGTTTGTTCTGATATTATCATGAGACTCTAGTGATCCGTTCACGGTAGACTGTTTTGTTTGGATGATAAAAAGCAAGATCACGTAACTGCTTAAGGAGCCTTCTTGGAATATCACTCTCCATGGATGTCAGACAGAGAGAAATAAATCTAAGGTTCGGGGTCGTTATGGTATTTATCTCAAGCTTGATCGTTTCGTTCCTCGAGAGTGATATCTTGCAACTCTACTGGAAAGACAACCTTGGAATACATACGAGGCTACATAATTAGCCTTTTCTGCACGTCTCCTTTACACTATTCCAGTAGCCACTATCACCAAACACAATTCTTTGATCTAGCTGGCGACACAACTAGTTATTATGTGTTAAGCCCGGTTGGTGTCTCAAAATGAACAAGAGCACTAAGAATGAATATATCAAAGCCGCAGCTCCGGCAATACTAACGGTTAACAGCAGATGGCTTCATCAGGGGGAACCGCAGGGTTTGTGAACTATACCTATCCCTAACAATGACGCATACAACGCTGTAACACTTTGATAGGTTGCTTACACTTTGCATTATATGTGCACAGAAACTTAGTCGAATCGAGTATAACAGCACACAAGACGGCAGGTCATATCCGTCGGATATATCCAATGAATTTCCTAAAAGAATGTGCAGAGTATGATTAATTAATGAATTTTCAAAACCGTAAAATGGAATATGAACCAAAGGCAGCTAGAAATCCCAAAAAGGAGGCCGAAGAGTGAGATCTGCGACATGTCCATTGAGAAGCCGAAGGACCCAATACATTCGGTGCTTTGAATACGTATCAATGCGATACATAGTGTCCAGACATCAACATACAAGGCTTAGTTCGGCCTCACTCCATACGGTAGAATACCTATGTAGGTATGAGCCAACTGGTTTGACTATACAGGATCCATTTTTGAATGATCTCCAGCTAGAACGAGACCCTCGAATACCATTCATTCAGTCCTATATCCTTCCATAATATTGTTCCTTTGACATATAAAGTGTCACAGGATTTCATATATTCAATGAAAAGTCCATTGGTCAAATTCCCTATCTTCTTATGTTTAGTTAAGGTAGGAACAGACGTCTATACTTCGGATGTTCATAGCGCCGATCCGAAGATGAGTCATGAATGGGTCAGCATTCCTCCGACTTCAACCAATTTGTCCCCCATGTTAGGAGTCGGGCTATCGACGCGAGCAAAGGCCAAGCGTTCATCTGGTCAATAAAATTTGAGACAATAATATCAGCATCAGAGCAAGCGCTACATCGAATCCGGTTGAGCTGCACATCACTCTCTCAGTATCCCGATAGGAGCCCACCTGTAACCTGCCCTGCGACCGAATCCAAAATGGCACACGGTGCGGAGGACTGCGCAACTGTCCTGGACCAGTTCGTCCACGATGTGGCAAATCTTCCGGCTGAGATCAACCACCTTATGGAGGAAATACAGGCCAAGGACAAGGTTATGCAGGAGTGCCGCGCTACAATCAACTCTCGAGACAGCAGCATTCAGAAATTCATCAAGCTGAACGGCAGTTTAACACCGAACCCAAAGGAAGAGCCATATAGCAAGACTATTCTACAGAACATGGATAAATCCCACGAGCTGCAGAACGAGAAGATCCAGCTCAGCGAGAAGGCATGCGTCCTCCTTGATCGCCAGATCAAAAGACTCGACGTGCGCATTCGCGATCTAGTCAACGAAGGTCTCCTCTCCAACGACCCCCCACTCCCTTCTCTATTCGACTCCAAAAACAAATACCGCAACCCACCCAAGATCTTCCTCCCTGACTCCACGCCCTCCGACTCCCCAGCCTACTCAACTCCCCTCAACCCGACTTCCGGAAACGCGAATCCCATCCTGGCCGCTGCGCAGCGCTTGAACCAATCCACAACTCCCCGCGCCACTGGCTCTGCAGCCCAGCTCGGACAAGTTGCGGCACGCAGCTCCGCACCGGCTACTCCCGCCGCCGCGGCCGTCGTACACCTCCAGCAACGCCAACGCGAATCCTCCGCTGGGGCAGTGGACAGCAAGCGTCGCCGCTTGAACCCATCCCTCAACACCCTCCCTGCAGCCTCTTCAAACCTGCGTCAATCCTCCATGGGCCCTGGTACGCCGAAGCCTGGCACACCGGCAGGCAGTCGCGCAGGCAGTGCCGGTCCCCGTTCTAACATCGGCACCAAGAAGGCACTGACCAAGAAGGTCGCGCCACACCAGCAAGTCAAGAAGCTGAAGACTGCCAGTGGGAAGCCGATCAAGCGCTCTTCCAGTGCTAGTGGTCGTATCAAGATCTCGAAGAAATCACCCAATGGGGAAGGCGATGAGGATGATGACTCCATGCTCAGTAGTGCTGATACATCGGACTCGGACAAGAGTGATGGTGTTGCTGAAGATGATGTCGACGACGAGGATGAGGATGAGGGTAATGAGGATTCGAAAGTCTATTGTACCTGTCGCACTGTTAGCCATGGGGATATGGTGGCTTGCGACAATGATGAGTGTCCCTATGAGTGGTTCCACTGGAAGTGTGTTGGCTTGACACGCGAGCCAGTTGGGACTTGGTACTGTGATGAGTGCAGACGTACTCTGGGAAAGTGATTCTCTATTCTCTTCTCTTTCTATGATCTGTATGACGATTGATATACCCACGGCGTTTTGAGGGACTTTTATGGTGTTGGGCTGGACTGGACAAAAATATCTACTTGTTACTAGTTACGCTGCATAATTTCGAATCTTTAAACCGAATGAATTTCATATTCTGCCTATTCTAGACAAAAACTGATGCTAATCCCCAAGGGAGAACACAAAGCAGAGAATCCCCCCATGTATCCATTCCCAGCTATAGCCAAGCGTATGTCCAAGCCGTGCCCATCCAGCGCCCAATATTCCCAGGGTCACCTTTGAGCCGGAGCATAACCAAATCAAGTCGAAAACGCCATCGCTATGCACATATCCCCTTTTTTTGTTTCTTCCATGCAAACATGTTGGCACACGGGCGCACACAGTACGCCGAAAGTCAGAAATCAGATATTCGTGGAACAGCCATTGCTCGCCAATCCACTCAGAACCCAAGCCCATTGTTCAGCCAGGGATCGAAGTACTCGCAGGTCTCGGGGCTCACTGCGCCGCCGGGGGCACAAAGCTTGAACACTGGGCACTGGCCGCAGGGGGCTTCTGTCATGCCGTTCTTCACGAGGTGCTTGTTTGCAACGGAGAGATCGTCGCCCTCGATGGGCGGCTTGCGGGACTGGTTCGCTTTGACGGCTTCGGGGTTCTTGAGAGATCTGTACCACTCACCGTTGCCTAATGCGACGAGCTTGTTGTCGTAGCAGAGCATTTCGAGCAGTTGTACGATGCTCTCTTCGCCGAGACGGACCGGCGTGATGCCGCTGTCGTTGACGGCAGAGGTGATCTGCGCCACGGTCGGGTATCCCGTGTAGCCGTGGGGGTAGGGGAGGTAGGTCTTCTCATCGGACCTGACCTCCGCTTTGCCGGATGCGGTTTTGATGCGCTTCTTGCGGTCTGAGGCCGGGACTTCGTACCAGCTCTTCCGGCTCACAGTGTACTCGATGTAGCCTGCGACGCTGTTGATGAAGTTGGCGTCCAGTACGCCGTCTGTGAACCAGGCTCCTCCGGTTACTTCTTCGCTCGGAGCAAGCCCGGCCAGCATGTACATCTTGCGGCTGGGGTATTTGACATTGTGGAGGGATTTGATGTAGTTTTTCCCTTCGAGGGATTTCAGGCATCGGTCGAGGATCGACTTGTGCAGGTTCGTGCGGTTTCCGATGTGCCGCACCCAAATGCCTGTTCGTTCTGTGGAGTGGATGACATTGTAGACCATGGCCTCGTCCGGGGTGAGGTTCCGGAGCCTGGAAGGGAGGAGGGGTTAGTTATCTGCTTTATCAACAGAGCGATGCGTTCAATTCCTACTTCTCGGCATCCTCGCGGTCAATCAGCTTCCACGTGAGCTTTCCATCTTTTTGGAGAAGTCGGAAGAGATTTTGATTGACGAGGCTCTGAGTGCATTCTAGCAGCAGCGCGACGTCGTTCTTTGGGATAACTTTGAGATTGAGGAAGTCGTTCTGATAGAACAGATGATCGGGGTCAAATTCATTCACGCATGCATCATAGAGCTTGGAGGCAAGCTCGGCCACTTGGGGACCCCGCGGAGGCCATTGTTGGAGATGCGACGGAGATATCAGGCAAAATCAAGGTTCATTCGAAGAGGCTCGTGGTTTTTCATGTTCAAGGGAGGATGCTAGAGCCAGGGAGTAAGTTAGAGGACCATGGTGCGTCGATGTCGGCAAATTTGAGTCACGCTTGAATCACACATGGTGTTTTTTTGGCGACTTTTTCTCGGCGGGGACTGGCTTTGACTGAAAAGGGTTTAGCCCCGCGGAGCTTCAATGTCAGCGTTAATGCCTGAGGTGTCTGTCGCCTGAGGCTTAATTTGTTGCTGCCTGAGGCGGTAGATAGCAACGGAAATTTCGAGAAGCTCCGGCCGATTGAGCTCATGACCTCAGCACTTCCAGTTCCCTGTGCTCTTGTTTTTGATCTGCATTTCTCCTTTTTCTGAGCAACTTCGCATATCATTCCAAAATGGCCGACGCTTTGAAGGCAGAGGGCAACAAGGCCTTTTCTGCTAAGGACTATCCTACTGCTGTGTATGCGCTACCCCACCTTTTAACATTGTGACTCCGTCAAAGCAGAGACTGATAAAGACCAGTGAGAAATTCTCTCAGGCCATTGCCATCGAGCCCGAAAACCACATCCTCTACTCCAACCGCTCCGCTGTCTACTCCGCCCAGAACGAATATCAAAAAGCCCTCGAAGATGCCGAGAAGTCGACCCAAATCAAGCCCGATTGGTCCAAGGGCCATGTCCGCAAGGGTGCCGCGTACCGCGGTCTTGGAGATCTTTGTATGTTATTCTAGTTGCGCACAAAGTGACGGAACAAATTCCATTGCGACAAAGTGCTAACTGACGGCAGTGGCTGCGCACGATGCCTATGAGGAGGCCCTGAAGATCGAGCCTGGCAACGCACAGGCCAAGTCCGGTCTGGAGGCCACTCAGCGCGCCATCAATGCGGAGGCTACCGCAGATGGTGTCAGTGGAGACCCAACAGGAGGTCTCGGTGGGATGTTCAACGACCCGGCTCTGTTCCAGAAGCTGGCCAACAACCCCAAGACCGCCTCCCTGTTGGGAGATGCTGAGTTCATGGCGAAGCTGCAGAAGATCCAACAGAACCCTAACAGTGTCGGAGAAGAGATCCGCGACCCGCGCTTCCTGCAGGTCATGAGTGTGCTTCTCGGTATTGATATGAACTTCGGTGGCGAGGGAGCGGAGCCTCCTACCCCCGCTGCTAAGCCCAGCACCTCGCAGCCCAAGAAGGAGCCCACCCCGGAGCCCGAGCCGGAAGACGAGGAGGCAATTGCCAAGAAGCAGGCCAAGGAGGCTGCCGATGCTGAGAAGAAGATTGGTAACGATTTCTACAAGAAGAAGCAGCTCGATGAGGCCATTGAGCACTACACCAAGGCTTGGGAAATCTTCAAGGATATCACCTACCTGAACAACATTGGTGCTGCCAAGTTCGAGAAGGGCGATTACCAAGGCACGATCGAGACCTGCCAGAACGCTATCGAGGAGGGCCGCGACTTGCGCGCCGACTTCAAGCTGATGGCCAAGGCCTACACCCGAATTGGTTCTTCATACGAGAAGCTTGGTGACCTCGCCCAGGCCATCGAATTCTACAACAAGTCGCTCATGGAGCACCGCACCCCTGATACCCTGACCAAACTCCGCAACGCCGAGAAGACCAAGATCACGAGCGAGAGGAACGCCTACATTGACCCTGCCGAGGCTGAGAAGGCCCGCGAGCTCGGCCAGCAGAAGTTCCAGGAAGGCGACTGGCCCGGTGCCGTTGACGCCTTCACTGAGATGACCAAGCGTGCCCCCGAAGACCCCCGCGGTTACTCCAACCGTGCCGCAGCCCTGATCAAGCTGATGGCATTCCCCGGTGCCGTGCAGGACTGCGACGAGGCCATCAAGCGTGACCCTAAGTTCATCCGCGCCTACATGCGCAAGGGTGCTGCCCTGATCGCCATGAAGGAGTATAACCGTGCCCTGGATACCTTCACCGAGGCCGCCGACAACGACGACGGCAAGAACGCCCGCGAGATCGAGCAGCAGCAGCAGAAGTGTCTGGACGCCCAGTTCAGCGCACGCGCTGGTGAGACTGAGGAGGAGACCATGGCTCGTATCCAAAATGACCCCGAGGTAAGATCTGATATGCTCTAAACCGGACTATTCAGCCTGAAGTATACTAACTTTTCTCTCCAGATCATGGCTGTCCTCCAGGACCCCGTTATGCAGAGCATTCTGCAGCAGGCTAAGAGTGATCCCGCTGCCCTGCAGGAGCACATGAAGAACTCGCAGGTGCGGATGAAGATCCAGAAGCTGATGGCTGCTGGTGTTATCCGCATGGGGCGGTAAATGCTTTGAGGTTGTAGAGCATTCAAGGGATTTGAATACGAATTGACACGATATATCTTTGCCAGCATATTTTTTAGTTCCATATTGCTAAAATTCCATTCTGCTTATATGCCTTGTGATCTTGTAGGAGTAGCAGTGTTTAGTGGTGAGCCAGCAGTAAGTCCATAGTGTCTGTCAAGATTGTGCCTTCGACTGCTTGCTGCAATTCCGGTAAATACAATGTGCGACATGCAGTTGTTTATGTTGCAACTGTATGAACCAAGTTCACCTAAAAATATATATCTCAGTCGGAATTGAATTGTGTGTCCCCCGTACAATATAGATACAATACAACATATAGAGAACCTTGGAAGCCATTAATATTCAATTCTTGTAAAACCTCGGCCCCAGCTCGGACCCGTGAACTTTGAGAACTTTGCAGTTCGAAAACGAAAAAGACAAAAAAACGCCACACAAAGTGGGCGAGTGGGGAGTTCCAGTAAAGAAAAAAGAGATGATCTTACCGAACGTTATCTACCAATCATAACATCATCATTGGGGGATTCAATTGGATTTTATTTTATATTGTTGCACAGGACACAACATACATATGTATGTACATAATACGATATACTGAAGTACGGACTACTCCGTACGCAGTTGACAGGGAAATAACCTCTCAGAAGGTGCAAGTCTAGGGGATGTGATATGATAGATCAATTCCTCATGCAGCACTTTGTCTATCATGGATAGTCCAAATATACTTTTAGTATTTCTGCTGTATGCAGTATAACTTACGTAGTCCAGAGAGGTTCCCGAGGTCGACCAAACCCATTCTCCATATCCCAAGAACATCTTTGGTGGAGATAGCTTGGCCGATCTCCTAATCGGGAATAGGGCACGATGGCCCGATGTGGCGATGTGACGGGGTCTTTTCATTGCAGTTTGTGGATGCGTGCCACGTGTACCTCGAGATTGTTGAGTCTACCGTACTTATGTACTGACGGGGTAGACAATTACATACCATACTTTACAAAGTACAAGATTCTATATGTATGTAGCATATCTCGTTGCCTAAAAAGGTGCCTAGGTAGGGCTGGGATTGCACTACTCTATATTGTACACACTCGAAATGACGATCCCCACAAATACAAAGGGGAATTGGACCCAGATACCAGGATATAATTTAAAACAACCCTAATAAAAAAGACAAACCCATGGAAGAGGCATGTATCATCTCGATTGGACCCTCTGTGGCTGTGCTGAAAGCTCGGGTCGAATCTAATAGTCGAGTTTAGTCTCTTAGGTATTCCCCTGATCCTCCACTGTTGACAGATTCTGATTATATTAGACAATTGGACAGCTACAGAGTCAAATGTTGTAGACAAGCATACCCATAGAGCTAGAGACTCATTGATTCAGGTATATCCAATATAGTATAGATGTATGTACTCCGTACTAAAGGGAGGAATCTGATACAGGTCCCGACGTACGTCACTGATCTTCGATCGACCTCGGAGTCTCCGATCTCCCCTTTTTTACCCTTTCCTTTCTTTCCTTCCTTTTTATTGGATTCTCAATTATTATCAGGATTAATATATAATTAATAATTTAAATTATTTACAAAGCTATAAACTGTGTAATGGTAATATTTCATTGTATGGTAAAAAACCCAGCCACAGTTCCCCTTGACTTGACGCAAGCGGCTGGGCAGAGAACCCAAGCTGTTCCTTTGGTCCACTCCCCTCTCTATTTTTCTCTTTCTTTCTCTCTGCGACTTGGACCTTGGTATAAAATAACAGGGTCATCCCTTCGACTACCTCTGCCGGTACGTTACCCAGTAGACGTATGCAACACTGAAGTCAGCATTCTTCCCCTCCCCCTCACCCCAGGTCTCATCCATGGATCGAATCTGACCACCCTCTAGAACATCGGCTCTCCCAATTCCCCGGAACACAACACCCAACCGGCGATATGGCGTCCGCCGACGCGGAGAACACGGAGAAGAAGATGGAGGGTACCATCGAGGCCGCCCAGGAATTGCACCAGGACCCGCAGTCACACGTTAACCCGGATATCGTTGAGCAAAAGGTCGTCGACGAAGCCAAACAAGCCGGTGCGGCTGCATACCAATTTGACCCCAACGCCTCGCCTGAAGAGAAGGCCAATGCTGCCAAAGGGGTGCGTATCGCATAATCTCCGAATTTTGTTCGGCACAACCATGCTAACTGCTGTGTCTTTTAGCGATTGCCGCCTGATTTCCATCATCCCCATAAACCCAAGGGTGTTGCTGTAGTTACAGATAAGGTACGAATGACTGGATTTCTGGATGCGATCGCGATGTATGTGCTAACCCTACCTAGGCCGACGGCAAAGCAGACTATGACCTCTCCCCCACCGGAATCTGCGACCGCCATTATGGCCGAGGAAGCCACACGAGAAAGTGCGGGTGAAAAGCCCGTCGATGAGGATAATCGATGGGCGCGCGACAGAACGGGTTGGGCCCCGAAGTTCGTCGATGAGAAGCTCACGGCGGCTTTGCGTGATGAAGGTACATTGCTGGATCACGAGACGTTTTTGGAGGGGAAAATCCCCGATAAGTTCTTTGGCGACTGGTACCACAATGCCGGGATTATCGTCTTCGCTTGTTTGGCGTCGTGGATAGTCGCCGTGCTAGGCGGTGGTATCGGTTGGGTTCTCATGGTCATGGCAGCATGCAGCACCTACTACCGTACCTCCATTCGACGAGTGCGCCGGAACTTCCGTGACGATATTAGCCGTGAGATGTCCAAGCAGCGCCTCGAGACCGACACCGAGAGCCTAGAGTGGATTAACAGCTTCCTCGTCAAGTTCTGGCCGATCTACGCCCCCGTTCTCTGCGATACCATCATCAACACTGTCGACCAGGTCCTCAGTACTTCTACCCCCGCCTTCTTGGATAGCTTGCGCCTCAAGACCTTCGTGCTCGGTACAAAGCCTCCTCGCCTGGAGCACGTCAAGACCTACCCCAAGACTGACCCTGATACCGTCATCATGGACTGGAAGTTCAGCTTCACCCCGAACGACGTAATGGACCTGACTGCGCGCCAGACTAAGGACAAGATCAACCCCAAGGTCGTCTTGGAGGTTCGTGTCGGCAAGGGTGTCGTGAGCAAGGGTCTCGACGTGATTGTCGAGGACATGGCTTGTTCGGGCTTGATGCGTGTCAAGGTCAAGCTTCAGATTCCATTCCCCCACATTGAGCGTGTGGATGTCTGCTTCCTGGACAAGCCCGAAATCGACTACGCCTGCAAGCCCCTCGGTGGTGATACCCTTGGATTTGATATCAACTTCATTCCCGGTCTGGAGTCCTTCATTAAGGACCAGATTCATGCCAACTTGCAGCCTATGATGTACGATCCGAATGTGTTCCCGATTGAGATTGCTAAGATGCTTGCTGGGAACCCGGTCGACCAGGCTATTGGTGTGGTCGCGGTTACTCTGCACGGTGCTCAACAGCTCAAGAACCCGGATAAGTTCTCTGGCACTCCCGATCCGTACGCCGTGGTGTCTTTGAACAACCGTAATGAGCTCGGCCGCACGAAGATCATCCACGATACCGACAGCCCCCGCTGGAACGAGACTATTTACGTGATTATTACCTCTTTCTCCGATGCCTTGTCTATTGCTGCATATGACTGGAACGAATACCGTAAGGATAAGGAAATGGGTGTTGCTAGCTTCGCATTGGACAAACTCGAGCAGGAGCCTTCCCACGAGGGTATCTATCTGGAAGTGCAAGCCAGTGGCCGCCACCGCGGTGCCATCCAAGCCGATATCCGCTTCTTCCCCGTTCTCGAGGGAAGAAAGAACGAGGCTGGTGAGGCTGAACCCGCCCCTGAAATGAACACCGGCATTGCCCAATTCACGGTGGAGCAGGCCAAGGATCTCGACGGAAGCAAGAGTCTGGTTGGCAAGCTGAACCCTTACGGTGTCCTCCTCCTCAACGGAAAGGAAATCCATATTACTAAAAAGCTCAAGCGCACCAACAACCCGATCTTCCAGAATGCCTCCAAGGAGTTCCTCGTCACGGACCGAAAGAACGCTCGTCTGGGTCTTATCCTCAAGGACGATCGCGATATCATGCAGGATCCCATTATCGGCCGCTACCAGATCAAGATGAACGACATGCTGAAGATGATGGAGCGTGGCCAGCAATGGTTCCATCTCCACGGCGCCAAGGAAGGACGTGTCAAGTTGGGTCTCCAGTGGAAGCCCGTCGAGCTGACAGGTGTTGGCAGCGCTGGCTACATTGACCCCATTGGTGTCATGCGCTTCCACTTCAAGCGTGCAACTAACCTGCGCAACCTTGAGGCCATGGGCAAGTCTGATCCCTACGCTCGTGTTCTTCTTTCCGGTGTCACTCGTGGTCGCACTGTCACCTTCCGCAACAACCTCAACCCCGATTGGGACGAGGTCGTCTACGTGCCTATTCGCAGCGCACGCGAGAAGCTGACCGTGGAGGTCATGGACGAGGAGACTATCAACAAGGACCGCACTCTTGGTTGGGCCGATATCAATGCCTCCGACTTTGTTCGCGAGACGGAGAGCGGTGAATATCAGATCGACGACGAGAAGCAGGATATCACCAGCATTCTGAAGATTAGCGGTGGCTCTCCCAAGGGTGAACTCCACTACAATGTGGCATTCTACCCGTCTGTGCCGGTCGTTAACCCCGAGGACGAAGTTGAAGAGGAGGAGGAGGAATCCTCGGAGCTCCCTGGTACTCCTGGTCCGGACTCCACCGAATTCCCGAAGAAGGCTCTGCACGCCAAGTCTGCTAGCGTTGACTCGAAGGCTTCGAAGGCCTCCAAGGGTCTGTCTAACGGCGCTGCGCCTATCACTAACGGAACCACCAATGGTGAGCCGGCTACTAACGGCCGCGCCAGTCTGGAAACCACTACATCGCGCCCGATGACTGGTACCCAGTCTGAGACCGCGTCTCTTCGGTCCGTCAAGTCTATTCCCCGCACTTTTGTCAGTGCGGAGGATCTCCCGAAATATGGTATGTCTTGTTTTGGTCTTCATGGCAATTGTACCAAGCTAATTGACTATAGAATCTGGTTTCATCGTGTTCAAGTTCCACGAGGGCCAGCTGGCCGTTCCCCATGTTCAGTTGGAGGTCTTGATGGACGATTACATGTTCCCCGCCTATGTCTCATCTAAGATCCACACCACGACCGCCAAGTTCACTGACGTCGGCGAGGCTTTCGTTCGCGAGCTCGAGTTCTCCAAGATCACCTTGCGTCTGGTTAGCAAGGATGATCCCAAGGACTCCAGTGAGGAGCACACAGTCGCCAAGCTGACTGGTGACACGCTACCCACACTGATGCGCATGCTGTACACTCCCACCGAGCTCGTCCTCCGCTCGAACTCCGGCGAGGTGAGCAAGGTCACCGTCAGCGCTCGGTACATTCCGACGGAAATGAAGCTCGATCCCACGGAGAGCATCAACAACATGGGTACCCTGCGTGTTGACGTGCACGATGCCGCCGAGCTGCCCGCCGCTGACCGCAATGGATTCAGCGACCCATTCTGCAAGTTCCGCTTGGATGACGAGACCGTGTTCAAGACCAAGGTCCAGAAGAAGACCCTGCACCCGGCCTGGAACGAGTACTTCGAGACCCCCATCAAATCCCGTATCGGCGCAAATTTCCACGTGGACGTGTACGACTGGGACTTTGGTGACAAGGCTGACTTCCTCGGCGCCACGGCAATCGACCTGGAATCCCTGGAGCCCTTCCAAGCCAAGGAAGTCACCCTGCCCCTCGACGGCAAATCAGGTGCGATTCGCCTGAGCCTGCTGTTCAAGCCTACCTACGTGATCCGCGCCCGCCAAGGCTCCTCCACCTTCTCCGGCACCTTCGCCGTCCCCGGCAAGATCGTCGGCGCCCCCGTTAAGGGTGTTGGCTTCGTCGGTGGCAACGTCGTCCGCGGCGCCTCTTTCCTCAAGCACGGCCTCATGTCGCGCATCCACAAAGACAAAGGCGAAGACACCGCCTCCATCATGAACAGCATCGAGGAACCTGACAACGTCAGGGGCGACCGTCTTACCCCAGCCGCCTCCCTCGTCGAAGGCTCCCCTTCCCCCAGCACCCCGCAGAAGGAACACAGCCGCAACCGCAGCACGGCCTCGCAGTTTGGCGATCGCCTCAGCGTCTTCGGTGGCGGCGGCTCCGGTGAAAAGGGCTCCGCCAACATCACCGTCGTCTCCGCTGCGAACTTCGCTACGGACACCAATCTCCGCGTCATCATCCGTCTCCTGGGTTCCAAGGGCGCAAAGGATGTCCACAAGACCAAGGCCCACAAGAACTCCTCCGGCGCAGTCACCTTCGATGACTCCTTCCGTATTCCCAACACTACCGCCGACGCCCAGTACCAGGTCCGCGTTGTTGACCACGCGACCTTCGGATCGGACGATGTCCTCGGCGAAGCGCCCTTCTTCGTTGATGACCAGGGTTCTGTCGCGGGCCAGGACAAGGCTATCACTGTTGGCGACGGAGTTGTCACCATTCGTTCCAGCTTTGCGCTTGCAGATAGTGGTTTGCGACCTACTACGTCGCACTCGACCGCTGGTACCCCCGAGCCCAATGAGGGTGGAGGCAGTCCTGATTCGAGGAAGGTGCCCCGTCGCAGCTTCCTGAGCAAGAGGTCCGTTAGCGGGGTTTAAATGACTTTTTTCCTTACTTTTATTATGCGCCTTTGGAATTGCTTTGCCTATTTAGGGCTGAAGAGTATATGAAAATATGAATGGCTTTCCCTTGTTACTAATTTTGTTTGTGTTTGTGATATCCTTTTCTCTCTCTCTCTTTTTTTTTTTCTTTCCAATCAATATGAATTCAATTGTTGAGATGGGCTGAGACATCTACCACGTAGCATAGAGAATGGAAATAGCCGGGTAAAAATAGTCGAAGAATCAATAGTTTTTGCGCCACAGGGAAAAAAAGCCGAGAACAGGGCTGAGACCGATGTCTCACTTTGGAATCTTAAAGGGGGTCCCGACGAGGACGTACTGACTTGGATGTTATATGGTATTCGCATCACATTCTGATGGCTTCAAATGTTCTTTATATTAAAATTGCTCTCGGGCCATTCTCTACCGAGTCTACTTTGTATTTTGCCGAAACTTGGTCTGCACAGCCCGGGATCTGCAATTTGATGTTTAGGCCTCTTAGAGTTTTCGTACGCGCGTATACATAAGGAGTATGTAGGTAGAGGTAGGTACGGAATACTCTGTGTATATGTAGGAATAATAGAAATACTAGACAGTGCTCAGTACTCCGTACTAGACATGTCAGATATCCAAACTATTATATTTTTAGATCCCTCTAAGGGTACTCATATTAGCCTCATTTAGGGAAAAGACGATAATTTCCATTGCTTGTTCCACTCGGTGCCAAGTGTTGCCACTTTGACCGGAAATACAGCATGCAATTAGTCTATGTTGTTAGAGGAATTAACCTGTTTATAGCAGTGGTAATAGTGGAAAGAGAAAATTCTACCTGCATATGCTTTCCAATGTACATTATGTCGTACATTTTAGCAAATAGTACTACAGAGCTATATTGTACATATGCACAATATAGAGGTCAGGTGAACGTCTTTGCATCTATTCTAAACGTTTAATCACACAGCATTGATATAATTAGGAACGAATGCTTGAAACCATTGAAACTGAAACCGAAACAAGGCCGAAAAGGAGGATCAGAGCTTGTATTTTGGTGGGGCTTTAATTCTATTTACGCTAGCTGGATTAAGGTGGAGAGGGAAAAGGGGTCTGGATTGTGTACTCCGTACGGAGTACGGGAGTAGGGAGTATGGGCTGAGGGGTCTAAGGGTATGGTTAGGATGATAATCCTGTATAACTGTCACTTCCTTAGGCTTAATAGTAATTAATAGTAACAATAGTAATGTGAAAGGTGTCAGATCCCGGACTCCAGCCCGTGGGCATGTCAGTGGCTGGTAACTGACGACATCGGGATGCAAGGAGATAAACGGGAACGGTAATAGCAAAGAGGAACAAGAGAATTAACATCAGAATGAAGGATATAATTGGTGTAATATGCTTAATTATATTACTAGAATTACTATTACTTCCGTATAGACCGCCTAAATATGTACGTAAACAGCTAAAATAGCTAAACGTGCCTGCAATAATATAAAATCACGTTCCTCTCCCCCACTCCGTCCCTTTTTTCCCATTCTTCTCTTATAACTGGACCTGTTTCTCTTTTCCCCCTCTATCATCGCAGGAATTGGTGAGTTGTACCCCTATGACGGCAGCTTGACATCCCGGATCAAAGTGGCAACTCCCTTTCTATCTTTGGGTCTGGAGAGCTTGGGATCTTATTAAATGGAGCCACGTTTCCCTTTCCTTGATTCTGTTTCACTGACTTCATATCTCTCTAAAATAGCCAGTTCCCTTCGAATATTCTTATCCCCATAACACACATAACTCATAATGACCTCCAAGGCTCTACCCACTCACCTTCGAGCCCCTGCTGAGAGCGAGGGCTTTGGTGGAAAACACCATGGCAAGACGCAATCGCACATGGTACGTTCGCTTCAGGCGGTGAATCCCTGAATCCCTGAATCCCCGATCTTGAGAGCTTCGTTCTTGCCATTTTGGCTGTGCCTGCTGTTTTGAGTTGTTTTGTGCCTTTGCTGGACGCGTCCAGAACGGACAACTTGTTCTCCTTTTCTCCCCTGTTTCACCACTGCACCGTGACCCCTGCTCTGTTCATCGCGTTCAATTGTCTCTATTCGTTACCATGGCTACTTTGGCCCCCCATTTGGTTCAGAACTGACCCGGGAAACCTCCAACCAGGCATTCGAGAATGCCTCCACTAGCGTCGCCGCATCACAAATGCGCAATGCCCTGAACGCCCTCGGCGACACCGTCACCGACCCCAACGAGAAGAAGCGTTTCGAGGCCGAGATGGACAACTTTTTCGCTCTGTTCCGCCGCTTCCTGAATGACAAGGCCAAGGGCAACGCCGTCAACTGGGATAAGATCGCCCCGCCCCAGCCTTCCCAGGTTGTTGGATACGATGACCTCGGTGCCGACGCCTCCGTCGAGTTCCTGAACAAGCTGGCCGTTGTCAAGCTGAACGGTGGTCTCGGTACCTCCATGGGTTGCGTGGGTCCCAAGTCCGTCATTGAGGTCCGTGAGGGCATGTCCTTCCTCGATCTCTCCGTGCGCCAGATCGAGCACCTCAACCGCAGCTTCAACGTCAACGTGCCCTTCGTCCTCATGAACTCCTTCAACACCGACCAGGACACCCAGTCCATTATCAAGAAGTACGAGGGCCACAACGTCGACATCATCACCTTCAACCAGTCGCGCTACCCCCGTATCATCAAGGACTCGCTCCTGCCCGCCCCCAAGAGCTTCGACTCTCCCCTCCAGGACTGGTACCCTCCCGGACACGGTGACGTTTTCGAGTCCCTGTACAACTCCGGCACTCTCGACAAGCTGATTGAGCGTGGCATCGAGTACATCTTCCTGTCCAACGCCGACAACCTCGGCGCCGTGGTCGATCTCCGCATCCTGCAGCACATGGTTGACTCCCAGGCCGAGTACATCATGGAGTTGACTGACAAGACCAAGGCTGACGTCAAGGGTGGTACCATTATTGACTCCGACGGCAAGGTCCGTCTGCTCGAGATTGCCCAGGTCCCCAAGGAGCACGTCAACGAGTTCAAGTCCATCAAGAAGTTCAAGTACTTCAACACCAACAACATCTGGCTGAACGTCCAGGCTATCAAGCGTGTCGTTGAGGAGAACGAGTTGGAGATGGAGATCATCCCTAACGAGAAGTCCATTCCCGCCGATAAGAAGGGTGAGGCCGACCAGGCTATCTACCAGCTGGAGACCGCCGTCGGTGCGGCCATCCGTCACTTCAAGAACGCCCACGGTGTCAACGTACCCCGTCGCCGCTTCTTGCCCGTCAAGACCTGCTCCGATCTGATGGTCGTCAAGTCCGACCTGTACCGTCTCGAGCACGGCCAGCTTGTCATGGACCCCAACCGGTTCGGTGGTGTCCCCGTCATCAAGCTCGGTACCGACTTCAAGAAGGTCTCCGACTTCCAGAAGCGCATTGCCAGTATTCCCCGCATCGTCGAGCTGGACCACCTCACTGTTACCGGACCTGTTAACCTCGGCCGCAACGTCACCCTCAAGGGAACCGTTATCATTGTCGCCTCCGAGGGCAGCACCATTGACATTCCCCCTGGATCCGTGCTTGAGAACTGTGTTGTGCAGGGTAGCCTGAGAATCCTCGAGCACTAGATGTTTTCGTCTGATTCTTTGGTTCTGCTTTGCAGATCCGCAATGTTTGATCTTTCTCGTTTTAACTGGTGCATCCGAGGCTATGGATTCCATGGAGTATGCAAAAGAAGTACTTGTATTACATTACAATAATCCAGCGTCTTTTCTTTTCCCTTTCTTTCTTATTGGGTTGTTTTTAGTCGAAACCTGACTTTGATTCCCAAGTACTGTGTTGCTCACCATTCTCAATGCATTACCAGTTCTCTTTTTTTTCCTACACGTAGATGCATAGACATATACTACAATATGTATATAGTATAGTTTGCGGCTGTATCGTCATATCTCCGCTCTTCCGCCACCAATTCGATCTAGTATATCCGCAATAGAACCCCCAGAACGCCTCATTCAGCCTCCACATCACGAAATCCGACTTTATATTCGAACAAACCCCCAAAATTAAATCCGCCATTGCCTTCAGGCGAATAAACTGCCATGATAATAGGCGGGGAAAAGTTCCTCATGATATCTTGACAACGTCATTCGCGGCAAAGCCTATTTGCCCTACTAAACCTCCAAGCAGACATATCAAGGTCCTACGATCATTTGAAACAGGAATATACCGTGCAACATGCATTCCTGATCTTGTACAGTTTCAACTTTGTGTGTTTTCTTGTATATTCCAAAAAAAAGTACATATTCGATTGTGTATCTCACATCTTTTACATACATTTTACATATTTGGACGACATTTGTTTATATATTTGCATTTGACACTTAAATCAGACGAAAAAGGAACAAAGCAGAAGAACCCAAACCACCTGCTCATGTCGGAATATGGGTCGGAATCCCCGCCGTCTTGTGCCCGGTCCCTCGCCTTCGGATGACCGTGACCAAGAAACCTACCATGACCATGATACTGAAAATGGTAGTCCACCCGCTGATGAAATGAAGGGTTCTGGTACGTGGAAGAAGAGGGTTTCAACTGCTTGTCTGGCTTGTAAGAAGTCGAAGAGGAAGGTGAGATTTATTATGCTATCTACACTACACTACACCTACTCTATACATCTATACCTACATCTATATCCCATCTACATCTATATCCACATATCAAAACTAACAACCCAGTGCTCGGGCACATCTCCCTGCGCAAACTGCCAAACCTTCAAAAGAGTCTGCATCTTCGACGAATCCCTCGACCAACGTCGCCGCGTCGCCGCAAAAAGAACAGCAGACGAACTCTCCTACCACCGCGACCTCCTCTCCGACCTCTTCAAGCTCGTCCGCGAAGCAAACGAATCAGACGCCCTGCACCTCCTAACAATAATCCGGCACAATGCTCCCGCCGACGAAATCCGCGCCTACATAAACAAAACCCTGTCCTCCCTCGCCACCACCTCAACATCATCAGCCCATAAACAGGAAACCGTCGCCAAGCTCGAGGATATGCGTCAGCTTATCAATGTCGAGGGGACCGGTCCGACGTTCAGGCGGAAGGTTATGGATATTCATTTCCTGTGTGATTCCGCGCCTTGTCAGGTGCCTGCTAAGCCGTGGACGAGAGTTACGGCTGATGCGGATCTGGTGTCGCATCTTGTTTCGTTGTACTTTGCGTGGGATTGGCCGGTTGCCGCGGTTTTGGATAAGGGGGTTTTTCTTAGGCATATGGCGAAGGGGTCTTGGGGTCTGAGTTTTGTAGCCCGTTTTTGGTCAATGCGGTGCTCAGTAATGCTTGTGTGGGTATTCTCTTTTTCTTTTCGTTCTTTTGCTTGTGAGGCTGGAGTCATGGTGTCAGTTCGGATTGCTGATTGTTTAGTATTTCTCTGAGTTCTCCGAGGCTTATGTTGTTCCTGGTGATATCTCTTCGAAAGGATGTGACTTCCTTGCTGAGGCGGAGAGGTTGAGGGATGAGGAGAGTTCTCAGCCTAGTTTGGCGGGTTTGCAGGGGACGTTACTGATGTATGAGAGGTTGGTATAGACATCTTTGTCCTGCGTCCTGGTGTTGCGGCTGTTCTGACGTAGACAGATATGCCATGTCCCGCGAAGACGATCTGGGATATATCATGTTGCACAAGGCTATCAAAATGGGCGAAGCATTGGGTTTGGTCGGCAGAACTGGACCTAGAATGGCTTCGGGCGAGTTATCCCAGGACATGGATATCTCATGCAAGCGCACAGCCTGGGGTTTGTTCAATGTCGACACGTAAGTGAACCCTGCTTGCACTCACCCCTCGAACTCACATTCACATCCCCAGAATGGTCCACACATCCTTCCTCCGGCCAAGTCTCATCGACCACGTCAACATGGCCCGTCTCGATATCAACCCGTCCGAAGACCAAGCCCTCTGGGAACCATACCCAACGCACCGCAACCCGCGCCCGTCATTCTTCAGCCAATACTTCGACGAAGCATGCAACCTGTCAACAATTGCGCGCGATATCTCGCGCAGCATGTTCGCAGACCACAGGACCAATACCGCCCTCGGTCCCATCCCCCGCCAGACCCGCGAGGATCTATACGACCGTATCCGCCGCTGGAACGATCTTCTCCCGGAGGACTTTGACGTGCGGTACAGACCCGCTCCGCATATCATCTTACTGAAGTGAGTAGCAAGTCCACCTACCGTTTCCAATAAAAGCGAAATACTCATTCCACACAGAATGCGCTACCACGCCCTCGTCATAAACCTCTTCAGCTGCATCTCCGAAGACGAAGTCGCACCCATCCCCTTCGAACCCAAAACACCGGAAAGCCCACCGCGCCACACGCCAGAGAGAAAATACAACGCGCGGGAAGTGACGCAGAACGCGGCGCGCGGCATCGCCGCGCTAACGCGTCTGCATCGACGCGAGTTCGGCGTTAGTCGCGCGCACCAGTTCGCCATGTACGCGATCAACCTGGCGCTGTTTACGATGCTCGAGCAGGAGTCGTTTGATGTGCTCGATGAGGATTTCCTGACTCTTTCCAGTGCGTTCTCGGTTGTTGCGATTCGGTCTGCGCTGGGCCGGAATCTGTTTCATATTTTCCGGCAGTCGGTGCGGGCTAAGGGGCAGGGGGATCGGATTCGGGGGGTGAGTTCTGTGCCGGATGAGTTGAAGGATTTGTTTGATGAGGGGTCGAGGAGAGGGGGTGTAGTCGGTTTGATGAGTATGCTGATGGACTTGAGAAGTTGAATCAGAAGGATAAGTATCATGGGATTGGGGAGGGGGATAGGGGGTTGCAGGATTATCCTGGACTTGGACTTTCGGATATGTTGGATCGGTATGAGAGTCTTAGTCTTGGGAAGGATGATGTTTTGGTTGAGAGGTATCGACCTGTTGGATGTTGATGGGACGTACAATATACAACTGTCGTCATCTCTGTGTCCTCAAGTACATTTTGCCTTGACAGAATGGCGACATGGTATGGATGTGGGATAGATATAGATCGTGTACAGTGAGTCCAGGGCGATGTATAAAGTGACAGGAGAAGAATTATGCGGAATAAGCCAGTTACTGGCAAGTGATGAATTGGGTCTCCCTAGATAGTTCATATACAATATATCTATTGTAGGGTGTTTAATTTGAGATAGAAGTTGACTGGTCGACTGGGAGTGTTGTCTGACGTCAAACGGCAGTTCAAGTGGCGATGGGCATATCTTCTCCACGTTAGTCCACGTCCACGCCCACGTCCACGTCCACGTTGGTTATTCATCCTTTCGGATATTTTATGATATTTTATGATATTTTATGATATTTTATCAAGAAACAAATCTCCCTTTTCCTGTTTCTTGTCAAATTCATTCGAGCCATGGACTGGTTACGCCCTTTTCACCCTGTAACCTGCTCAATAACATACATTCATGTCCAGAATATCCATGGATCAGCAAACTTGATTAAACAGTAAATCCAAAATATGAAATATGGATCTGGAGAATCAAGAGACTTTCGAGGACTGGCCATTCAGCTCTGGCTCTGGCTCTGTACCTCAACATCCCTATCCCACACCACTCCCCTTTTCAACAATTCAGCAACCCTTCTCACATACAGCCCAGCCAGCCTCGGCAAGTACACCAAAGGTAGCTATCCCCCGCCTAGCTGGTTCTGACCCCTTTATACCCGGGCGCCGACGGTCAGCCAGGGCCTGCGAGCCATGTCGCCAGCGCAAGATCAAATGTGACGGTATCCGGCCATCGTGCGGACAATGCGCATATCACAATCATAGCTGCTCCTACGAGGACGTCAAACGAGTGCGCGACCAGAAACGACTCGGCTCCTTGATCAAGCGGGTAGATACATACGAAGCCCTTCTTCGGGAACTGGAAACCGAGGTGGACCTCCCCACAGCGCGCAAGATCAAAAAAGCATTAAAGGTAAGTCCAGTCAATGTCAAATGAAGACCGGGTTCTCATACGGGACTCGGATCTTACGATTTGAGCCCCCGTGTCTAGTCTCTGACTGCTATTATTTGGCGAATTAAGTCCAAACCTGGGAAATCCTCTAGAAACAATGTCGACTCCGATGATTCCTCTACCTCGATGGGCTCACTCGATGCTATCGACCAGGTTGATGAAGACCTAAATCGAAATGGGGACACCCGTGCTGCGGGCTTCTTTGGGAAGAATTCTGAAATCAATTGGATTCGCAAGCTGGAGAGCGGCGTGAGTATGAGTCCGCAGGAACAGGTGCCGAATCCGTTTCATATGGAAAGTCACCGTGATCCAGCGTCTGTTCAGCAGCTGCAGCAGTCATTGGAAAGGCAAATTCCTACTTCTATGATGGATTACCATCTTGATAGCCTTGATATTCCGTTGATTGAACCATGCGATCCGTTGGCGGTGCCCCCACGGGAATTGGCAGACCGATACTTTGACACCTACCTGACCAACGTCCATCCGACATTCAACGCAATTCGGAGGATGACTTTTATCTCCCAGTATCAGAAGTTCTTCAACCATGCATCGACACCACACCGGAAATGGCTGGCCATTCTGAACATGATCTTTGCTATTGGTTGTCGCTACTGTCGACTCATAGATGATCCCCTACGCAGCGGCGAGGAAGACTTGCTGTATTTGACCCGGGCACGCCATCTGGGTCTGCATAGCAATGTGCTATTCGAGCACACCGATCTCCAACAGATCCAACTCGAACTCCTCGTAGCAGTTTACCTGCTTTGTCTGGGACAGGTCAACCGGTAAATGCCACTTCTCCATCCCTCCTAAGATTATACTAACTCCCCTCCAGAGCATCCACATTCTCCAACATGGCCCTCCGATCAGCCCTCTCTCTCGGCATCAACCTCCGCCTAACAGACGACCGCACCAAAGACGCCGCCAAAGAAACCCGCGGTCGCCTCTGGTGGTCCATCTACTCCCTCGAGCACATCCTTACCTCAATGACCGGCCGTGCCTCCTGCGTCGGCGAAGGCCTCTGCTCCGTCCCTGCACCACTCCCCTACGAAGAAGAAACCTTTGACCACCCCGATGCCAAGCGCCTCCTCCAAGATCCGGCCCTCCGTGAAGCCCAACTCCGCTCCACCCTCTTCGAACCCCCCAGTCAACATCACTGCCCTTTATGGGTGACCTCCTGTCCACCCTGCCCATCCCTCTTCTTCAACTTCCTCGTCGACCTAACCCTGATAACGCACGCCCTCATGAACAAAGTCTACAGTATCGAAGGCCTCCGTAAAGGCCCAAGCCAAGTAGAATACCACGTCCAAAAATCCAGTCTCCAAATGGACCGCTGGCTCTCGAAACTCCCCCTCTTCTACCAATTCACATTCCCAAACACCAACCCCTGGCATCTAAACCAGCCAGGACTAGATGATCTCTCTGCCCCCTTCGTCCGCGAACGCGTCTGTCTAGCAATGAACTACTATTCCGCCCGTATCACCCTCTACAGACCATGTCTAAGCCACATCCACCACTCCCCGCGACATTCCTCCCCAACCGGCGAACCCACCGCACGCGGGAAACTCCGCTCCGAAATGGCCACACACTGTCTTCAAGCTTCCTGCGCGCTCATCTCCATCCTCCCCGAAACTCCGAACATGACATGGCTGGCTCGCGCCGCGCCCTGGTGGAGTATCCTGCATTTCCTCATGCAGGCGACTACCGCTCTCTTACTGGGGTTATCGTACTGCTCGGGCGCGTATATGTCCAACAGTCCGGACCGCGTGAACCCGCTCCTCTCGCCTGCTACCCCGTCTATGGCGTCGGGAGGAACCTACCCGCTGCTGGAGAAGGATTTGAGTACGGCTGTTGCGGCGACGAAGAAGGCGCTTTCTTGGCTTCATACTACTGCTTCTGTGGATCCGGCGGCGCGGAGGGCGTTTCTGCTTTGTGAGGGGATTGTTAGGAAGATTGCGCCTGGGTTGGGGATTGATTTGAGTCAGTGGCCGGATGGGAGTTGTTTTGAGGGGTTGATGGAGGGGAAAGAGGGGTCTAGTGGGAATGGGTGGAATGTGGATAGTGGGAGTAATGGACATGATAGTGGGAGTGGGATGGAGGCTTTTGAGGAGTTGGTTGATTTTGAAGGTGGTGTGTTTTAGTTTGATTTCATTATGAGACTATGAATGAATGAATGTCTATACCTATATGACATTTGAATATACACCGGTCTCTTACTCTTAAGTCCCTTATGGTATTGCTATATGAGTGCTTTTTACGTCACATATGGACCTCAAGGAAAGACCATCCTACTCTTACAACTTCGCGTTTCTTCCGTCCACTCATTTCTTTATTTCCACATTCCAGAAAGAGATGGACTCATTGCCGGAACTGTTATCACGCGTGTTGCACTATGTGTTTCCGCCATCGAGAAGCAAGCCATGAGAACACGATGTCCCTTTGACCCCATATGCCACCTTGAACCGACGTTGGCAGGGAGTCATTGAGAGGCGCACATCTATAGTCCGCATCCTCACTGCCACCCAGCTCAAAGAATTTAAGGAAGTTATTTGGACCACCATTGCATGCGCGCAGGATATCGTACGGGAAAGCTGCCTGAAGAGGACATTATACCGCGTAGCGGGCTAGCTGCATAAAGAATGCGGGGGAAGGTGAGATGCGTCGAACGGAGACGAGCTGATTAACGGTAACGGCGGCGTAAAGAGAAATAGTAAATCGAGCTTGTGGGCTTATCCTATGGAAGAGGTATACGGAGAAAACCAGATACATGGTAAAATGTGAGATGAGATTGAAGACTTTTCTCGACTACCAATCTCACTTCTTATATTACAATGCCTCCAAGTGAAAGTCCTACGTCCACCCCTTTCTCTACCTCGTGCACCACTGTCTCCAGGAATCCCATTCCAGGTAATTCAAAGCCACCGGCAGCTGGGGATTTAGATCGAGCTGGGGATTTAGACTGATCCCTCTTGCTCTCGGCAATATCGCGTAGCTGCTGCCAGGACCGCTTCGCCCTCTCTGCATGCCGCGCCGGAGTCCGGTGATCACTATCCGCCAACGAACGCGAGAAGACCTCGTACGCAAGGTACCCCGTCCAGCCGAGATCGAGGATAGCCTTGAGTATACTGAGAACAGGCAAGAACCCACCACGGTCGGACTCACACAGGAAAAGCCGGCAGTTTCGGGACCAGCTTAGTCGACTGGGCTGGCCCTCCACATAGAAAGGGTGGCCCGGGTGGAGGGGCTCGCTGAGACGTTCCCCGTCAGCTATCTGCACGATGAACAGCTTGCTGATATCCAAAGTAGACGCCATACGCCCCAGTGAAGCGGTCAGATCGGTCTCAGCCGTGTCCGCAACGCGACCGTCTTTTGTGGTTGGATCGGCGTAGACGGCGCCGGCGATGTTGAATGTATCCAGCGCGAGACCGAAATTCGGCCGGTTGACTGCCTGCACGATTTCCCAGGACTTTTCCCATGTGTTCACGTGCGTGCCCCAGGCGAGGGCCTCGTAGGCGAATTTGATCGAGGATTCGTGTTGCGCGCCTCGTGCAGCTAGTTCACGGAGGTCCTCGACGATTATGTCCAAGTCGCGGACTGTCTGCGGAAGCCCGGTGGCTGGGTCTTCGGGGAGGAAGTTCGAGGGGACTAGAATAGTGTCTGCGCCGAGGATTGTGAGCGCGTCCATCCATATCGGAAGCACCTCGTCTAGTATTTGGTCGCGCTTTTTCCGGTTAACCAGGCCTTCGTAGAAGCGTAGGGGTTGGAGGTTGAGAATGACAATGTTTAATCGGTCACACTGCTGGCGAATCTGTCGGGCAGCGGCTAATACGGAGTCACGAGAAGGGGCCGAGGTGGTAGGCGCAGCGCTGATATCTTTGGCGAGGGCCTCAAGATCGTCGATGAAGAGTTCGATTGCCTTGAATCCGTTTCGGGCGGCTTCGTCAATCTTGTCGGTGATGCTGTGGAACTCGCATGACCCAAGAGAGACTGTCGTGATAGCTGGCTTACAATCCATAATGAGAATTAAAATGATAAGTTGAAAGTGAAAGGATTGTGGAATGATCAGGGTCGTAATACCAACATCCCAATTGCACGGGATTAATTATATATTCATATGGCAACGTACAACGTACGTATGTAGAATAGCTCTCCACCATGGACCAGGATGTAGTTGCTATCAGCCAAAGGGGTGAAAGTGACTGTTCAAGTCGAAAGATCGTCCACGGGTATCCCGACGCCACAATGATCGATCTTCTGCAGTGATTTGACGTTGTCTAATGGCTTAAGATGTGACACAAACATAGTATGTATGCAGCTGGCACCACCCATGAACAGTGGCGCGCTGAGTTCAGAGACATTGATCGACAATACTATTGGAAGAAGCAAAGAGCTGTGTACGCGCTGTGACTGAAGTTGCCTTCTAGGAGAGATCTACTCTATTACGTGGTAATTCTAACCTAAGTTTGCCGAATTCTACGTAGGTCTACTTTATCACTCATAACTACAAATTAACAAAAGCTTCAAAATGACGATGCTCATGGGAGTAACGATCCCTGATAGACTACATGGGAGAGAGAGAATCTATGTAATAACAAATAGGGGACAGGCCTCAGCCACTTGGGCATTCAGGCAGCCACCCCACCCCTATAAAACTTATATAGACCACGTCCAATTGAGATGTATCCCTTACTGGTAAAAGACTGTGTATCCTGTGCGATGCAGCTCACTAAAGTCGTATTCCTATATTGTACATGTTACCACTTGGGTATGCAGGGTGTGGATTCTTGGCCCAGAGTTTTATACGAACATGATCAACATGCACTCTTGACCACTTATAGTACAGTATAGAATACACACTTCAAATGTATTTGTATTGGTTGATGGCTGGCTGAGAGGTGATGGTCTGGTCTAGCGTGCATGAAAGTGGAGACTGGGGCTGAGTTGGCAGCTGAAGAAGTACGGAGTAAATATGGATCAGTAAATATGGATCGCATTTCAAGGCAAAGATGTGACACCCCGAAGCCCTGAAGGTTCAGCTGTATTACAATTAACAGATCATCCAGGGTGATCTTAGCCGATATTCCACTAGTCAGCCGTGATCAATGCACTGTGATGAGCTCGGCTCGTCTCTGCATGATTTAGCCAATAGAAATCCACCCTTCTGCTTACAATTAAAAAGGAATTAACTTCGCTACCTCGCTACTCGTTCATGCAGTCAAGTAGCGTTCATGCAGTCGAGTACGAAGTAGGGTACGGAGATCTGCAAGGTGCAGGAACTCATGTCTGTCACCATTGTAATCATGCGAACGTGACATCGCTGTCAATATGACCTACAGTATACATCGCGTACTCCGTATATATTAGTGAACTAGATCATGATCCTTTCTTTATGGTGCGAGTCATATCTGGACTTAATGTACTCCGTAGCCATATCCATTTTGTCACCTATTGCTAACTATGTATACACATCCTCCGTACATACACTTTAGAACAAAACCCCCCTCAACATCGTTCTCGTTAGCCTTATTCTTGCCTTTTTTAGGTGGGGCTGTCAACATGGAAAAGAACGACGAAAGTCCAGCGACCAAACATAGAATCCCGAGGACTAGTGTCATAACTCCCCAGCCTAGTTCACGCTTTATCAATCCACCAGCCATGGGGCCAAGCGTTTGACCACCAGCAAATGCCATGTTACAGAGTGCATAGGCCCGTCCCAGTCCGCTGCTATTCTCTTCCGTGATACCGTGAAGGCTTTCGATCTTGCGCACTGCATTGGAGACATCCCCCATAATAATCGCTTGGACTGTTGTGAGGCAGACTCCGACGATAAAAAGCAAGGAGATAATCGCGACTTGGTGGTGGACCGTGTTTGCTTCAGTCCACCGGAGGGCGATCATCGGTGCTGCCATCAACAAGAATCCAGTTACCACAACCGTTCGGGGCGTGAAATGCCTTACAAAGTGGGCAATTGGGATACTGAGGACGGAGGGTATCGTCAATGGGAGGAATACAAGTCCTGCGCCCAGACTGGACCAATGGTATGTGTCGAGGACATATAGTGGAAGGGTCTGCATCTCAGTTAGCTGTGATGTTCCTCATACCATGGGAAAATTTGAAGTACCGTTTCAATGGCCGATAGAATGGAAGAAATGACGAGGACAGAAAATACCAACCCCAGCATGATTGGATGCAAGAAATGGTAAAAGCTCAACGAAGTATTCTCAGAGACATTGTCCAAGAGAGGAGAATCCTCCTGCTGATGGAATTTTGTTTCATCTGTTCGTCTTTTTATTAGCATCTAGCAACATGAAATAAACCAGTAACAGACCTTCATCCTCCTGTACAATCAACATCCGCAGAACAATGTCAACCACAAGCAGTGCCATTGGGACTCCGAACGCACCAACAGTGCCGAATTGGGAAAATCTGCTCTGTCAGATATTAAGGTCATCAATGGGATGGGGATGTCAGAGAACGCACAGGAAGCCACCAGTCATAGGACCGCAAAGCATCCCCCATGTCAACGATGCCGAGCCACAAGCCATATTTGAACCCAGATGTTCAGGACTGGATGTTTCGGCGATCATGCTCAATCCTAGAACTCCCACGACTGCGCCCGACAGACCCTGGCATACTCGAGCCAGGAGGAGTACCCAAATATTACTTGCAGAGATGAATAGGACGGTCGCTAGAGCCATGGCGACGAAACCGCAAACTAGTGGTGCTTTGCGAGTGCGATATTTGTCGCAAAAATAGCCCACCGCAGCTGTAACTCTATCATTAGCACATCAACAATGAATGGATTAGGGATATACCCACGAGAGCCAAGTAAAAGAGCGAGTCCATAAGTCGCCAGTAAAACAGATGACCACTTTTGAACTAATTGCAGTCAGCGAACAGGCTTTCCCAGGTCATGGAGGTATAGATTAGAAATTACCGTCCTTTGAATCTGTATTGCCATGGCTTATCAAGAGGAAAGGAAGTATAGGTACAATCTAGGAATGCGCATGTTAGCTACTTCATGGATTTACATAGATTTCCATAGATCGCCGTGATATCTTGTGGCGAGAAATACTTACAATCCCATAAACAAAAGTGTCCTATCGCGTGTTTACAGGTTAGTTGGTTTAATCCAAAGTTCGAATCCAAGACTTACCGTGAATAGCGCAAAACATAGAGCTACCAGTATAAATGTACTGGAGGATCTTGTTTTCTTAGCAAATACGTTTTGAACGCCCATGATGGTGACGGTTGAATTTCCGCGATGTGCTTAGTGCTTAGTTGAAAAAGCGAGACCCGGAATAATTGAACGAAGAAATGAACAAGACGAGTATAACTCAAATTATGAGGAGCTGAAAGCTGAAATCAAGGTGCAGCTGAAATAGCCAATAATCGTCTGAATGGATGGTGGCGTGCGCGGTTTCTCGCCAAAAAAAGCAAAGTAAAGGCAATGGTCGATGTATCGTCGATCCCCATGTCATATATGTTGTATACTCCACATGAGAATGCATCTGAATTCAATTTCCACCTGCAGGGTCATCATGCATGAAAAAAAAAGTAAAGTTCATCGATGTACGAAGCTGAACTTTGGTAGTTCCCCCTATCCCTTACGGAATATTCCGTGTGTTCACTTGGATTTACCAATATATATTTGTATTTGGCCTCGAAGTACATCTAGATAATACAGAAACTGAATTCCTATACTACTCCTTTCACTAATTATCCTTCATCATGGCGCCTTCAATCGCAACTCTCGATCATGGCTCTTCTATCGTACCCATCAATGGCTTCAAGTTACCCAAGAGACCTCCCCCTCAGATCCCACAACAATTCGTCGATCTTCCACTTACCCTTGGTGAACCTCATATTCTTGAGGCCGCAAACTCCCAATACTTGGAATACTTGGATCCAGAATTGGCTCGGATTCTTGACATCGAGGCGGTTCTCGTTGCGTGTTGGTTGGTCGTGGTACATGGCTTCTCTCCTGTGAGAACCATGTACCTGGAGTTCCATCCGGAGTCAAATTTGTGCTATATAGATGGCAAATCCCAGGGGCTTGATTCGTACGCTCTTGAATTTTCCTCGGAGCGTCCATTGAAGGATCTCGTTCGGGATTTCTGTCTTATCAAGGCGGGCATCAAGTCGACCAGCCCTGACGAAGGATGGGCTTCCGATGAGAGGACTCACTTTCTCAACTCGGCTGTCCGCTATGCTGGTGACCGTCCCAACCTGCAAAAGGCACCTTTGTCTGCCAACTCAAAGGTACCGTTTGCCTGTATCCCCAGTTCATAGCAAAACTAATCTCGTCTCGGTCTAGATCCCCAATCCAAAGCTGATGCTTAATGTCACGAATGACAATGGTAAGCTGCACGCGAGTCTGGCTTTCTCATCGCCTGAGATGTCCAAAGAATTCGCAACAAGCCTTCTCCACTCCTTGAACAAGGTCGTCGCATCCATATACCGTTCCCCCGAAACCTCTTTGGGAGACCTTGACTTATGCTCGGATCTTGACCTCATCCTCTTGCAAAAGTTCACGAGGGGAGGTTTCCGACTCCAACGAGGTGTTGTTACATGATATGGCATTGGAGCATGCGCGACTGACCCCGGATGCTCCTGCAATCTGTTCATGGGATGGAAACTACACCTATAAAGAGTTGGATGATCTCACCTCTCGTCTTGCTCTTTACCTGACCAATATCGGGGTCGGTCCCGAAACCTTCGTGCTGAGTTGTTTCGAAAAGTCATCTTTGGCAATTATTGCCCGTCTGGCTGTATTGAAAGCCGGTGGGGCGTATATATCCATCGACGCTAGCGACCCTCCCATCTTCCTCGACTCAGTTATCAACCGCGTCAACGCGAAAGTCATGCTCACATCCCCTGAATACGCATCGAAATATGCTTCACTCCTTTCAAACGTCATCTCGATTACGGGGGACATGCTAAAAGAGCTTCCCACGGGAACAGTCTCCTCTACAGTCCAACCACAAAATGCCTGTCTGATTCTATTCACCTCCGGGAGCACGGGTCAGCCCAAGGGTATCATCCAGGAACATCGGTCTTACGCCACAGCAATCCGCGATTACAACAAAGTCCTCGGTCTAGGCCGACACAGCCGAGTATTCCAGTTCGATGACTATGCATTCGACATCAGTAATAACGATTACCTGACAGCTCTGGCAGCCGGAGGCTGTTGTTGCGTCCCCACACCCGAGAAAACCATACGCGCCCTCATTGAAAACATCAACATCACAAACGCCAACATGAGCTTCATGACCCCAACAATCGCCATCCAACTCAGCCACAAAGACGTCCCATGTCTAGAGCTCCTTTGTGTCGGCGGCGAACCCATGTCAAACGATCTCCTCATGAAATGGTCACCTCACGTCAAGCTCGTAAATCAGTACGGAATGGGCGAGGCGGCTACCTTCTGCGCATACAACGACAGCCCAAAGCCAGGCCACAACGCCGTTGTCGGTAAATCCGGCAGCGGTGCCATCTGGATTGCGAATCCGTCCTCGCCTGAGCGGCCTGTGCCTGTCGGCGCTGTTGGCGAGATCTTAATTGAAGGTCCACATCTCTCCCGTGGGTATTTGGATGATCTCTGCCAGAAACCAGATGTGGGATTCCTCAACACAGTGCCCCGGTGGATTGCGGATCTCCATCCGTCGCGCGCACAAACCTCTCGTATCTACCGGTCTGGTGATCTCGGCCGCTATCGTCATGATGGAACGGTGGAGCACATGGGTCGGAAGGATACACTTCTTAAACTTAACGGTGGTCGTGTTGAGTCGACTGAAGTCGAGTACGTCCTTCGGAAGACTCTTTCACCGGGCGACTTCACCGTCGTCGATATGCTTGGCGAGATTGACGGTACCGATGACCCTATTCTAGTGGCCTTCGTTTATCTGGCGGATAACCCGGCAAACCTCATTCCTGGAATTTCAGACCATGAAATGTCGTTCCTTCCCATAACGAATCGTGTCCGCGTAAATAGTCTGGTTCAGGCGATGCAGAAGGAAGTGGATACCACGTTGCCAAAACACATGATGCCCAGCTTGTTTCTCCTTGTCGACCGAATCCCCCGTACGAGGTCTAACAAGCTTGATCGCAGAAAGTTGCATCAAATCGCCCAAAAGTGGTATATGGGAAATCAACGTTTGTAAAACTGCAGGGTCCGGCTTTCTCCCTTTGGTTCCGGTTGTCTCTTGTGTCGGTCAGTTTCCAGACAGGTGTTTTCAGCTGCGCGTGATGTTTTGTCTTATGTACTATATTTGCACGCTTTCTTCATCACATTTGTTCTATTCATAATTTAACACATGGCTACAGTTTTTGTGTGACAAAACAGTGGTAGTTTGCCCATCAGGTCTTCATATTCTAGGTATAAGTGAAGCTTCTTCATAACGGTCCGTGTACACTTGGAGACCGCGCCCTGAAACAGCCTTGGACGCGGCGAAAGAGGACATCATATGGTACGTACAGTGAGATAGGTAGATAACATGTAGGTGACCGGTGTATGCAAGGGTGGTGATAAACTGGGACCTGCTCATAAAGGGAGACTGCGCGGATTAGTTATAGCGTTTACTGTTCTAGGCAACCAAGAGGTTAAACAAGGCTAGTTGTGCACAACCGACAAAATGAGATTAGAACCGAGTATGTACTAAATTGACAACATTAGATATATAAGAAAAAGAATGGAGAAAAACCACAGGCTAAGTAAACAATAGACGGAGAGAGGAAATGCCTGAGATGCCAATGAGACAAACGCACGCAACGCCATAATAGGCCCACGAAAAGACGTGATACGAAATTTCACGGACGTAAAACGATGAAAACGCACGTGACAGAACCAAAGAATGATATAAACACCGATGTCCTTTAGAATGAAATTCAAGTCAAAATATACTAGCCGGAAGTAAAACTTCGGTCAAGGGATGTTGCATTAATTGGATGAAAATCATATCCTGCAGCACATTCAGCACTAGGTCGGTTGTGGTTGCATCTGGACCTGGAAGGTATGCTGATGTTCATGCTGTGGTGCGGCGGCGGAGGGGCCTGACTCCGTTGTGGAATTGGAGGTCTGCGTGCTTGTCCCGGCATCCCGTGAACAGGGGACTCGGACGACATCGGGTGCTGAATCTGTTGTTGCATCGGAGATTGAAGATATGGCTGATGAGGGAGGGGCCGCGGGGGGTGGACAGGGGAATGGTGGTGCATTTGCATATGTGGCATAGAGAGCGGTTGGCCAGGCTGCTGGGGCAGGGATTGACTATGCGGCAAGTGGGAACCAGGCTGTGAGGACATGTGCTGGTTCTGTTGCTGGTGCATGTGCTGGACTTGTGGCTGCCCAATATGCTGGTTTGCCTGCGCCTGTGAAGACTGATTTTGTTGGAACATATGAAGGTTCTGCTGCTGCGGTAGAGGCTGGCCTTGGAGCATCTGCGGTGGTGTCGGACAGGGCCGTTGACGCGCCTCTTCATCGATCGAAGAAGTTGCACGGTTCAGTGTTGCCGTTGTATCTGTGCCCTCACCCAATTGGGTGTTGGCATCTGCTTGCGACTGATCTCCACTAGCCGCGGCCGCAGCTGCCGCAGCTGCAGCGGCCACATCAGCCTTGCGAGGTCTCCCACGTGGCCGACCCGTGCCGGGTGCCTTTGGTTTGGCCGAAGCTGGCTTCCTTGGTTTAGGCGGTGGCAAGGGTTGCCCCGTTGCAGCTGCCCATGCAATTTGATCAGCCTTACGAGGACGTCCACGTTTTCGCTTTAAAGGAGTTCCGTCCGGTCCTAGAATAGGCGTCCCCTTACTTGTGCTGTTTGGTGCAGAGCCAGGAGCAGTCGGCGTCATATTCGCAGTGAATGAAGCCTGACCTGGTTGGGGTACTCCCTGGCATGGACTCGCCGTTTTGGGCAGCCTGGGCGGCCTGCGCAGCAAGTCTGGCCGCTACTTCCTCCTTCCTAGGCCGTCCACGACGACGCTTCGCAGGCGGAGTGGCAATCTGGTCACCTCCGACTGCGGCGGCGGGCACCTGCCCTTGTCCGTTGGTCTGTGTGGGGATAGTGCTAGGAACAGCCATTGGTGCATTGAGTTGAGGCTGAGCATGAGGCTGGCCCTGGGTTTGAACAGTCTGAGCTTGAGCCGGGGCAGCCTTCTTGGGTTTGCCTTTCTTCTTCGGCACAGGACTTGCCTCGTCAGGTTTCATGACCGGGCTTTCCGTTACCGTGGGGACAACCGGTGCAGCTGGCTGGGATGAAGGTACAGCAGCCGAGTGCGGTCCCTGGTAATGTTGGAATTGAGCCTGGTGCGGAGATGGCTGGAATTGCGTCTGCTGTGGCTGAGTGAATTGGGTCTGGTGCGGGGCGTACTGATGGGATTGAGCTTGATGTTGTTGATATTGAGATGGGTGGAACGGAGGCTGGGTTTGTTGGGAAAAGGGCGACTGCTGTTGGTACGGGTTGTGCGCCTGAGTCTGTTGCAATTTCTGCATCCTCTGCTGCTCCAACTGCTGCTTCTGCTGGTGCTCAAGCCGCTGCTGCTCCACCCGTTGCTGATGCTGTTTTTGTTGCTCGAGCCTCTGTTGCTCTAGGCGTTGTTGTTGTTGCTGCTGCTGTTGTTGCTCCAATATCTTTTGCTCATCAAGCTTTTGCTGTTCTAATTCTTTCTGTTGCTCAAGCCGCTGTTGCTGTTCTAAGCGTTGCTGTTGTTCTAAACGCTGCTGCTGGATTTGTTTCTGTTGTTCCATCCTTTGCTGCTGCTCAAGTCGTTGCTGCTGGAACTGCTGCTGTTGAATCTGCTGTTGCAACTGCTGGTGTGTCTGCTGAGGCGACTGCGGTTGTGATTGCGGCTGAGCCTGTCGTTGCTGATTCATGGCAAACATTGATGGGCTAGCCATAGACGGACTGGCCGAGGTATGGGTATCCCTCTGTTGCATGCTCGCGTGAGGTAGTCTGTTCATTCCCTGCTGCGGTGAAGCAACATTCATGGGATGTCCATGAGTGAGGCCCGCTGTCCCCGGCTGCGGCCGGAGGTGGGCCATTGGATTAAACCCACGCTGGAGATTCTGCAGCCCCATAGGGTCTGGGTTGCGAGACATCAAATCCGGTGAGCTCTGCGCCGCAAACTGACCCGGAAATTGGCCAAAACTGCTGCTGGTGGGGTATCCGCCTAATGACCCCGATGTCGGGGTCATCTTGCGCATATCCGGAGATTGCGTTGCAGCGAAGTTCTGCTGAGGTTGCCCCCGAAAAATTGGTTTGTTTCCGGGGAATGGACTGCCATGCTGTGGTAGTGGCGGCCCCGCACCTAGTAAGGGCGACTGAGCATGCTGACGTTGAGGCTGTGGACCCAACGGATGTTGGGGTTGGACACCTTGATGTTGCTGTTGTTGAGGCTGCTGCGGCTGCTGAGGGTGAAATTGGTGACCACCGTAGTTCATCATTTTGTCAAATTTAGAAATGCGCTCGCACTTGGCCGTAAGCGGTACAGAATGGAGTTATCCTTTTCGACCACGAAGCATGCAAGGGCGACAACGGTCAAAATGATCAGGAACTAGCTTGAAAAGAGAAATTCAAATACAGAAGGGCGGTTTTCACCAAGACTGTGACCGATGTTGCGCCAGCGCCGCTGATAATTCTATGCGGAGAATCGCCACTTCAGTCGCGCCGAGGCCGCGTGTTTGTTGTTCCCTAGCGGCCTGAGGCCACAAGGCAACAAGGCAAGGAAGGCTACCGCGCCCTCCCAATCGGGCTTAGCGGCTACGGAGACCGAGGCGAGTCGGTCAGCGCAGTTTGAGAAAATGAGTCCACGGTCGCGCAAAGAGACTCAGGGGAAGGGGAACAGCTGGGGGGGATCCAGAGAGACGGCGCAGGTGAACCGAATCTATTTGCTAGAGGCCTTAACGGATGTCAGGGCCCAGCAAAAGTAGATTGGAGATGAAGTGGATGACGCTGGGCTGGAATCCTCGATGGCGAGGGAAAAAAACATTAAAAAATAAAATAAAAAATAAAAAAAAGAAATTGGGAAAAAACGGAATTTTCAGATTCTCCTCTCCACATCACGTGATGGTCCACTTCAATTCCCTTGACACTCTCTACCTACAACGATGCAGGTAGGATAATCTAATTCATTCATCATCTGAAGTTATAAATGTTTTGAAGTTTTGAAGGACTGCACTTCTATTTCTCTCCTTAATTTGTCAATCCTTCCTTTCACACCTGGTCATCTGCTCATCTTCCACAATCCTTGCAAAGTATAGAATCACACACACTCACAAGTACAACACAAAGTACGTGTCACCTGAAAACTATGGGGATATCATTCTGCTTCCCTAACATCCTTGCCCTCTGCTACCCGAAGATCTGCCAAACAGGGCGAAAAAAAGCTTGAAACCACCCCTTTCAAAGTGCCAATACTAAGGATGATCCACAATGCAACCACAAATTGGGAACGGATCGGCATGAAATTAGCCGAGCACTATGTTGTAGATCATGAACATCTTCGATCTTATATTTCCGAGTATATTCAAGAATTCTGATGGAAGGCCTTTTCTATTTTTGCTATTTTGACAAGAATACTTGGTCACGTATGTGGCCTTTCCTGAACACCGTACCTACCTAGGAACGTGATATGTAGGGTAAGATAGCACCCCAACGTCTTTTTCGACGTCACCCCTTTTTTTTTTCTTTGGATATATATACATTTCATTGACGGTGTCCTGGCTAGAAGGATGAGCACTAAGTATAGAAGGTAGACAAGGTGTCTCTTTACTGTGTGTAATATATGAAGGCGGTAAAAAGCGCAAACCGTATGGAGGATCTCTTATATATAACCAGCGATACAGGCAAAGGATGACTACAGTCCACCGAAAGATTTATATCGGAGATAACTGGAACACACAAGAGAAGCTATATAGGCGTATCTATATATATGGGCAGTATAATATTCGAAAGCTACAACTCCGTCTGCTCCGCTGGAAGATAGTCTTCCCAGACTTTCTTAATGTCATTTTGATAAATGAAATCCTTGTCTCCATAGAGGAAAGTGTCAATTTTGGCTTGCAGAATGACATCAAAATCCTTTGCTTCTGCTAGAAGTTGTTGGATTTTATCACCGATGTCGTCTAGATGCTGATACCTGCGAAGCGTTGAAAATCAAGGTCAGACATAAGGCATTTCACCCACAATATGGACTCTGAACGTACATCTTGGCATAGTATGGCGACCGAATCTGTTCAAAGATCCCCAGAGCGTCCCGTGTCGGTCGAGATGCAAATCGCGTAAGCTCAAGCGCGCGGGCCAGTATCCAACCATCTTCCATGGCGAACGTCCCCAGATCCAAACGCGCCTGGAAGGCCGTTAGCGCTGAACATGATAATGAATACTAAATTATGACAGATGAACTTACCCGAAAGAGGGTGACTAGCATCCCCGATAAGTGCCACTTTATCCCAATCTGTGATCTTGTTCAGGCGTGGCCCAGCGAATGTTGCAAACTCTCTCCATTCCCCTTCAGTCACCGCGCTTATCGCGTCTCTTATTCTTGGATCGAATGTCTGTTTTACATGTCAGCATTCGGACCTACTTCTCATTTTTCCGATCGATACACCAAAGCTTTGTCCGTACCTCAACACGAGATCCCACTTTCTCGTTGCTTGCAGGGACACCCCAGAATACCGTCTTCCCCGGGACCTCAGGCTCACAATAGGAGCGAACCGTGATTTCAAAAAGCGGATCTTCGGTCTCTTCTTCGTCATCAACATCTGAGAGATATACATGGCCAGCTTCGCCCCACCACCATGACGTTGTAGTGGTGATGTCCGGGATATGGGCCAGATGGGACTTCGGAATCAGTACACGGAATGCAGTGTTGCCTGTAAAGTGCAACTGATGATCAGGAAACAAGGCCCTGCGAACAACCTATATCACGACGCTTCGTCAGCCACGTATCTCAGTCCAAACACAAGACGCTCGACGAACAGAATGTATCCCGTCTGCTCCTACGACAATGTCTGCGATCGCCTCCGTTTGATCCTGGAAAGCCAAACGAACTCCCTGGCCCGAAAGGTTCTCCAATGATACAACCTTTTTTCCAAATTGGATCAAGCCCTTTGGCACTCTCGATAAGAGAGCTGACTGTAGCCGAGTTCTGCGAGCACGGATTGATCCGCGGGGATCTGCAGCCGAATTTTCAGGATGCTGAGTGATGTTCAAAATCTTGCCTGTATAGGCATTTCTTCCAAGCACTCAAGGTCAGTATATGTGCCGGCTGTTAAAGTGGCCAGGAAAGCACCGCTTACCTTTGGTGTGTGTTAGATTTGGAGCCTCCCTTAACCCCATCACTCGCTCCAAGTAAATCCAGAACTCTCCACGCATTCGTGCTAAGGCTAATTCCTGCACCGGCTTCTCGGGGCTCTGTGCTTTTCTCATACAGTGTCACCTTTAGGAACGGCAGTTCTGAGAGAGCAATCGCGGTCCCTAATCCTCCGGGTCCGCCACCGACGATAGCGACAGAAGTCAATGCAGATCCAACCATATTTGCGAAACAATTATAGGGTTCGATATAATGGCTCTGCAGTCTCGGCTTGGTTATGTATCTGGTGGGCGGGACTCGTCGGTAGATGCCTGTATCGCACGCCATACTAAGCTTCGAATTTGCCATCCGGAACTAGTCTGCTATCCACCAATCCGACGAGTTAAGAATCAACCAATTTGGACTAGTATCAAACCCCGCGTGTGGAATGTAATAGAATGATTAATTCAAGTACTCTAGGGGCCACAAGGAGAAGTTGTTCTATAAAGAGACCCCCATACGAGTCAAGGGGACAAGCCAATCGACCCCTTATTGGGCATGTCGTTATGTCGGTCTTTCACCCACAAACAGTGAATGGAGACACCAACGCGATAGATTCCAGGTCCTATTGGAATTGCCCCGCCCGGTCTTAAGTCATCCTTGAAGACTAACCTTAGAGGCACGGTATCGCTTTGGCGGAAGAGCACTGGGCGGGTTTCGTATATACTAGGAGCAGCCCATGTCCCATTTTACATTCAGAGCAAGGGCCTGGATCCGAGATGTGGTGTGGGAGTAACGAAGCCATCGTGATTCTCTTTATTCTCTTTAAAAGTAGTTTGTCTTGTGAGATGCCTTTTCTAAATTTCGAGGTGGAAGTTGCCGTAAAGACAGACTATCGCCTTCTAGTCTTCGGGATGGTAAACGTCTTGAATGATGGTGTACTTGGGTCAGAGAGGATTGCGACATTCTTGAATCTCGTCAAAGTCGGTATCCCAATAGGATTTATGCTAGTAGGATATAAAAAGAGACCAAGGTTCATTCTGTTCACTAAATTTAGATCACCCGAGGGTTATTAATTGATACCGAGTTTGATTTCAAAAGAAACATTCCATTGTAGATAGGTAAACAATAATCTGTCTTGGCTGTCTTCATCGACGCCCCTAAAACGTAACCAGGTCGTATAAATAAGCAATAAAAGACAGGGAGTACATCAGAAAGGAAACAAAAGGAGGACTTGCTTCATCATTCAACATGAAGCATGAACTGCCGGTTTAGCCCCAGGAAGAAACCCATTAGCTTTGAAAAAGCGCCTATCACGAATGGATACAAACGCCAAAAGCCCAGCAAATCCACTTGAGAAGAGCGAAGTTAGTAAAAAGAGCCGGATCGTCGCCTCGATTGATACTACTTACCACAGAAAGAAGACCAATGTAGCCACAACACCACCCAACGCCCGACTGCTCCCGGTAGTCGACCCCCTAGTACCCATGATCGTGATTACGAACAGAGCAAACCAAAACACAGTATCAATAATGTTCATTATCATGTATACTTTTGTGCTTGCCCATCGTTTAAGTCGGTCCATATGAGAGGTCATGATTTGATATGCCATGAAAACGGCTGATTTGATGCACTTTGGTCTGGGTTAATGAATTCCATCAAAGTTATTTGAATATAAATGGAAAAATAACTCACCACGACGATGCCCCAGATATTAGTTCTTGTCTTCGGAGTGCCACTGTCCGTAATACGTGCAATGATAAGAATGAAGACGGTCAAGAGCAAGGCGCCGATTACGATGTGGAGCCGGAACTTGATCACCGGGCTTCTTTCGATTGATAGGTTCATTGTTGTGATTTGTAGCTTTTCTGTTGCTTCCTCTCTGATTCCGTGGACACCAATGGCTTCAATATGAGGACGAGTATAAGAGTAGTCGGTTCCGGGGATCTTGTACAATTCTTTAGATTAGCCATTTGTATGGGGAAAACAGCGCATTTAAATATTCAAGTATGCATCCTAGGCCTCGTAATCGTTTAGAATGCATATTCAAGGCAGAATATTTTAAACTAATTTAAGAATAATTGTTAGGACCCTGATAAATGTTGGTCTTGGCTCTACCTCGCATTCGTATTCTTACCTTTATTCGGTAATGATCACCCACAGGAACCAAATGTTTTGGTTAAGGATTCATTTTTATTTTTATTTTTATTTTTATAATTTCATATTGCCTCCTGGTGATTGCCGAAAGAAAATTGTTTCCGGTTTTGTCAGAATCCACGAAGCTCAGTCTGCCTATGCCGTCCATCGTCTATTGAATGGCCGTGTGTCGGTTCCCGAAGTCCTTGGATGGCGCACAGACGGAGACGAGAAGTGTATATACATGCAATATGTACAGCGCCCGACTTTGGAAAAGGCTTAGGACTCGCTACAACATGACGAGGGAAATGAGATCTCTGGAGAACTTCGCACATAATGTGACAACCTCCGCCAGCTTGAACAAGACCCTTCTGACAAATTCATAGGTCTGCGCTGGCCTAATACCTTTCCTGTTTGGACGGTCTATGTTTCTGGCTTTCTTCTAGGTAATGCCGTCCGAACATCCATGTACGACAGAGTGTACGATTTTCATCCGCATGAGGCGGGGCCATTCACCACAGCCCGTGTTTTTCACCACTGGTGTACATTTCTCTGTCGTACACCGATGCCCGATCCACACTCTGTACCAATCGAACATTTTCGGTATGGCCTGCCCGGTGATTGCACTATCAAAGTCACGCAAGGTGATCTCCACCGCAGCAAAATTATCATTACGCCTTCCAAACCACATAGTGTCCGGGTTATCGGTGATTGGGAACAATCTGGTTGGATGCCTGAGTACAATGTGCTAGAACTGACTGATACTTCAACTACCAAGGCCTATTCAATTGAAAGTTTTGCATCACTGAGTGGATAACTTGGATAACCTGCTAACTAATAAGCGGCGTTTATTCAAGTCTAGAGTCACTCTTGCGCCTTCACGATTGCTCCCGGTGCAGCTGGTAGGAGAGCACCTGGAGGTGGTTGGTTCTTCCCTTTGAACTCGTCGCACATTTGCTCGAACGTTACCCACTCAACTCCCTCGTGGCTATTTATATATTCAATGAGCCTGTACACAGTCGGTTAGTTCTACATTGGCCACCACATTTGACTGTCTGGATTTTCAATATACCTTTCGTGCATGAGCAGAACATGAGGCCGACCAGAGACGTCGGGATGGATCGTCATAGGGAAGACAAATTCATCGTACTCTCGATAGAAATAGTCGAAGTGATCCTTTATTAACCAATCCTGTCAGTCCAACCTTCCACAGTTCTGGAGGTAAGTAACCACCAACCTTCCAGATATCCTCAACATCCCGCGGATTAACCCATCCATGGCTATTCGCTGAATTCTTGATGAACATCATGGGCGGCAAATCATCAATATACCAACTCCCTGGAATCTCCACAAGACCGGTAGTATTACCCTTGACGAGAGGTTTCATCCACGTCTCTGCCTTCTGCTTGTAATCAATCTTCGTCCACGTATCTCCAGTCCGTAGCCAGTACATCTGGCAATCCTCGTGGGACATGGAGTGATCATATTCAATTCCATAAGCGAGCAAGAGCTCAACCATCTCCGCACTGGCCTCCCACCACGGCGCGACAATTCCGCGCGGCGGCTTCCCACAGAAGTCTGTCAACATCTTATATGTCTTGTCGAGGATATCGCGCTGTTGCTCCGTGGACAAGTCGCAGGGATTCTCGTGCGAGTAGCCGTGCAGCCCAATCTCGTGCCCTGCGTCCCGAACCATTGCGCATTCTTCTGGGAAGGTGTCCAGCGTGTGACCTGGGATAAACCATGTTGCTTTGATGTTGTATTTTCCGAATAGCTTTAGCACACGCGGTGTGCCGACGTGTCCTGCCCAGAGACCTTTTGGGTGATTTTGTCAGTGTGGCCGCGGTGTTCCGGGGACTAATGGCTTACCTCGACTGATATCACTCACGCTGTCCTCGCCTCCGTATGAGCCCAACCAGCCAGCAACTGCGTCGATATCAACGCCGTAACCGACGAGGACGCGCTTTTTGCCCATGATTATTTGAATTGGTGGTACTGTTGGGGATAGAGAGGTTGGGGATGGGATGAAAAGAGAGGAAATATAATACTTTTGAGAATTGGTTGGAATTAGAGGTGGAGATATTGTCGAGGTAAATATGTCGTTCCCTACCCCCAACAATGCATCGTGCCGGACAAGGGTGGGGTGATTCCAAGACAGCTGGAGCTGAAGATATGGATTGTTCACGTAATGGGTAGCTCTTTATCCTAGTTCCACTCATGGTTGACTTGACTGGCTCCAACTGATCCATCCAAGGCTGTCTTCTCTAGCCTGTCGTCGTATGGTCAGCTCAATGGGTTGGTACCATGCTGAAATTGCTGAATGCAAAAAAAAAAGGAAAAAGAAAAAAAAATCATATAGGCACTAAATATGAGATCAAAAGACTACTTCGAGTGGCCATTGTAAAGTAAAGAACTATTTCTAACTAATAGTCTCATCTGACACCTAGGCCTAAGGCAATAAATATGGCCTGAGGCCACAGCATGAATTCGACGACGATGAGTGAGTTCAACGTAGGTGAATAAATAACAAATGCAGCCATCATTGAAATGAGCCTTTCAGGCTTTTATGAGGTGTCGACCCCTCAGAGCTTCCCTTTCACCAAACCTGGGTGTTCATCTGCTAGATGGGAAGACCCTCCATATATTTGCTGCTGCAATATGCCTGTGTTGATCTATTGACTGAGTGTTAGCAATGAGCACAGAATACCACAGAGAGGACTACTTACGTGGTGAGGTCCAAGGTCGTCCACTGTTTTCGCACCAAGGAGTCGCATGCATGTTTTCATCTCATCCGACAGAACTAGGGATTAGAATTTCTCATGTTAGCAATACGGTACTAACCCCATCCATATCCTTGAGGAAAACAAACTCTGGAATGTTCGCTCTACCCCCTCGACACCACCAGCAGCGAGGCCCCAAAGAGCCGGCCTTCCTATCCCAACAGCTTTGGCCCCGAGACATAACGCCTTGACAGCATCTGTACCACGACGAATCCCACCATCCACCCACACTTCAACCTTATCGAACACTTCCGGGCAGTATCTTCGAAGTTCAAGAAGAGTATAGACAGCAGGAGGTGCTGTATCAAGCGACCTCCCACCGTGGTTGGATAACACAATCCCCTTCACAAAGGGTGCATACTGAGCGGCCAGAACTGCGTCCTCGTGTGTCTGGATACCCTTGAGTACAACCGGTTTGGTGGTATGATGCGACAACCATCGAAGAGTATCCGTCCAGGTGAGCGATGGATCCGTTCCAGCAAAGAGTTGGGTGCTGACACTTGCCGTCGCGTTGGCTTGGATGTTGATCCGCTCATCGTCTTCTCGCTTGCCCGATACCGGTGCGTCCAGTGTCAACACAATAAATTTGATTCCGTCCAGCCGGTTAACACGCGAGAGCATACTTTCGCTCAATCTTCTATTCAGCTGGACGTAAAGCTGCCATCCGAATATCTGTGTTGGGGACGCATTTGCAACGATCTCTTCCGGAGATAGCGAGGAATTGTTTGCGATGATTTGAAGCCCCCCGAAAGAGCTACAACCTTGTGCAATCCCCTTCTCTCCTGCAGGGTGCCCTAGGCGTGCCATTGCAGTTAGACTAACAAAGATCGGTAACCCGACCTTGTGGCCCAGAAAGTTGGTTTCCAATTCGCAAGTGTGGCAGTCAACAAATACCCGTGGTCGAAACAGAATTGAGCGATAGGCTTGCGTGTTGAGATACTTTGATATCCTGTCGTCTGCAGCGGAAAAGTAATACCCCCATGCCTTCTTGCTGATTACCTTTGCGGCTGCGGCTTCAATCTCATCGAGGTTCAGCAACGTGCCTAATGGCGCTTGCGTGATCCCTTCGGGCCTAGAATGGGTAATCGGCAGCTCTTGTACCTCAACCATTCCCAAACATGACTGCTCAATTTCCTTCAGCGTCTCATGAGGATGGATTATGTCGAACTCCTCGGTGGCGTCTCGCCCTGCCCAACGAAGGAGTGCATCCGTTCCACCAGGATGGCTGTCAAGAATGCCTGTAACCTTGTGGGAGTTAACTAGTTTGAATTTATAGGTAAAATATTGGAGGCCCTTACATCATACACCTTTCCATAAAGTATAACCCAGCAGCTATCTTCGGTGTTGTGCGTTGACACTGGGGATGTTAGTTCAATGATCCTTCCTCCCAATGTCCCTGATCGGATAATGACGACCAACCTTCAGAAAGAGTAAACATCATGGCTCAACCGATCAATTGAACAGTCCGTCCGAACTGACCAATCGATGGCTTCTGTATATAAACAGGCTCGTCCTAGATAATATCCTAACCTCACCTTTCACATTGCATTGAAGTCGTATGCCCCCACCCTTATGGGAACCCCTTTAGATCGATATGTTGGTATATTCTAATATTTATTTGGTTGTCAGCCAATGGTAACAAGCTATAACTTCGATCATACTCACACAGGTAAAGTAAAGCTCAGAGCTCTTATCTTGAAAATGAAATGTGAGCACCCCCACCTTTGACCCGTGTGTGTACTGGAGTCCATATACCTGTATCCGCTTACAAAGAGGTTCAATTTCGTAGTGACACTATCGTAGTTAGGTGCATGCATTTGACATAACCAAATTGGGCCATCAACTTTTGCGGATGGGTAGGGGTAGAATATTCGGTGTTCACGGTAAGAAGCTACGAGTCTAGGTATGATGGAGTAATGCCCCTGTTTCTACGTACAAAGCATAGGGCCTTCGTAAGGTTTATGCCTTCCAATGCCTATACTCTATATTTTACTGCTGGCACCAGTCAAGGGCGAAGTATATCAAGTTCCCAAGAGACAATTATGCAGTCGACTACATAGTCCTGTATTTATACTAGAAATATTGCAGTGCGACCAGTTATACAAATCCCAAGCATCTTCTCGGCCTGTCCACTAGAGCGCATCGTGTCCATGTGTCTCAAAAGGCAATCCCAAACACATCACGCCTACAACAATCCACAATGCCGCACTCGCATAGATTGGCGCAGTCGTGAAGCCGGTATGAGATGAAATAAGACTAGCGATGAGCCCTCCGAGACGAAGAAGTGCAGCCGCTGTTCCGGAGCCTGTGCCACGATGAGGAGCCGGAAACGATTCTGGAGTAAACGCATACATAATAGCGTATTCTGTAAGGCTAGTTAGCTATGCAGTTAGAAGTCAGGCTTGATTGTAGCCTCACCGAAGTTAGCTAGAAGGCTGGTAATGCAGGAAAATGCCAAGTCGGCCGATGGACTGTTGACGCCGACATATGCGAAGAGGAATACACCTGCCACAGCGGCTGAAGTTGCCATCATCCATCTTCTGCCCATGCGGGTGTTTACAGATACTGCGGCTGATAGCGGACCGATTATTCCGACAGCCGACGTGATGCAGTAGTTCCGATATGTTAGGGAGAGAGAAGATGTCTCTGTGAATTTTGTTGCCAGGTAGGATGGCAAGAAGGCGAAGAATAGCGGGTATGCAATTCCTGAGTGTGAGTATGAGTAAAGATATTACACAATAAGTGATTGCCGTCTCACTTACCAACTGTCAACCAGATGGCCCAGATGATCAATGTCTGTCTTCCGAGCTTTCGAGTTGCAAATAATGCACGGTAGTGCTCCCCTCGGAAGGCGCGCATGTTCTCTTTCACTATCTCCTTTGTTGTCATTCTGTTGGACTCTCCTTCGCTGGGGGTATTCCCAAATCGCGCGTCGATTTCTTGCAGCATCTCAAATGTCAGGGGCTCTGGCTTGCAATTTTGCTTAGCAACATAGTTTATGGCATTAACCGCATCCTGGTCTCTTCCCCGAGAGAGGAGATACCTGGGGGTTTTGGGGAGTTTGAAAGCGAAAATGCGAATGAAGGTAAACGCGAGGGCTAAGCCACCTAGAGTGATGAGTGTGTATCTCCTAGTGGTTATTAGCGAGGAAATTTAACGTAGATCTTCGCATTCCCACCATCCCATATTCTGACTCCGAGAACATGTTTCTGGGGTAGCATCAGTTGGGCAACTGAAGTGGGCTAGGAATACCCAAGAAATCAAGGACACGATCAGTTGGCTCAGATTCCACCAGGCAGAGAGAGCCGTGAGAAGATACTGATGACTAGGAGGATAGTGTTAGCAAAAGTACATATTACTATAACCAGCCACATATCATCTCACCTTCCTGGGACAAATTCTAGGAATATCATTGAATCCACAGGCACATTTCCACCAGCAGCGGTTCCAATAACAGCCCAAAGTGCACTAAATGCGAGAAAGTTCATCGACCCAGCAGCAGCACACAGGAAGGTACCAGCAATGAGTAGTGTAGAATTAAAGGCTGGCTTGCGGCCCATGAGGTCGCTCGACAAACCCCAAAATGAAGCACCAAAGATGAGGCCAACATAATATGCAACGGAGCTGTAGCTGACTTGCACAATGCCGGAGAATTCTTGCTTAATAGGAGGTTGGACACTTCCAATCCCTTGGGATGCAAACTATTTGAAATTGATGTTAGGAAGGGGAGGGGCCCAATACCAGGGGAAATAGAATGGTACTGCATACATTATCAACTATCCATCCAAAACCAGTAACCACAAATAGTTTCCATTGGAACCTGGTAGTGTCAATATCTCGATGCCTCAAAGCAGTGCTCATGATTTGGAGGTGTGAATACCTGCCCATCCCAATTTCCTCCATGCATTTCCCAACTAACTCGGACTTCAAGCGGTATGCCTGAGTGGTGGAGGATCCATAGAAATCTTCAACCTCATAGTCATCAATAGTCGTTAATTTAGCAGCCTCATGGTCCAGACTGCTGCCCTCTGTTGGCTGAATATGTTTCTTGTCGACTTGGATTTCGTCCATCCTGCAATTAGTGACTGAGTGGAATATTGCTTGTTCTCATAGCAGACAGACCCGGGTTACATGGTTGTCCTTTTTAGGGGTACGATGTGTCTGGCAATCGGTTATCATGTCTGATAGTCTGTACAGTTAGGATTGATACGGATGAATAAGGCTAACAAGAGTGGAGACGAATGTGCTATCCCACTCTTGGCCCATGAAATGCCTCGGGGGTCCCCTGATATGCCAACGTTTAGACCAGGCCGAGACTTAGTTCGCGCACCTGGCGGTGTTATGAGTGTAGACTGATTGGGGCAACCAATCAGACATGGTAATCTAATGCAACACCCTTTTGTCCTGTCGTATAGACTACATTGGCCAAATTATGTATAGCTTCTTCGGTTCAGCTTTTCTTGACTCAGGGCCGTCAAACATATAGAAAATTTCAATCAATTGCAATGCAAGTAACACTAAGCACCAACCGCAGAAGCAACCGGAATAGCATCCTCCTTGTGTAAATCCAAACCCTTTTTGAATTCCTCAGCGCGGCCATAGCTCTCCTTGTACGACGCCGTCACCATATCTTGCACAGTAATCGGACCGTACTTGGCAGGTTCACCCTCTTCACGACAATTAGGCAAGCACTCGCAGATATAATCCGGATTTCCACTGAAAAAGAACGGAATAGAGTATCTCTCTCGACCGGACTTGTTGATCACACGATGGGTGTTGGATTTATATTTGTCGTTCGCCATACGCATGAAGAGGTTACCCAAGTTCACCACATATGCCCCGGGAACCGGTTTGACCTATCGACCACCATTAGAGTTAAGGTCAAGAAATTGTGTCGGTTTGGACTCACATCCAGCCATTGTCCCGATGGTGCGTCTAGCACCTGCAAACCATCGACTTCGTCCTGCAGAAGGAGAGTGATGCATCCGAAGTCGGTATGCGCTCCGATGCCGCGGTTTAGTTTCTCGTCGGTGTCCTGTGGCTGCGCGGGATAGTGTAGGTATCTCATTGTCGCGACAGCTCCGTCCGTAAGAGGGCCGAAGAACGTTGATTCAACTCCCAAAGTCTGAGCCAAAACCCCCAACACATCCTTTGCCAGATCGAATACCGCGTGATAGTATTCCATGGTTGTTTCTCGGAATTCCTCCTTCTCGGGAATGGTAGGCGGCCATTGGTTGGGGCCACTGTTCAACTTCTTCTCCATATAGTAGGGGTGGTCTTCGGGGATTTCCTCGCCTATGTACAGGCCTTCTTTCAGCTCGGGGCCGGTGCCTATTTCTAACATTTGCGATCGGAGGAGCTCGTATCCCCTGTTGAATGTGTTGAGATCTATTCAGTTAGCAGGATTTGCGACAAGTTGGTTAATATCTCACTCTTGTCAACTTTCAATTTCTCTTCCAGAGGGAGATCAAAGAAGCGCTTGGAGCAATCCATGACGCGTCGTTGCAACTCCAGCGGGATGCGGTGGCCGGTGATCTGGAAAAAGCCATTATAAAGGCAGCATTTGCGTACATCTTGGATCAGCTTGGATTTCGCGTCGCTGTCTTTTCCATAGAATGGAGAAAAGTCCAAGATAGGGGGAGCCGCAGGTAGAGACATTTTGTTGAAGAAACTGATGAATTGTGCTTCTGTTTGCTTGTTGAGATCGCGTTGTCTTGAATATATTTCCTCACAATTTTACAAGGGCTATTCCAAGACTGTCCGGTGTCGCACAGAAGTCCGACATTTTGACTCCAGGTACTCCAGCTCGAGCTGTAGCTGTCGTATGCGCCATGGAACATGGGGGTAGGTACACTCAAGAATGGGGGGGCCAACGGTTTATTTCGCTGCGATAAGAGCGTGCGGGGAAGACATGGGGATAGCAAAAAAAACAAAAGTAGAAGCTTATCCTATCTGGAGGATCTGGAGATACGGCGACTGGTCATACACTGGCATTACTTGTTGTACGAGTACTACGCATGTGAATGTGGAAGTCAAGGGGTTGGAATGCTGTATGAGGGAGGAGATGTTGAGTATAAGAAGCTTGTCAATTACCCTCCGCGCTGGAGATTTAAGAATTAGTTGGACAATACCATAGACCATGTCTAAACTAGAATCAACAGCAATGGGGAAGCCGCCCGACCCCGAAGTGAACATTGGCGAAAGCACTACGTATACAGACTCCTCTGCGGAAAAGTCCTATGTCAGGAAAATTGATTTCATTGTGCTCCCAACACTCTGCTTGGTATGTCTCCTGGCATAAAGAATTGCATCTATACTAAATTCTAGGCTTGTTTCATCACACAGATGTACTTTTTCGATTGCATGGATCGGGTAAGTGCTTGGACAATGACACTGTTGTGTGGGAAAATGCTAATAATTATTTGAGAGCAATTTGGCCAATGCAAAGACAGATGGTCTCGACAAGGACCTGCATTTGAAAGGGAATGACTATTCTCTATTGATTCTTCTCTTCTATATCCCATTCGGGTTGTTCGACCTGCCATGGAATCTTTTAATCAAGAGATTTTCTGGCAGAATCATGTTGTCTTTCAGTAAGCCTGTTCAAAAATTTGAGATTTGGTCTGAGTCGCTGATGAATATATGAAAGTGTCTATCGTCTGGGGTGTTCTAGCACTCTGCCAATGCGCCGCCAAAGATTTCGGCTCTCTAGTTGCAATTCGCATTATATTGGGTGTGTTTGAAGCCGGTTTCTTTGCCGGGGCTACGTTTTACCTCACCTTGTTCTATACGCGCGGAGAAATGGGCTTCCGACTCGCTATCATGCAGTCATTCGCAGTTCTGGCATCTGCTTTTAGCGGGCTTATCTCCTTTGGAGCATTTCAGATAAACTACCCGGCAGTCAAGGGATGGCAGTGGTTGTTTATTATAGAAGGCTCGATGACACTAATCACCGGGGCTGCGGCCTTTTTCCTGCTTCCAGATGGGGTGCAGAGCGCCTGGTTTTTGACTGACAGGGAGAGGGCGGCAGCGACAGGACGTCTGCTCCGGGATACGTCGTCAGAAGTGAATACGCCATTCAGTCTCAAGGCTTGCTTTGAGACATGGAGCGACTGGAAGTTCCCAGTGTGGTGTTTGATTACGTTTACATACCCTGTCGCCTATGCCACTGCAATGAATTTCTTCCCGTTAGTAAGTACCAAACCCCCTAGTGCCGGAGATTGGCTAACAATAGCAGATTGTTCAACGATTGGGATACTCCGTCATCAAGACTAATCTATGGACAGTGGCACCCAATCTCGTTGGAGCAGTATTCCTGCTTTGCGTGGCCAAATCGTCGGACTATTTCCGCGAGAGAACGTTCCATATCGTCTTTTCCTTGACAGTGTCATTGGTCGGAATGATCGTATTAATTGCCATTGATGTTCAGAACAACAAGGGAGTAGCATATTTTGCTTGCTTTCTGATGGCAGCAGGGTCATATATTCCCTCCTGCCTCGTTCATGCCTGGCACAACAATAACAACGTACACGAAAACTCGCGAGCTGCCAATACAGGCTTTTTCGTAGGACTGGGCAATTTCGCTGGAGTGTTAAGCGCGGGCACATTCCGAACGCAGTATGCACCAAAGTGAGAAACTCCGATCTTCGATGGCATTGTGAATAGCCGTCGCTGACTGAACAGGTATCTCCCAACTCTCATAGCAACTTGTTGTTGTAACGCAGTATGCATTGTCTTTGTTCTTGGATTGGGGGGCTGGATGCGGATGGAGAATCATCGCCGAGACAGCAAACAAGGGCTAAGATTGAGAGAGGATCAGACTGATACTAGTCAGTTCAAGGAGGGCGAAAAGAGTCCAGAGTGGAGATACTTCCCCTGATACCTTCTGGCTGTCCATTACATCGTGGTAGCTGAGAGAAATGTGTTTTTGCGATCAATTCTTTATACTTCTTAGCCCGTCCCTAGTTAGTGTAGTTCAATCATCACTATTTATATAGAGAAGGGCCTCTTTACGCTATTGTTCCCATTCCGAGTTGTACTTTTACAGCTAATTGGTGTTTCACGAAAGTATATAAGCCGAATTCGTATAGAAATATATCTGAGACGAACAACCAAAGAAGAAATTACTAAACCCTACCACCACGTTGAGCCAGCTGAATCAGACGGTTAAAGTCTTGCGTGGGCAAGGACCTCCTAGGATATTTGGAGAACATCCCCAGCAACAGCAATCCCCCGTGGCCTAGTGGCAAATCCGAGAGGTCTAAGTGGCTAACATTTTGATTGGCAATGAATACTGTCGATAAGAGCTTTGCATATCTTATTAGAATTATACCAATCAGCCACTAGCGCGAGCCCGTCCCCGCATTCTTATCAGTCGACCATCGGGTTTTACTCCGAGCAGATTATTGACGAAGGCATTGAAGTAGGTAGCGAGACCTCATTTCGTAAAAGGGACCACTAAACCATGAAAACCCAGGAAAAACACGCGTGTCAACACCCAGGTTGCGAAAAGAGCTTCACGCGCGCAGAGCATCTGCGCCGCCATGCGCTCAACCACGCGCAACCGCGTAATGGATATACTTGCGAGCGGTGCTCTGTTCACTTCCAGCGCTCAGACCTGTTAGGTAAGGAAAAAGGCACTGGTTAGTTTAATCGGGTACTGATGAGTCTAGCGCGACATATGGAGCGACACGAGAAACGGGACCTTGAAGCTGGAGGGCCCGGACAGGGGACGCTGAAGACGCGAAAGCGGACGCGGAGAGCTGAGGATGGTTCTATTATTGTGCGCCCTTCACAAAGGCAAATGAGGGCGGCTGCTGCAGCTCGATCCCCTGTCTCGGCGAATATTTCTAGTCAGGAGCCAGAAGTGCGTGACGAGGAAGGGTATTTTCATGATGATGTCCCCTTGTCACCACCTGGCTCGGGAACCGACCCAACTTCAATTTCTATGGATGATACAGACCCTTTCTTGGCTTCCTTGGTGCCAGCTGGGCCTTTTGAGCCCTACGTCGAGCCAGTCGCTGGACAGTTTGACGCAGCGGATGGGTCTTTTGGTGTTGAGTTGGATGGGATTGGGGATTATTTTGGAATGGACACTGGTATGTATAGCTCCAGTTAACCACCCACAAAACCTGTGCTAACCTCAATAGCAACCGACTTCAATCTTCCATTTGCAGCTACATCTAATTACAATTGGCTCTTCGATGTTTTCCTCCCTGGATGATGCTTTTGATCAATTCAACCTCCCTCTCATGTTCGAGACAGCCCCTGTTTTGGAAGAATTCGATTCTAATCCCCCGGAGGTAATGGAGAAATACGATGGTCCATCTGCCTTGCTCATGGCTTCAATCATGGACAGAGGCGAAACATTCAGAGAAACGACCTCACTCCCCATACCAAGTATCCCAGACCTGGATTGGATGGGTGGCGCGGCGACGTTGGACCCCGATCTCCGAAGGAATCTACCGATAATATCCGAAGAAGCGCGAAAGGGGATCCTAGCACTGGTGGCACACGCACATCCGACAGACATTGACGGGCAACCCATGGTACTTGACTCGCCGCTGCTGACACTCCCTGCCCTCCAGTCATACTGCGACATGTTCTTCGATCGGTTCAACACGACGTACCCTCTGATTCACCAGTCTACATTCGATCCAAGCACCGCACCCCCAGTCTTCCTAGCCTCGATCCTCTTCATGGGTGCGACATACGGCACGCGTGAGGCCCACCAATTGGCAGTGGAGGTCCACGATGTCCTGCGAAGCCAGCTACTCTGCCATCCGGATTTCTCACCGCAGGCTGACCTGTGGGTCTTGCAGACCATGCTTCTGATAGATTGCTTCGGGAAGATGCGAGCTGGCCACAAACAGCGCGAGCGCGCACAGCTGTTCCACTGCGTGTTGATCAAAATGATCAGGCGGAGTAATTGCTGTGGCATACGTGACTTGCCTCATGCCAATCAATCAGCGGATTTGGATCAACTGTGGCGAGAGGCTATGGAGGATGAACAGCGTAAGAGGGTGGCTATACATTGCTTTATGTGGGATACGCAGCACGCTGTGCTATTTTCGCAGTCGCTGTGTATGTCTGCGTTCGAGATCAGATCTTCACTACCGTGTAGTCCTGCGGCTTGGGATGCCTCGTCTGCTCGGGAGTGGTCGCGACATGCCTTCCGAGAAGAGAATCGGCCATTCCTTACTGTTCTGAAAGGATACATTACACCGGCGGCCGTTGCCAGACCTCGAGACCTGAACGTCTTTGCCCGAATCGTCATCCTACATGGGTTAATGTCTGTATCTGCGGATCTCAAACGTCGTGATCAAACAACCCTACGGTCGGAGACACCCGAGCGTGTCGGAGCTTGGACACCGCGCATGGGTCGGTCCTATGATCTGTGGAAAGTCGATTTCGATGCAGATTGTCTTGCTATTAAGCTCGCTCAGACCGCGACCCCGAGGCAGTTCACGGGATTCAAGATCTCTGGGTATTCCCTTTATCACGCGGCATATCTCGCGTTAAATGTCGAGGTACTGGATTTGCAGATCGTTGCTGGAGCAGGTCAAATCCTGGGGCGTACAGTGACTGAGGCTGACCAGGCACGGTCGCTGCGGAATATTACCAGATGGCTACAGGAGGAATCCGGACCATCCTGTACGACTGCGCGACAAGCGGCGTCGTTACTTCAGGATGCGGTATTGAGCCTTCATGACTGGGACCAAGCTGACTCCTTCCACTTCCCCTGGTGTCTATATCTATGCACATTAGCCTGCTGGGTTTTCCATCGTGGGCCCAACCTGGCTTCTGACGAGAACCGAATCAACACCGATCTATCTTCGTTGATCGTGATGCTAACTAATTGTCCCAGCTTGCCAGATCTAGCAGGCATATCTGGAAAATATTGTCCTCGCCCTCTAGCGGCGGCGATGGCGAAACAACTAGCGACAGTCCGATGGGCAGTTGTTCACGATGCTATGAAAGTACTGATGAGATTGTCATGATAGTCTTTATATTTGATAGTCAATATGTAGTTTACCAAATCCGACATGTTAACCTGGACAAGCGCGGTCTATCCAGATCTATGTCTATTTGCCGCAGAACGGATAATCGGTATAACCTTTTTCGGCAGGCTCAGCACCATAGAATGTGGTCCGATCATAAGGAGCCAAAGGCAGACCCTCCTTCAACCGGCGCGGCAGATCAGGGTTCGAGATGAAGTAACGACCAAACACAACAGCATCTGCTCCGCCAGTCGCAAGCTTAGCACCCACATTCTCAACGTTGAAGTTCCCAGCCGCCAGAAACGAGATCCCTCCCCTTTTTCAGCGTCGGCCGGAACACATCCAGTGATGGTTTATCGGAAGCCAGGGAATCGATCTTGGACGCTTCGTCCATCACCTCATCGAACCGGGGCTCGACCATGTGCACATATGCAGGCCGTGACTCCTCTGGCAGACTGGCGATCTGCGTACACAGGGCGAGCCAGTTCGCGTTAGGGTTGGAATCACGCGTATCCTGGAAATAATTATATGGGGACAGGCGGATGCCGACGCGGTCTGCTCCGATTTCGGAGCTGACAGCTTTGAGGACGTCAAGGATGATGCGAGATCGGTTTTTGATGCTGCCACCGTATTCGTCGGTACGGGTGTTGACGTTGTCGTGGAGGAATTGGTCAAGCAGGTAACCATTTGCGCCTGGCTTATTAGACAATGCGCTTGACTAAGGCTGTGAGGACTCTTACCATGAACCTCGACTCCGTCAAATCCGGCCTCGCGTGCTCGCTTTGCCGCAGCGGCATACTCCTGCACTGTATCTTGGATCTCCTGAACAGTCATGGCCCGAGGTGGCGAAGCTGCGTACTCAGATCCGTCCAGTGCGTTCCCGCTGATTGGGATGTTACTGACTCCAAGAACTTCCTTTCCTTCAATAAACGAGGAAACTGTGGCGCGGCCAACATGCCACAACTGACAGTATATATAGCCGCCCTTGGCATGGACGGCATCGGTAACCTTCTTCCAGCCAGCGATCTGAGAGGGACTAAAGATGCCAGGCACTCCCGGGTATCCAGCAGCCTGACAATGTTAGTTTTGCGAATCGGTCACACTGCTGAACTGCAAAATGGTTCCCATACATGTCTGCTAATCGGAGTCGCCTCGGTCAACATAAATCCTCCCTCCGAAGCTCGCTGCGAATAGTACTCGACATTAAGCTCATTCGGGACATAAACACCCTCGGACTCCTTTCCCGCTCTCATCCGTGTCAGCGGTGCCAATATGACGCGGTGCTTGAGGGTTAGAGCGCCCAGACGGAAGGGGTGGAATAAAGGGTCGGTGATTGCGATTGAGCCCATTTTGCAAGGATATAGATATTTCGTGGGTGGCAGCCCATTTTGGCTTTCGCTGGGTTGATATATATATCTTGGAAGGGCAATGGTATGCCATCTTTGGCGCTTCCATTCTTGACTTTCCGTCCAAGGTGGGATTGGTTTGATCGGCTTAAACAGTGGGATGAAGGTTGGGTGTTGAGTGTGATCGGCTATCAAGGAAGACCACCCCCACTATAAAAGCCCAAGCCCCCACCCTCGATTGTGCCCCGACTTACATATGTGCCTTTTGGGATGAATATCTTGTTCATTGAGGTATCCTCCAAAGTCTTTGGGCTTGGCTTCAGGTAAATTCGGGTTGGGAGAACTACCTAGAAGATGAGTGAATACATGTTCCATCAAAGACTATCTATCGAGCCTTCCGCATACCTAGAACAGACTAGAAATCGAGGAGCCGGAGTGTGAGCGTGATAGAGCGCTGGAGGTCAGGTGTATGAGGTCATCCTACTCAGCAGGAAGGTTCACAGTACTAAGTAGGTGGCTAAGTAAACTTCAAACCCAAAGGATATTTAAACAGAAAGGAATTCCTCTTAAGAGTCTCAAATTTCTGCACCTACCTACTTTCGACCTCAACTAACTCAATGCTCCGGAATCACTTCCCCAGTAGCTTTACACCTAGATTACACCATGAACGAGAAATAATCCTGCAACCACTGCCCTATGGAACCCACTTGTTCAGCCTCCCAAGTATCAATAGCACCAACGTATCCGTCGGGCCTCACGACAGAGATCCCAACCCTCTCGTTCAAATCCCCAAACCACTTCTCAGTACAACTCGGCCGTCCAATATCGTCGACGTACAAAGTCCACCGACTAGCCTGCAGTATATCCGGCAGATCAGCAATTTCAAAGTCAGACCGAGCAGACTGCGTAACCATCGCAAAAGTAAAGACATCGGAGAGAGTAGTGTAGCGCTGAATCTGAATAAAGCCATCCGAGGGAGAATGCCCCCTCGGGTGCTTCTGATATGAGTGAGCTGCCAGCACACTCCCACCAGCAAGCACGGATCGCAACTGTTGACAAATACTGCCTAGCGATTCGCGCGAACAGCATATATCCGGCACGAAAAGATAGATCTTGAATTGGCCCAGCAGCGGAATATCTAACTGGATATCGACCGGATTGGCATCAATATAGCGGGTGACCTTTGCTGGGAGTTGAAGCATCCCAGATTGGAGATGAGTTGTTGTGGCTGGTACTTGTGTCAACATCCCGGGAGCATATTCGGCTCCAACGCCGGATATGAATCGAATGTTGTCGTCGAAGTTCTTGGCCAGTGCTGCGTCGCCTACTGCAAATGCTTTGCAGTGCTCGACGTCAAAGTTGATGAGGTCGTATGCAATCTTCTGTCTTTCTTCCTCGTAGGTGTGGAGTATCGTTGGCTTGGCAAGTCCTCGGACTAGGAGGTTGAGTTTCCATGCAAGGTTGAAGCTGTCGTGCATACTTGTGTTGGCACCTTGGGCTGCAAGAGCCGAGTGACAGTGGCCAGCCTGTGTATCGGTTAGGCTAGGATAAGATGAGGTCTATATCGAGATCGACATACATCACCTGCAATGAATATCTTTGCCTCTGAATCCATGAAGCGCTTCGCGACCCGTTGGCCCACAACATATGTGCCAAACCACTCCACTGTCTTCCACTCTAGGTTAAATGGAAGCATTGCCTCCCTGGCTCGATCCATGACATATTCAGTCGAGGCATTTGATTTTTCCACTCGCTCCCCGTTGGTTGAACTCAACTCAACATATAATCGAGTCATACCTTTCTCCCGTGGAATCCACAAGATCGACCCAGCGGAATGAGACCGCACCGCGACCTTGCTCCACAGATCAGGAAAGTTCGTATCAATCACACCTATTTTATCAGTCAACGTTCTTATCCGTAGATCCGACAGACGTACCATCTAGCACTCCCCAAGCCGCGTTTGTTAATTCGCCCTCAAGCTCAGCACCCGGAATGAAAGACCTAACGTTAGATCGAGCTCCATCACATCCTACCAGATAATCGGCTCTGATCTTGTGAGGAGTATTGGTAGTAGCATCCTCATACATAATATCCAGCTGTGTCGTTCCATCCACACGTGAGCACGACACAAACTTGCTATTGCGCGTGACGGACACTCCCCGTGCCTCCATATCATCGATCATCACCTCCTCAACCATTCCCTGGTGAGCCAGCAATATATATGGATCGGAGGCACCGACGTGCTCGGGGTAGTGGGTTTTGCGGCCCGTACGTTTCAGCGACTCATTGGCGGTTGACTCCTGGTAATTTTGTCAGCCCGATCAAGGAGCAATCGACTGAAATCATACCCAGAAGGAAATATCGTAAACCCGAGCGCCGTTCTTGAGCAATGAATCTGCCAACCCAAGTTGTCTGAATGTCTCGATGGTCTTTGGTTGCATTCCGTCGGCCTTCCCGGTGGATGTTTTGTCAGGACGATCGTCCAAAATCACCACCGCGATCCCGAAACGAACAAGATTACATCTGTAAAGTCCTTAGCATGCAGAATTGAAAAGGATGGTGTGGCATACGCTAGCATCAACCCAGATGGTCCCGCGCCCACCACCACGACGGTAGTGGAAGGATCGACACGGCCGATTCTGTAACCTTCCTGGTCTGCACTCGGGGACATTATGAAATTCAATGTGTTAATTGACGCATCACTGAATTCCCTTTCTATAACTATTTATTTCGAATTGATGCGGGGAAACCCCCACTCTTCACTGGAGGTGTTTATCACCATCGTGTCACCCCACCGTCCACAACAATGTCCGACCCGGTCATGTACGAACTCGCATCGCTTGCTAGGAATACACACGCCCCCATAATATCTTCCGGTTCGGCAATCCGGCCGTTCATGGCTTCGGATTTCCAGCCGTGAGAGGATGGGCGAACTGGCCATTAGCGCATGACCTGGTTACTCCGTTCTGGGGGAACTTACTGAAGCCGTCATTTCTGTCTTCACATATCCAGGAGAGATGGAATTGACCCGGATACCCTATTATACTGACTTAGTTTTGTTCATCGACAAACTATTTGCGGTAATCTCACGTATTCGGCTAACTCTTTTGCGATCGCCGGACACATCGACCTAACTGCGCCCTTTGTACCACAGTAAGCCGAACATAGCTGCCTGCGCACAGCGATATGGCTGGCCATACTGGCTACTAACACGATACTACCGTGTGTCGTCTTGTTTGCAATCATTTGCTTAGCTGCAAGCTGGGCAGTGAAGTAAAGTCCGAGCACATTGATAGATAGTAGATCCTGATGATCCTTGTATGTAAACTCAAGGAATGGAAGATGGCGATTAATACCGGCACATGGAACACAGATATCAAGAGCATTGTCAAAATCCTTCTGGAAGCTGGCGAAGCCTGCTTGCAAAGATTCCTGAGATGAGACATCGACTCTGCTGCTGTTAATGACGGAACCTCACAAATGAACGGCCCACTCACTTGTAATAGGCTGTTCGGACACCACAGACCTTTTCAATTGTATTGAATCCTTCCTCTGGTAAAACAACATCAAATACGGCGACATCAGCTCCAGCTTCGGCGAGTCCCCGGGCAAATGCTAGCCCGCAACCCCGAGCGCCTCCTGTCACCAGTGCCGTGCGCCCTTTCAGAGAGAACTTTTTCGATTAGCTCCGATACCCTAGAAAGAAGGTAGGTGGCAACACTCACTCTCGACATATCGTAGTGTAGTTCAATGCTGTCTTGCTGTGTGGTGAAGCCTTTGCCTTCTGATATTTCTGCCTTTTAAGCTATCGGATAGCGGCATCACTAGATTAAGCTAACCCCCATCTTTGTCCATAGTTGGAGTCAAGCCGAATAAAGCTGGAGCGAGAATTTCCGATGTGTCTATCTATCATAAGTAGTCCCGTCCTACAGGAAATCGGACGGTATCCAACGAAATATCCCGCACCTGGGTTCTGTTACACACCCATCACAATGGCCCCTCAAATCCACATCAAACAGCAAGATATCCGATTCCCATCATGCCAAATGAAAGTTGTCATTGTTGGTGCAGGCCTTGCAGGACTTGGTTCTGCGATAAGTTGCGCGCTCGCTGGGCACAAGGTCGAGGTCCTGGAGGCAACACGGGAGATCAAAGAGGTCGGGGCAGGTATCCAGATTCTACCCAACAGCTCGCGTGTACTCCAGCACTGGGGTCTGGAAAAGGCATTGACACCGCACATGACCTTTCCCCGGGTGTGCAATTTTCTTGGATGGAAGGGAAAGCTCATCTCGTCGTTGGACTTTCAGGCGTCGGAGAGTAACTACCCGGGCACTTGGTATCGGGACTTCCATCGTGCGGACCTGCATCAATGTCTGGTTGATAGAGCGCTTGAATTGGGAGTGAATATTACCTGCAATGCTCGTGTGGCGGATGTGACTGTGAGCGAGGATGGGACCAGGGCTACAGCGACTGCGGCAGATGGGAGACAGTGGATTGGAGATCTTGTCATTGGGGCGGATGGAGTGTTTGGGAAATTGACGGAGAAATTGCTGGGCCGAGTTGACCCGCCGATCAAGACTGGTGATCTCGCATACCGTTTGTTGTTGTCGACAGTGGAGATGCGGAAGGATCCTGACCTTGCCGAATTGGTGACAGACCCTCAGGTCAACTACTGGTTGGGTCCAGATGCTCATGCAGGTATGTGTCTCTCTTCATGACGTGGTTCCAAATTTCTAATTGTGTAGTGAACTATGTTCTTCGCGGCGGAGAGTTGTTTAATATGGTACTGCTTGTCCCGGACGATATTCCTGAGGAATCTTTAGCATCGACGATCGAAGGGAATGTGGAAGAGATGTGTGGGTTGTTCAAAGACTGGGATCCTCGGTACAGTATATGTCTTCCACCATTCACAATCAGCTGCTAATCTTAGCAGCATCCCCAAACTCCTAAAGCTCTGCGAGTCTGTCCAGAAATGGCGTCTCTGCATTCGATTCGGAGACTTTGACTGGACCCATTCCTCCGGGGCATTTTTGATGCTGGGCGACGCAGTTCACGCTACGTTGCCGTATTTGGCCTCTGGGTATGATTGTCTTCCTCATCCGACTTCACATTTTCTAACAATCACAGTGCAGGAATGTCCTTCGAGGATGGAGCAGTTCTCGGCGAATGCCTCTCTCGACTCCCGAATAGCCCTGGTACCTCTAAGACCTCGGCTGACTTCCTGGCTGCCAAGCAACACGCCCTTGCCGTCTTCCAAGAATGTCGCAAGCAACGAACAAAGATGATTGTTGAGCGGGGGAATATACAACAATACCTCTACCACCTACATGACGGCGCTGAACAAGAAGAAAGAGATCGCAAGATGCAAATGGTCCCTACTCCTGAGGGAGAAGCACTGGCTTGGAGAGACCCTGGTCTTGCACCCAAATTGTTAGGATATGACCACATTGCAGATGTACGTGTTCGTTTCACTCGTTGAACTCTACTAACTGTGACTAGGTTGATCGTCGGTGGGGTAAATCATTAGGAACTGCCACTGTTGAGTCAAGACTGTAGTTCGGAAGCATATATTCCCGCCCATCGAACGGGTGTTTCATTATTCCTAGATTGTTCCCATTTCTTTCCATGGATGTGGTTTTAAGTTACAAATTGGGGTGACTAGAATAATATGGAAGACCTTGCATTAAAAGCACCTTAGATGCATGTGCCTTTGTAAGATGGATAGAATGCACGCAAGTAATTCAATGGATAGTGCAGGCATTCTGTCATCGGAGGAGCTACGAAACCAAGTGGAATACCTTTATTTGACTTGAGAGAAAAGCAAGTTAGAAGCAGATGAAACTCCAGGGCTGGATCGTGGCGGTGGATGTTGTTTGATGTATTTAATGGTAGCCTGCATATCCAGGCGAGATCCTATAACGCTGATTGATCCTAGGTGGATTGCAAGGCCGTTTGCACGGTAATGCGCTTCATTCCCAACAAGCAATGCCTCCCTGCTAGTCAAGGATAGCATAGGCATTACTCTGGGTGTTAGAGGACGAAGATATTGAAGACAGATGTACGTTTCAGTGAGATCTGGTACTCCATGCAGTACATGGCTTCATTACTCCCGTCATCGTCTCTGACTCAAACAATACTTTGGTGGAATTAGACGTGCAACTGAGGTCTTGTCTGGCTTGAAGGGGCTCCGAAGGTGGTGACTTTACATGTCATTTTAGTAGTATCCTTAGTATTCTTTCTAAAGGTCTTTCTGGTGGTCTTTTTAGCCGCATCTCTTAGAAGTCGATTGTCCCAGAGTCCCCCACTCCTTCCCCAGTGACTTCATATGTATGCAGATGTCTTGCTTCATTGTCTAACTCTTTCTTTCTTCCCTTCTCCCCTTTTATATATCCTTCTAGCCTTCTCACTCTCATTTCAGTGTCACCTCACTTTCATCTCACTTTTTTCAATGCCAAGAGGGACCATCGCCATCCCATCATCTCATTAACCATGCTCTCTCTTTATTACAGAAAGAAAATATCACAATAGCCACTGCCTCTTGCCGTCAGACAGAGACTCATAGCTATGAACAGCGGGCAGGGTCAAGAGAGAAGACCATCTGCTGCCCAACTCGGGCGGGTTCATGAATTCTCTATTCCGGCAGATGCGGAGGATTGGAATTATCTTGTTTCTCACACTCCCAGTTTGAAGGACCTAACCATACACAACATCCCAGCCGACCGGGTTGCATCGGCCTCAGAGGCCAGCAATGCCCAGTATATGATGCTCCGGTCATATTCCCCTCGAGTATCCGCTATCGACACCTTCCTGGTGTACGAATGTGGCAATTATGGGTTTACTTCGGAATACCTAGAAGAGGCTCATGCGGTCCTTGCTGACTCGACGGAATGGTCCCGTTATCTACAACTGATTGACACGGGGGATTCTATTGATGGTATTTTGGCGACTAGTGACAGGTGGCCAGGGGCTTTCTCTACTACGAGTCGACTGCATGAGCAAACGATGGCCGTACAAGGTATTCACGATAGGAACACAATGCAGGGCACAGCGGCGCAAGCTCGGGTGGGGAGCGCAACAGGGAGACCCATGCCCCAACGGATTCCCGAATTTCCAGATGTCGAGGACGAAGCAACCCCAAATGCGGCTGCCATAATCCTCTTGCAAACCGTCTCCCACTTCGCTGACTCAAATCTGGAGTGGGTACTGAATCGCGTACAATTTGTATGCGAGTTCCAGAGTTCCAAATTCACGGCGTTGAAGGATGGGGCACTGCGGCCGAAGAGGACGCTGGACATCTTCGCCATCGTGGAGGTCAAGAAGCGAATGCGTACGGTGAACAGAGAAGCCATCCTCACCCAAGAAACCTGCGAGGTAGTGAGGTGGTTAATGCACTCATCTGGGGAGATGGCTCATTTCAATCATCAGTGAGTTTTACCGTGATTGGGAATCCACGACCCCGAAAGTAGACTTGAACTTTTCGACTTATCGATCGTATTTCCCTTACAGCTTCATGCTGATTTCACAAGACCGCCATGAGCTCTTTATCACATTTGTGCCATTCAGCCAGGCATACGAAAATTACTTGAGGAACGGGACCAGAACCACTGACTTCCTTGTGATGAATACATTTGGTCCATTCCGCACAGCTTACCGTGACGATATGGAGGACTTTGGGCGCATCATCCTAGCGACCATGCTGATTGCCAAGCGAGCGGCGTCTTGAACCGATCTGCACTGTTTCGTTCTCTTGATCAATCTCATTTCATGTACTATATCTTGCATGTTTTCTGCTTTTACGTAGTGAAACCACAAGTTCGCATTCAATCCCTTAACCGTCCATGTTCTTTATGATAGGTAGCAGGTACCGTGGGGATGTTAAGCCAATGAAATCAATTTGAACAAGCTCATTTTATCAATCAGCTATCTAAAAGCTGAGTCCAGGAATAAGAAATACCCCTTTGTTTCTTGCGAAGTAGTTACGATAAAAGTAGAAACTTAACCCTTGTCACCAATGAAAAAGAAAATACTGGACATGGACTGTGGTCAGTTGCTAACTTCCTCTGGATGATCTGGCCCTGCCTTTGGGCTGCTCTTAAGGTGCAATTTGCTGAGCATTTTCTTGAAGCCTCCGCTCTTCGTCCTCTGTAGCCTGCCCGCCTTTGGTGAGCTCTGATTCAATGTCAGCGTTTCTCCAAGGCGTATTCGAGCTGGAGTACAAACCTGAAGGATGTTGATTGGAACATTGGGTTCCTTGGTTTTTCCGACTAGGTCGGCGCACATGAATGCGAGCAGAATGTCCATATTCTTGTTCCCGACATCGTCCGTCAAGAAATCAAACAGTTGAGTCTTCTTTATCACTAGACCTTGCTGACTGGAATGGGCTTCGATTACCCGGGCTTTCATTTGACCGAATATTGTGATTGCCATGACCTAGATTGTGATTGATAAGTATTAGCCTTCGACACGTACCTGGATGAGTGTGTTAAGTCTGTACTCACTGGAATGGTGTTGTGCTCGGACAATTCATCGTTGTCTAGTCGTGTGATTATAGCTGCGGTAATGGTCATCACCTCTGCCTGCAACAGCTCTTCGGTTGGTTCCTCCCCGATCAAGATCGTGATCATAATGTGTGGTCGTCCTTCGGGATAAAGGGATTTCTTCGGCACAAAGGCAGAAGATGGCGACCATCGAACGGATCCCCAAAGAGCTGGGTAGAACTTCTCATCGATAACCGATGGCACGATATCACCGCTGAAAAAGTGTAAGTTAGTAAGATATCGTATCGCAAAGGACTGGGATATCTTACCTCTCTAACCATCTCGACACCTCCCTAACGTTAAGGAGGACTTTACCATCCTTTTCGCGGTAGAACTGTCGTCGGTACTGGAAGAACATCCATTCCAGACACGAATATAGATACGATGCCTGAGAATGAGGATTCCGAAGCAGTACCTTACCTTGGACGATCTCGGATCTATCAGTGATTCTCTTCAGTCGTTTCTCGTAGTCGGGGTTGGCAATAACAACAGGAGCAACCCATTCAGCACCTCGAGGTTCAAAGAAAACCAGGCTAGCAGGACCAGTATCCCCGGGATCAGCATTTGGGAGACCGAGGTGCTTTCCATCCTCGTCTAGGCTAAGTAGTCGAAATTCGATGCCGAGGGACACGTACGAGTCTGGGCCTATCTGGGCAGATGCGTAACTTGCAACCCGGTTATAGACTCCATCCATAGCGCTAGTGACTTGTTGGCGGGCCCTTAGGTTTTCTGCGATCCCCTGGCCCTTTTGTGTCCTCGACGTCAACGTGGAGAGTCTGGGCATGATGATTGTAAGAGCTAAAAGTGAAATAGAAGTTCATTGAAGAATGCGGGAATGGTGTGGTTTATAATGTTTGTCAACAATGACCAGGCGAGGTGTAATTTATGCTATTCTGAAGGTGCACGGCTGCCTAAGGCTTCCCTGTGTACAATCTTGCCTTTGGGTTTTCTAATATCTGCCTCTGTATTATGATATCCCTCTTTTTTTCAATATGTACGTAGGTATTCAACCAAGATCACTTCTTTCATGCGCTTCGGCAATACTTAGCCAACCATTGAAAGCCTGCTCAAAGTTTTTCTACAGAAGGACAAACCGTACAGATATTTCTAAGGAGTCTCCAAGTTCATGGTCAGGATATTGGGTTTTTTCCTTTTTTTTTTCTCTTTTCTTTTCTTTTCTTTTTTTTTTTTGGGGGGGGGGGCTGTATCTATAAAATCCCCGTCTCTTAATCTAATGTGATACGGATACGCTGCTCCTAAGAATTAATACCTAAATGAATAGCTCGCACAGATCTAAACGTAATCCGAACTGTCATCTTAAGTGGCATCTCAAACCGGCATCTCAAACAGCATGGCAAGCTGATTTCCAAACGACATCGGAATACGGCATCCAAAAGATTCTTCTAAAGCATAGTTAATGCGTTTATCAGTCAATGAGATCAGTTTGTGACGTTGATACTCCGTCAAGTGGAATGGCGCTGATACAAGATGGAGAAACGGAATACGAAGCAGGACTGGGTAACAGAAGAGCACAAAATCCGTAAGACTGAAATATGATAACTAAATTGATCTTGGAACAAGGGTAAGAATGCTTTTGAAACTGGGTATAGACTAAGATTATAGCCCATTTCTTGCCGAACTACGTATGATGCATGTCATCACATTGACTATCCGTAATGTGATGCAAGAATCTTTGTTAGGTACAAAGTTTTCATTGGAACATCATGTATGTGTAATGTGCCTGATCATGTTCTTTGTTGCAACTTCACTACCCTCTTTGCTGTCCCTATGAAATCTCTAAATACCATTACAGTGCAAAAGTATGGCACCAGAGGTTCACCCCATCCAGGGGTTTCCGGAATCAACGCAAACTGTCTCTGTTTCCTTGATTGATTGGTACATTCATTCCCTCAGTCCCTCAATCTCAACGTTTAGGTATGAGCAATACGCTAATTTTGTACAGTGGTGCTCGCCTAGATCTTCCCGCAGAACACTTCCTATTTCCAAACATAGAAGGGCACGAGCGCCTTCGAATCCCTTCATATTCATTTCTAATAACCCACCCATCAAAAGGTCGGCTACTATTCGATCTATCCCTACGAAAGGACATTCAGAATCTGGCCCCAGTTGTCGCAAATCGAATAAACAACCCAAATGTCGGATGGAAAGTGTCAGTTCCCAAGGACGTGCCGGATACACTGATCGCGAATGGAATTCAACTAAGCGAGATCAAAACTATCTTTTGGTCTCATCAGCACTTTGAGCATCTCGGCAATCCATGCAAATTCCCGAGCAGCACAGAGTTGGTTGTTGGTCCGGGATTCACGCAGGCATATACCCCAGGGTATCCGGATAATCCGGAGTCGCCAGTGAAGGCGGCTGATTTGAAAGAGCGTCGAGTGAATGAACTCGATTTCAACAATGGCCGAGAGGCTATTTCTATCGGCCGCTTCAAAGCTTTTGACTGGTTCGAAGATGGGAGTTTCTATCTACTAGATGTTCCGGGTCATGCGGCTGGTCATATCTGTGGCTTTGCTCGTGTAAAGCCTGATTCTTTTATCTTAATGGGCGGGGTGAGTGTCAACGGGGATGTTTACTACAACGGCACTAACAGACTTCAGGATTGTGCCCATCATCCCGGAAAATTTCGGCCTTCGAAGATTGCCCCCATCCCGAAGGATCTTATTCCCCTGCATGTAGCGGCGCATTCAAAACAGGCGACCGTATCCCCAGGGAACATTGCTGAGAAGATCAAAACGCAGTCTGGCATCGAGCGGTCACCAATCTATAAGGCTGCTGAATTGTTTACTTACGAGATGCCGAAACAGAAGTGGAGTCTCCAAGGCATCCAAGAACTTGACGCCTGTGAAAATGTGCTTGTGATAATAGCTCACGACGGCGGTATTCTTTCTGTACTCCAGCAGGCAAATGGAAAACAATCATCCTTCCTTTTCCCAAGGGGGAATTGAACGAATGGCAGGATAATGACATCAAGGAGGCCATTAAGTGGCATTTCTTGTCTGATCTGGCAATTCGTTCTTGAACTCACAGCGGAAAACCTCTAAGTTCCTTTGGCGGTTTGGAAAATTGCCCCAGAACGTATTGCACCCAGAGTATATACATTATAGCTCTAGGGGATTGATCACTGTTGGGTCGTCGGATCTCCGCGTACCACTGTTGTGGGTAGTATCGGCAGGAAACAAGAATTTATCTAGGATAATGGCATCGAAGTTAAACGTGTACATTGTAAACGTGTACTCGGTATATATTTTCTCCCTGGTCGATCGTCGCTGCAGTAAGCCGTTAGGAACTAGCGTTATCCAGCCAAGGCTGTAGACCCCCATCTTTGATATGCTGGCGTCAGCATAAGGCAAATTATAATTTACTAGAATAGAAAAGGTCAGTATCTTATCGTCTGATCCATGTGAATCCCCACTCCCCCATTTTTGATTCCTCGCGATATGCAAGAGGACCCTGTTATATAGACGTGATAGCCATTCTGACCTATGACCCCTTTTGAACCCGACATATCATCCACGCAAAATGTGGCGGATCTTCAACTCAGGAGGCACGACAAAAGCGGACCCTCCACGCGGTCTACCAGCATCATGGTATCGCTCAGAGGCAATGTACCGACTGGAGAGACGGGCAATCTTCTCCAAGCGATGGATGCTGCTCACCCACTCCAGCCGCTTCAAGAAAATAGGAGACTATCTCTCTTTCACAATCGCTAACTTCTCCTTTTTCCTCATCCAAGACCGAGACGGCACAATCAACAGCTTCCATAACGTCTGCCGTCACCGCGCATTTCCCGTCATCGAGTCCCCATCCGGCACAACACCCATCCTGAGCTGCAGATACCACGGATGGTCATACGGTCTGAAGGGAAACTTTGCCAAAGCTCCGCGGTTCGAGACAGTACCCGATTTCGATAAAGCCCAGCACTCGCTATTCCCAATCCACGTGCACATCGACAAAGCTGGCTTTGTGTGGGTCAATCTGCAGGCCGGCGACACAGATGTGAAATGGGAAGATGATTATCAGAAGGTTGATGAGGAGCCTCGGATGCAGGATTTTGATTTTGCCGCCGAGTACAATTTCGACCATTACTGGGAGATGGAGCTGGATGCGAACTGGAAGGTTGTGATTGAGAATTATAATGAATGCTACCATTGCGCTACTTCGCATCCACTTATCAACGGCGTTTCGGATTTACCGAGATATCGGGTTGAGCCCAAGGCCCGGTATATGGAGCATCATATTTTCAATAAAGAGGGTTCTGATGGCCAGTTTCGACGGGCCATCACGTACTTCTATCCTACGACTTCTGTTACGGTGACGTGGGTATAGTCTTCTTTTTGGGGCCAGTTTGTGGTAGGCTAACTTAACTAGTGATAAATTCTTCTATATCCAGCGCATGATTCCGGTATCAGCTACCTCGACCAAGATCGAGAATGAGGTTTACCGTCACCGGGACGCCACTGATGAAGAATTCGAGAATATCAACGCGTTCTACAGGCAGGTTCTCGATGAGGACAAGGAGCTTTGTGTTGGGACACAAGAGAACCTCAACACTGGTGTTTTTACCAATGGGGAGCTACACCCTAGCAAGGAGATGGTAGTAATCCACCATGTCCACTCTGTTATAGTAACTAACCGAGAGATTAGGGACCCATATCCTTCCAAAGTAGCGTCAGACAAATGGTCATGGAACACCGCAAAAATGAGGAAAGACAAGGAGGAGGGGAGATTTGGCCAGCCACCCCGAAGGCCCAGTTGGCGAAGAATGCTGCAGAAGATGAGATATTCTGTTCCCATTTAGAGGCGTCGAGTTGTGTGGCCAAACCGGAACTGGCGTGGTAGCCAGATATATAAGGTTCTTGCCCTACTGATGTACCTGTTGGTTAGATTAATATCTGGAGACTAGGACACACAATCTTATTAAATTCACCTGGACGTACTCGAAAATCTCGTGGACACCAAATAAATGGTCAAATACGACCTATATCATGGATTCGCTAACCAATAAGAACAGTAACCTCACAAGAGTAACTCCGTTCCTCAACCCCCTACGTACCCAACCCCCTACGGCGGCCCGATGTGGCTCTTTCGAGTCTTTCCGTCCGCCTTGTTCCCCGCCATCACCGTCTCCTCCATCTCACTGGCCTTCGACGTGGGCGGATCTATTCAATCCAAGCGGGTTATCCCCAGTCTGCTTCTGCCCCGCAAGGCTAGAAACATTACTCTTCACGCCCTCTCCAGCGCTCCTCGCCGTATTTCCGACACCCTGTGTTGCGCCAGAGACAGTCTGTCCGAGACCACTTGTTGCGTTGCCCACCGTTGAGCCGAGACCGCCAACTGTACTGCCCACTGTGTTTGACACGCCGCCGACTGTTTTCCCCACGGTATCGCCTATGTTACCGAGGAGCCCGGCTATCAGTATTTGATTAGTTGGGGTTTGGGGTTTGGATTTTGGTGTACGAAAGACTTACGGTTTTGTTCGTTGGACATGGTGCTTTATGTTCTATAGAGTATGTGATTCAAAAAGGTGGGAGTGTCAGAACTGTAAGTGTTTTGATGTTGGTATTCATTGAGATTATGGTAGAGTCGCAGGAATCGTTCTTTATTTATATCGACGCCACGACCTGAAGCAGGTTACATAGCCATGATATAATAGTGCAACATCCATCACTTTCTGGCAGCAACTTGATCGGGCCTGGTATCTTGGATATATTGAGCTGACGTATGGCTGTACCCGTGTTCCCCGCAGGTTGGATAATGGGACGTCACTATTGGTTGGTATTCCCCGGTCGCCTCTAGTGGCTGGGGGATTGTTTCTAGAAGGTCTGTTGTATTAAACGGCTGTGGCGAACTCTAGATGGCTGGTGAGGGCTTGTTGTGATGTCTCTAATTTGGAACCTTGGAAGTCTGGGGTATGATGTCATTTTCCTGTCCGATGCTTCTGGGTGGACCTGGCGAGGTTGTTTTATATTAACTGTAGTTTTATATTAACTGTACGATGATCTCATGTCCGTCAAAGTAATTGTCCGCAGCGGTGGTTTGGTTCATCAAGGCTATTTACGATTTAGAAGCGCAGGGTCATCAACCACTCGTCATGTACACCAGACCATAATAACATGGGTCTAATAAGGAACGACAAATTGCAACAGCATATTCAAAGACTCGCCTTTCCGCGGGACTCATATGGCATCAACAGAACAAGCATGCCTGCTGCGATAAACAGCGCCCCGCTAACATAAACGGGAGCGGCGGTTGTGAGATCAGCGAACATGGCAATTATAGGAGCCATGATACCAAAAATTCGATTTGCAGACGCGGTTAATGCGTTGCCGGTACCGCGGTCCTTGGTGAGGAATATCTCGGGGGTGTAGGCGTACAACACGGCGTACATGAGACTGCTCATGAAATTAAAGGCGCAGTTCCAGCCCAGCAGGGCATTTGATGTAGTAGCTGTTGTTGACGCAAGAAGGAAGGCCCCAGTTATAGCAGTCGAACTGCTAAGTGCACCCTTCCGCCCGAAGCCAGGTAGTTCGACCAGCACTCCACCAAGCAGGCAGCCTGGAATTCCCATAACGGCAATAATCAACGAGTTGCGATATGTGATGTATGTCGACCCATCACCGAATTCCGCACCTCGGGATTGCTGGATGTATGGGAGGAACGCATTGTATAGTGGGAACCCGAGACCAATGAATGCCCAGACAAGGATGATCAAGGTTGTAGCCCATGCTCGCTTGCGTGTGTCGAAGAGAGCGCGGACATGATCAAACCGCACAGTTTCTAGGCGTTGGCGGAGGATGTTTGCCGCGCTAAAATGCTGTATCTCACCATGGTCGAACGCGTCGAGCTCAGTTTTCGTCAAATCTGAGGTTTTCCCATTCCTCCTCGCAACTTCGTGCACAACATCCACGGCCTGCTCATTCCTCCCCTTTCCCATGAGGTACTTGGGAGACTCGAAAATCGTGAAGAACACAAACCGACCGACGAACATGATTATCGCAATGCCACCCATCACAATCATGAACCATCGCCATCCCATGTTGTCAGCTTTCGTACACCCTTCTGCCGAACCACAAGTCCTATACCCAAGCAGCGGCCAGCCAATCAAATTGGCGACCACTTGCGCGAAAGCCCAGTCAATCGACAAGATAGTCAACAGGTACTGATGCGATCCAGGTAAGAACTCGAGGAAGATAGCGGAGTCAACCGGGAGATTCCCACCGACGCCGACAGACCACAAAGCCGCAAAGGTACAAATGGCCGCAAAATTGGGCGACCCCGCTGCGACCATGCCAAATACCGCCGTGATTCCAATCGTCAAGTTGAACGCCCATCTGCGACCGAAGATATCGCATCCAAATCCCCAGAACACAGCACCGACCAGTAACCCGATGTTTTGCGCGAGTGTCAACAACGGCGCTTTCGAGGGATGGAACTCATTTGAGACTGCAGGGAGAATCAGAGAGGTAACGATCGGCCACAAGTTGTCGCTCGCCCAGCCGAATCCGATCACCACGAAGAGCTGCCATTGGTATCGGCCCATGCCGATCGTCTGGATTGCGTGGTTGAGAACCTCAGCTTTGGCTTTGTAGTTCGCGTCGGGACCCTCATCTTGAGGGACAGCTGGGCCTTCAATCGCCGTTGGCTCGCGGCCACGCGGTTTTGTGGGTTCTGACATTTCGTGTTGAGAACGTGAAATTGGTAGGAACGAGGCAGGAAGGGGCCACGGCTTATAGGGTGGCTCGCCGCATTCTCGCTCTAACCCCGATCAGTTTGGAAACCCCATATGTCTAATCATATTCCATCCAGCAGTCTCTAGATCAACCTTATTCGGGGATTTCTTTCTTTTTCCTTCGCTTCGATTGGATGGTTTGATGGCGTGATCGATGGGTGGTTTCGTGTCAGAGTCGGCAAGTGTGCATCGTCCCAATTCAGAGGGCAACTCTCCCTGGCACAATGCAGGGATCTTATTCTCGTCACGTGGGAGGCTTTGAAGCCCTTTATTTTTGATGGAATTGAACGTTGAAGTCTCCTATGATTCCTGGAACAATTACCATCTCCCGAGACTCATACAATTTTCATCCCGTACTACTCCCAATGTCATCACACCATGTATACCGCACCTCTGCCCTCGACCTAATTCATTGATTCTAGTGCTATTGATTTCAGCCTCAAAGACTAAACTTCTATTTTCCTAGCGCTCCGCGCGATATACATCACCCTGCCGCCCAATCAACCATCACGTGTTATGTGTAACAGCCAGCCACCGGCTTTATATCTTTGCTTTTGGCCCCTTTTGTCTCTTGACTTCGAATTTTCAATCTGAACCACGATGGAATGGCACCCTATACTACTAAGCCCTGAAGGCACCCTAGGCATCGTTGCCCTTGGGGGAGCTGGGTGTATCCATCAGGATTCCAGCTGTAGTGACAAAGTTATCAAGGCACCAAGAAAACACAACAGCGAAGACTGCAGCCCGGAGGTCATCGAATCTGTTCAAGAGACAGAAGAGTTTTCAGAGCTATGCATCAATCGCGAGAAACTCGTCTACCAAACCCTCCCAAAAGACCATCCTAATATCTTGAACTGCCTTGCTATTACAGAGATTGGAATTCAGTTCCCCTATTTACGACACGGGAATGTGCGAAGCTACCTCCAAAAGCATCCACAGAATTTGGATGCCGAAATCCGAGATCGATGGGTTAGAAACGCTGTTGATGCTATTGCCACTGTCCATGAATATGGTGCCATCCACTCTGATATCAGTGCACGTAACTTTCTCGTGGCTGATGACCTTTCAATTCAACTGTGCGACTTCGCCGGATCGAGTATCAATGGTCTCGAGTCCTTAGTGGAAGAAGAAACTCGGTACCTATCGTCTCCATCATCTTCGTCAGTTTCGTCGCCTCGGACTATTAAGACCGACCTATTTGCCCTCGGGTCTTTTATCTACGAAGTCTCTACCGGTACAAGCCCTTTTGCCGAGATTAATAATAAATATGTTGCGAGACTTTATGCTGCGAAAGTCTTCTCAAGCCTCAATGGACTTCAATACCAGGATATTATCTCCAAATGCTGGAATTCGCAGTACTCTTCCGTTGACATGCTCAGGAGAGATATTCAACATCGCAAACATTCTACCAAAAGTTTCGGATGGAGCGGCGGTCGTTTCTAGCCTCGAAAACAGCCATTGTCGGCACGAACGTTGAATTCCACAGGTGCTTATTTTGTAGATGTTAAGCATCTATATATCACAAGTAACAAGCTGGTTCCAAGTTCGATCTTAGTATTGAGCTGAATTTCAGAACACGGCCAGCAAATTAGATGATGTTGAATCATTCCAAGCTGCCTCCATAGTTCCGGCGGGAGATTGGCCAAAATACCATTCCAGTCCCATTGTCAGCACACACCCAGTTCTCATCTCTAACATTTGGCTCCCCCCTGGGTACCACCGCGGCAAGAACCTCTGCCACAATCTTGAACCTCTGTCCACTTTCCACCTTTGCACTCGACCTTTTCACAGGAATATATATTAGCAAACATGATCAGATATTTCAGACTAGGTACATCAACATACAACACCGGTCCTGTCACAACCGCAGAAGTGTCTGTCTCCGTTGGATGACTGGCAAGGGCTGTTTGTACGTCTTTGGTCAACACCATAGCCGCTTCCGCAGGTGTCTCGTGTTTCCAAGACTGAAGCACTGACGGCAGTGGCAGCCATAAGGGTGAAGAGGAGAGCAGTAACCTTCATTGTGAAAATGGTGTTGTATATTGATATAAGTTTGTTCGTTTGAGGCTGTTGAGTGTTTGAATGGTTTGATGTCCAAGAGTACGAGGTTGAGGAAATGTCGATGTATTTATATCTTCGTAACGGATGCCATGTCTTCTTGATTGTTTCCTGAAAATGCAACAACTACGTCTCGAGGGTCAGCAACCGGTTCTCAGCTTGAGTAGCATTGCAGGAATTTGATCAGACGACATATCCAACACTTCCAAGCCCCCCGAGCTGAGAATGACAGCTCATGGAAATGCGCATGCTTTTACTTGAATAGTAGAATCTCTGGGTAGATCAAGCTTGGCAGCTTCAGGATACCAATGAGCATCTGTGAGGATTAATTGAATATGCATACAAGCATGCATGAGTCATAGGGGGCCGAAACTGCAAGATGAAAGCTCGCTTTTCCGTAGTGAAAGGCGCAGAATTGTGCAGAGTATGTAGATAATATACAATTAACGGCATAAACGACCCAAGTATAGCATTCCGGACGTAGTATAAGAAACAATCATCACGAATTCTCGCATATTAGCAGTTCAGTTACGTATTCCGATAACTCTTAACGAGTACAATAGTAGGCCCAGGGACTTCGGAGCAACCCCAATGCAGAAGAGAAAACCTGAAAGAAGGCAATACAACGTTGTCAGCCAAAATGGGTCTCCTGCGTAATGTTGACCAATCGAGTCAGCTTCCGAGGTTGTCCTATGTATGGACACATGCGGGAGCCAGGGATATACAGGAGCACCGAGAGACGATAACAAATAACATCCATGGATGGTTTATGTCTCTTAGTTATGCACCTGTGGTAGATAAATTATTCATTCCAGGCAGCCGTCAGATACCAGCCCAGGGGGGTTCATACCTATACGTAAATATATATTTTGTCCGAGATCAAACACATATCTGCCAATTCTTTCCCCAATTGCCGGGAAAGGCCAGTCAACATCAATGGATCTGAATCATTCAGCTCACACATCGGCTCTCGTGGGAATCAGGGACTATCAGACCTAAGCTGTAAGATGTACGTAAGAAATCCTTTCGAGGTCCAGGGCTGGGCTTACATGCATTTGGCTTTTTTGGCACCTTGCGAGACGGGGCGGAGGACGGGAGATCCACACGGCCCATTACCACCCGGTCTTGGTCCGGGGATCGTCCTTGGTAAACCTCCTCTCATGGAAATGTACCTATGTAGGTAACTAGCATTTGTTAGGGGATATATGGTACATGTGGTGGATTGCTTTTCAAGATGGATAAATCTCAATTCAATTAGACACGCGAAACTATATAGATATATAAATAGGTACATACCTACATACCTAGGTAGGTACTGGTTTGACTTCCTTTAGGTGCAAATGGGTCGACTAAATCGGCAGGAGCTAGGGTTTACTGGCGAGAACTAGGTCTACCCCTACCCCGCACAACGCATTGCCCAATACCCCATGGGGTTAGAAGCGGAAGTGATGGTCGTACCTATTCGGACGTTTGTCTCAGATAAAGAATCGACATTGACTTGCTGGAAATTAAGATAGGAGGTTGTCCTTAGCCGGTATTTCGATGCCATAGGTTTTCTAAGCTGTGTATTAGGTCCCACCAGCCGTCATTTTGTCCTTTATCTATGTCGTTGAGGCCCCTGACAACGGAGCCTGAATCGAGTCTCTTGCGCTGGAAGAATCGATTTTATGACGGCGCCAAACACAGGAGTTACTCAGGCCCATGAATGGAACTCTCCACACATGAGACCAAAGCCAAATGAAGCACTCCTGGGTCTTCATGCCCTAAAGAGCATCTCGACATGCTGAACAAACTTAGACGAAGGTCCTTTTTCTTAATCTGCTCATCGATACGATGGAAAGGAGGAGCCCGCTTCGGGCCTTGGGGTGCGGGTGTGGAAAGGGGCTCCCAATGATATTCCAAATTCTCGATTACTTTGAAATTGATGCAAAGTGATTAAAAGTCCCATCAGCAGCTGCCAAGCGAAAATCAAATCAAATGTGCGATCACTTCGTAAAAGCGGGGGCAGAGGGAGAACAGTACGTATAGCTCTATCTAGGTATACAGGCAGGAACGCAGCCCTAGAAGTTCTCTGTAGAATATTCCACACCGAAACAGGATGACCAAGTCAAAGATACAGACCTCGGGAGGTACCCGTTTACCAGTGGATGACGCTAGGGCTGCTTTCTGAAGCTAAAAGATTTTAGAAGTGAAAACACCCGGGTCGTACTCAAGGAACCATTACCTTTAACTGTGACCGAGGAAAATGACCCGCCAACAAGGCTCGGGACTACATCTCTCTACAATAGTCTGACAAGATTCACTACGATGTCGGTTCAAAGTTCGAAGTGTTTGAATTGTCCCGGCTATATACGCAAGCAAAACCTAGCTTCCAAAGGTAAAGCAAGCCAGTTGCGCACTTGGACAGCAGTAAGTCCTCATATCACAGAAGACATCCGCGGGCAAAGCTAACAGCCATTTCCAAAACCACTTGTTCGGACTCCAGTTCTTCTCCCAACCATGTCCAAGATAACATCTTAGATCATGAGACGCTCGACCTGGTTCTTGATGGCGCGGATCTGAGCGGTCAGATCACTGGCCTCGTTGGTAGTGATGGAGGCAGCAATGACGGGGCGGGAGACACCGGTGGCACGGCCAAGAGCCATCTTGCTAGGAACGTAGACGTAGGGAACCTAATTTGGATGGTTAGTCTGGGTTCTTGCCGTAGGGTCCTAGGCTATATATAGGCTTTGGGGTGGTCGACTCACGTTCTTGTCCTCGGCCAAAAGAGGCAAGTGAAGCACGATAGCGAGAGGGCTGGTATCAGCGGCCATGATGACAAGCTCGGAGGTTCCACGGTTAAGGGACTTAGTGCACTCGTTGGCACCCTTCTTCAGCTGACGGTAGTGAGCGGCTTGCTGCACAAGGTCGAGGAGGCTCTGGGCGAGGGCCTCATCGGCGATGGGCCACGCTGCGCTGGTATCTTCGGCCATTGTTGTATTGTAGTTGGGAATTCAAACACCAGATCTTTAAGAAATGGCTCACTCGGTGGATCACGGCCGTGTAATTGCAACGGAAAATAAGTGGTATGTAGATGGTTAAGTTGAAGATGGCGGTGGGAAATTTTTTGAGAGCGGACCGTACGGACACACCGCCTGCTGAATTTGCAAGTGTTTCTGCAGCACGACGTTTACCGCTCTTATCCTATTGGCCACCCCACATATTCCGCCACCGACAGTTGATGCCTGTTTTGCCAGGCCACAAACCAAATTTGCTTCGCAGAGTAACCTTCCTGCGATGGTTGATGGATGTACCGTGTATACAACGCTTGCTTACTGGCCTGCTCCATCACTCAATGCCCCAAAGGGTCACTATCAAAGCGTATAGATACTGGGCTCAAGTCTGTTGGCACCGAAATTTGCTACACAATCTTAGAAATTCTACATCGGTTTCTAGGTCTTCTGCAAATTTTGTCCATAACTCATAATAAAGGCTTTCATTTTCCTCCAAACTAGCTGGAGGCCTGGGAACCTTTTGGCTCCATGCAAATATACAATTCTATGTGACTTGAAATACTAATTTCACAAAAATGACCATTTAGTCGGTGCCGTTCACAGTAGCAGAGGCAAGTCTCGAGCGTGCGCGCAGCGCAGGACCGAACTTGAACAGGACGAACGGAATGAATGTCAGGACGGTCGCGACCAATGCCAGCAATAATCCAGCGTACTGACTCCCCATGTTGTGGAAGAACTGAGAAGCAAACAGAGGCGACACAGCACCGAGTGTGTTACGCATGAAACCTTGACCAGCAATGGCAGAAGAAGAGTGTTCTCCATAACAATCGGCAGTGTAACTGTAGCAGGACTCGAAGATGAAGAAGATACCGATGGTGATGAGTGCCAGGCCGATGACGGGACCGATCCAATGGAGACCCTTGTACTGGGTGAAGCTGTAGAGGAACAATCCGATCGGCAGCCAGACGGCTCCGCATAGGGCACCGTATAACCGAGCTTCGGGTGCGACCTTAGCGTTCGGGTCGGAGGTGAGGGATTGGTATTTTCTGATTTGGAAGAAGTTGAGACCAAAACCGATGGTGGTTCCGAGGCAGAGGGAGATATAGGGGGAGACCCGAGACTCCTTCGTTCCAGCCACGCTTCTCTTGGAAGGTGATTGGGATGACGGAAAGGAAGAGGAAGGTCAGGAACCAGGCAAAACTGATCCAAAGACCAAATGCGAAAACGACGGGCTCACTGAAGAGCATCTTCACGGCCTTGACGGAGGAGTTGTGCAACATGTGCTTGATTCCGGGCGCTTCGATATCGTTGTTGGTCACGAAACGGTCATCACCGGTGGCCTGGCGAATTGCCTTGGCACGCTTGGTAAGACAGACACTGCCACGAGTTTCAGGGAGGCATATGGCAATGACGATACCAAGGGGAATATTCGCCAAACCCTGGATACCCTCGAGCCAGCGCCAGCCGAGAGCCTGGTCGATAAAGCCGGCGTAGATGGGGGCACCCACTGTACCGAGGATAGCGATGAAGGAGAAGCAAGCCATAGGGATAGCGCGGTGTTCGGGTGTATACATGTCACCAAAGGTGCCACCGACAAGAATTGTACCAACACAACCGAAAAGACCCAGCAGCGCACGGCAAACTAGGATCGTGGCAATGTTCTTGCCCAGCGCGAGGCCGATGAACATGAGACAGAAGCACACGTAGGCACCGATATAGATCACTCGTCGACCAGCCAGTTCACAGAACGGAGCGAGGAAAAGAGGAGCAAGTGCACAGGTAAAGTTGAACGTGAATAGACCAAGCTTTCCAATCAATTCTGTTGTTCCCAGTTCTTTTGCCATGCCTGAAATTCCGGAACTGTATGCTGTCGTGGCGAGACCGATGAAAAGTGTCATGCAGCAAAGCTGAGCACTGATGAAGGCCTTCCGGCCTGAACTCCAGTTGAAGGGGTTCTCCTTGTCTCCTTCTATGAAGTCAAGTACGACGAATTCTTGGCCGTCGTGCTGCACGGGCTTGGTGGCTGTGAGGGGAAGGTCGACATCGACCTCTTGCAATAAGCTGCTGTCGTAGTGCTGGCTTTGCTCTTGTGAAAGTTCGTCGCGGTATTTCCCACCGACAATGAGACCCTTTATCATGTGTGCCTCGTGGGCTGGGGTATTGTCAAGTGAAGGAACATTCTCGTTATGGGAAGCCGATACTGGCTGGGGATTTTTGGTGGCCTTCATATTGTATGTAGTGTGACGGGTGAAGGGTGAAGGGAGGAAAATGTGTTCAGAAGAGATTGAATACAATGGGGGTTATCCGTCTCTTAAGCGTTCATTCTCGAGAGTCGCCTGATTTGCGTCATGCTCCGGACTCCAGAATTTGATGAGAACCGGGGCTGCGGGATTATACGGAAGGTGGGGAAGGGTAATTCTAGGTAATGATCGATTATGTTGCCAACACAGAGCATAATGAAGAATCTGCTGATCAATGAACGAGTTGGAACACGAAGTAAGTGGGTACGACGAAAACTAAGTGAAAACTCTCACGGAGTACTCCGTAGCGCTGGAGCCGTTTGTTTTCCTCTTCCCATGTTGATGCTACTACTCCATCCCGTCAAGATTACTGGGAGATCCTACAACAGTACATTCTCCAATTCTCGCTCGTTATTTCCTGTTATCCCTTGTCCATTGTCGTGCTTCAAGATCGGGCCGCGCTTAGACCTCGTATAGATTTATACACGGAACCAAACAATTCATGTTTCGGACGAGTGCCGGGGCTTAAGTTTGCCATATAGTATCCCCGATGATGGTCCGAATAACCTCCCGAGCCGAGTGGCTCTCATTGGTCGGTCATTCCACCCTTTGGAAATACGCTCGGCATGCCGTATTTGACTCGGATAATGTGCCGGAGTGGAGGATGAAACCCAGAGAAAGTTCAAGGAGGTTCCTTGTTTGAGGAACAACTGATTGTCAAGTCGCGTAAGATACATTTTACATTAACTCGACCTGAAAGTGACCCAAGGTTAGAAGTATGGATTTACGCATGAATTATTAAGCTTCGCAGTGACCCACTCGGGACCTGACTTCCAAGTGTTCCTTCCCGGTGAGACCGATTGTAGTAGGAACCCCGAGATGTGCCCCGAAGTTCATCCCGAAGATGTGATTGGCTGGGTGATCCTCGGGACTCCATTCACAACTTTGCGATCATTTCCAATAATATCTTGTGCCTGGACCAGAGTTCCAAGACCTTCCCCAACGGGTTCATATCCCACCGCAAGGCTCTGCAAAACTTTTGGGTCCGCTAGTCAATTTTGTTCTTAGGTTCCGTGGTGTGTGCCATGGGGAGACAAAAATGCAATCGCAATAAAATTCATCTTGTCTCCACTGGCTTCGTTGTCTACCGGTCGATCCGGTCGTTCCATTGTTGGGTCGGGACTCGGGTCCCACGTCATGCCGCATGCCTAAGGTAACTTTTTGTGCAAACTTTATGCCTGCCCCTTTTGTGTGAATCATCTGATCAAGCTCCCGAGGTCTGTCTCTATATTGTACACCTATTGCTTCGTATATGGCTGAGGGATTTTAATTTAGACTCAGTCTCATCTCAACCTTTTCTACCAACTCCTCAGTGATAGGTGCCGCAATAACCATTCTCTTTCCCCCTTTTCACCCAGCACCCATTTATAAACCTGACGTCCGTTTCTCGACCAGCTCACAAATTCCACACCATGGAGCAAGTGGTGTGAAACGTCTCCTCAATAATTGCATTCACTGTCGCCTCGAGCTTATCGACCGCAAATCGCTCGCTGAGATTCGCGAAATGTCGTAGCTCAGGAAGAGTGCAAACCACATTCGAGATCTCTGTCAAGATGACACGGCGAGTCTCAGGGATCGAAACAGAAACACATTCTCGCCGTCGTTCAGGGCGCACACTGGATTGCAAAATGCGTTGACGGCGAGCTTTTCGAGTTGGATTTGGAGTACTTCGGTATAGGTATAGACAGTGGTGTTGAGACAAGGTGACAGGGGAGTAGATTGAGCAGATAGTTGGAGGGATTTGCATCGGTGGTCTTTTGCAACGATTGGGGGACCACCTAGAGATCTCGCCACAAATCTAGTATGTTTGATGTCAAACGACTTGCGAAGCGTTACACCTTGCGATTGACGCCGACCATATAATTCGGGCGCTCGGTGGGATGGGGGAATAGGTGGTCGTTGACCTCGTCGATCATTCCACATCCGTTTTGGACGAAGAGAATATTAGATTGAGGAGTCAGGCGATGTTTCAGCTGTTGTAGTGCAGAGGTTGTCTGCGTCGCCTTGACAGCCACAATGAGGTCTGTAATACTGCTTCTTTCGACTGAATCACTATTGCCTCCCGATTCGGCAGTGGAGTACCAGATTCCGTCGCCAAGGGTTTCCCATTCATATCCTCTATGCTCGATAATCTCGCCCGATCGAGCTTCGAGTGAGATATTATCTCTATTATCGTGATATGCATCGCGAAGGGAAGGTCGGCGGCAGAGGATGGTCACAGACGGAGGCTCGGGTGTTTCGAACAGCGAATGTGCCGCCGATACTATCGAGACCCAGCACATGCACCCTGGGCGTTTTTTTGTGTAGATGTTGCACTCGTGGTTAGCGGCCGCACAGACGTTGCCATTAGATTTATTTTTGTGCATACCCAACAACTTGACTGGTTTGGCGGTCGATGGCTTTTTGGTGTCGTTTTGTATCTCTCCCAGTCACCAAGTTTCAGGGAACCCGGTCAATAGCTTTGGATATGGTATCTTCCAAGGACGGGTCCGGGTCCTCCCACAGATATAGCCCAGTGGTGATGAGACGGGCGCCCATCATGGTCGCCGCAAGGCCCGGAGCGTCAGCAGGGAAACAAGGTTGAATCACAAATGTCATATTGGACAGTGGCCAAAAGGGGAGGTAATTCGCCCTGCGAGTGGTGTTGGTCTCTCCCGGTAAGGGATTTGGCTCGTGAAAGAGAGGGCGCCAGGTGTCCGATAAGTCTCGGGGCTACCAGGGTGCAGGGGTCAGATCAAGTAAAGCTCCGCTACTGATCTTATAGATCAAAGAACATCATTTCAATGATAAATTCTGCCTCTCTCTTTGACAGCATTGTGGGAATAACTGTTGTATCCGATGAATATTTGAAGGTGAGTGCCGCATACTGAGCTGGAGAGCCGGACCAGGAAGACAAGGGACGGTACAACTCTGAGAGAGAGAAGAACCGGCTGTAAAGGATTAAAGAAGCCCATATCATATCTAATCCTCTATCTCGCAGTCCATTTATTGAGCCTCGTGCCATAACAGTCAGCCGGGTCACTTGTAGACTGGAGCTTGGTTAGCAATAGTCCGGCAAGGCCCCATGCCAGACGGAACTTTCTGAACGGGCCTTTGGCCTCTTCCTTCACAATATTGTCATTTTGCGGTTCTGAACTTGTGACTGGAGACCCGCAGTGGTGGCTCATAATTACGACTTGGGCAATGCGAAGGCGAAATCAGAAAGGCGAATCTGGAAACTTGAAAATCATCTGACAGGGTGGCATTTTTTTTGGCCAAAATCTAAACAAAGATTGTCGTTCATTTTCCAGTGTCGCGTGTTTTCATTGTTCCTATTGAAGTGCAGATTCGGACCGCCAGAATCGGAGGGGAATTCGGCTTCCGCTTCCCCGCGTTACCCGTGCCAAGGGGTCTTCTCAATGTCGAGGACAAGGGCTATGCTTTCGCAAGTTGCCCTCTTCAGCTGAAGAATACACGTGTGGAGCGCCTACATCCAAGCATCATGTCTTGGCCATGGCGTTTTGTACACCTCGGCTCCGATGAAAAAGACCACCGGCGACGCCTGCTAGACCAATACGCAGTCTATTCCCAACTATCCATCCTGGTCCCGATTGTGGGTTATCAAGTCTACCGGCTCATCGTATGGCTCTTGAGTGAGAAAGGGAGAGCCCATGTCGCGTACTCTGCTCTTGGGCAGTCGCCGGTCGGGACAGAATCAGCCAGCGGCTGGTCTCGGACAGCTGCCAGGCGATGGAGGTCTACTGTATGGTGGTTAAGTGGTGAAATTTCCCCGATTCTGGGGGTAAGAGGACGCTGGATTGCTGCAGTCGCTTGGATTTGTTGGCTGCTGTTTCTCTGCGTCAATCAGACCGGTGATGGTAAGCAATTGGTTCCATGGCTTCGTCTGTTGGGTGCCCCATTTGACGAGTTCTCAGACTATTTTCATGTCACCAAACGCTTCGGAAGTATTGCTGCAGCCCAACTTCCTATTCATTATATGTTGTCTATGCGGAATCGCTATTCCCCGCTGGCAGTCATCTTCGGCACGTCTCACGAACAGCTCATCCACTGGCATCAAATATGTGGCAGAATCATTATGATCCTAATTGGTCTTCACGGTGCATTGTATATCAACTATTTTGTTCAGACGGGAATTCTCGTCGAACGCCTGCAGACTCGCCCATCTATGACCGGACTATTATGCTTGGCCTTGATGTCCGTGCTTACAATCACAAGCATCGAGAAATGCCGACAATGGAGCTACCGAGCCTTTTACTTCTGCCACCTAGCGATCGGGCTGGTAGTATTGCCCATTCTCTTCTCTCATACCAGTCATCTCCGGTGGTATGTGGCTGAGACCCTGGCACTGTTCATTGCCGATCGGATCCTCCGACGAATTGACACCATCACCGACTCGGTAACCATAACTCAGGTCCCCGCTACGGACTTGCTCAAAGTTCAGGTTCATATTCCAGCGTCCAAAGTATCTCGCTTCCAAGCTAAGCCCGGCCAACACGTCTGTATGTGCATTTCCACTGGGGGTGGATGCAGTGGCGCAAACCGCTTGCTGTCGAACCCGTTCACAGTGGCAGGTGTATCTAAAGGCGAGATCACACTATTTCTGCGAACCCGTCGGGGTCCCACGACACAGACGCTGTTGACCCATGCGGACCGATTCAGCGCCCAACCTGTAATTGACATCGAAGGGCCATACGGGTCTTCTGTTGACATCGCAGATGTCACCGGAAAGTTCGATCGCATCCTCCTTGTGGCTGGTGGAATAGGAGCGACATTTGTGCTACCTGTCTACCGGGCGTTGCGTGAACACTTCGATGGCGAAGTTGGTGGCCACAAACGTCTCAACTTTACATGGGCTTTGCGATCCTCAGCAGAGGCTGCTTGGGCTGCAGAGCTCGAAGATCAGGTATTTGCAGACAATCCCGATGTTCACATTTACTTGACTCGACAAGCTTCCCTAGAGCATTCCTTCCCCAATTCCTCCTCTGAAGGGATGGAGATGGGCGAGTTGCGGACGTCGGATGGATTAGTCGGAAAGTCCAAGACACACATGGGACGGCCTAATCTTAGGGAAATTGTGGACCAGACATTCAGGTATCATGGCGAGGAGTCTGTGGCAGTCTTCTTCTGTGGACCACAGGATATGGGGCGTGAGCTACGGGCCCATGTGGGGAGATGGGTGGCTAAGGGACGTTATGTATTTTGGCGTCAAGAAAGTTTTGGATCTTAATTTATCCAGGGATATTCTAACATACTATACACGCTATATCGTTGTGGTGTAGCAAAGACTAAACTTAATTCCTTACTCTAGTAGTACAATGCGTACAAGATAGCGATGCCAACAGTCAACTTCAGCCTTCTCCATGCAAACAGTACATTTGGAGACCGGGGGGGTTCCTTTGGTGACCTTCAAAGTTGGAGCCTGACATAAACTGACTCAAATGTAAGGACAATAATAGAAGATCCATCTATAAATTACTGGGATTTTGATTGGAAACGTAAAATTGCTCTGTTTCCTCTATTTATTATGCCGAAGGCATACACCTTCCACCAATCAGCATGTTAGCTCAGGGGAACGAGCGCCGGGCTCATAACCCGGAGGTACGTTACACCGATTCACCAATTTCCTTCACAACATGAAAACTAACAATCAACAGGTCCCTGGATCGAAACCAGGACATGCTATGTCTATCTTTTTTTTTCCTTTCCTCTTTTTTCCTTATTTATTTATTGCCCTTCCTTTTTTATTACTACTATTATTTCTTTCTCAATACCAGGTATCCAAGGAAACACCATTCTCTCATACCTGCATGATCACCCAGAATGTCATGACATCAGAAAGTCCACCATCATCTTGATCTTACGAATAGTCCTGGAGCTGGAATTTGTGAGCTCCGTATGAGTTGTCAAACATCAACCTTCATGACTTCATTGACTATCAGATATAGCCGTATGCAGCTTCTTCCAACTATCTAGAAGCGATGTGTGACCTGGTTCCCCCAGAGCATCATACTGATGTAACATATGTGGATGTTTACTTGACATTGTACAGCACCGTATAAATATCTGATCAACCGCCGCCTAGAGAATTCTCATAGTCTACATATGTAGCTTTCAACATATTTTAATTTCATACTAATCGAAAATGTCACAACGTAATCCAGAACACCACCTCCACAGGTAAGACATCAATCCGATCCAATGAACTCCATGTCACTCACAATCCAAAGGGTCGGCAACTGGATGCCAGCTGATCATGCAGCCCACAAAGAATGGCTCGGAGGAATAATCAAGAAAGTCGACGACGGCGAGGAGCAGCCTCTCCACCCAGTCCTAAAGGAATTCAAAGAACTCATCGAATCCAACACACGCATATACATGCTCTTGAGCTCCATGTTCAACGAAGTCCCACGCAACAAGCGATACGGCCACGACCCAACAGGCAATCCCGAAATCCGCGACTATTCCCATTTCCTATATGTCATCAACCACCTCCTCACCACCGCGCCTTCCTGGACCGACAAGGCCCACCGCGTCGGTCTAGTCGGGTTACCCATCAATGCCGTCCTCGACTGGCCAATGGGTACACCCAGCGGCTATGCGGCCTTCCTAGATCCCGACATCAACGCGATGATCAAGAAGATCTTGAATGCGTGGGGCGAGTTCCTGCGCTCTCCCGCCTCCGCTGAGGTGCTGAATGACAGCGCTCACGGGTGGTTCGGTAAAACCGGCCGCCGGGATCTGACAGCCGTTGCGAAGATCGGTGTGCTGGCCGCGACGGATTTGCAGTTCCACGATATGTACGATTGTGACCCGTCTGCGCCAAATCACGGATACAAGTCGTGGGATCATTTCTTTACCCGCACGCTCAAGGAGGGAATACGGCCTGTTGAAGACCCGGATGACGGGAAGGTTATCGCTAACGCGTGCGAGTCGCAGCCGTATCGGATTACCCGCCATGCTCGTGCGCGTGATAAGTTCTGGATTAAGAGTCAGCCGTACTCTGTGCTTGACATGCTGGGTCATGATCCTCTTGCGTCGCAGTTTGTTGGCGGCACGGTTTATCAGGCGTTCCTTAGTGCGTTGAGCTACCACCGTTGGCATTCGCCTGTTAGCGGGAAGGTCGTCAAGGCTTACGTTGTTGATGGCACGTACTATTCTGAACCGCTGTTTGAAGGCGTCGGGAACCCAAAGGCCGAGCAGAAGGACATTGATATGGCGGGTCAGGTTACTTCGCAGGGATATATTACTTCGACTGCGACGCGGGCGCTTATTTTCATTGAAGCGGATGAGCCAGCGATTGGGTTGGTGGCATTCATTGGAGTTGGTATGGCAGAGGTCTCGACTTGTGATATCACCGTGAAGGAGGGGGATAGACTGAAGAAGGGAGATGAAATTGGTATGTTCCATTTTGGCGGTTCGACACATTGTCTCCTTTTCCGGAAGGGGGTCCATGTGTCCGGGTTCCCAGAGCCTGGGATGAAAGAGAACAAGCCTGTCCGAAGCAAACTGGCAGTTGTCTTGTGAGGAACGAAATGTGCATGCTCAAATCACCAATTTTGGTCGTGTAATTCATCCATAGTGCATTGTACATACAATCAATAAGATAACTCGAATAACACCATCATAGATAATCCAAAGTTCATGTACTTCCCGATTATCAGTCTACTGCAGGCTTTGGGGCATAGCATTGATATCAATCTGGGAGGGGGAGTAAATTGCCTGTTTATAACAAGGCTAGGCCTGGTGATCTCGTGCAAGGTCAAATGGGAAATGGAGGGTAATCGCGTACAATTTTGATGCTTATTTTCCCGTAGCATTAATCTGACAGGTCTCGCGTGTACGACTGATTGTGTTTTGACCTTGGTTCACGCGACCTGCGGCCCGTCGCAATAAACTGGGATCTAATGTGAGCCTTGAAGTACTGCTTGTATCTGCATTATGAACCACCACTACACGTGGCACGAATGTAGTTTAATTCATGAACTCCCCCGATCATTATTGTCATGTGAATAGCGACCGGAGGAAGTGTCGAGTGACTGCAATATACTGGACGACCACGTGACCCGTCGTATTATCAGCGGTTGCTCCAACAACAATCAATCCGGGGTTCGCACCGGGGAATAAATATTCCAAACAATAAACTTATCTTGTCACTTCTCATGAGTCCCCAGCGAAAAAAACTAGGCTCAAGTTCGCAGCATACGATGTTGCATTCAATTCGCTCTGATGTCTGCTGGGCAAACCCCTGCGATTTTGTCCTGGGCCGAAGAAGTTGCGAGGAGCGCCCCCAAACCCGAGCTGATACTGATCGGTTCGAAACCCTGGTGGGCGACCATTCAGGTCCAGTATCTCATCACAAACGAAAGAGGTCGACATTCGAGGCCGAGGACTCAATGACGCAATCAGACCCTTCCAGGAGACCCTACCGAACTGCTTCTGAAATAGGATCCACAGTTTCCGTCCGTCTACCTGACGACATTATCTCTCTATCCCCATCCAGATCGGTGATTAGTCGGGGTGCTGGACGATCACGTTCATCGAGTCTAATACGCGTCAAAGCCGAACTAGCCACCGCCAGCCCCCGGGTGGTATATATACATGAATCTGCCGATCCGCAAAACCTCGCTGCGAGTCAGCTACTAGCAACTCTAACACACGATTCTGAGTTCGGTGAGAATGAAGACGTTGCCCGGAGGATCTCGAATGCTTCGTGCCAATGTGCTACTGAGCTACGCAGTAAAGGTTCGTGGGTGCATAAGGTAGCACTACCACTATTAGAGGGCGCTATTGCAGAACTACCTTTGGAATGTTGGAGCGTGTATGTTACACAAAGGCTTTGTGTATCTCTACTCACTACTGATCTCCGGTAGTCAAATCGAGTCCGTTGACCCCCAGTATCAACCTCGCTATACAGCCCGCGATACATATAACCGGAAAATTGAGTTGGTTGTTGGCCTTCCTTTAGACGCTTGGGAAGATGAGTATGAAATGGCGGGGCTCCGTACCCCAGGGAAGTATTTCAACCATATGACCCATCCCCACACCGGGAAACGTGTTCTGGGCCCCAGTGTAGAAATTAAAGCCGCGGATGGAAATTTGGTAGAAGCGCAAGTCCAGATTGGGGTATGGATGACAGGGCTCCTGATGTGGGCTTTTGCACAGCGTAAGAGTGTGAAAGACTTGCCTCCACTTGTTGGTTGCACCGCTGTTGGGGAGGACTGGAAGTTCTATATTGCAACCGGAGTCGAAGGTTCTGGGGTCTTAAAAGAAGTAGTAAGTAATATGCTTTAATGATTTGGCTTCAATGGCTAACTCCGTCTCCTATAGCGCATCTGGGGACCTTTGTCTGACCTAGATGGCCGTACCACAAGTGTGAAACATACGAAGTCTCTTCTTAGGACGCTTCGTCGAGTCATGGAGTACACAATCGGGCAGTACAAGGATGAGATTTTCCAAGCAATTACTTCTGAAGCTTGAAGGTTACTTTCCAACGCGGGATTCATTCCACTTTCTGAAATACGTATATGCAAGCAAACTTCGTTTGGAGCCTTCTATCCGATAGCGTCTTGGTCGTACCTTTCAGTTGTTGGACACTCTTATACCACCTGGCCACGGCTAGGTCTGTGTTCTTACCTCATAATAATCGGGCTTGCCCAACATACGTCAAGTACTGTCTGGAGCGTACAGCGTCATGGCACTTGTAAATCCTCCAGTTTTCCCCCGCTTCAAACTGCTGCGCTTCCTCACCGACCCTTGAGGGAACTCAGAATTGTCGAGCATTTCCCAATGCGGAAAGTCGCAAAGTATAACGCATGCGGTCTGTGCTATTGTGCTATATAATCACGAGAACTCGTTTATTTGCGGACCCATTTATTTCATCTAGCTTGTCAAAAATATATTCTGAGATGAAGTCCAAGCTCGTGGTATTCGCATTGTCTTTGGTGTTGAGCCAGGGCTTGGCGGAGGAGCGCCACCCCCTTGTTGGATCCCTTGGTGCTCTTCGCATATTGCACTACAACAATCTTGGCCCTCAGAACAATGGAACTTCGGCTGTTTTGGCTCATGATCACTCGAGCTATGCTGGTGCTGCTGCAAAATGCACTGCTATCGGCGAGAAGCTCCTCCCATGGTCTGCGAGGCAAGACACCAGTCGAAGTCACACCGAACTAGATTATGAACTGGACTATCTCGTATTTGCGAAAGAGCTACAAGACGATGATTACTTGTGGCTGTCGACAGAACAGGAAGATAGCCAGAACTGCTTTGCTTTGTCGATATCCCATCGCAAGATCGTACAGAAATCATGTCAAGACAAGCTACCAGCCCTCTGCACATCTACTCCGCCCGCAACAACCGAGCTCGACCGAGAGGCAAGAGAAACCACGAAGCTGTCCGTGGCATCTGACGATTATACCGTAACCGGATACCGAGATGCGCGATCCTTCCGCTTCCTCGGCGTGCCCTTTGCGACTCCCCCAGTCGATGACTTGCGCTTTGCCCCACCGCAAGCTTACACTGGACCGAAGAACATCGATGCCACTAGCATGGCGGATTCGTGTATCCAATCCCCTTCAAGCCTTACGAATGTGCCTATTGGTGGAATGTCTGAGGACTGCCTCTACTTGAACATTTTCACCCCATTTCTGCCTCACAACGTCACCAAGAGCACCGCGCTCCGCCCCGTGGCCGTTTATCTGTACGGGGGTTCATTCATAAAAGGCACTGCAAGTATGATAGATTATGACGGGGGAAACTTCGCCAGTCGCAGCGATGTGGTCGTCGTCACGCTTAACTATCGACTCGGAGCACTGGGCTTTCTATCGACGGGGAACCTGACAACTGGGAATTACGGTATTCAAGACCAGATCATGGCCTTGAAATGGGTACAGAAGAATATTGTTGCCTTTGGAGGTGATCCATCCCATGTTACTGTCTTCGGGCAGTCTTCCGGTGGCCAAAGCCTCGTAGCCCTACTCTCTTCCACCGCCGCAAAAGGACTCTTCTCCGGCGCGCTGGTGCAATCAGCAAATTTCGACCTCCCGTGGTTTCCTCGCGCTGTTTACTCAAAATACATCGCCCCAGAGGTCGGGAAGGCAGTTGGCTGCGACGACGCTTCCGAAGCAAGTCTACTCAAATGCCTTCGCTCCGTCCCGGCTTCAAAGTATCTGGATAACTCAACCGATTTCCAGACTGCGATGAAGATCTTTTCATCCAACGTTGCAAATCACTTCTACCACAGTACAGAGCTGATATCCGCAGCCGAACCATTCATGCCAATGGTAGACGATACAGGGTCGGGCGTAATCGACGACCAATTCAACACTCTCCTAGCCAACAACAACCTCCCCATCAACGTCCCAACCATGTTCACCAACGTCCGGGACGAGGCAAGCCTCTACATGGACACTCTCGGCTCTACTCCGGCCCCACTCGCTGTATTGCTTAACGCGACATTCGGCGACGCTCTCGCGCAGAAGATTATCTCCTCTGGCGTGTACGACGTCGATGATTCGGACACCGATGCTGTTCTCAATGCTCTTTCAGATGCCCTGACCCACAGTACATGGACTTGTCCACAGGGTTATCTTCTCGATAATTACCTTTCAGCCTTCCCGTCCTTATACGAGATACAAATAGCAGATGGTCATGCGCAGACATCCAATATGCCGGATATCTGTTACCCGAATGGTGTATACAACGCTTCCTGTCATACCTCGGATATCCTGCTCGCGTGGGGTACGCTGAATACCAAGACAGAAGATGTGCGTCCGTACTATGATGATCGGGATATTCTTCACTCGCAGCTCGTCCACGATGTGTTCGGCGGGTTTTTCCGCGAGAGGAATCCAAATCCGGATTTGGAGTTCTTGAAGGTCCGCGGTCCGGCCTATGCGAGTACTCTCTCTATATTTGGCGGGGAGATTGGTTCAGATTCCTCCATTGGGCGCGCTGAGAATGGGTTTGTTATCGAGCAGTACACACCATCAGAGCGGAATATGACGGTTCTGGGAATGCCGCCGTCTACTACGGTTAATGCCGAGGAGGATGGAATTTGTGCTGTGCTGCGTGATTATGGGTTTACTTTCCAGAGGGCGCATCTGTCTGATTGAATTTATGTTGTATTCAGCTTGGTTATTCATCAATAGCTACAATCAACGATTCGTAAGTTGATAGGGTCATACCATAGCAAAATTCCACCACCCGTTGGATATTCTTCATCACGGATAACGGAAGCGATTTAAGCTTCGAACATAATGGGGTCTACACGGTGCAGCTTGAAGTTTATTTTTGTGTGCTCTGATATATTTGATCTCGTGGAATATTCATTCGAATGGAGAGTATCATTGGTGCAAAGAAGCAGGGAAAACCAAAAGAAACAAAATGCCCGCCAAAAATAAGAGGAATGCTAGGTCTGTCGTGATAGAGATGAGATGCCAAAGCCAAGGGGTTGAGTCATGTTAGTGATAGATGTGTAGAGCCAATGCTCGGATGCCCATATGCCCAAAACGATGAGAATAAATGATAGAAGGAAATTCGTTAGATATCAACGTGCAGGAAGTCGTGAGCATTATTCGTAAATCGGGACCCTCCGCGAGGGAACATATCCGTCATCTTCGGGAACGGTGGCGGGAGGATATCGCTTTGAACCGGAGCTCCGAGGGCTCGCCCATCCGGTTGGGCGAGGGTGGAAGCCAGCACTGCTGTATGATCGCTGCCGCTCTGAGCCGCTTCCTCCACTACTGGGTCGACTATTAGCTGGACTGCCACCACTGTAGCTTCCTCGTCTCATTTCATCTGCGGCGTAAGGTCCAAGATGTCTCGGTACAGCTCTTGGGGGTGGTGGAGTTGGTGGCCTGTAGAAAGGTGGATCAGGAGCCGCCGGAGCAGGACCCGGGTCGCCGAATATGAATTCGCGGAATTTGACACCCGCGGTGCGCGATCGAGAACGGTCCTTTGCATGCTCCTTTGGATTTTCCTTTGGGTAATCCCTTGGGTGCTCCCTATCTCTTTGATGATCCCTTGGGTGATCTCTCGGGTGGACCTTTGGGGAAGGCTCAGAGTGGGATTTACTAGATCGTGAAGAGTGACTTTCGTGCCCATGGCGATATCGAGTAGGACTTGCGGGCGACAGATCTCGGAATGGTCTGCGGATGTAGGCTTCGTGAGAGTGGCGTCTGGCATTACTGTTGGAAGGTGGTGATAGATGACGCCGCTCTCGGTGCCTATGGGGTTTGGCACGGTCCTTGCGGTGACGTGCAGACTCATCTGAAGACACTTCAGAGACATCTGGAACTTCACCTGTCCCTGGGCTTAGTGGATGGCCATGCCGACCACCTTGGCCTCGTCCACTTGAACGGGGCACAGGTTCTCCCCATGGGGGAGGGGATGAAACTCGCGGGGTCGAAAATCCCGGCCGAGTGCCTCGAGACCTGCGTGCAGAAGACGCGGGATATTCTCCACTGTATCGTCGGCGGTGATTGCGATGGTCGCTGGGCCGATCGGGATCCACCCGACTGTGGCGCTTTGACGTCGACCGGCGTGAGAAGTAGTCATCCTCGTCGGGCAGAGGATCCTTGCCACTGAAATGGTAATGATATGTCCCAAAGTCTGGCGGCGAAGCACGCTTCGTGTGTCTTTTCAAATAGTCGCGCTCCAATCGCCGACTCACACCTTCATGCCATTCCAGCATCTCCGGGTCAGGCTCAGAAGGAAATGCGTCTCGAGGGATTGTCTTCGGAAATATGTCGCCATTTGCATCTGCAATATCCCAAAGCTCCACCGCATTCTGCAAATACACGGAATGTTCATCTGGGTCCATCAACAGCTGTATTGTCTGCCACCGCACAAAGCCATTTGGAAGTAGTGAGGGGATCGATGGAGGTTCATAAGGATTGGCCGAGGGTTGTAAACTGTGAAAACATCCTAGTGACTGGTATATGAATGATAGGGCTTGTGCCTTGGTCTCGAGAAATAAAGGGTCGTAGTTGCCGCCAACTTTGCGGTAAAAGGCAGCGAGTCGTTCGGGAGTTATATCACAGGTGCCGTTGGCATCAAAGGTGGGCTTGAGAGAGGTCAATATGGTGTCTGGTCCAAAACACGGTCTAGAACTTACCATCAGCTGCGCGATCCCTGAGACATAGCTGTTCCAGCAGTGGGGCTGGGCTCTTGTCTGAATTGATCAATGTACCCCAGTGAATATCCGCAGAAGCCATGGAAGCGGGGTATGAAGAGAGAAGTGCATGCAAGCAGATGCATCAAAGCATTTCATCTCGAGGTTGGGCGCATGTTAAGGTGTTGACGAGGAAGAGAGCGGTCAGGCACGAACGGGACCCACTGCGGGGGAACCAAGGAACTGCGAACTATGAAAGTTTCAAGATTGATAAGTGAGATGAAGTGAGCATGAATGTGATATATAGATGAGGTACAAAGAACATTCAAAATTCTACGATAGTAAGCTGTCTTGCCTCATATCTCTATCCCAATTACACAGAAAGAAAAACATGTGACTTGATGTCATCCATACCCGTGACTCACATACAACGTTGCATGACTGTGAAGCCTGATGTGGCGCCGTATGACCCAATCAGCCGTTACCTAAAGAGCAAAAAGTCTCAGCTAACTGGTTGGAATTCTCAGCGTAATAGAAATAAGTATAGACTTGCCTAGACAGGTTCTGCTGGATGCCTAGAATAGGTTAATGACGGGAGGGGAAAGAGTGTTTTTAATCCTAGCCTTGCATGGATGAAAAAGCCCGTGGCGGTCACAGCTTGCTTACACGTGACTCCTTTTGTTTGATCTCTTCTCATCTGCAAGACCCGATCATTTACATTTTTCTCTGTCACCTACACTGGGAACATGCCTCCAACACTCAACGATATGGCGTCTGCTACAGCGTCGAGTAGTCCCCAACCTTCGACCCCCAAGCCTCACTTGGATGTGCACTACACTGCGCCTGGATTTTGCCCTCCGCATCCCGATACTGTCGACCAACTTTGCGAGGACCGAAGCAACCTTGTCTTCTGCCATGGTGTTATGATTGTAAAGATATCACCTGAAGTCGCCGTCAAGTTCGGCCCTCATATCAACATTATCGAAGCCAAACACATGATTTGCGTTGCGCAGAATACAGGAGTTCCTGTGCCCAAAGTTTTTGCATATTATACGTACGGTCCGATTAATCGTGATCCTGACGATTCCGGAGGCCTTGACGATCACTACATCTTCATGAGTTACGTTGCCGGCGAAACACTCTATGAAGCTTGGAACTCCTTTAGCGTCTCCACCAAATCTCACCTTTCAAAACAACTTGCAAACTATGTCCAGGAGATCCGCGATATGGAGCCTGCTGGATATATTGGCTCTATAGATCGCGGCCCTGTTACTGACCGCTGTTTAGCGACCTCCCTTGACAAAGGAATAGCACCAGACCTTGGGAATGGAATACGTAGGGACCATTATATCTGAACTAATCTTTTTTTTCAAAAGGCCCATTCGATTCGGAGCAAGAGTTTAACACCGCATTTATCAACAACTATCTGAAGAATGCGCCGAAACGCCACATCAAAAGTTTTCTCAGTGGGATGCTTCCTGAATCCAACCGCATTTTATTTGCGCATGGTGATCTCCGGCCTCACAATATCATCGTGAAAGATGGAAAAGTGGCCGCCATTGTAGACTGGGAGCGAAGTGGTTGGTATCCGGAATACTGGGAATACGCAAAGGCTCTACTTGTCTGGCACTGGCAGAGTGATTGGACGGAATACCTGGTACAAATTCTTCAACCGTACCACGCTGAGTATTTCATGCACTCTTTTCTGATGGAAAAGCTATTGATTTAGCCGGGATGTGTCCTGCCAAATGCACTTTTATTCCATATACTCCATCTCAGAGATTTCACACTTTATCGCCCCTGGGCTTTGGAAAGATTCACTGCCTGAGCTCTGTCATGACGTTGGATCCTCTTTCTGCGCCTAGCTGTTCCAACTTGATTCGATCGTGGCTTTCTCGTGTAATCGTTGATACATTATAAACGTCATAATACCCTTTCATGCGGTCCACAAAGAAAGGTTTGACCACGAGTATACCGAATCGGTAAGCGAGGGGTCGACCAAGTCAAAGTCGGCGTCCGGCTGGGCTAGAAACTCTTCCATGCTCTCTCCTAGAAACGCCATATCGTTCGTAGGGTTTGTCGGGGCAGAGGATTCATTCATGCCAGAGGCAGCGGTATTCCCCAAAAGCCCCAGCTGGTTAGGGGCAAGGACAGCAAGAGAGTCAGTCGAACTCTCTGCAACTCGAGATGACTCATTCTGGAGATGGCCGCCTTCTGACCCTCTTCTCCCATTCAAGCACAGCTTGACGCATTCTAAGTTATCATAGAATTCGGTCGCAGCGAGATTCCCGTGGCTGCTCATCGCCCGTAGAATTTCGAAAGCTGCCTCAAAAAATGCAAAGTCATTGCTATTCTCGGGGTATACCAGACTTGAAATAACCATTATCAGTGCCGAAGAAAAGAGATAGTGAGCATAGAAATATCCGAAGATTGGGACTGATCCGTTGGTCCATTCTTCCACGATCAGCGAGTGGGTATGTCTTGCAGCGTGAATACACGCATCACTGAGTGTTTTTAGAGTCTGGCGGATGTTCGTCTGGGAACTGTCCTCTGCAATGGACTCTGGGGATGTAGGTTGGATCAGCGCGTGCAGAAGGACCGGCCGACTGGCTAGCATTATACACTGCATTCCATTAGCTGACATCCATTCCGAGCTAGACTATCCACTTACCTGGTTGAATTGAAGATGCAGTGATATAACGTTCATCGGAATGGGACCGTCGCGGCTGAGCCGAAGTTGTGGGGAAGAGCACAACTCCACTCCTTGAGAGAGATGAGCAGCTTTTGCTCCCGCTGCAGGAAGGACTCCGCGAACACTTTTCGGCTGTACACACGATCAATGACCTGACCAGTGATCTTGGCCAACTCAATACTAGCGACGAGAAATTCAGTGTCGGGGGTATGATCGTTATGGATATCGCCAGGCACATTCGATGGCATGTCAACGTAGATGTCTGCGTCGGAAATTTGAATCGGCCAGCCGACCTTCGAGCCGTACATTCGGTCGAATACATATATTGCCCACCATAGTCTGGTCCGATGCTGACGCTGCACGGGGTCTGGGCACTTGCTTTCTGGGATGTTGTGATTCAGACCCACAGTCAACCCGAGACGCATGGCGCTGCCGACCAACAGAAATGCCGAATGGCGTCGGTTCAAGAAGAACGAATAGAGCGACTGCAATCATTAGTATATAAACACTGTACAGTGGAAGTGGTAAGTTGCTTACCAAAAGTAAAAGCGATTCAATATGTGCCAGGCTCGGCCGTTCCGGCAAGATAGGTATCATTGTCATCGCATTCACATAATAGGCCACGCCAGGGACGTTGCATTCAAGGCTCGGGATTGATCGCGCAGAATATACTTCTCCAAGAGCAAAGAGAGCAAAGAATTTACATGACAATACGGGATCGTCAAAGTTACTCTCTCGATAGGCCTCCTCGAGCTGGTCAATGGTCGACTTGCGAAGAACCAGATGATATACCCGCGTCACCTGATTGAACACAATTTGAATTAGAAGTCGAGCCTGGGCCAGGCTGGGCCATTGCATTGCGGGATTGCGTATTCTCATCAACGTAGCTTCTGGCGTGTATTGCGTCCGAGGCATGTGAGAAGTGGTCTCGCTCTTGGTAAGAACTTTTCGGAGCCTGGTGGCGAATGCCGTGCATGCTGCTTCACAGACGTGAATCGGTGGTAATGAAGGGTCGTATGGTAGGAACCATGCCCTTTCACCGAGCATTGGGTTCCGAACATGTGTATCTGCATCTGGTTCGTGTACATCTAGAAAAGGTCGTTAATGGGAGTCACTGGAAATAGTCAAGAAACACACCATCATCATGTACTTGATATTCTTTTGGCGTTAGGAAACTAGGTGATTGTGATAGTTGGCTACGCAAGCGCTGGTTTTCTGCGGCCAGTTCCTCAAGATAACTGGAAGATTTAGCCTTGCAATGGAGAAAGCCAAGCCTAGTGGAGCATACCTCTCGTGCACTTTAATTTGACGATCTCGATTGACATAGTGGCATTCGGCAGGACAGCCAGCCTGCCGACATTTAAGACACGGCTGGCCACCAGAGCATTTTATTTTGTGTGAATGGCACCTCCGGCAACTTTAGACGTCACATTAGCGGATAGACTTGGAGATAGGTTATCTGGACTTACGCGATGGACTTCTTTTTCTGTTTTCTGATGGCTGGATCACTGGTTGGAATATTTGATGAGGACTTCATATCTAATATAGCAGATGTAATTTTAGGAGATGAATGAAGTACGGAGGAATCTGACGGGAATTCAGACGATGTCGAGCGGCGAAATTTCATGTTGCCGAGCCAATCAACGTCCAAGATTCGACCCAGACAATATCTACAGCACAACCGAGTGAAAACTATCTGATACTAACGAAGAAGATAGTCCCCTATAGAAACAATCGTATATTGAACTGTATTACGAGATGAATAAAAAGCAGGATGTGTTTATACTTTCCCTATGCATAATAGATGGTATGAAATATGCAAGTATCCAGATTCGGAAACGGCGCAAATACCTGGTAACACATGTATATATCCAACGGAGTGTGACGGTGTAGACAATGTGGAGCCTATATGGAGAGAAAAGTGTTGTACGTTGGGTCTGGAGTGGAGGAGATGGGGGACAAAAGAGAAGAGAGAGGAGCGAGTAGAGATTTAACTGGCTAGATGGTGTTGAATCTATGGGGCCTGGGGCACCCAACAATTATATACTGCCATGTGGGAGATTATCACAGCATTTAATGTGCAACACAACGACCTAGGTCTGGAGATATGCGTAGTGGTGAGCTGCGAGGGTCATAAACTCACTAGACGAAAGAGAAATGGCAACACCAACTTTTTTGTAAGATCATCTCATGGAGACAGACGTTAGAGAATAGAGTATCCTTAATAGTCTACCATTGAGATTCCAGGGTTTATATCTTGTCCTCGGGTCTATATAAACTGTAATTCAACATTATATGCGCTCATGAAGTTGTTACACAAAGCATCGGTATTGGTTGATCTTTCAGATCAACATATTCTACGTTCGATCTTTATATAATTTCCAGATGCCTCGTTGTACAAATTCCAATGGTACCGAACTATGAAGACTGTGGTTCTGCAAATTCTGCAAATCTTGCATATAATGCAAGGGGTGGTTACACTGATCGCCCGGATTTGCCTTAACAATGATGGCCTGCGTACATCGTACACCCTATATTCGCCATTTGATATGAAGTGATGTATTCTAGACTCGGACGATCATAACCTAAGGTTAGTTATAATACCTAACCATCTTCTTTGATTTATCCTCAGTTATTCTATAAACTAATAAATTATCGGCTTCGAAGTAGATATGGACACCATACGCGAGTCACCTTTGGGTCAACTTTTACGAGCGATTACCGGGAATAAGATTCTACTTTATCCGGAGGAAAAGCCCGGATTTGTTCTACCGGCGAATTTAGAAGAGAAAGGACACCCGATTGAATCCGATCATAGTCTTAGCGACTCCCCCATAACTCCAGCGCCGGCTTCGTACTTCCCGCCGGGTGCCAATTCGGAGGGAGGACACACGCAAGATGATACGAACAATATAGTCGGTTGGTACGGACCAAACGATCCATCGAACCCGAGAAACTGGTCGTCATGGAAGAAAAGACTTGTTACCTTTCAGATATGGTACATATCACCTCACATTATACCTTTGCATGCAACAGTTTGACTAATTCCCGATAGTTTGTATACATTCGCCATATATTCTGGCTCATCAATCTATGTGCCAGCCGAACCGTAAGCTCGAAATCCCACAAGAAGTGCACCACCGCGACTAATTGCCCAACAGCCAGGTAATGGAATATTTCCAAGTCAGTCAGACGAAGGCTTCATTGGGGTTGGCATTATATGTCTTAGGCTGTAAGTTCCTACTACACCTTACCAAGGATAAGTATTAATAGCTCGGTTCTTCTAGATGGCCTGGGTCCGTTGCTCTTCTCGCCCATGAGTGAGGTTCCATTATATGGTCGCAACATCCCGTATATTACCTCCTTCATCATCTTTGTTATACTATGTGTCCCCACCTCTTTGGTAGACAACTACGCCGGCTTTATGGTTCTCCGGCTTCTTCAAGGCTTTTTCGGGAGCCCCTGCCTGGCAAGTGGTGGTGCCTCGATGGGAGATATGGTTCGTGCAAAAATGCCTCTTAGTGTGAGAGGGTGTATTCCTTCTTCTACTAGAGCTGATCAAACACCGGATAGTACTCGGATATTTACCTACCGCTAGGATTGACCAGCTGGGTTGCTGCGGCGTACGGTGGACCAGCACTTGGTCCGGTTTTGTCGGTCTTTTCAATCGCCAAAAAGGGGTGAGGCTCCCAATTGATATTGTGTGTATCATACCAGCGGCTGATTGTATCGTCAGATGGCGGTGGGCAATGTGGGAAATTCTTTGGATGAGTGCACCCATCCTTATCCTTATGGCCTTCTGTCTTCCAGAGACCTCGGCCGATAATATCCTCCTCCGCCGTGCACAGCGACTACGCAGAGTTACTGGGAACACAAAGCTTTTCTCGCAATCCGAGATTACGCAGAATTGTCAAAGATTTTACAACATGCTTCTTGACTCTCTAGTTAAACCTGTCGAGATAATGGTTAAAGATCCGGCCATACTGTTCGCCAATGTCTACACCTCCTTGGTTTATGGAATCTACTACTCATTCTTCGAGGCATTTCCGTTGGTCTATCCGGCCAAATATGGGTTTGATGCTAAGGATGTTGCGCTAATCTTCATCTCAATCGTTATTGGCTGTGCGATTGCAGTTGTTGTCTATATTGTGTATCTCTATACTAGTCTCATGCCTGATCTAAAGGCCAACGGCAGACGTCCACACGAGCACCGCTTACCCCCTGCTCTGTTTGCTTCTTTTGGTCCAACAATCGGACTTTTTATTTTCGGTAAGTAGAAGCACTCCTTTCAAGGTCGGCCTTATATTTCATATTATTAGACTGACTCTTGTCGTTTAGCCTGGACTACCAATGGAAATATCCATTGGGCTGTTAGCGCCCTCGGTATTGTCCTATATGCAGGATCTGTCTTCATCGTGTTGCAATGCGTACTTGTCTACCTGTCGCTTGTGTACCCAAAGTATGAAGCTTCACTATTTGCAGGAAATGATATATCACGATCTGCGGTCGCGTTCGCGTTCATCCTTTTCTCCCGGTTCATGTTCATTGACCTTGGGATTGGCAAAGGGGTGACTCTGTTAGCTGGCTTGAGCGTCCTAGGAATTGTAAGTCTCCTCTTATTCAACATGTGCCACAATTCAGATATGATGGTCATTCCCTATACTAATTTACACCCAGATTGGCATGTTTATTCTCTACATTTGCGGTGCAGGTCTCCGTGCTAGATCTAGATTTGCAGAGCATAGCTAAATAGGGAGTGGCGATAACTTTCGGCTTTACTTTCGGTCTCACTTTTGAAATATATCAGGAGCGGCGATACGCACAATTTGTGGTCTCGGATACAGATACATCGCTTTAAAAATAGAACTCGAAAAATTATATTATCTAACTATACATCTCCACTCAAGGCAAATCGAAAGACATAAGCTGTTGGGAAAAAGTATGATCCAAGTCTGCGACCATATCATCTAGTGAGGGAGTATTCCATGTAGGCGACATTGGCGCTAAAGGATCTATAAATGACTCCGGGGTCTCAAGGTATTCAAGTTGGTCTTGGAAGAATTCCGGTTCGTTGGGTTGCTCCTCACACATGTCTATCCCGCAAGCTTGAATCCGAATTAGTCAGTAGTGTTGTTGTAAACCAGGAAGGGTTCTTCATACCAGAGTCCAGTTCTGCATCTCGCTCAAGTGAATCACACAGCTTGTGGAACTGTCTTGCCAACTGCGCCCGTGACTCGGCGACAGATTCGACTGCTGTCGCTCCATGGGAACCAAGAATGCAATTAATTTCTTCGCTCACTCTCTCGTTACTCCAATCCAGATGGCCAGCCAATGCCTGGCCTATAGCACTGGAAACATCACACCAGCTGTCCTCGGTACGGCCCGCTTTTGCCGCATGATATTCGTTCGCTGTTTGTTTGGCATCGTAAAACTGCGGTTCTGGATGTTCCCAGGCATTGGAACAATATGTATCGTACCTCTCACTGGGTCCTTCGGGAGTTGTAGTGAAGCTGCTTTCCAGTCCGACCTGTGACAGGTTGAGAAGGTTCGAGGATGAGAAGGTCTTTGGCCATCGGAGAATTTGCGGGAGACACATAACTAAATCTCCTGGCTGTACCACAATCTCCTGGGCCTCACCAAATACTTTGTATCCATTTCCACACTTTAATTCTAATGAACTCTGCAGCCATGAGTTCAGCTGGCGATGGAACCCTGGAACCAGTCGGATCTTATGTGCAGTCTCATATGTCGGGAAGACGACAGTGCTTTGGATGTCGCTTGTTCCTTCCCCTTGAACCAGTGACTTAATACGGTCGATTGGGACACCGAACCCTATATCGTCGGTTTGAAAAACAGTGTGTTGTTGATATTCGGCTGGGCGATGAATGAGTTTCGAATTTTGGTCCGGTCTGCATGCGACGAGAACAGCATAATATGCCGGATCCCGTTGTACCATTTCAGATAGCATCCCGTAGCACCGCTGAATCGTGTTTTGATCGATCAAATTGGTATATTCTTGAGCGGCGTTTCTGTTGAGGTACTTTCGGATCCGTTTGAACACACCAAGCTCTTCCATGTAGGAGAAGAAGCCGGGAATATGGAGAAATCCATCCCTTTGCCAACGCCACCAAGCATCGGCAGACCCAGTATAACGACATAGCAGCTCTGTATTGGAACAAAGGATGGGAGCGGAGGTAGAGGGTTGATCGCCTATCAATAACCGTACGTTAGCAAATGTTTGACAGCGGCTGAACGTAGGCACGTACCGATAGAACTATAGCATTCACGCCAGCAGAAGGCTTCCAGATCCTGAATTGCTTTTGTTCTATTTCTATCGCACGGATCCTCTCCGGGGATAAACTGGGCGAGTCGCATTAGGTGGTCGGAGCAGAAGCTACCCCACGACATTGTATATGCCCAGTCCACCAATGCCGTCAGAAGCTTCTTATCAAACTTCGCTTCGGGAGTAGATATTAGGGCGATGAGTGGCAAGCATATTGGAATACATCCACAGCATTGCCACTCATCTGGCTCTTTGTTGGTTTGTAATGGTTGCTCAGGCGAAACTCCCAACGACAGCGGTGTGTCGGGGAGGGACAACGCTTCTGGATGGATGGTGGAAGGCGTGGAGCCAACATCAGCCCCACTATCAGGGCCTTTGCTTTGAGCCGCGCGAGAAGAGGTTCGGGATTTTTTTGCTTGAAATGCTGTAAGCAACGTCCTTAGAGGGTTCAACTGGAGAATACCATCACTTACATTCGCGTGTTGCCAAGCGTGTCTGTGGTATCCCTAAAGTCTCCAATGCCCGTTGGACATCACTTGCCATGAGGCGATTCCTAGTGCGTCCGCGTTCTGGTCTGTTTTTCATACTTTCTTCGAGAAGTGAGACAGACTCCAAATGACCCCGGTGCTTGCTCAAGCAGGCTATCAATGAAAGTAAATGTTTGCTCCAGGTTAAGGGGCGAGTATTTATCGGAAGAGCCTTGTCATAGGGGACCTTCCAGTAGCGAAAGATTGTTTGGATACTTGATCGTTTTGCTAGCTCCGATTTCTTATGTCGCTGTACTATTGGTCGTACAGTTTCGGTATATCCGATAGCCTTTCGGTACTCGCTGAGGCTCTCATATCTCGTAGACCAAAGATCATTCTGACATATCCAGTGCCAAGCGGCACTGATAGATGAAGCAACACGCTCATCGATTTCGGAACTCCTCGTCAGAAGCTCAGTTAAGACGTCCAAGTGCTTATGCTCAGGTTTGTCACGTAATAGAGTTGCGATAAAAGCTTCGGAGGAGTATTCTGTATCACTCGAGATATCTCGTGCCGCATGATCCATGTTGAAAATATTTGAGTTTCGATCTTCATAAGACCTAACGTATGTGGGCTGATCGTCTCCTTTGGCTGTTTTGCTCTTGTCTAGAGACTCTGTCTCCGTTTATATATACCCATAGCCTCAACTCGATTTGGGGCATTGCTTCCCTACCTCGCACCCTCCGCCTGGCTATCTGCAGGGCACTTCTTTGAGTTGCTACACACGTCATATTTGGCGGGTGGTGGTTGCCATCCACGACGAACCATTCATCTCCTGGTAATATATCCGGTGCTATGACGCTTGGCTGTCCAGGAAGATGATGAAAGTTATGCTGGCCAAAGCTCTTAGCATGATGTCTGACAAGATAAACATACTTAAATAGGGCAGTTCACCGGCACTTCATACCCGTCATGAGGCACATTCTGGTGGATCTTGGGCCGGTATATCCCGGTCAACCCTACATTACCTTCCATCGACTCAAGCCATTGGAGGGGAACGGGGAATATAAATTAACAAATGGTAGATTCCTTGTCTATTACTTAATGTTAACAACACGGGAAGCCCGGCGCTATACGCATACTAGCTTCCGAAGTGGATAGATCGACATTGGTTGGGAACAAGTGGTGTCATCGTACTGCATTAGAGTTACTCTGGTATGGTTCTATGCGTGTCAGACTGTGAGCTCAGGCCTGTAACATGGAGGAACAGGGTAATTCCAAGCTTACCAAGCCCCGATCCCCTTTTCTTACTGCTTTTGATTATAGTTCCTACCATCCCACGGACACTATTGTAAACCATAATGTCTGTTCCATACTTCTGTCTACTGCATGCTTCCCGTAGTGGGGCTGGAGCGATTGTGATTGATGTGTTTATATATACAGCTACCAGCATATATTCAACAACGAATGGTTCATTTACCTGCTTTATGCAGTACTTCTTTTTCCTGGTTCGCTTGCTTTAACCCAATCGAAGGCGCTAAAGGGAAGGTGCGATATACTATGCGACATATAGATGCATCAATGGGAACGATAGATCGATCTAGATCTAAGCAGATGGAACGTCAGCGGCACCATGTTGTTACCTTTCTCGTATTAGCAAAGATATCATTGATTCTCTTCGGCCTCATGCTTCGTTCATTAATCATCTCACAACCGGACACAGTCTCATGCGTTTCTTCAAGGCGTTGACGCAAGAACGGTCCACTGATCTACATGCTATTACATCTAGGAAAGGAAAGCTATTTCCCTGTTTGAGGTCTGTATCTTAGATGTCAATGCTCTATCTCCGAGGGGGTTGGTGGTTCGAAGGTAACACAACTTGGATCATTTTGCTTGGTCCCCTTCCAACGTTATGGGTTTTAATTAAACGACAACGCACTGCAGGCCTGTATGGGGCCCAGTTTACGGACAAGCAAGGAGTAGAATTCGTCACGATATACACTGCTCCTCATTGGTGGGACTAACTACCCTCACTACTTAATGTCCTCGGGTGCATGCTGCATACATGCAAGCTCTAACACCTCACCAATATTATTATTCGTATGTTTATGAGGTGTCCTTTTCCGCTTGTTGTTATATTCTCATTTCACTGTTACGCTCCCAGGCCTCCTAAAAAAAAGAAGTAAGTAACGTTCAATTGACCGTACCATAGTAGAGGTCAGGTACATACCACTGAACATCCCACAGAATAGAATCGTAACCAGTTATAGCTATATATACTGAAAGCTAAAGTAGAATGTGACGAGGAAACCACAGACTCTAATGACAAAACGGGCGAGTCACTCACGTATTTCAGTTTTTCACATGCGAGCCACTACCAATGAGCCTCTGCAAACATACATACTTAGGTAGCAGGTGCAATAGACTACTACCTGATATGTCAACAACGGTGGTCTATATAAACCTTTTCTTTGCACCTGAGGGTTTTTGTACGATATCTATCCTCTTTAAGGGGTTCGAGAACTGTACGAAATTGGTGACTGGGATATATATATTTTTGGCCTCGAGGGAGGTAATTTTCGATTTCTTGAGAATCGATATGTACTGCTAACAATGCTTATCTGCCAATAATTGGAATTAAATCAGGTTGAAATATAAAGCTATCTTCTATTATACTATAAGTTCTGTAGATGGCAACTTTCCGCTAGAAGTGTTTTGGCTGCAACTTCTTCTCGGCTAAGATCGGGAAGATGTGCGTTTGCCGACTACCCTCCACATCACGCAGACCGTATTTGCTCTTTTTCTGGGATTATTTGAGAATGGAAGAAATCTAAACTGATTGGATGAACCGGTGAATTCAGTGTCCGGTATAAGAAGAATTCAATTCGGGAAAACGATAGTTGACCGGCACCTCCGAAGTAGAATAAAACACAAAATAGTATTTAACCAATGCATGTCATAGGTACATAGTGTAGCTCCAGGGCTACAGGCTGGGTCAACTAAACACACGCACATGATGAAGTTCTCGAATGTAGAATTTGTTGTTAATAGCTCGTCTGACTCGGCAACTTTCAAGACCCACGACACAATCAATGGCGAAATCGTTTTTACACCTCATCAAAAAACCAACATTGAAGACATAACTATCACATTCAAAGGTACGCGAGCGATGGAAGTAGCACTTCCATACTGATATTGACACGGCCAACAGGCATGATGCGAGTCGAAGTCGAGAACATGAATACCCATCTGGCTTTACCCTTCAATTCACTCCAGAAACCCTTCCTAAGCATGGATATGCCCATTTACGACTACTTTGGGGACACAAATACCCTGAAACCCGGCAAGGGTTATCGACTCCCCTTCAAGTTTATTATCTCCGAGGAACTTCCCATCCACGCCTGTCGTCACCAATGCGCCAATCACCAAATCCAACAAGAACATCTGCAGCTACCTGGAAGTCTCAGCTACCATTCCACGAAATCCCACAAATCACACGACATGTCACCAGAAATGGCGGAAGTGGTTTACAGTATCAACTTTGCACTGTGGCAGCGAGATGGCAAGGCAGGAAGGTCGAAAATTCTGGAAGCAACACATCCCGTGCAAATCCTCCCAACGCGAAACGAACATCCCCCAATACTTGTCTCTGGAAAGAATAAGTATTATCGACTCAGAGCGGAAAAGTCTCTCTCCACAGGGATGCTGCGACATTCACGTGGCAAACTCGTTGCCTGCTCTACCCAACCACCGGCTATCCAGTTGCAAAGTCTCCAGCCAACGAATACAAACGCGTCAACTTCTCTGAAGATCGATCTTCGGTTTGGTGCTGCTCGTTTAGTCCAGTCGCCACCAAGTGTTCTCGCCGTCGAATTTCAGTTACGGGCAATGACATTCTTTGGGCTGGAAGCATGGCAAGATCATCCAGACCTGACTGATGTTTCTACATGGGGTTTACGACGAGACTTCTGGTCTGATTATGTGGCATTGACACCGATTAATGAATTAAATTTGGAATGGAAGTCACAAGAAGAAGGGGACCGCACGATCTTCACTGCGTCGATTGAGGCTTGCGTTTCACTGCCTACCCATCGACGCTATCCACCTACTTTCCATTCGTGTTTCGTATCTCGGGTCTATGCCCTGAAGGCAACGTTGTTCTATCGAGCACATGGAAATGCTCTGGGTAGATCATCTATATCGGTTTCTGTTCCAGTCGAGATTTGTACAGCATGACGAGATAACCCGGCGGCGACAGTGTACCACGTACGGATCACGTTGCGCTTCCAGATTAATCGTTCAGACAATGCCATCCCAGTGCCATACAGTTACCCACGTGAAGCAGGTTCTGAAAGTGATATCAGATACAATCCGTTCTTCACACTCTACTCCGTACCACAACGTCCTCTTGGATCAAGAGTTCAAATTAATGTTGTTGGAAGCAAATCCCGGACTGCATTCCTAAGCCCTTGTCTACCAATCTTATTACTTGAATGTCAACGATCAACAATTCCATCGCTGACGAATCTCTCATTTGGGTTCCACATTTGTTCCAACATTCCACGATCGACATGCCATCTACGAACCGACATTCAGCCAAAACAATACCCAATGTCAGTAGCTGCCAGCCTTCCTTTTCTTGCCCATGGTCTAGGCGCGGCTATTTTTTTACACAAATCACCACCTAAACAGGCTGCCGATCGTGGTTTGATCGGTATCCCAGACCTCGAGGGAGTATGTACATGTGTCAGTAGTGAGAATTCCACACGCGGCATTTGACCGCTAAGGCCCCTCTATTGAGAGGATAAGTGCAGCTCGTACCCCTAGCCTGTGTTGTGAAAGTTGGCGTTTCCTTACTGCTAGCCAGTGAATTGCTGCCCATCTTCAATCACCACTCCGACCAAATACATCGAGGTCCTTACCTATTGGACGCCTCTTCAATTCGATTACTTGATACAATCGCATCTTCAGTCACCAAGGGTTGGGTTCTTCTCAGCCTGTCACCCGTGGACACGACCATCCCTTGGGTCATCCAGTCAACCACAACACAACCAACGCGTCCGCTTCGGTTCGATAGAACACCTTACCATCATGGCTCTTGTTCGAGACCCATATTTCTGGAAACGGTTCTCAACTGCAGTCCACATGGATGAAGAGCTAAGAGCAGTTGACCAGGGCACACAAACAAAACAATACGCGTAAGACAACCTTATCTCCCATATCTTTTGCGAACCTCAGCTCACCCCGACAGGGCATCATGGCTATCCCAGGAAAGGCGAAAGAGCAGACGTTCCATTATCTGGGGCGTTGTTATTTTCTTTGGTGTGGTGCTCATCATCATTATTAGCGTGGTTCTATGGTGGCTTTCTAAGAACAACTGGCTCCAACCTCGGCCGGATACCACCCAATAACCAGCTTTGGCTAGTGAGAGGCGTTCTTGTTTAAAATTTGGCGTTTATCTGGAGTTTGCATGACATTGGAGATATACCCGCCGCGCCTCCAAATGGCGTTTGGCATTTTGCTTAGATAGCTTTTACATAGAACTGCATACAATGGACAATTTAAATCATAATCATACATCGCTATCTCGTTTATCTCGTTTATCTACGACCCCAAGGCTATGTATAATATACTTCACCTAAAGCGCGTGCACTTGCCGTAACAGGGATAGTGTGTCTGGGCTGTGGCTTCTTATCTCTACTGTGGTGAAATCGCCGCCGGTGTTCAGTCGCCAGCATTTAGTGATTTCATTCAAAATTTAGCTATTCAGAACAGAAAAGCAGACATTAGTATACGTACATAAATTATATCCATACAAATATAACTTGTATCATCGAAATGGGAAGGTTGTCAGGTGTCCACGGTTAACCTCGGTGCTAGCCGTATCGCATTCTCCACTTCTCCAATTCCCCCGCATATAAGACCCCAGACCCCCCCGACTTCCCTTCTCTTCCTGTACCCCACCGACATTATGCTTCCTCCTTTTGATTACTTCGAATACCGCCGCATAAGGTAAATTGTCTTTGTCCTTTGCGGTTTACTTCTCCTGGAGCTAACAATTACAGGAACCAAAAACAAAGCGAGCGAGAACTCCGCTTTACGGGTCTTTCGCACCAGTATCACCTCCGAATTATCGCCCAGGACCGGAAGATCATTGATCAACCTATCGAGGAGCTTGTTCACGATGTTCAAGATTCAGCTGTCTCCCCACTCGATATCCTCCGCACATATGGAAAGGTAGCCAAAAGGGCTCAGGAGCGGACCAACTGCATTACCGAGGTGATGCTCCCCAAGCCGAGTCGTGGCTGGAGTCGGAGATCAACCTGAAGGGTCCATTGGCCGGTATTCCGGTCTCATTGAAGGACTCTATTAATGTCAAGGGATTCGATACAAGTGTTGGGTATGCGTCTCTGGCCGGAAATCCTGTTATGGAAGATGGGCCTATGGTGAAGCTCTTGAAAGACGCCGGTAAGACCATGATTCTTGATACAGATTCTTTCACAGATGAATTGATACTAATTTTTACAGGCGCTGTCCCATATGTGAAGACTGCTCTGCCAATCACACTGCTCTCTTTCGAGTCATCTAACGGGCTCTGGGGTCAATGCCGCAATCCGCATGTCCCTGCATACTCGCCTGGTGGCTCAACCGGCGGGGAGGCAGCGTTGCTAGCGCAGGGTGGCCGTATTGGTATTGGATCTGATGTTGCTGGCTCAGTGCGCGTTCCTGCCGCTTGGAGCGGTATCTATTCACTACGCTGCAGCACTGGCCGATGGCCCAAGGGTGGCGTAAACACCAGCATGCCCGGTCAGGAGGGTGTTCCTAGTGTGTTTAGTCCTATGGCCCGTACATTGGACGATTTGACTTACTTCACTCGTGCAATTATCCGTATGGAGCCCTGGAAATATGAGCACAGTGTGCACCCCATCTCTTGGCGCAGCGAGGTCGAGTCTGAGGCTCAAAACAAGCCTCTTCGCATTGGTCTGATGACCTCTGATGGTATGTATCCAATCATTCCAACCTCTCAAAAATGAAAGTCAGTTACTTACAAATATCTCAGGCGTCGTGCCCCCGACTCCAGCCATTGAGCGCGCCATCGCAACAACCGTGGCTGCCCTCACCGAAGCCGGCCACACCGTATCAGAAATCACCACCCCACCCAACGCAGACCCCTTCACAGGTCTGAACCTCGCCTCGCAACTCCTCAACTCCGACGGCTGCCACCACTTCAACGCCAAGCTCAAGAGCTTCGAACCATCTGACCCAGGCGCCAGCCAACTCTCCCGCATCGCCCACCTTCCCCGTCCGCTCCGCTACCTCTACTACCTCTACGTGCGCTACATTCGTCGCGACAAGGTCTCGGCCACTCTCATCCGCGACTTCGGCCCCAAGTCTGCCGCCCAGCTGTGGACTATAACCGCCCAGCGCGAAGCCTTCCGGGCCGTCTGGCACAAGTGGTGGGACGCCGAGCCCCAGCAATATGATTTCATCCTGTGCCCTGTCAATGCTACCCCAGCTCTGCCGCACAATGCCATGCACGATGCCGTCTCCTCGTGCGGTTACACCTTCCTGTGGAACTTGCTCGACTACTCCGCCGGTGTTATTCCCGTAGGACATGTAGACCCTATCCGTGACGCCCTCGCCGCACCCTATAAAACCGCTCTCAAGCGTCTGGGCTGTGACCACGGCATTGCGCGCGGTGCGTGGAAACACTACGACTCGGCCAAGATGGCTGGCCTCCCCACTGCTGTGCAGGTCGTCGGTCGCCGCTGGCAGGAGGAGCACGTCCTCGGTTACATGGCTGCTGTGGAGAAGGCTCTGGAACAGTATACTGATCCGCAGACCGGTGAAAACTGTCGCTATACCCTGTTGGAAATTGATTAAGTTGGACTAGCCGTTGATTCGACGGGGAAGTCTTCCGGACTAGTATATTATCATATCTCCCTAGATTACCCGTTAGTACGTGCATGCAGTTACCTAGTTCGTATCCGGTATAGTTTCATATGTTATAGGATGATTGGGCTTCTGGAGCCGAGACAATGAAATCGTTCGAGTTCTACGGAGTCGCCGAATATTTAATTTCGTTTCTTTTATTTTTCCGTCTCCCACTACTCCTGTTAAGTGCAGTGTAACAGTGCAATGCGTGTCGGTGTTAGTTGCGGGAAGATCGTCTCTGTGGGGATTATTCTTCTGGGTTTCGTGCGCGTCGATCTGCACGGGGAAGACTTCGAGATCTGCATTTTACGTCTGTCCCTAACACATCTACTGGTTATTTCGCCTTTTCCTAACTCCTCCGCACTCCCTAACTCGATATTAATATATTAAATGGATGCTCTAATTAAATAAAATCAAGTCACGATCGCCGATGTAACACTTTATCTTAGTCAATGCAAACCCTGCTGTCAGAGCGCGCTAACCCTACCTGTCCGTATCATGCATCATGCCAGGCTAAACTAGCACTACTCGGCTGTGCATTGTCTGAGACTCTCGAGCCTTTCTTCTAGTAATATAATTGGACGCTAAATATGAGATATTCGGCTCTGCGCATATTCCGACACCGGACTTAACTGGGGTTTTAGTCACGAACTGTGGGCTGGTGGACCCTAAGCAAACTCCTTGTCTGTATCCTCGATGCCTACAGGTGGAAAAATGTCGCTGAAGAAGTTCGTGCGTTAGTCGGGAGGTATACATAGTAATTGTTGGAGGTTTCGGCCGAAGGGGATGTGATGTCCGTGTACGGAGTAAGTAACTAGTAGTTCACTAATTGGGGCTAGTTGAGAAGCACATGTTGTCTCATATTATGGGCTTGCATCGTGGAGATAACGACCAAGTTCTATAATAAGGGCCTAGAATGAAGACATACGCAGTTTGACTGCACAAAGAGGCTAATAAAATAGTTTATCTCTGTCTAGACTATATAAAACACAGTAGGTAACTACAGTTACTGTTTCCATATATCTACAATAAGTAGATTACAGCATAAAAATAACCTCGCGATCGACGGGGTTCCACCCATCAGAACCACTTTTTTTACTTCCTTCTCGTATGTACGAACTGTCAAAAACGGTTAAAGCCCGTTGGATCGCTATTTCCGTCAAGCTTTGACATATATAACGCCGTAATAGTATACCTCATCTGCCTGGTTTCATCTCTTGGCTGATTGAATTCCGTCGGGAACTGCATGGTAATACAAAATATGTGTGGCAATAGTGTCCACGATACTGGAATTCCTGGGGAATGAGGGGATATTACTCGGGGCCATGTAAGACCGAAAGGAGCAAACCCCCCATGAAGGAATCTGCATATCCAACGGAGTTCTTTTCCTGAAACCTTAGCAGGGTTTGAGATGAGAGGTGTTTACTCCGTACTCTCCGTAGATCTAATATTTTAGTAGAATACTCCGTGCAATATATGTGCATAATACTATTGGCAGTCTAATGCAGAAGACTCCACCAGATCGTCAGAAATGCACGTAATAGTAATCGAAAATTTGAATGAAACTAAATTAATATGAAAGAAATTCAATGAACAGCAGAATAACCGAATAATCGAATAGCAACTAACATAAAATCACATAAAATCACATAAAAAGAGTACAAAAGTACAGTTGATCTGCGGTCACGGGGGCTTCCCGAGCTTCCTTATTTCCTCTTTACCCATATTTTCCCCACTCCAACTTCAAAGAGCTGAATCCACTCAGACATAAATGGGATGATCAAGATAGAGAGCTCTATCGAATATCAATGCCCATCACTTTTAATCTACTCGGGCACCCTCCTTTCCCTTTCTGAAGATCATGCAGGATAGCTATCACATACATCTCTCACCGCTTACCGAGCTGGTGATATGATCTGAAATGGCGTCAAGAAAGAAACAACCTGCCAAAAAGAAGGATGCCATCCATTTTGTCAATGCCAGACCCTCCTCTGAGACCGAGCGATTGAAAGCCCAGCGTCTGGTGCGTGCGCATGTCGGACGCTGGATTTCAGAAACAAAGGACCGATCCGCAGGCGAATCCTCCAATCCGCGTGCTCGAGCTGCCCGCAATGCCGTTCCCCCTATACCCATCATTGACCGCGCCGGCCCCGGGCCCTCCTCTTATGCCATCGTTTCGCGTCCCTTAAGCTCCCATCGCGGGAGCAATCACGGTCAAAGCTTCTTTGCGCTCGACTCCCGCTCCAACCAGGCTGTATACCGAGGCTCGCCGTTTCCGCCGTCTCACGCCAGCGATAGCAGTGATAGCAGTAGCAGCGACGATGCGAGTTCCGTGACCGGATTGTCCTCGGAGGCATTCGCCGTCATCCGGTTCAATGATCGCTCTTCTCCTGAGCGGCTTGAACGCAATCTCTCTGGAGTCATTGACCCATTCGCCACATACCCCGCCCCGAGGCACTTCGAGCCAGATATAATCAACCTGTCAGAACGCTACCTCACAGGTGTTGTGTGGCCGGGACTCGCTCCACGACCAAAGAATGTCAAAGCTGCGGCTAATAAGTGGTTCGATCTCTCCATGGCGGACCCGGCTTTGTTTACAGCGTTCATGTTTGGTTCGCTGTGTCACCTCCGTGTGCAATGGCAGAATAACTGGGTGCCGGGTACGGTATTTGGTCCGAGGGAACGTCGCGCGCTGCAGCTGTGCGAAATGGAATCGATCAAGCTGATCAATCAGGCTGTTCGCGACCCCGATCGCGCGATCAGCGACGCCGTCCTCCTCAGCGTCATTTGCATGGCTCATCATCAAGCAGAGGAGAAGTCGGCACAACAGCACCGCCGAACACCATTTAATCCGCCTTTCCCGCGACTACAATGGATCGATGTCTACGGGTGTCTGCCACCGAATATGATCCATATCAAAGGATTGTTGCAATTAATCAAACTTCGAGGTGGCTTGGCAAATATCCCCACAGAGGGTCTGGCCGCGACAATTTCTTTGTATGTCTCGATTTCTTTTTCTTTTTCATATTGATTGTACTGACCACCCACAGCTCGGATATCATGAGTTGCAGCGTCCTCTGCATCCATCCATGCTTTGATTTCTGGCCCCTCGCCGATAGCCGATTAGGTTGGTCCATCCAAGAACTGCTCGGCTTCAGCCCGTCAGACGTCGACCAGGGATTCGCCCGTTTGCAGGAAATTGGCGCCACCCGACAAATGGCGGAAGCTTTTCAAGCGGTGCACACTTACATCGGGATCATTAAAGCGAGCCCGAACTCAACCAAGGATGTCCCTTTGCTCAACGACCAACGCAACATAACCCAACATACTCTCCTCTGTCTGTCTCCGGCCTCAGACCTTCACGCCTTCTTCTCGCATCCCACGCATGCCGCCACCTACGAAGCCTGCCGTCTAGCGGCACTAGTCTTCGGGGTCGGCGTCATTTTTCCCAATCCCCGCACAGAATACTCCCCTCAATACTCTGGCGCGCCTTATCCGGTCCGTCCTACTCCAGCCTAGCTCCACAGACCTGTGGTCTTCGCCATCCACACGTCTCCCTCTTATCTGGGTCTTGACCCTCGGCGGTATCGCAGCGAACGATACCCCCGAGCGCCCCTGGTTCGCCTCCGCTCTAGGAGATATAACGCGCAGGACTGGCTTGAACTCATGGGCCAGCGTCAAAGCCGTCCTCGCATCCATGTTATGGTACGATGCTGCCTGCGATACCGCTGCGGAGACTCTCTGGCAGGAGAATGCTAGCAGGTACAGCTATGCCAGTCAGTGAGCAGTCCCAATTCTACCGTTGGGAATTCTCCGAACTTCGAGGAGTGCGAATGAACCCGCTTCCTCTCCGGATCTACCGTCAGCTGCAATGACGCAGTCCAGCTTCCCTATGTCTCCCTACCACCGTCCCTCCTATCTCATTCTCACTATCGTTGTCATGCTCGGTTTTCTTTGGAATGGATATATGGAAAATATTTGGCTTTCTTTCCCGGGATACATACCACAATCACCAGCAACATGCTTCAAATTGGACATGGGGCATACATAGATATACCCGGTGATTTCGACCACACCGGATATCGGTTCTGCTGAAACGTGCTGAAAATCGCCGTGCTGTGAAACCCAATCACTGTCACCCGATCCCCGGGTCCGGGGCATTACTCTTTCTTCCTTTTTTTGGATTGCACAGGATAAATGGATCCACCTTGGGTCTGTATTTGGATCATAATATTCCCCGACATAGGCTGTGGCTTTCTCACGCCTTGTCGCCTTTGGATGTTTGGGATACATCCGTATATAGTACATCTCTGTTTGGATCGGAACCATTAGAGATATAATACATAACATTCTAATGTTTTCATCGCAAGTCACATTCAGTCTTGCTATATTTGGATTGGATCGTTTTCCAAATATCCTCATTTCTCCTATCCACATACCGGATACACGTATGAGATAACATCTTCATATGCAACCGCATTCCACTTCATATTAATCCTAACTACGGCACTGTATACCTAGCTGCCAGTGCGCCGTATCGTGTTTTGCCAGCAGAACATTTCATAAACTAGTATTTGTGTGTCTTATTGACTATAGAAATAGAGATCTCAGGCCAGAGTAAGGAGACCTTGCAGGAAAACCGGCAGAATCGAGCAGCTTAGGCGATCCTGAAAGTTATGGCACTCTGGGGAGAATGGGACGTTATTTCAGCCGATGAACGCAAAGGAAAAAGCGCGGCATTGGGAAAGTTTGCGGCCGAATTTGATATCCAGGTGCCTGTGAAAATTCCTGTTAACGGCCCGGTCCCGACATTTGGGCCGCTCAGTGATCTTGGCGAGTCGCGACTTGAGACCTATAACCGCGCCTGGGAAATCATGAGATACCTTTCTAGTCTCATGCGAAAGGCCCGAGATGAGGGGAGAAGACTTTGCTTTATCAGCGGCTCGTCCAAGGGCTCGGGTTGGGGGGGGAGGTGGGGGGGGAGAGAGCGGGAGCCAGTTACTGAATCCACCTAGATTCCGTGGATGAACCCCCCAGACGGCTCCTGCGACAACATCATCACGCGAAGGCTTCCTGGATGATCGTCACTCAGCATCTGCAGAAGAAGAGGCCATATTATGGCCAGACGTGGACATCCATATGGTGTGCAACAAGTATCGCCAATTGACGGATCAGACGCGCTTATACGTACCCTACAATCTGCCAAATCTCACAATATTTCAATCCCCACCGAGGACCAACTTTTAGACCGGGATCTCCCAGGATTTAAATCCGGGGAAAGCTTTAGAGACTACCTTCGGCATTTGCTCAAGTGCGGTGAAATCAGGATGTGCGTGACCAGTTTCGAACTCACGTACATCGTCCGCAGTACCGACGTCAAAAGAGCGCTGGACATACGCAGAGCCCGCTGGAGTGAGATCCAGAGAGTGTTGGGTGAGCATGGGAGCCACTTCGACTTCGTGATAATGTTAGAGGTTGAAGCGATCGACGACCAGGATGACGAGGCACCTCTATTCGAGGCTGAATACACTTTCCCTACGGTCCGCGAGACCGTACCAGAGCAACTTAAACACCGTGGAAAGGATGCCTCTGACTAAAGCTCAAGTTGCAGAATGGTTCTACAGCTGTCACATCTGTGACTCATGGTTTAGTCTGTAAGCCAGGGCCCTGGAAATTTGGAAACCGGCTCAGAGCTTTTCAAGCGTTAGTCGATAAAATGAAACGGACATTGCAACGGTGTCTACCATTCAAAGCAAGAGGAGATTGTCGTGCCTTGGTCATGGCCAATGAATAACCCGGTTGGTAAGCGAGTATTGCATCGTCTAACTGAATGGTACGTTCACTAAGTCAACTCTACACTTATATCAGACTTCTAACTCCGCTAGGTCGGAACTATAACCCACACGTATACCCCAAGCAACAACAAACGATACCCTACCGGTTACAATGACGACCTGTGTTTGATTTAGGTCATTCGCTTCCTGATGTGGTCAGCCCTCCTGGCTACATATGTATCCGTATATACACAACGCAAACAAAGCAGTTAAAAATGCTGCCTATGTCATATAAAATACACAAGGTCACGCCCCATACCCTCTCCCAGGTACTTCATTCCTCAACAACGGCTCCCTCTCCCTAACAACCTGATCGCCATCACCATCACCCCTTCCACCCAAAACACCCGTCTGATAAGTAACAAATCCAACAAGCCCACCCCCAACACAAGCAACCAATACCGTAAGCCCAACATTAACAGGCACCGGATCCCCGCTCCAAACCCTCAACGTAAGCGCATCAAGGCCCGCCTGCGCAAAATTCCCAACACCAGCAAGACAAATAATAAGCCCGTACACCTTGCCAAACGTCGCAAACCCGAAAACCTTAGCCGCGTAATCCGACACAGCAGTGTAATAAAACGGTCGATACAACACAAACAGAACGATATTCCCATACGCCGCGATGACATGCGGTATGCACCCCAACACGCCGATGAGAGTTGCAAACACGACCAGGATGAATAGCACGGTGCGTGTCTGGAACATGTCGAGGAATGTCCCGATAAACGGCACGGATATCAGTCCGCCGATCGGTAGGAGGATGTCGAATGTTGCGTTTATTTGTGCTGCTGTTTCGCTGGAGAGGAGGTATGTGTATTGGGAGCGTAGTGTTGCGACGAAGTAGTTTATTCGTAGCATCATTAGCACTGTGAAGGCGGTTATTAGTGTGAACCATGGTGTGCGGAGTTGGTATAGTGCACTGTGGCCGTGGAGAACGCCCCAGATTCCGCCGGGAGCAGGATTGGGGGTTGGTTGTTGGTGCGTGTGGGAGTGCGGTGTTGGAGCTTCGTGGGTTGCTGTGGTTTCCGTGTTGATATTCGTGTGGAAGATGGAGTTGTTGATCGTGTTGCCGGACATCACGGATGCTGTGCCGTCGTCTAGTAAATCTTGGATGTGGCTGACGATGCTTTGGCGATGGAGTCGTCTGTCCATGCGCTGGCGCTCGCCCTCGCTGCGGTCGTTGACGGTGTCGTCTATGCGATCGTGCATTTCGTCTACGACCTGCGCTTCGGCGTGTTGCACGAGCTCGCCGGCGGTTTTGTAGGATGTTGGTGGCATTATGAAGATTTGTGCTGCGGTGATGAATACCGGTACGATTAGGTACGCCGCGAAGAAATTGCTGACTGATACGAAGCCCTGGGTGTGTTCGTTTAATAGCCTGAAAAGTAGGAATAGAGCACTTGAGGCATCGAAGGCGCCTGTCAGCATTGATAGGATCAGGCCAGATCGTGTGGGGAATGTGTTCGATAGATGAAAGGACGGAATGAATACGAACGGTCCACCCAGTGCTAGGAATAAGTAACCGGGGGTGTATCCATCGAATGGAAGTTTGTTGGCTGTCCCGAAGAGTACTGCTCCTACGGCGAGACAGATACTGCCGGCGATCCCACAGACTTGGGGTCCATACGCGTCTAGGACTGTTCCTACGGGTAGGGCTGAGACATTGGTTACTACAGCGGCGATGGTGAACATCAGGTTTAGACTGTTACATGTAAGTACGAGATGTAATTAAGAAATATTTCCGATAATGAGAGTAACATACCGGATCTCTTGGCCGTAGCAGACATTGACAGCTTTCTCAAGCTCCGCCTCGGAGCAGAGGTTGCGATATACTTTCTCTCTAATAAGGATGGGCTTGAGAGCTGCAAAGCCGAAAACCACCCCGGCAGCCAGGAAGCAGTATACAACTGCCGTGCAGATCTGGGCTTTTACAAGTTAGCGTATCCCTCTATATGAAAAAGAAGATTATAATTCCATAAACCTACCAACTCTCCTAGCAGCGCTCACTTCATAAGCACCAGTAGTATCAGCCCAGGGATGCTTCCGAGCAACGGTTGTCCCCGAATCCTCATGCACAGTCCGCTCAACAGATCCCAGCCCCTGTGCTGAGACCGAACCCACACGTTCTCGGGTAGTTGTCGGTGAGAGACCCAGAAACGAGGGTCCGAAAAAAGATGATCGATCGTCCTGTAGACCCTCTGGGCTCTCGTTCCAGCCTGGCCCCGCATAAGGATTGAAATTCAGTCTGCTGTATGTGGAGGGGAATGAAGATGCCACAGATCCTTCGGGCAGATCTTGGTAGGCGTCCGGATCTGAATCGTCGGATTCGGGGTGGCTGAGAAAGGCCACGGGGTTGCGCTCCCATCCTTCAAGGAAGGAGATGCGGTTTAAGGACATTGCTATGGCATTATAGTTTTGGGATAAAACAAATAAGTCTCAGTGTAGTAGTAAGTAGTGCAGCTGTGCAATTCAAAACTCCCCAGGAGCTACGAGGCCAACAAGGACCAGTCATGATAAGAAACTTGGAAGTTGGACACACGCCAGGGCGATAACGCCTAGGCTTATCGGTGGGTCAATGCTCTGGGCAGAGATTTGGAAACCCCCGCGCCCGGGCCCGCCTATGTTTGGCTTACATAAACATTGTTGATTATGTCATGATATTTACAAATTACCTAGGTAGAAACTTCCAAGGTTGGAAGTGTTGCCGGAAATGCGTGAAATGAGGTAGATTTTAATTTGTGTACAAGTCTAATTGAGAGATAGTCCTGAATGGGATATTGCGTAGGGACTCGGGAAGAAAGGTATCAGACCAAAACCATGACCAATAGGTACATACTCGAGCGGAAAGAGTACATTATATACATAGAGTGCGAATAGCATGTTGCTTTTTAGATATCTCCGAAGTGCTTTTGACGAATGCGCTCCATTTCTAGCTCCCGTGGCATAGGAACAAGAAATTTATCAATTTCATGGATCTAAAATGAGTTCTGGGGATTAACTTGGCAAGCTGCAGTGTATTCCCTAAGATGGGTACCAACCAGCGGTTTCCCAGTCAACAAACCCAACAATATCATCCCCACGGGCTAGAATATTAAGACTGCTAAGGTCACCATGAGTGAATACTATGGGCCAGTCTCTGTCGTGTTCCCTGATAAGCTGCTGAACTTCCAGGTCGAGCCTTAGATCAAAATCCATTCCATCTCGTAGATGTCGATGAAAATCTTGGACGCTGCTAAAAGGGCCAAACCGTAGGGAAGCACCTGGTAACCGGCAATCAAAGAGCGTTCCGCCGTCAACAGAACCAACACCCATCCCTTCCGCGGGTTCGAGCTCACGCATCTCCCCGATCATCTTCTTCAACTGGGTAAGAAGCTTCGTCTTGGACTTTTCACTTCGATAAACCCAGCGAGTGCCATCATATCGCCTTTGATTCTTTCCATCACGATATATGTAGAACCGCCATGCATAGCACCTTGGGGACTGGGCTAGAGGTAGTCTGCGAGATGAAACGCATAGTCGCTGCTTCGGATAGATGTATGCGCGACCCATACTTGACGCAAACTCGATCTGTCAACATAAGGACGCTTCCGTTAAAGGGTCGGAAAGCCTTGAGGGCCGCAATCGCCAAAAGTGTTGAATACCGGTAGAAAGCACTGTCATTGATCAGACTTGCATGTCTAGAATCAGAATGTTGCCAGGACATTTTTGAATCAGAGGGCCTAAAAGTAAGTCATTCTTGAATTTGGTAGATTGAATGAGCAAAGCCACTTGGGCAATATTTCCAAGCAATTGACAACAAAACACATCAACAATATGAACCTTGGAACGCCAAATGGCTTGGCGGTGTGGATGCATTGGTGCCTCATATTTAAGGCTACTAATATCTGTCGGAATAGATGCATTGGCATACCGGCATACCGGAGGATCCATTGATCCTATGCATTTTGTAATTTTAGATTAGTAATCGACGGCCTATATAAATTGTTAGGAAAGTCGATATAGCAATACAGAGAGTTGAATACTATTGATTGGACCCTATATTTTTACAATACGGCCTACGCCGACAGTTATAAGCCCGGTTCGTACTAAATGAGACTACTATAGTTAGAATATAGTATCTAGCCCGCTACTAGAAGCGTCTCGTAACCTCTAAAGCTATCCTAAAGCTATATAAGCTACCTCTGAATCTAGTAATAGAGGTAGTATTAATCCTCTCCGCTATAAAGGGCGAAAAACTAAAGGACTCGCTATAATAGCGTACCTGGTTTATAAAGGTATAGCTATATACTATATAAAAGAACGTATAGGATCTATATAATCTAGATCTTATCTCGTTAATAACCGATCCCGCTAATAAACGGCCCGAGCCTTTTTAAGAACCGGTAGAACCCGAATACCCCGAGGAAGGCGATAAGAAGGACCGAAGGATCTAGCGAGACTATATAGATATATATAAAGTGAAGTATATAAGGTGGGAGAAGTAGATAAAAGGACTAAGCGATATAAATGAATATATCCTTATATACCTTAATCTAATCCACTATCTCTCTCTAGTTATATATTATACTCTATATAATAGGCTCGTATACTTAAAGTCTCGCTTTATCCGATCGACTGCGTACGAAGAAGAGATCTATATAAAATAGAAGGTTTTTATAATATAGAAGCCGACTAGGGATATCGAGGAATAGCTTTAATAGTAGAACTTATTAAGAGAGTAAGCTATTAGCTTTAGTATTAATAATAGAGATATAAATAGGGATTTCTTATACGTTATAAAAGAGGTACTCCCTATCTAGTAGTAAGGGAAATATTAGGAGATTATTATAGATAAGAAAGTATACGATACTCGAGATCTTCTCGAATCATTCCGTGCTATAAATCGTAAGATAGGTATTTAGACTATAACCTTAACTAATACTCTAAAGGGTGTATTTTTAACCTAGTAAGGACACTAAGAAGCGAAGCCGGAAGTGAAGTAAGAGAAGCTCCTATTTAAGAAGAGACGTTATCTATATAGTAGTATATACCTAAGGTATAAGGTTGCTACTTACTATATTATAAATAAAGTAATTCGACCGGAGGGATATACCTTTAATAAGTATATACTAGAGAAAGCGAAGAAGAAGTTAGTAAAGGACCTTATTTAGAAGTAATAGGTTAATAAGGTAGTTGCTAAAGCTTAGCTAAAGGCTAAATATACTAACTAGGTTAGCTTTACTACTATCTATTAAAAATATAAAGCCGTATAGATTAGTAAGTATATACTATCTATAGTAAAAAGTGATAAGCCCTCCCTATATAATCGATAGATCCTTAATACTAGATCGAGTGCGTATATTTGTAATAATAGGAGCTTATTTATTAACTTTATCTCGGATGATATAGAAGTCTTAACTAGAGATAGTACTATAAAGATGCTTAGTAGGGGTATAGCTCGCTTAGTAGGAAGATATCTAGTAAAAGGAAGGATAGAGATTATATTAAGTGATACTCTATATTTACCTAGATTCTATATAAATCTAGTATTATACGCGATACTAAAGAAGAAAGGTAGCCTCTAGTGTTAAAAGACGAATTATATATAGGATCCTAATAATAGGCCTATTATTAGTATATATTTCTAGGATCACTTTAACCTCTAGCTTTTTAATAAGCCTAGTAAAACTCCTCTATAATAGGTATATACTACCTAGGTAGGCGTATGGAACTCGGTAAAGCTATAGGAATTAAAGGCTTCTTCCGAACTATAGTATCGGCGCTTAGTTTATATTAAATTACGTACTATAGCGAAGCTTTCTAGTATAGTAGAGGGCGTCGTTTTTAAAGATAAGAAGTCGACGGAGGAGTAATCTCTATATTAAATCTATAAAATAGGAAGTGCTCCGAGGTAGATATTATAACGGCTAGTCGGAAGATCCTTTAGACGATTTAGAAGGGTATACTTTAATCTAATTTAACTACTACCGGCGTATAATAGATATTATTAGATATCTTATTTCTATCTAGAAGGACCGAGGTTCTATTAGATTATAATATATAAAGTTAAACCGGAATATTAGCTTACGATAAAGGAGTTTATATAGCTAGTAAGGAATTAGTAGAAGCTACCGATTAAGGCTTTCTACTATAATAATAAAGTTGTAGTAGGTAGAGTAGCGGAGTATAGCCTAACGGCTAATAGTATTTTAGTATATTATACTCTATCTAGATATTTAGAAATAAATAGGTATACCGAGAGATCTAGTAGGATAATTATTACCTATATATATATACTTACTTTTAAAGGGAAGCTCTCTAAAGATCTATAGCCGGAATTCGTAAACGCTACTATATAATTATTAAATTATATACTATTATATATCGCTACCGAGAACTGTTAGGTGGTTCTATAGGAAGAAGTTAGGAAGGAATTCTTACCGGTAATACTAAAGACTAATCTATTAAATATTAGGCTATATAGAAGTATAGTATACTATAGAATTGAGAATTAAGTATAGTCTAATAAGATATATCTTTAAGTAGAGATTAGCTTTTTAGTAGGATACTATACCTCGAATATCTAGAAGATCTAGTTTCTATATAGTGGAAAGGTAAAGTATATTAGGGATATAGTTATTAATAAAACCTAGAAATATATACCTAAGTACGATTAGTATCGGCCGATTCTATTACCTTTAGTAAGATAACTATAAGAATTTACTACTAAAGAGATCGCTTAGGTGATTAATTATAAAATCACTAGTTAATAGACTAGTACGATAGAGGAAAGTTAGGGTATATAGGATTGGGATAATCTTTAGTAGTATAATCCCTAGTACTATAATCTTTAGTAGGAAAGTCCTTAGTAAGTATAGGAGAATCCTTAATAAGCGTAAGATATTTCTTAGGAAGTGATTTAAAAAGTAACTAGTAAAGTAAGTGTTTAATAAGAAACTACCCTAAGTTAGGGGGGTAAGAGAAGAAGTATACTAGCTAATATCTAGCTATCTACTAGCGCGTATAGCACTACTAGGTATATTTCCGGAGGATTAGGATCTACTACCACTACTAATCACTCCGCTATAGGAAGAAGAAGCGAGTACTAGCTTTAGTTAGGGGGTAGATATATAGGCTAATTAAGAAGATCTAGCGTATTAAGACTAGACCTAATATAAAGACTAGGCTTAGTATAAAGATTAGACTTAGTACGAACCTACTCCTAATTCTATAGAAGACGAGCTAGAAAGGTAGCTATAGTCTAAGCTACTAGCACTAAGTAGAGAGATAGTTAGTAATATTAATACCGGTAATATACTAAGTGGAAGACGAATATATAGAGTAAGAAGAGATAATAATTTTATATATATAATAACTACTATAGTATAGGATAAAGAGCCCCCGGCTCTACTCTATACCTTTACCGCTAGTTTATATATAGAGAAACCGGATAGTTATTATTATCGAGATAATCTTCCTCTACCGCCGAAGTATTAGAAAGATATTATAAATTACCTATACTAGGAAGGCTTCCTTATAGTAATAAGGAAAGAGATTAATTCGCTATCTAAAAAGGAGACATTTAAAATCATTAATAGACTAAGGGATAGAGGGGAAGTAGATCCTCCCTCTACTATAGGTTTTCTTATATAAATTTAACTAAAACAGTTACCTATTAAAACTAAAGGCTCATATCTACGTACGAGGAGATCTTAAAACTATTTCTTATAAAGAGAAAAGGGCTACTATACTAGTAGTAAGGATAGTAAAGATAATCTTTATATTAGTAGCTACTTTTAATATAGATCTACAATAGCGGGATACTATCACTATATTCTTAAATAGTAAGCTAGATAAAAAGGAGACGTATACCTATATACTAGAAGGGTTCTAGATCCCGGGTAAGTGCTAGAAGCTACACTATACTTTATATAGACTACGTATCTTACTAAGATTATAGTAACGAGAAGTAGTAAGTGTACTATATAAGCTAGGGTTATAATAAATACCGGAAGACCCTTATATCTTTATAGGATAGGGCTTACTAGTCTTCTTCTATATAGACGATATCCTAATCGCTAGCTATAGTACTACTAAAGTATAAATATAGTAGCTAGAGCGAGATTTAGAAGTATATTAGGAGCTAATAGATTATAGAGAAGCGGTATAGTTTCTTAATATCCGGATCGTCCGAGATAGATAGTAGAAAAAGCTTTAGCTCTATTAGGATAGTTATATAATAAGTATTACTACTCAGTATAAGCTAATAGACCGTCTACCTATCTATATACTACTACTAGTTAACGAATTAATACCCTACTAGGGTACGGCTACACTAAAAGAGATCTATTTATACTAGTAGAAGGTTAGATCTATAGGATATACTACTATAATTACTAGACCGGACGCTATAAAAGCTACCGCTCGGCTTACGTAGTTCCTTATAAATCTAGGTCCCTAGTACTAGTAGGTAGCTAATCGAGTTATTACCTATCTCTATACTACCTAAAACCTAACTATTAAATATAGTGCCGGAGTAGTTAGTATAGGAATAGACTCGGTATAATTTATAAGCGATACCTTATATAGGGACTACCCCGATAGAAAGAGCTTAGCTAGATATATCTACTAGGTATATAGCGGTCTAGTTAATTAGAAAGCTAATAAGTAGCTTATAGTAATAACCTTAACTATAGAGGTAGAGCTACTAAGCCTATTAGAAATAGGAAAGTAGCTCTAATAGTGGTAGCGATTATTTAATAACCTTATATTTACCCTATTTTACTACCTAACCATTAACTATAATAATAAACGGACGATCAGCCTTTTAATAGGCGAGGATATAGCCTTCGAAACGAAGCTACGGTATATAGATATATATCACCACTAGCTAAGGTAGGAAGTTAGAGTAGGACATATTATAGTACGCTAGGTAGCGATAGCGAGTATAGTTGCCGATAGCCTTACAAAGCTACTATCTAGATAGAAGTATAAGAACTTTATACGACTACTTCGGATGGTTAATATAGGCTACCTTATAGCCTAGGAATTGAGGAAGAGAATGGATCATATAGCATGCTAATATATGAAGTGCAGCGATCTCAGTATACATACTGTGACCGCTAAGGGGGTGTGTCGGAATAGATGTATTAGCATACCGGCATACCGGAGGATCCATTGATCCTATGCATTTTGTAATTTTAGATTAGTAATCGACGGCCCATATAAATTGTTAGGAAAGTCGATACAGCAATACAGAGAGTTGAACACCATTGATTGGACCCTACATTTTTACAATACGGCCCACGCCGACAATATCTAAATTCCAGGCTTCACTATCGTAACACGTCTGTCTGTCTCTCCCTCCCTCTCTCTCTCTCTCTCTTTGTCTCCGTCTCTTCCTCTTTCCCTCTTCATCCCCACAATTCATTCTCCTTTCCCATCTTCACTTCAACCATGGATTGAAGCCCATGAAATGATTAATAATCAAGTGGATTTTCGTGGGAGGATTTGGCCGAAACAGGCAGCTGATAACTAAAATCCCCCCCCACATATTCAGATGCAACGTCTCATTTGCTTTCAATTTGGCCTTCGGACTTTTCGGCTTTAACTTTATACCATCGGGATTGGGATCGCCTCTTCATGGGAAAATACCTCCAAGATCGACAGGGTTCGACTGGTCCGAAGTACTTTTTCCCACAGTTGAAATGAAAAACCGAATATCTCACATTGTTAATTGATCCACAACCTTGGAAACCAGGGTTTGTCGAGTCAGTACTCCGTACAACATACGGAGATTCCCGGTACAATGGGGAAAATAATTATGTCCCTGTGAAAGATCTATGTAGCCACTGGCTTAAAGGGGCTCTCTTTCTACCCGGGTGCCTGAACCACGCCCGGTGAGACCCCTCAGCAAATGAAAATTTGGACTCGAATAACTTCAACGCTAATTTCGTTCCTAATTTCTTTCGAAGCTTGTTGAACGCCTTGCACGTCCTTTTTTAACGTTGCGACAAAACACGGACTTATACCGATTTATGCCAATTCTCCCGGTTTGGATGGAGACCATCCCCTTTTCCAGTTTCATGTTATTGGTTGACATCCCCATCCGAGCCAGAAGCCTACCCTTAAAATATACCTCCTTTTACGCCGTACATTGCAAAAGATAATTGAAGATGGAGTATGTCAAAATAGGAAAAAGGAGGTCTCGGCCATGACAGCAATAAACTCACTTGGCGCACATTTCGGCCAAGTCGCATGCCGAGAACCCGATACAAACCGGAATCGGAACACCCATGGACGTGACATGCCCCCAAGATCTTTTTGGTTCGGTAAACGATCAGAACCTTTCGATCAAACTTAGTCTGATACGTGGGGGAGCCGCCCACCCAACCAGAACCAGCAGAGGTCTGCCTAGACTCTGGCACGGTGGAAATTGTTGGACCTTTTTCCACCTGGCGTGAGGAGCTAGGGCACTGAACGTTTTCCAATTCGGGTTATCCTTATGAGATTTGAGCCAATTTCCAGTACATTTGAAACCCGCTATTTCAACATTTCAACCACTGTTAGCTCGGCTCTTCTCAAACTAAACTCCAACTAAACCCACGTACGGAGGTAGCCGCTGAAAATACCCCAAAAAAGAATACGCAATTCATTAGTGATCTGCCAATTATTCTGTACCCACCCTATCTCGACTTCTGTACGTTGATCCAATGGACATTGTCATGAATGAGTTTGATAGTCGGACTGGGCGACTTACCCTATTTACTTATCTCAATACCCTCGGGCCTGGCATTCCGGATATGATTTCTGGAAGGTTTCCTTGTTTGTGATTGTACTTTTTGACTGCGTAATGAGGGGATGGTCAGTTCTTTTTTGATTCGCTACACATATTCGACCTCGACTAACCCGCCTTTGTCAGCCTCACATGTCGTCTGCGCCATCTCAAATGTATGTCGAGGCTTCTACAATCTCTTCCTTCGGCGACTAACAGAAATAGGTGACAAATCCGGTTCGAAATGTCTCCGCTGTCAACGCTCTGGCCGCGAATGTGTCCCGGCCCCCGGCAAATCTGAAGAGGTCTCTTTCCGACACGGCCAGAATCCTTCCCTGCGAGGAAAGGGGCCTCCAAGATATGGCGAGAGCGATCTTGCTTTCCCGGACGACCAGGTCTGGGTAGATACGTCTTCCGACTGTACGTGGAATAGTCTTCGGGGTTATTGTCGGTATACTGATTTCATGCAGTCGACTTCAAGGATGAAACAGATCAGACGGCAGCTGAATACTATGTTGTACCTGTGACAGTGCAGGCATCATCTTCAAGGTCGTCGTCTGAACATTCGACACCACCATCTACAATGGATTCTGCTTTGGCAACTCCGAACCTCGTCATCCCTCCTTACGCCGCAGGATCTCAATTGGGCTCCAGATCGAATTCAGTGAATTCCCCTCGTGCGCCTACCACGCCCACGCCCATTGGTCAGCCGAGGCTATCCAATCTCACTGAGGCCTTTCTGTTACGGCATTTCCAAAAGTACCTAGCGCCGTGGGTAAGTCAGCCCTTTGATCTAATTCCCCACCGTTAAACTAACAACCCAGCTCGACGCATTCAACCCCGAACGACACTTCTCAACAGATGTCATCGAGCGCGCGACTCAATCCCCATTACTACTGTACGCATGTCTAGCAGTGTCAGCATGTCACCTATCCCGAACAACAAACTCCATCGCCGGCGAGGTCGCACACGCATACCATGAGCGCTGTATCTCAATCATGTTACCAGTCCTCGACAAGCCCGAGTTCATGATCGGCATCGATATCCTCCTCTCATCAACAGTCATTCTACGATTTTTCGAATCAATCTCCTGTGCGTGGACAACATCTTCAACGCAAAATAGTTACCCGGCTAATGCATCACACCCAACAGCCCACAGTCCCCCAAACGACCAACAACACCATCTCCTGGCCGGTTCAGTGTATGTTAGTTCCCACGTGGACTCGGCTATCTCCGGCGGACTCGCATCGGCTTCCTTCTGGGCGTATGTGATTCAAGACATCCAATTCGCGCTCACGTACCAGAAATGCCTTCGGCTCACATTCGCCCCGTTCGATGACCGCCTGCGACGATGGTGGGCCGCTAAACCGGCCCTCAGCGACGGGGACTGGACAAATCGCGCCATATGGCTATTGGCTGAGACCATCGATTTTTGTTATAATATTCCGGGTCGGAGCCATGAGGGTAGAATCGGCAGTGTGGGGGAGACTGCGCTCAAACATCGCATTCTTGAGTGGGAGCTCGGTCGACCTGATACGTTTGTGCCGTTGCATGTTTCGCCGCCGGATCCTGGGAGTGGGAAGCCTTTTCCTGTTGCTTGGTATACGAGCTTGTGGCATGGTATGCGATATACCCCCAATTTGTGCGCGCGATATGCTAATTTCTGTCTAGCTACTGCGATTCAACACATCTGTCTCACTAAATCGCTGATGCTCATTCGCGAACTGGAGTTTTATGATCGGAGCATGTTGCATTTAGACCAACCGGTCAAATTAAGGGTTCGTTTCCTCTTTCGAGTTACTCGGTTCTATGCTCACCTTCACAGAATGACCTGGCTGAAACGCTTAATTTCATGTTTGGCATCGCCGTATCTGCCGACGACGATCCTACACTGCGTATTACAGCTTGCCACGCTCTTTTTGTTTGTAGGTCTTGTTCGAACCTGATTGAGAACAGTACTAATATGATCCCAGGCACCTCATGGGTTGAAGACCCTGTTGTCCAGAATTTGCTGATTGATCTTCTTCGCCGATCAGAACGGGAAGACGGCTGGCCGTGGGGATATATGCACAATCAAGTTGTGCAAGCGTGGAGGCCGATATAGTTATATACCCCTGTTTGTTTGCATATACCATGATATAGACCAATTAGAATTTCCCTTGGGCGTCGATCGTGCGAGGCTCAGGCACCTCCACACATCACCTAATGACCATTTGGGGGAGCCGACAGCCCTCTTGGGAAACTTGAAATCGAGCTTGGTCCCCTTTCTGCGGGTCGTGTCTTGTGTCTTTTCATGAATACCTTTTGCTCCTGGGGCATTTTGCCGTTGGCGTCAGCAGCATCTTGGTTGCATGTGTCGACGTCCACGGCCATCTTTCCCAGGCACCAAGCAACAACCTTCTTTCGTTCTTTGTTTTGTACGTGTGCCCCGTCATCTGCTGTGTCCAGTGGGACATCAGAAATATTGGGCTAAACCTTTGTACCCGGAGATACTCCTCTTCAAATTCTGCCTGTTCTGCCAGTGTAAAACTCATAATATAGTTAGCGTGTAGGTACGTGATTCAGCACTAACGGTGAGTAGTCAAAGGTATGTACCTGAGGAGACTACCAAAAAAGACCACTAAAAAGACATTTAGAAAGACTGCCGGAGAAGACTACATGAGAAAGTTCTCGAAATGGGCCCTTTGGGTACACTGCATGATTTTTGCTGAATGTTCCCTGGTATTTGGCCCGGGCCGCGGATTGTCCACTACAGACCAAACCTCCACGTCCACCGTCCAAATTGGCTTATGGCGGGCATGGATTAGGACAACAAGCTTAGTCCCTCCGCCTGTGTTTGAGTGCCACCACCTGGCGTCTTCCTGGAGCTGTCCGGACGGCTCAGACAAGCCCACTTCGAGGACCAGGGAGGCGTCGCCATCCCCACCGCCATCGATTAGGATGTTGTTGCCTGGGGGGTGTTAGCAAAGTAAATGTTACTGCTTAGATAGATATGATGCAGAGCCATCGACTCACTAACCCTATTTAGGGCACTGTAGCTGTCCTTGTGATGTGATTGGTGCCCAGAGAAAATCGGTAGTCCTAAATAGGACTAGACGCCTACCCAGGTGTTGCATCGTGAGCACCTGAGCAAACCTTGGAAGTTCTCAGTGGGCGGATCAGGGTGCTCAGGGGCGTGTGCTCAGTTCAACTCAATGAGTAAAAAGCGGCAAGGCCTGGGCACGGTAACAGAAGGGGAACGCCCAGAAGTGGCAGAGGAAATCCGATACGTAGATAATCATATATGTAAAGAAAATGCAAATGACTTCTCGCGAATAAAGAGCAAAGAATGCAAAGCAAACTAGCAAATGATTTAGCATGTGATCTGGCATGCGATCACTCGATTGTGGCGGATATCCCTCATCATCACCCATCAAATTCTCTGATTCTCCAACTTGTCTCAACACCTGTCAACCCCACGAAATATGCATAATTTTACTTCTCGTGCGCCGCAGGTCGCCGCAGCTCATCAGGAACGTCGCAATAACGCAGTCTCTGGCCTCAACGAAGTATCGAGGCGCATTGAAAGCCACCCGTTCGTGCAAATCCAGACCAGAGAACATGAAGCAATAGGCATCAGATGCGAGCAGCTCCATCTAGACGATGATGGGAATCATCTCCAAGCAGATTCAGACTCGCCTGATGCCACATATTTCCGCCCAAGAGGCCGGCCGCACATGGATTCCGAACGTTTATTGCCCGGACCGCAAATCGCAAGTAGAGCTCAACTACACCAAATTGCGCTGGGACGATTATAAGAACGGTCCACAATCCGACGATCCTGTTGGACAGGTTCACGAATTGCGGTATTGTTTGGAATCAGCGTCTGCATCGTAGTCTCAACAAAGGCTTACAGACACTTTGTGAAGCGAGGTGCCTCGACACCTCGTGGGACCAAGACGCATGGCGGGACCGGAAGTTGGTAGATGATAAGTAGGAGATGCGGGAGTGAAGCAAGATGACGGATAGAGGCTAGGTCGATGTCACTAGGCCGGGTAAAGAGGAATGGCCGATTCCACCATTCCTGGGGAGTATCAAAGAGGTTAGCATCGGTGACGTGGAGGCTATCAGTTATAGGCGGGTCGGCATCCGTTAGGACGGCAGGTCCTCGCCCTTTTCAAGCTCCACGGAATCTCCCGTGCAAGCAGCACCGTTCCGAGGGATATTTAAGACTTGGCGCTGGCCTAACATGGGAGGGGCAGGGACATTCTCTAGGAAGCTGTTACTCCATAACGTCTTTGCATGATTTTCTTATAGAGGATAGCAATCCTACATTCGACTGCGTATATTCTGAAACAGCCAATCCCTCCACCCCTGATCATTCAAGATTGATCTTACACGGGCCTCGAGCCACTCTGTATTTCCCCAAAAGCCCCACGAAGCCTGGAATCTACACCAGTCAACCAAAGCCGTCTCCCAGTGTCGTTTAAACGCTTCCCATTCGTAGAGCTCTGATTCCTCCGATTCCTCATCCTGGAGGAGACTCATACGATACCGCTCTAACAGTACCTTCTCACCATCACACATCGACAGCTGCTCGGGCAAACCCCCATTGTCATCAACCAGCATGTGCAGTGGAACCGAGCAGGTCAACAATTTGGCAAGATCACAGACTCCGAGACCGAGACCGACATACTGGAAATCAAAGAATGCCACCCTGTCGCCGGACGTTGTCGTGAAGAGATTATCTGACTTGACATCGCCGTGAATATACGACTCAATCGCCCTTCCACAGGGCGTTAAGAACAACGCAACCATCTCCGCAACGGATAGCGAGCACCCTTCCGAAGCCGTACACAGGGCATCTGACCACTCTGAGCCTGTGTCCTGCGCAAGAGATGCGTACTCTTTACGCCGGGTCGCGAGGTACGTATATCCCCCATTCAGCCAAAGCCCCTTGCCAACGCCCTTGTCTGAACTCTCTCTTCTACTGCATTCTTCAATTGGCGGCAGAACATATTCATCAAGACTAGCCAGCAGCAGACCCCGTGAGCGGCTGTGGAAACCGGCAAGCCAGTCCAGCGCGGCGCGCACCTGTGTGCGATTGAGCGCACCTCTCTTCCCGCCCGCAACGGGGAATTCGGGACGCAGATCGACCATAATCGTAGCCATAAGACCTTTGAGTTCGGACGAGTCCGCCGCGTCCATGTCGCGCGTCGAGGCAACGCATTTGGCTATGCCTATGTCGGAGCCTAGTCGCGGAACGACCTCGCTATAGAAGTACTGCTCTACCTCGTAGCTCAGCATTTTTCGTAGGTGGCCTTCATCGGCAGTGCTGCCGCTTTTTCGGGGCGGTGAGATCAGCTTCAGGATGAGCGGGTATGTCGTTCCCGCGTCGCCTGGTTCTACCCCGCACAGCTGGCTGAGATGTTCGGCTGCTTTGGAGGTTTTGGCTCGCGCTGTGATGGCGCATATTTGTCCGTACCCGGCCCATAGGGTCTGGAGGTTGGTGCATGAGACGAGGTCGAGTGAGTGCCATGAGAGCATTATGCTCGCGACGCGGTTTGGGTCATGAGGGGTCATTTTGAGTGGAGGCAGGTCAACTTAATGACTGCGGCCAGTAGATGGTATATTGCGAGTATTATTGGTTTTGGAGGTGAGATGTATAGTAGATCTGCATCGAGAAGTTGTGCGAGTGTAGCTACGGAGCTACGGAGAATAGAATTCTCCGAGATGATATGGATGTCAAGATGTTGAGAGTGTCAAAAGTATTGTATCTGCCATTCACTTTTTCAAAAGGAAAACCCCGGGGGGTCCACGGGTGCCCAGGTGGTGTTGATATAGGGAAAGTGCAAGGATGTCCATTTTAGGAAGGCCCGGATTGGGATATAAAAGGCTTCCCACCCCTCCCTCCTCTTCCTATTCTCTTCTTCCTCTCCCCAACCCTCTGCACTACCATCTCCCGTAGCCCACGAGACAGTGTAGGGAGAGATTACCGTAGCAAATTGGTGCTTGACCTGCGCAAAGATATCAACAGTGTCGAGGTCTAGCAGGTTCGCAACCAAATCAAACGGGGCTTTCTCGTGTGAGTTCCTGAAGTTGCCTGAGCCACTTGGCAATCGATCCACGGAATACATTGGGGGTGTTCAATCACGTCCTCTTTTCACCTCCCTAGTTCACAACAGGAAAATAATTGATTGCATTATAACGTTAACTAAACTACCCCCAAACATCCTCCTGCCACTTATTCTTCTTCTTAATCGTCTTACTCCAACCATTCACCTCGTCATCACTCCAACCCTTCGCCTCCTTCATCGTCCGTCCAACAACCTTCTCCACTTCACGGGCCATACCAGCCCTTCCACAAACATAGATATTCCCACCCTCCTCAACAACTTCAATCACATCCTTCCCGAACTCATCAACCCGGTCCTGCACATACTGACGAGGCGTCCCCTCCAATCGCGAAAAGGCAGTGACAATACGCAACCGATCACCCAGCACAGCTTGCATTTCTTCCAATTCCTCGCGGTAGATGTAATCTTCATTCGGGTTCCGACATCCAAAGAAGAGAATCATCGGTCCAACTTCCTTACCGATCTTGAGCAATTGACAGCGCTCAGATAAGAATGCCCGGAAGGGCGCGATACCCGTTCCTGCTGCGACCATAACCAACGGCGTCTTGCCCAGAGCCGGGAGTTTGAATTTGCTTCGGCGGATATGGGCAAAGACTTTCCCGCCTTGGAGTGCGTCACCGGGGCCGTTGAGGTGGTAGGTGATTCCACTGGGGTGGGACTGGGAGCGCGCTTGTTGGGAGATGGCGAGGAGGTAATTGGATGTCACACCGTGGATGAGCTCGTTGGGGTTGTCGGGGAGAGGGGTTGTTGATACGATTGCTGTGATGGATGGTTTGCGAGGCGAGACTATGCTGCTTGATGAGATGGAATAGAACCGTGGTCGGATGTGGGGTAGTGTTTCAACGAGGTATGAGAGTGGGAGGTTATTCCAAGGCCGGTCAGGGCATGCTAGCTGCAACAGCCGGCCGAGGTTGATGTGTGTGCGACCGATAAAGCTGGCGTATGCGTCCTTGTCTTTGCCCAGCGCGAGAAGATAGGACTTTGCTTCTGGGGTGGGTGCGAATTGTGCCAGGTCGCGAACGTTATCGCGGTTGACGGGTGCACAGATCTCGAGGTAGTAACGGAAAATGGCGATGGAGCTGGTCGGGGTTGGGATCGGGACTTTGGTTGCTGAGTCGAGTGCCGTGATACTAAGTGGAATATCGCGGCGTGAGGAGATTCCGAGGACATCGAGTAAACGTTCGACTTCAACATCGGGGTTTCCGGGCCAGATCGCAAGGTGGTCTCCGGTCTTGTAGCTCAGCTCTGGCTGACTGGTCAGGTCCACGTCCATGTGAAGGCAGTGGCGGGTAGAGGAGGTGAAAAGCTCCCTGGAGTCTGAAATGCTCAAAGTACGGACAGCGGAGGATTGAGCCGCTGCCTTTGGGGCTTCAGCCCGGTTGTTGGGTTCACCATGATGCAGGTCGATTGGCTCAAGGGATTCGTCTTCTTCAACCTTCAGGCTCGGGATATATCTGGCTTCGGCCTCTTGGAATCCCAAATTGTCTTTAAAGACCGCGAAAAGATCCTCTTTCCATGCCATGAAGTCTTCCTCGGTTGCCCCCTCTGCATCATTTGCCTTTCCAACAGGCATAAGAGCCTGGGCACCGAACTTGTCCAGCCCTTCAACAATAACATCGACAACTCGGTTGTAGAACTTGTAGTTGGTGTTTCCCAAACCGAAGGCAGCATATCGCAAGTTGGAGAGCGACACATCACTGGCTTTGGAGATCCAGCTCCAAAATTCCGCTGTATTATCGCTGGGGTCTCCTTCACCGTAGGTGGAAACAACGAAGATAGCCAACTTGGCGTTAGGGATTTCACTAATTGTGATCGGGTCATAGTCCGAGAGATCGGCAGTCATGGCTTCCTGACCCCAGCGGATGGAGATCTCCCTAGCAAGACGGTGGGCGAAACCCTCTGCCGTGCCGGACTGCGATCCCCAGAACACCACGATATTCTTGCCCGTCTCTTCCAGCTTTTGCGCGATGCTGCGTGTTTCCTTGTTGGCTGAGCCAGCCTGTCCACCATTCTTTAACTGGGGCCGTTCGAACCAGAGATGGTGCAATGGGTCTGGTTTGTCCCAAAGTCGTCCTCTGGAAAGGAGTGTGCCGCCGATACCTCCTATCAGGGCTAGGGCGGCATAATCGGCCACTCCTGTTGGTGTGGTGTATTTTGAGAGCTCTTGCAATAGTTCTGGTGGGATATTGAGTGGGAAGGTCGCCATGGTTGAAAAGGAAAAGCTTTTGAATATTGTGAAATCACAAGTACCACAATCGATGCAGGGAACACCCGGATTTTATATACATCCAGGGTATAGGAGAGGTAGTAAGCAAGTTGAGTAGCACTCGGGGAATCATGGCCATGAAATAAGTTTCTGTTTGAGATCCACGACTACATTGTATTGAGTGGCAATGATAGTGTCCATGCGGAACTATCGTGAAGATCTATTGAATGAATCGGGCTATATTCACCGCTGCTGATACGGTCCACGTGGATAGGTCAGAACAAATAAGAAATAAGAATCCACCAGATAAAGAGTCCCCGCATATCGCGGGGTATACTCCGTAGTTATCCATGGATTCCCCGGTGCTAACGTTAAAACATATAAATTGCGGGGTACGAACATCACCCTAATAATGACTGTCTGAAAGTGGAAGTGTTCCCCGTCTTCGCTTGGCGGAGCGGAGGTTGGGGGGAACAACTCCACTTTATTTCTAACTTGAACCCTTCCAACCACATTCTTAGCTTTCCCTTTTCAATTTAGTCCTTTAGTGCTTGCCGAAAGCGCTTATGCCGATGTCACTGCCTGACCTCTCCACATCTATTTTGCTCCAGCGACGGGACTATGATGCTCAGACGAAGCATTGGCTCATTTCCGATACCGGCATTTGTTAGCGCTAGATATGCATGTTATTATAGTTTCTCCTAGCTTTTATAGTCCATTGATAGAAACCCTAATAGATGACAATTGCTCCAATTTACACAGCCAGTCACTGCACACCATACACCTATAAATATGGCCCGAAAGCAAATTGTGGCTCATTGTAGCCATTTGTCCGTAAAATACCCCGTCACAAAAGCATATACTCCTTTATGCAGAATATCGATGATCTGCTCATTGACTGGCCATGACCTTTACGGTATCTAAGTCAGCCTGATCCCGCTGGCCATTGATGTAGGATAACCACTTACCAGGGTGGTGCGCCGACCTGGGTCCAGTTTTCCAATGATTGATCTATCAAGAGGCGCACAGAAATGAACATGAAATCGGCGAACGGGCCTCTTATGCCATTTGCGCTCATCATCGCCCGGATGATGCCCGCCACAGCACCTTGTCCATAATGCATGGCCATGTTCAGCCCGAACCTCTCCTCGTCAGGTCGTGTAGGGAAAGACAGTAGCCTCTCTAAAGTATGGGCTGGTACGTATGAATTGGGCCGTGAAGTAAAGAACTGTTCGATCTTCTCGCCCACGGTCATTCTAATAGAGTAGTCAGTATTGATGAACGGGTCTTGATTGGTAGTAGATACTCAAACAGAAACTTACGCTGCAACCCCCAACAACCCGGCGCCGCATCCATACAAAACACAAGTGCCCAAGGAAAAGGGCCGGTCGGGCCGATCATACGCAGTGGTCCGACGTGACATACTGCAGAATTGGACGTGTCTCAAGGATCCTTGGCACAATTCAATCTGTACACAGGATATTGGAGCAACTTTAGCTCGGATGCGGAGAATTTCAGTAAATTATGCCACAGCAGTAGATAAGACGCCGTTAGCATGGGTCGAGAGTGCTACGGGCTGTTCGGTGGAGAGCTATATAACATATCTCGCCCTGACATCACAATGATGCGAAATTCAAAGTCGAACACATGCATTGATGTTCCAAGGTTGATAATACAGAATCGTCAAGCAACGGATTTTAATTTTGCCACTATACTCAATTGTAAAGGGTAAGAACCTAAATCAAACAAGTGGGCTATTGCGCATTATCAACTCTGAATACTCGATTTAGAAAAGAAGATTGCCAGCTTTAACCTTCGAATGCCAAGAATGCCAACACAGTCCTTCTGTCCCGGCCCGTAGGATGTTCCCCACTTTGTCATCCTTCTCTTTCACCTTATGGAGGAATTTAAGACACAGTTACCATCCCCCAAATCCCCCAAATCCTTTGAACCTTTGAACCTTCGAACCTTCAGGTTCAGTCTTCCATTCAAGTCGATATCTGTGATTTTTCTACCCCGAGTGTTGCGCTTCCAATACTGGCGTTGGGAGGTGTGTCAAGATGACGACGCAAACGTACAAGACCGTTGCTGGCCACGAAGTCACGGATACTATGTTGGAAGCAGCTGCGAAACTCTTCAGCGAGAATTACGGAATCTGGGAAATCATTCAGGTAAAGCAGGTAAGTAGAGATGATTCCTCTTGTTTTCAGCTTGTAACATGTAGTAGGAGAGCCCGTTAAGCTTAGTGCACGCCGACTACGACAGCAGTACCTTCCTAGTGCCTCTGATACTGTCATGAGCTATTATGTTATGGTTACCGTCGACGGATATATTGCTGGAAATGCGATGGCATGACGGTCTGCTGGGTCACCCAATTGGTAGTGGACAAAGACTACCGTGATAACGGACTAGCAGCTGGCCTCCTGAGGTCACTTAGGAAGACCACGGACGACATTTACGGTATCATGAGTTCTCACCCGGCTGCATGCTTGGCCGCTGCGAAATCCCTTGGGAGTAAGTACAATCCTAACCTGTAAAACTTGTTCAATGTTCTCATTTTAAGCAGCGACTATCGAAAAAATATCCCTTGGACTTTATTAGGAGAAAGGCCTACGGAATCATGAGGTCCTCCCAATTCCTTATATACAGGACGCAAAGCTACGGGGTACCATATTCCAGCCTGAAGACACAAGCGCAATGGTTTCGGGAGTGAACACCGGTTTCTTTGTTGATCATGAGGAGCCACAGAAAGTGTTGCAAGCGGTCCGGGAAAATTGGCAGTGGCCACTTGGAGATTTACCCGATGGCCACGAATATCTCCTTGTGATGCCGGCTAAACACCGTCGACCTACATCTAGATCTCTACCACCAGGCGAGGTTGGCCGACCGGATTGAATTATGTTGAGATCAAATCCCTAGACCTGAGCCTCGTGTTCATCTGCGTGAGGAAGCAAGCAAAGCGACCCTATTTGCCTAGGTGAATGACTCAGTTAATTGTTACATTCACGTACGAGTCCATATCAACTGCCATGGGCCTCGGGCTTAGCTCTACCCGTTTCCAGCGGAGATAGTATCTATCGACCGCGCTCTGCGTTGGACACGGAGTTAGCTAAAGCCCGAAGCGAGACGGAGACAACCATCTCACCTCCCGCTTATAAAAGCAGCCAACGTCCAAAGTAAAATAACATCATTCATTTCACCAAGGAGATTGGCATTTAATTGTGAATCTACAATATGTCGACCGTGATTGTATTTGGGCCGACCGGCAACATCGGTTCCGTCGCAGCGCGCACTGCCCAAGAGCATGGAGCTAAGGTTGTCCTAGCCATGCGCGATCCGAAGAAGCCCATTCCGGGTCTGAGCTCGGAGCAAGAGCAAGCCGGGGGTTTCAAAAGGATCCAAGCCGACCTCACAGACCCCGATTCCGTCGCTGCGGCCGTCAAGGAATCCGGAGCCAAACGCGCCTTCATCTATCTCGCCTTCGGCTCTCCAGACCACATGAAGACCACTCTTGAAGCTTTGAAATCCGCTGGCATCGAGTTTGTCGTATTCCTGAGCAGCTACACCGTCTCGGGCGAGGCCAGAGATGTTGAACCGAGTGACATCATCCCTTACATCCACGCACAGGTGGAAATCAACCTTGACGAAATCTTCGGGCCTGAGAACTACGTCGCCGTGCGTCCTGGTGGCTTCGCCACAAACATGTTGCGTAACAAGAGTGAGATTGCGGCTGGGGAGGTCAAGCTTTATACCCCGAACTTCACGCTCGATTGCGTCACACCTATTGACATGGGTCGTGTCAGCGGAACCATCCTTGCCCAGGGACCGAAGAATGGACAACAAAAGGTCTATGTCTACGGTCCTCAGGTCATCTCGATGTCAGATGCCATTTGTACAATTGCGAAGGTTCTGGGCAAGAATGTTAAGATTTCTATTATTAACGCGGAAGAGGCTTTGGAGCAGCATCTCAGCTATGGTCTGCCTAAGCCGATGGCGGAGTATATGATTCGGAGATTCGGAAGCGATGATAATGGGAATGTCCCGCGTGCTCATTATGAAGAGGGTGTTCAGAATGTGCAGCTATACACTGGAGGACCTTCTACTGGCTTTGAGAAGTGGGTGGCTACGAACAAGGATCTGTTCACTGCGTGATGATAATCGAGGTGTCACCTAGAGCTCTTAGGAACGAGAATATTGGGTAATTATTTGTTTACCTAGAACAACAATTAAAAGTGATCTGAAGAATGAGTAACGTATTCAATTACCGAACCGTAGTAAATGGGATATATATTCTACACCTGTATCCTAACAAGCACATTTTGTTGAAAATCCCAATTAATTCTCATTAATACTGGCCTTTTTCATGATGCAACGCTAACCCTAACTCGGCATCAATGATGCAGATCCCATACACGAAGGATCTGCACTCAGGCTCCTGCCAGAAGAAGCCTGGCTCCCTTAGCTATATGCAGTTTGATCATGACATTGCTGTCCTCAGTATACAGGTCGTTACCTACTGCATCGGCGCTTCGGTATTTCAATTGAGCCTGCTTTCAGTCAGTCTTTGCTTCTTCTTGTTGTTGTTGTTTCTCACCGAGTCCTGTTTTCTCACCGAGTCTTTTCTATTCTACCATAATGGGGGTATACGAAAAAGGAGCATAAATAGATGCTCCTTTCCATGTATGAAGAAGATAGACAAATCAATTATTACTTTTCACAGTATATTGGAATTTTCATATTCATAGTGTTTTTCATACATTATCTTTGATCTCAATTACATACATGCTATACAGATTGTGTTTCTGTATTCCACAACATTGTTACTCGATTTTCATAGTCATCGATAGCTATCGATCAAGCATTTAGCACTATCAGTATCCCATCGCATTAGGGCCCAATACAAGAAGTGAAACAGCACATAGCCATATGTTGGCTTTGCCAAGGCTCAACACTTATACAACTGTAGTTCATTCCGAGAGATTCCCACTTAAGCATATTTGGAGTTCAGCCAAATCCACCCACATACAAGGAGTTAGGGCGTCTTGGCATGTAAGCAGGTTGCATTAGCCGCATATCGTTTAATTTCAAGTGGAGAAGATGTAAATGACTGGAACGGCGACTCATCGGAACATGTACATGTCGATAGTCCAGTGGCTATACATGCTTCTGATATTACTATTTCGATTAAACTGTAGACCATGATACATGCGTATTCACCTGAATCAATACATAATGTGATGTATAGGTAGTAAAAGATACATTCAAAGCCCTTCACGCAGGAATGTGGTGAGTAGACCCACAGTATAAGCAGGATGCATACATCCATAAATATGTATGCTAAGATCGGCCAACACAGCCCTGGAGAGGCATTCTATGTACTTATAAGGGAAAATACAGCTTCGAAGGAATCCATCTAGATTCAGAGCACTGCCTGTCCTTGCAATGTCCGTCCTCACAATGCCCGGCCATTTCTTGATCTTCGTCCTCATTTTCTTGTTCGCAGCTACCGGCAACGCCTCCCGTCACAACCCTCTTTTGCGCCTGGTCTACCAATTTCCGAATGCAACTTGGGTTGAAAATATTGCCGTTCGACCGAACGGCAATTTGCTCGTGACTCTGGTGAACACACCTGAGCTCTGGGAGATCAAACCTTCCCGGTCACTTGAAGATCCTGAGCCTCAGGCACGGATGATCCACCACTTCAGTGATGCTGAGATGGCGACTGGGATTACCGAGCTCACACCTGACGTTTACGCTGTCATAGCCTCCAACCACGTTTGGAAAGTTCAACTGGATAATACAGACGGGGAGGCTATGGTAACACCGATAAACACCATTCCAATTGGAAGCTTGAACGGTATCGCAGTCCTGAACCGAGCGGCGGGGTTGGTCGCGATCGCCGACTCCCAACTTGGGCTTGTGTGGCGTCTTGACACCAATTCGGGCAATTACTCCGCCATATTGAAGGATGAGACCATGGCGCCGAATACCGATATTGGGCCATTGCTAGGAGTCAATGGGGTGAAGGTGCTGGGTGATTATGTTTACTATGTTAATACACCCCGTCGGCTTTACGGCCGTGTTCGTGTCAATACGATTACTGGTCAGGCCGTTGGCCCATATGAAGTGATCAGTAAAGGAGTTCCCGCAGATGACTTTGCGATTACTCCACGCGGTGTGGCATATCTTGCTGGTCTTACGGACAATGTTGTCGTCAGGGCTTTTCTCAATGGCACACAGGAAGTCGTTGCCGGGAGCCTGAATTCATCTGCGGTCAAGACGGCTACCTCGGCGGCGCTGGGGCGAAACCAACATGCAAATATTCTTTACATCACGACCGGGGGGGAGACAGGAGATGTGACCACTTATAGTGGAAAGGGAAAAGTCATGGCACTTACTCTCGATGCATGAGGTGGAGAATGGAATCTTGCCGCTGTATGTAAAAGGACGAATTATTTCTCGAATTTCTTCAATTATCATACGGCCCCATATGCGTGATACAATGTTGGAAATACACCACCATGAGAGACTCCCTGTGTGCAAATAAATGGCTGCCGGGCCAAGATCATCCGCTAGGGGGAAATGCGGGCTCATCACCGGACCATTATTCGTCCGGCTTAGTATTCTCCATAGTATGCAGAGGACATCACACAGTAAGCATCTTGCAGGACCTCGGGAGACAGCGGCAGGAAGCCCACAGTAAGCATCTTGCAGAAGATAGGAGTGATCAACCAGGGGGTGAATGAGTGGAGATCTCTGGAACTGATAAAGGAATCTTCTCGCACACCTTGAACTCCATAATCATTCCTTTTATCAACCTCAGCTCAGCAATGAAACCAATTATTACAGCCTTGTTCTTCCTATTGCCAGTCTTCTCCCGGTCGAAGCACAGCAAGAAGAAGTGCCCTCGTCGGGATGTATGGAAGCAGTATGTCGAATGTTTTCCAGAATTTTCCGTCTTACTAACATTTAGCTAGTGTTCGCAGCTGGCCAGTGGCTTCGGCTCCTTTGCATACTTTCCAGGCAACAGTAACCTCACTGTCTGGGACGAAAAACAACAGGAAGCTCAATCTGCTTGTCGAGTCCAGCCGACAACGACTGAGGATGTGTCAAATATTCTTCATATACTCCTAGACGCATCGTGTCGCTTTGCGGTCAGAGGAGGTGGCCATGCTCGGGACCCTGATGATTCTGTCTCTGTCGGTGGTGTGACTATCGATATGCAAAAGATGAGGTCTCTCGAGGTTTCCGCAGACCGATCGACCGTGAAATTGGGTAGCGGCCATGTCTTGCATAGTATGTATGTCAGCCTTGAGAATTACAACCTTACTACGCTGGGGGGAAGAGTCGCAGACGTGGGCCTGGGTGGGTTTGCTCTTGGAGGAGGATTCTCCGCACTATCTCCCATGTACGGATTGGCGATGGATAACATCTTTGAATATGAGGTACGTATAATTTCCCAGATTCTCAGCCTGGACAAGGAGTGTGCTAACACTTTCACGAAAGCTTGTCCTACCTAACGCTACCGTCAGAACAATCAATGACCAAACACACCCGGATCTTTACTTCGCCCTACGAGGGGGCATGAACAATTTCGGTATTGTCACTCATTTCACGATGAGGGCTGTTCCTCAAGGCCAAATGCATGGAGGAAGTCGAATTTATTCTGTGGATAAGAGGGAGGATATCCTAGAGCAGGCATACCAACTGACGACAACATGGAAGAATGATACAGCAATGGCATTTTACTACCGATTTGAATATGACCAAAAGGCAGACGATTTCATCCTCGGGATGAACCAAGAATACGCACATCCGATATCCAGCCCTCCGCCATTTCGAGAGGTGAATGAGATTCCGTTCGAATCAAGTACTCTCCGGATAGATTGGCCCAGCAACTTCAGCGTCGAGGGTATCTTGCCATCTGGTGGCCGGTATGCCCTATGTATATTACTTTAAATCCAATTAACAAGACTAACCAGTATTAGAAACCTGTATGCGACAGTGACCTACTATCCGTCCGCAGATCTCGACCGAAAGATGCAGGATATATTGATGGAAGAAATACAACCCATCAAGAACATCCCTGGTTTTACACCGGGCCTTGTCATTCAACCTTTGTACGGGGCCGCTATCCGCGCTAATAGCGAAAGAGGAGGGAGTGCTGCCGGTATAGAAGCTGATGGACCACTCACCGGTACGTTGATTCCCACTGTCTATTAAGATAGTCATGGTGGATATTAAAATGGAAGAAAGAAAGGGACAAGATTTAGAGATAGTTACTGACGATTTTAGTTGTTCTGTTCAACACACGATGGAATAACGGCGCGGATGACAGCGCCATCAATGCGCTCGCAGGCAGATGGGTGCAAAGGGCAATTGATGCGACCCAAAAAGCCGGAAAGCATCATCCTTGGCTATATATAAACTACGCAAGCAAAGATCAGGAGCCGTTTTCCGGTTATGGCGAAGCGAATCTTCGGAGATTGAGGGACATTCAGAAAAGTATAGATCCTCAGGGCATATTTACGTCAACAGGGCTATGCAGAGGGTATTTCAAGCTGATCTGAACAATGTATGCAGTATGGGGTCTCTGAGGACACTTGTGTGAAAAGCGAGTATTCTTATAGAAATTGAGATATTGTAGAAATTGACCATGTAGAAGTTGATATTGTAGGAATTAATTACTACTGTTGTAGATTGTGCATGGAGTAAGGAGACAATAGTAAATTGGAAGGCGGTCAATGTTGTAATATGACGGCTATACCGTAGATCGGGCCGATGTCAATCGCCACCATTCTCACCGCCTGCCCCACGATAGCAGCCGTATCTGGGCCAAACATACACTACTCTTCACCACTTCCTCTCTTTTCTCTGTGAGTCAAGTGTTACTCTACTTGTTTTGTTCTTTTCATCATTTCCATCTGCTGCTGGCATCGCTAATCTATGCTAGCATTTGAGAGCATAGTCACGCGACTCTCAGCCTCATCCATCTCCTAAATCCGATCCAATCAGCCTTGGCTCCATGATAAGCATCATCCTCTCTCTCCTTGATGCAATCTTCGGCAAAAAGCGTCAACGTCATTGAGGCTGAGCCCAGGATTGCACAAAAGGACTCTCCATCCTCTACATCGATATTTTCGACTTCCCTGCCATCCATTTCCCTCACCATCGCCACCTAGTTCATGAAGACTGTCACCCCAACGGCCGAGATCGATCTCGTTGCCTGAGTTGAACAGTGTTTTCCAGAGGGCCCATATCCGTCTACCTAGCTATAATAATGCCTGGATCAAGCACGGCGTCGTCCAGCCCGATTCAGTCCAGCCCCCCATCGAGGATGCGAGCAAGTGCAAGGCCAGTGGAAAGACCAGAGGGACATGGCACAATTCAATCTGGAAGCTACAACGGCTACGAAGGAGGCAGCTCCAGGGTGAGAGCCTTTCCTATTCGCCCCGGGTCAGACCGTAAGAGACGATTGACCAGTACCGGTGAGGATGCGAGGTCTCAATGGGGACGATCTGGAGGCACGGCTGGACCGGCCCGAGACAATGGGGGTTCCTCCAGGAGTATCTTGCCACATAGATCTGTTTCAATGGTACTGCCTTCGTCCCGCACTAGAACTTCTATTTCTGCGGCACCTGGGTCGTCATTTGCAACAGCAATTGATATCTCTTCCCTCCCCCAAGAGCGTCTCATTCTCCTACTTCTGGCGAACAACCACCGGGTCTTTCTCAACGGGAGAATCAAAGACACTGGCTTAACCAAGCTCACTCCAATACATCTGTTCACAATGATCCACACTCACCATTTATGGATATCGCTCTCCCCAAATGGCAGGCAGATTCGGATGTGTCAGAATGTCCGATCTGTGGGATAGTCTTCAGCTTCTGGCACAGAAAGCACCACTGTCGCAAGTGCGGAAGAGTCGTATGTGCATCGTGTTCCCCACATCGGATCACAATTCCCAGACAGTATATTGTCCGTCCTCCTGAGTTTGTTGACCTTGTCCCCGATTCTCCGCAAATGCCCTCCTGCCACCCTCCACCGGTCGTCGATCTCACGGACGATGACCCTGTTCTATCATCATCAACGTCGACAGCAGCAGCAACGACACGAACAACGGCACTCAATCCTGCTCTTGGCGGAGGTGAAGAAGTACGACTTTGCAATCCATGTGTGCCCGATCCAAACCCGAATCCCCTTGGCTACAATACCGTGCGGGCACACGGACATCGACCCGCCCATTCTCTTTCATCCACTATAGCTAACGCATACCACGCGTTACCAGTTAGTTCTCCCCTATCACTTTGCCTAATAAAATATGGACTGACATGAAAACGCGCAGGGGCCGAGTCATAACCACGAAGCTCGCCAAGAACGACGAACCGTGGGTGCAAATGACCGACCACAGTTCTTGAACGAACTGAACTCGCAACCCCGCCAAGTTCCCTCGGCCACTGGCATAGCCCGACCACGTCGTTCATTTTCTAGTCGCGACGGTAACCCGCGCCGCGGGCCTCCATTGGATGAGGGTGATTTCTGCCCCGTATGCAGACGTCAATTCCTCCCACTGAGTCCCGAGCAGCCTCTCGAGGCGCGCCAAGCTCACACCCGGGCATGCATTGAGGGCTATTTGAGCCCGGCTGCCCCACCCCGGACATCATCCGCGCAGCAGAGTCCTCCGCTGCCCCGTCCTCCGCCGGCAGTCCGCATGCTTCCATTTGTGGCCACGGAGAAGGACTGCCTCGGTGAGGATGGCCAGGCAGCGGAGTGCACGATATGTATGGAGGACTACGAGGTTGGGCAGACCCTGGCCCGTCTTGAGTGCCTGTGCAAGTTCCACAAGCACTGCATTGTGGATTGGTTTGAGAGGAAGATGGAGTGCCCAGTCCACAAGCTTTCGGAATAAGTTGCACATCCATCTAGTGTGAATTTGAAATCTTTTTGCTAGCTTAGCTTTTTGCTTTTCCTACTTTTTGGTTCATGGCGTTTGGGGATTTTTGTTCTGATATCCCTGCTCGGCGTATAGGTCTCAGTTGAGATCTAATGATCAATGAAATCTCATCTCAATCCGAAAAAGTAAGTCAGATGTAGACGCAGATACCGAGGTGTATGTCACGTGCCCCTAAGATGTTAGTTGAAACTCAAAAATCAAAAGCACTCTCACATCACTTTCACAAAGTGACGAGAGTGTCAAACAGGACTAAGTGGTATTATAAGAGAAAGGTAAGCTTTGTTTGATGGATTCCCCTTGCTTGACAGAACCCACTCTGCTGAGGCGTTGATCCTCCACATCGGTGGTCGGTGCTTGTGATCACCGTTCTCCGTGCATTTCTACCCAAAACCACAGCTGTCATCGATAACGACACTGGCAAACCCAACAATTACCTCCCCTAATGGGGAATTTGAATTGATGTTAATGTGTAACAGTGATCTGGTCTTCGAACCGGTATTATAACCTCGCACTGCATGGAAATCGATCCGCAGCTGGAACACGGCCGACACGGGAACCCTCAACGGTCTTTTTACACGCCGACCCGACCGACAATGAGCACAGGCCCGGATTACCCTGAGCCTCCCTCCCACGCACCCCTAAACCCCTACCAAAGCCGGGATACACATGGTGATGGACACGGGCACGGGCATGGCCATGGACACGGGGAGACGCACCCATCTTTCTCGATCGGTCCAGACAGCAATCAATCTCCAGATCCGCACGACACAGCAGGCGACACCAAACGATCGCGGGCATGCGAGCCCTGCCGACAGCTGAAAGTGCGCTGTGACCCAGATCCGACGCACCCGGATGGGTCATGCAAGCGCTGCGCGAAAGCGCGGCGGACGTGCGTTGTGACTGCGCCGACGCGCAAGCGACAGAAAAAGACAGACAGCCGGGTAGCGGAGCTGGAGAGGAAGATTGATGCGCTCACAGCGACGCTGCAGGCATCGCATTCGACGGGTGCGCTATTCTCTGGTGGAGCGGGGCAATCACCGTCTGGGCGGGATGAGCAGCTGGCTGGTCGGAGGTGGATGGGTGGAGAGCCGAAGATGGCTGGAATGAAACGGCAGCATACCGGCGAAGTCAAGGATTCGTCTGGTGGGCTGCTGGCGCCACGATACTCGCGACCGGGTAGTCCGTCTGCGGAGCAGATTCCCAGCCATGCGTCCACGCATTGGCGCAGACCTGTTGGTGGTGATCCTGCGCCGTCGCTACCGAAGCATGAGGCTGCGAATGAGTTTGCTGATATGATCGACCGCGGGATTATAGATTACAAGACTGCCAACGCGGCATTTGACCGGTATATCCATCAAATGGCACCGGAGCTGCCTTTCGTTGTTTTCCCTTCGGGGACTACGATGGGCGAGGTTCGGCGCAATAAACCCTACTTGTTCCTTGCCATTATCGCCGCTGCCGTTGCCGTCTTCAATTCCGATGCACAGCCGATCCTCGTGAATGAGTTTTATCGTCTGATCGCCGAGCATGTTGTGGTCAAAGGCCAAAAGTCGCTTGAGCTGGTCCAGGCTATACTGGTCTGTTCTATCTGGTACCTGCCACCGGATAACTTCGACGAGATCAAGTTCTTTACTTTGACGCACATGGCTGCGGTCATGGCAATGGAACTTGGATTGAACCGTCGCATCTCCGATAATAGACGGAGCTTCAATATGATCCGCGAGCTAATCATTAAAAAGCCATCGGGTCCGGCGTTTGATCCAGATGGACCGGAGGCAAGGCGGACTTGGGTTGGCTGTTATTTCTTATCTGTCCAGTGAGTTTCAAACCGGGTTGTTCTGCTGTGGGAATCACCCGCTAACATTTCGCAGGATGTCGGCGGCTATGAGGAGAGTACACCTGATCACCTGGCAGCCGTACATGGACCAGTGCCTTGAGATTCTAGAAACTCACCCGGATGCCCTGCCCTCCGATCGGAATTTGAAATGGTGGATAAAGCTGGGATCCATCATGGAGGATTCTTCACATCACTTTTCTGACGAGGATCCTGGGTCCATCACCTCCTTCGCGGACAGTAAGGTGTGGTATAATATAAAAGTATTTGAGGATAGATTGGCACAGTGGAGAGAAGGGGTTCCGCGGGATGTTTACACTGGTATGCGCTGGTCTTGATAATGGCTTTTAATCTTCTGCTGACAATCTTCTAGAGCCAATGATTCACATAGAACATGTTCTGAATCTCTTCATCCATGGATCTGCAATGTGCGTGGACTACAATACCGGCATCAACTCTCCATCTCAGGATGAGTTGCACAACCCATCAATTGCGGCAGCCGTCAGTACGTTGACCACGGCTATACGCTGCATCCACGAGAGTCTGGACATCATTTGCGCCGTTGAGATCGACCGACTTATATGTTTGCCCACCACGTCAATAGCGCGGACAACGTATCCCGTGGTCAGTTTGATAAAAATATACTCACTGTTCATATCCCCGGACAGTCGAATCAGGCAGATTCTCGACGTGCAAAGTCTCAAACTCGATTATTATCTGGATAAAGTGATCGCTCATTACCGTGCCGCCGCGGCGCGTGATGGTGGCCGTGTAGCAGCGAAATTTGGAAACATAATGGTCTTGTTGCGCAATTGGTTTATCAAAAAGCGCGACCAGGGAGATCATGGCCGGGAATTGAAAGAGGTCTTTTCCAATGATCAGAAACCCTCGGATCGCCGACAGACACAGAACCGTGATACCCCGAACGCTGCATCTGCCAATCCAAGAACGCAGATGGCAGCGGGAATGACACCCCTCCATTTCCTGAGCGAAGTAGCCATGGGCGACCCAGCGCACCGGGCGAACGATCCCAACTCCCAACGCCCAATAGCTGCACAATCCTATTCCTCTAACCAGAGTCCAAGCTCAACAGTGCCGGGCTCGTCCAGTTTTGGGCCAGAACCGCCCCAAACCGCCTGGTCACCTGGCACATCATACCCAACCACACTCCCGACCCCAGACTCGACCCAGATGGAGACGAGGGGTTACTACCAACCCTATCCATCCACCGAACTCACACCGAATTACCCAGATCTACCGTCGAGTGCGCAGAGTCAGGGATACCCGGATATGTCCACCGTTGCTGGGATGCAGCTTGCTCCTCCGATGGGAATGGCCCCCGAGGTCGGCATGGACCCGAATTTCGGAGACCCTTGGTTTATGTTAGGGAATATTATGGATGAGGGTCTGTCTACATTGCCGCTTACTTTTGATGGGAATTTCGGATTGTTTTAGTATTGTGGTTTACGAAGGTGTTATGGATTCTCCTCTATTGCTCTATTATACCCGTTGCTGTTTCGAATGTATATCAATTTCATTTACGACGCATCATGCAAAATGTATTATCGAAAAGAGCCTCCAAATGAAGCCAAGTCTTTTCGAATTTAGCCACTCTTATAGGAGATGCTAAACCTAAGTAGGATGGATAAGGAACAAGGCCACTTCGCGGAGTATCAGCCTGGAGAGGCCATGAATTATGTCAAGCTTTCAATAACAATAACCATCTGTATCTTGCCAGATGTTGTATCATCGTTGATCATCTTCGATCATTGACGTTACCCCACCTCCCTACGGGGGAATGTTCCCCGGTTTCGAGATATTCCAAGAGGGAAACATTCCCCGTCCCCGCATCCGCTGCACGGGCAACTCATCTGGCACCAACCCACAAGACAGAAATGGTTATTGGATGCTTGGATTTGCCGATCTGCACTTTGAACCTTGTGGCCAATATGGGGAACCAGATGAAGATATCCATTGTGCTGAATGATGGCACGAAGACATGTGGGAGAATGATACTTAAACCAGCGCCATCCTGCCCTACCAACAGCCCAAGCATTCTTACTTTCCCAAATCTCTTTCACTCAAGACGAACCGACTTGGAGAAGGACTTGTTGCTTCTAGACGTGGCGTTTCACTGCCTTGCACAGTCTATAATTCCAGTTCAACCTATTACCTTCCACACAACATGATCACTGTATTATCAGCCTTGTCGGCTGCGCCCTATGCAGCTGGGCTAGGCCTGTTCCTTCTGGGTTATTTCCTCGTGATTCCATACATTGAATATCTTCGGGATCCAAAAGGTATTTCCTAACAAACCAGTTCGATCCTCTGGTTGAACATCATTAGGGCAACTGCTGACCCGTTCATTCAGGCTTAAGGAGATACCCAAATCTCACACCCTTCTCCGGATTTTCAGCAGTTCCATTCATGATCATGGCTTCGCGGGGCTTCCGTTCAATGGAATTGACCGAATTACACAAAAAGAACCCCGTCATTCGAACAGGCCCCAACCAGCTGTCTTATGGCGATGTCAGGGCTATCAAGGACATCTATGGCCACAACACCAAGTGTATCAAGGATCCCTCATATGTGGTCACCTCTGGAACCCACTACAATCTGGCCGATGTTGTAGATAAGCCTGACCATGCCCGAAAGCGCAAGATCCTCTCTGCCGCCTATGCGCTCAAGAACCTGGAGACGTGGGAATACAAAGTGACCGACAAGGTCCAAAGAATGTTCAAGCATTTTGACAAAGTCTGCACCGCGCCCGCCTCTGCGGAAGTGGCGTCTGGGAAAACCGCACCCGACCAGAAAGACCTCACGCTTGACCTCCGAGCCTGGACCAACTTCTTCACCCTTGATGCAATCGCCGACATTGGTCTCTCAGAGAAGCTGGGCTTCTTGGATTCCGGGACTGATCTTTGCATTGCCGAAAGGAAAGATGGCTCTACCTATGAGACCAACTTGCGCGAGGCCCTCTACCCGACTGCTCGGAAGCAGTCCCTCATCGTTTGGAACTATGAGTGGTATCCAATTGTCAACAAGCTAGTCAACGTTATTCCATTTTTCGGTCGAATGCAAACATCTGCCGACAACTGGGAGAACATTATGTGGCGACGGGGCAGTGAAAGGCTACGACGTTATGAAGCCGGTGAGAAACTCGAGGACTTCTTCCAGGCCCTCATGGAAGATAAGAATGGAAACGCCAAGAACCTCGAATGGGGTGAGGTCGTTGCCGAGTGCAACATCATGATGAACGCTGGTAGTGTGACTACGGCTGTTGCCATCGCCAACGTCATGTACCAACTCATCCGCAACCCCCAAACCTTAGCCAAGCTCCGCGAGGAGCTTGACGCGGTTCTGGACGAAGACGAGGTTGTGGCTGATTACGATAAAGTTAAGCATCTTCCCTACCTCCGAGCATGCTTGGATGAGTCCCTACGAATCTTCCCGCCGACTTCCCACGGTCTTCCGCGTGAGACTCCAGCCGAAGGCACGAACATTCTCGGGGAATGGGTTGCTGGTAATACCACCGTGAGCATGTCTGCTCTCGTAGCACACCGCGACGAGAGTGTGTTCCCCAACGCAGACCAGTATATTCCTGAGAGATGGCTTGGGGAAGAAGGCAAGGCGTTGCAGCCGTACTTGATTGCCTTCTCTGCTGGTGCTCGGTCTTGTATTGGTCGGAATATCTCATACCTGGAGCAGACTAAGGCAGTTGCTTCTATGGTACATCGTTATGACTTTGCTCTGCCTTACCCGGGTTGGGAATTGAAGCGGTTGGAGACGATGAATTTGATTTTGGGTGAAATGCCGGTGAAAATTTGGCGTCGTGATTTGGGTGCCGTTGAAGCTTAGAGATATCAATTAGACGATGATTTATGTTAATGCCCTTCCGCATCCTTTAAGTAGCCCTTCTGAGGTTGGCTCTTCCACAATTGTAGTCTTATCTTTCACATTGGTCTCACTCACCCCCTGGTACATCGCATTATATGACTGCCTTCCACCTGGTTTAAGCAGCCCTTCTGCCGTCTCTCCAATATCTATAGCCTTCTCATCCTTTATATTACTCTCACCCTACTCTCACCCTACTCTCGCCCTACTCTCACCCTACTCTCACCCGTCCCTCACTTTACTCCGACTTTGCTCCCATTCACCTATACCCTAGTACGTCGACCCCTTTAAATTCCAACATCCCCCCCTACTTTGAGCAACTCTACTGACAACTACTCTTCGACAACCCTAGTCTGCTTATCTTTCACGCTGCTCTCAGTTCGCTGGCTACCACTATTCCTGGTACGGAGAATGGCACATTAACGCATGTTGTCTCCAACCCACTCACTGGGAAAGCATCAATGGATGAACTGAACGGCCTCGAGGGTGCTAAATGCTAGCACACGAAGAAGTCCAAGACCTAGTGGAGAAAATCCTAGGTATGCTGCTAGCGATGTCTCTTGTGCTCCAAGGAGAGCCACGTCGAAGGGGGTCGGGAAAGGCAACTTGTCGAGCCTCGTGCAGATTCTTCTGCAGGCTATCTGGTATGGTTTGAAGCCTCAGTGTTCTGACCTGGGTCTCCATGATATTAGCACTAGTTAGACGGCGAGCCATGCGTGGTGATGCAACGAGACATATTTTGCTCATCTAAGTGAACTATTTACTTTTACTGATCTTTCTAGACAAATAGACACTACTATCGCGGCTAAGAAACTGCAATGAACAACCCTTATTAATTATGATCTTGGTACTAGTGTGTCCTAAGATTGATACAAGAAGATCGAAGAGAGACAGGTACAGAAAAAAGCAGAACCTCCAAAAAGAAAACAGCATGTGGCCTGGGTTCAGCGACAGCCAGAAAGATAACAAGAAGCCAATGAGATCATTCCCCATTAGATGTACCTCGGGATCAGAGATAAAACGCCGTCGCAGCGATTTTGGGTAAGCACACAAAGCAAGAGATAGACAGAAATCAAGGAAATTCGTGATAGTGGCATCAATTCGCCAGTATTTCCGGGAGGAGAGGTGGTACGATATCAATAGAGGTAAATGGGAAATAAGTTGGGGGGAGATCCATCGATGGGAACAGAGACAGAGATAAGAGGTAGATATCGAAGAAGAAGAGGAATATACTGGTTCAAAATACATGTGGCTGCCTTTTGTCATGTTTTTAGCGTTCGTGCCCGCCCAGCGCAGATTCGTCGACAAGTTCTGCTGAGCTGCCTGTGAATGACGGCTCATCCGGGCTCGCCTCGTGGATGTGGTCGTGTGCGCGATGTTGTGGTACATAGCCCATACTCGAGGGCCTTTCCGCTCGAGGGCCCGTCTGCTGGCTCGAGGCGTTGGACCTTGACCTTGAAGTAGAGGTCATAGACAGACCTCGTTCGCGAGATGGTGAGCTACTCCCGCTAAAGGGCAGGCGGGCAGTGGCGGAGCCTTCTGGTTGGAGATGGTGCTCAGAGTGCACATAGTGCTGGCCTGCCTCAGAGTTGCGCGACAAGGTCTCGGTCACAACTGGAAGGCCAGCGGCTGTTTCACCCGCACCTTGTTCGCCAGGCGCCTGTGTGTGACGAGAGCCCGTTCGACTGGGCAACTCAATGCCACCGCCAACTGTCGTATTAAGTTGTGGCAGCACTGGTGGCCGGGAATCACTTGGCCGTTCCGGGTCGTGGTCGTTATCTGAATCCCGATAAGGAACATTGCTAGTAGACACATTTCGAGAATGGCTCGCGGATGGCGTGCCTGTATCATCCTGATAATTATCATTATAGTCACCTCCACGCGGGAATAGACCAGGAGGAGGAGCACGAGCACTTCGGACCACCTCAAATCCTTTGGCGTTGTCTTTGGTCTTCCCTTGGAGCAAGCTTCGGAACCACCCTGTCGCAGACGAGACTGGGCCTGTGGGATCTGCTGGGCCAGTTTTCAACTTACGGGTGCCGCTGTGGGAGAGCGGTGGGCCTCGGACACCGTAGTAGAAATCAACCTCGCGAACAGCATAATCCTTCGGCTTGCGTGGGGCATCGAGCTCCATGTCATCCTTCGGCGCTGCTAGATATGCCGGAACGGGTGTGGCCCGGCCAGACATGGTACCATCTGCCAGGTCGTCTTCGGTATTCACTGCCCGGCGGCTTGGTTTTGACCTCAAGAAGCCGCGTGACGGGCTCTTCCCTTTCTCGAGAGCAGCACTCCCCGGTGGTGTTCTTCGCCCGGGACGGGGTGGTCGATAATAGGGATCACGAGGGTTCATTCCCATCATCGTACCACTGGTGGGCGAGCTAGGGAAGCCGGCTCCTTGATAGGCGGTTGAGGTAGGTGTGGGGAATCCTCCACTAGCGGCACGACTGTGCGTGCCACCTTGCGAACTAGGATAGTCATAGACAGCACTGGCCCTGCCATCACTAGCCGCAGCACGATTGAGAAGCAGACCAGAGCTCCCAGAGAGGCTGCGGGGACGCGATCCATCAAACTGAGAAGACATACGGTCGTCAACATGGCCGAGCATAGCAGCCTCCGAGCCCATACTCTGGCGAGTAAGATCACGCCGCGGAGTGCGCCTAGAGAGCTGGCGCATACCAAGCACCTTGGTCAAGCCACCACGAGTGGCACCGCCCGCACCAGCCAGTCTTGCCAGGACCTCGATCAATGTTTGCATCGCATTGAGGAAGAACCCGAAGACGAAAACCATGGCGTGTAACACGAGGATCAGATATCCGATCCAGCCTCGTGCCGCGTCCGAAACTGTCAATGACGGCACAAAGATTACGCTCAAGATAACTGTCAAGAAGCGCACGATAGAGAAGATGCAATGGTACAAGTTCATGTGAGTCGGTCCCGAGAAAGGTCGGAAAGCCAGCAGGGTTAGTACGGAGACAACTTCGCAAATGGCCAGCATTACCACCTGAGCGATGCCAGATGGCTGCAAAGCACCAATAGCTATCCCGCGAGCGATGTTCAAGACAATTGGAACGATACCGAAGGCCGCTGCATCGTCACAGTATGTATTATATAGCGGCCCATACAATAGCACCGTAGGAAGATCATCGAAAAAGGTGAGCCTTGGGTCTAGTGGTAAGAATCACTCGGATGACCCATATGGAAAAGCAAGCGATAAGAACAAGCACCACAGCTGCCAAAGCGACACAGTAAGCGGTTGATTGGCGAGCAAGAACCAGCTGAAAGAAGGAAAGGGAAACGATTGGCAGGAGAAGGAAATTGAAGACAATGCGAATGAGGTTGCCCATGGTAAACGGCATGTTTCTGGCACGCAGATCCTGGTCGGTGTTGTTTGCCAACTCACGATATAGCCATCGAAGCGCGAATGCGACCTGGAACAGCACCGTCACACAGGCCAGGATCACGAGCACCCATATCATCATACCGGGCCAGATATCCTGGGACGAGGACATGCCAACCAATTGGTTCAATCGGTCGAGGCCATAAGTTCCATTGACGGCGTATATACCATCGACAACGGGATCACGGCCCTTTTCAGTGCTCACGAAACTCTGGTTGAACATGAGAGTTGACCATGCACCTTGGCTCACTGCAGGCTGGAAGAACCCTGGGTAATCCAAAGAAAGCGAACCCGTCAAGACCACGAATTGAAGGTATTGCAGGCAATCTGCAAATCCAGGAGTGACCAGCCGGAGAACATCCTCATCGCGGCCGTAGTTGCTTGTCCACCGAAACAGATCAGTTGTGCCCCAAGGGCTATACATGGCGGCAGCGATGGTCGCAATCCCCACGAGAACCAAAATGACAAGAGGCACGTAGGCGATAGCATTTTTAAGTGATGTTCCGAAGTCCGGTGTGGCCCTCACTGAAACACAGGCAAGCTGAACTGCGGATGCATCTCCAGAGCGGAGCGTCAATAACGGTGTGATCGTTCCGAAACGGTAGGTTGAAAGCATATCATGTTGAATAGAGAACGCTCGTAATGTCGCCAAATCACTCCTGCATAAAAGAAAAGGATCAGTTAAAATCAGAGAGAGCTTTCAATTCGGGGAATAGCTCACAGGTTGTAATCAAAGACCGGACCCAACGGGAGGGTACCTTGCGTGAGTGCGTCACGAAAACGAGAGGCATTGTGGAAAGGCGTGAAGCTGAGCACATTGAGATCCGTCAACAGCGTGCTGTACAGGTTGTTGGTACTGCTCACATCCTCAATCTTCCCATCGGTCCAATTGGGATTTGTCCAGACGGAGGAATCCGGTGTCGGGTAGTCAGCAGTCCGTGACACGGTTCCCGACACATTTCCGTATACCGTGACGGCGAGCGGGTGTAGAGGGTTGGTAAGGTTGAATTTGACGGACACGTTGGTGGGAACGAATTGAAGTTGTAGAGGATCGGACTCGAGGATGGTTTTCGATAGACAATTTTCAAAGTCCAGTAGAACAGCAGCGGCTGGCGATGCAAAGCTCACTAAGCAAAGTAGTGCAATCCACCACACGGGGCTCCATGGTTGTGCTCGGCGTTTCGAAGTGTCACGCCATGGCCGACATTGTAAAATATGTAATCCACTGCGTCGCGACCACCTGGTTTCTTTCCGTCGAGAGGATGAATATTCATCCAGCTCGATCTCCCCCGAGTCGTACATGTCCGCTTCGGGCATCCGGGATGACCTCCTCGGGGAGGTCAACCCCCGGCGTAGATGATCGAATCCACGTTGTGTTGACAATGGGTCGGTGTTGGGGTCTCGTCCACCGCGCGCACCCCTTCCCAGAATTGATAGTCACTTGAGATTGATTAAAAAAAGGCTCGCAGGGAATAGATCAGGAATGAAATCTCGCGTGATGGGGTTGGGGGGGGGTTTCGACGTTAGGCCGGTGCCTGGAGGTACGTAAATCTGCGTGTGCTGTAAGTTGCTAAGTCGCTAAGTTGTCAAACGCGGCATATCCCGGGAGGAGGATCGGGAGGTCGAAGTCAGAGCAGAACACGAAGAAGAGTTAATTTTTGCAGTGGGCTGGTCTGTTGTTGTTGCTGCGCCTTGTTTGGTCTGGCCCTGCCACAGGTGGAGTTTGACGGCTGACTACTCGACTATGCCTGCCAGGTGGGCAGGTGCTAATAATAGGCTAACTACCTAACTACCTAGGTAACTAGTTATACGCAGAACTATTTTCTTCTTTTCAAGTCACATCAAATACATATCATAAAATAAAAATTTCCTCTTCTTTTTTTCTAACTATTTCCAATCCCACCGTAATTGCATCCACTCTGTCGGCTGGAGCCGAACCTCCCCGGAAATAAATAGACACAGTTGACACCAATATACTGTTGTGTTATCATATTGATAAACAGAATATCGTCTTCAGTTAGGAGGAAAAGGACCTGTCTTTATGTCTTTATCTTATAAATCGTTATTTTGTATGTGTTTCCGAGCCATTCACCATCTCATGTGTTCACCGACTACCGACTCTAAATAGTCGCTCAAGGTGGATTATTGTCTCACTTGATGCTCGGTGACCCCGTCATGCCCGAAGCTCAACGCTTTATTGCCGATCAGATTCCCGCAAGACCTTGCGTCGGCTATGCCGTGGAACTTTGGCTTTGGAAGCTTCCTTGTGATATTGTCTCGGGTGGTGAGGAGGTTGGGATGTGCCGCATTACCACAAAACCGGGTGAACCTTCAGGGCTGGCCGATATCTCATCTAACCAATCGGGGGATCAGTTGGGTGACAACAAAGGTGCGGATAATGCCCAAACTTTCAGGATCCAGTACCCTGCATGAGTTGTCTAACTCCACTGGGGGTTCAGAAATGGAGGTTTTCTGGTGAGACAAGTACGGTGGCGTCAGGCTCTGCTCGTATATAGGTCCCCGGGATGGATACTTCTTGTTCAAATCCCGGGTGTCTCCGTAGTTGTGTGTATCACCTTATTCACCTCGGGGTTGTTAAGACATACATACTCTTCTAGAAACTTGGAATTTAAGTCGTGGAATACCATATGTATTCGGTAGGGCTATCTTGGATAGCCCAATGTCTCACTTTCTTAGCGACGTAAACATACTAACGAAAAGGTTAACGCCACATTGAGTTCCTTGTTTAACTCTCATTTCATCCAAGTCTAATCCTGAACCAACCTAGCTCCATCAAGCAAAAGCCGCAAAGTCATCGCCGAATCCCGTACACTCAACTGCCTCTCTGTCCTCAACGAATTGTTCTGGTTCAAAACGAGATTCCCTCATTGCTGTCTTAGATCTTCAACAGTGCTGCCGTTTAACATATCAGCATCATGTCCAATTATCAGGTCCGAATCTAACGTTGTTCCTAGCTAGTAAATGCTAGTAGTTGTTTGTTTCAGCGTCTAATCAGGCTGCTGTGCGCCTGCCCATGGCTTTCCAGGATGTAACTTTTCCTGTCGCTGTGGGTCTTTGGCTGTAACAACTCAGCAGGTCTTACCGCTACTGCAAGATGAGAATGCTGCTGCTATTAGAGCTCACAGGATAGACGAAGAATCGAATTTTCTTCCAGGCACTACCTAAGTAAATAGTAGGCTTAGTATAGACAGGCCTACGGCGAATCTGAACTAGATAGCTCTAAACGATCTACTACCCTTCCTGATGTTTGAATACATCTATGGATTTCTCCAAGGTCACCTGATGTCTCACTATAATAGGACTTACAGTTTTCCTTTTCTCCTCCTTTCCATAGTTCTCGTGCAATTCTACAATACTGTATTATATCATGCTCCATGATATTAATTAATACTACCTGGTAGCACTCAGACACCCGAGTTGAAAATTTTTGGAAGACCCAGTTGATGTTATGATAATATATCGCTGCATAGATTGTCAAACGGGGATGTTCCGTGTTTACTATCGGCTCGTCACAAAAGTTATATGTAGAAAGGTTGTGTAGAAGTAATTTATTCCCCCAAAATTGTATCGACCAATGTAGACCTAAGTGCGGTGCATGGCTGGGACTTGATGCCTTCTGTGGTTTACTGCAAGGGCCCCTTCTATGAGCTCAACATTATAGACCTTTTTGGAATGCCAAGCCACTACCTACAGCAGTGTATAGCCGCCAGTGCGCCATATCGTATTCTGCTAGAAGAACCTTTCATAAAACTAGTATTCGCGTGTGTTATTGACTATAGAAATAAAAAATGATAAAAATGGCACTATAGGAGTTTGAGATATTGTAGAAGTTGAGATATCCAAGGTCATATATAGGGAAGGACTCTTTATAAATTAAGCCTTTTTTAGCCCTTTTCTGCTATCTACCTAATAAATTGAGAAGGGTGGGAATTATCTATATCACTAGAAACTAAAAAGTCTACCTAAGAAGTCTACTAAAAAGGACCACTAAAACGACATGTAAAAAGACCACCTAAGAAGATCATAAAGACTAGGGCTGTATAAGCGGCCGGCTATTCTTGTTATAGGGACTGAGATATTATAGAAATTCACCCTATAGAAGTTGCTATTGTATGTTGTAGGAATTAATCGCTAAAATTTGTAGGTAATAGTAAATTGGCGGTATGACGGTCGAAATCTAATATAGAAAAACACGATATGGCGCACTGGCAGCTATACACTGCCGTATACTACCTGTTCATTAAATTTTAATACGTTTGTACAACGTAGAAATGAGATTTTGACGTACTTTATGCCTTGGGAGCTCCACTAACCTACCAAGGGTTACCTAGGTAAGATTGCACACTCCGTACGGGGTAGTAAGCAGTTATGTGACCTCCCGAGGTCCCAGCGGGATGATCTACTTCAGGGTGTATGTACGGAGCACTTAGGTAGCTACTCCGTACGAACGCTGGGTCTCACGGATATGAATTATCTAGATGCGGGGTGGTTCGCGCTACTGTTCTTGGATTTCTTTTGTTCTTTGTTCTATGTATATGTGGGCTTCTGTTGAATGATGTCCAGAGTCAGCATAAGCGCTCTGAAGATTTAGTCAAGGAAGGGGATACTATTCGATAAAGCAAGACATATAGCGGTAACAAGCAAAGGAATACCCGCAGGTTGTAGGGATTTGCAGCCATTTGAAGATCATATGTATAGATATATGTAGGGAGTAGTAAATTAGAGACTCGAGAAAAAGAGGGACCTTGCATGCCACAACGGGATGACGAAACGGGCAAGCCGATAACGGGCATTTGATCAAATGCCAAATTGAGGAAGACACATTTCAGCCACGCCTCCAACCTGGAGAGAAGCCACGAGGGTTAGGCAATATTAACGAACCAATAAATCCAGGGTTTCATTAACTAGATTAGTCTCAAATTTGCGCTAAGAGGCCCCTAGACGAAATTATGTGAGATGGGTTAGGAATGACTTTTTACTAGCAATATTTACTATGTTGTAGAAGTACAAGACAGTAGATCATACATGCCCAATATCAAATCATATAGAAATATCTGTAACAATGGTGTGATTTACCCCGTAGGAATATCTTTGATCTTCTCGATACTCGTCAGCGGCGGGGTCCTTCATTCCGATTGGGCTTAGTGGAGTTTCAGTTTGAGACGAGCGGGTTGTCAATGCTGATTGGATATATATAGCCCTTGGTGGCTTGAAAAGGCGTTGGGTGTTTGAGGTATGTGGGATGGGTATAAGACTTATAGATATGGAATTGTAGCACATGTCCTTATTAAATACTTGGTAAATGTCTCTTAATAGACCTATTTATACACCTATTAACGTCCCTATTAATATTCACTATATACAAAAAGCTCCACAGAACAAGCCCCCCCCACTGCGGCAATTGGTACCTGCGGAGTATCTCCAGGGTTTCCCCCCCTGATAATGTCTGTGTTCTTTCACTTCTTCCCATCTGTCTCAGGCTGCTGGTCCAGCTACTTTACCAATTTAATCTCTGTACTCCCGTACGGAGTACTCCGTAAGTATTTGCTTTTTATTTGCTTTTTATTTGGATTTTTGAAGGCGCTAATCTTGGGATAGTTGGAGCACGGGCGCTTCGATTCCACCCCTCCTTCCTCTCCGACACTTGACACTTGACACTTGGGACTATTTTGAGACAATCCGACACTTGACCTTAAACACTTCACTTCCACTTCTCTTATACCCTTATACCCCTCTTGATCTCCCTTCTCCCCTTCCCCCCGCTATTCGATCCCAATTCTTATCAGGCCTAAAGCCCCTGTCGATCCTTAAACACCTAGGGGGAGGGGATATTTCACTGCTATTCTTGGTGTGTGCGATTTGAGTGCGATGTGGACTGCGTCTACTCGCAACCCTTTCCTGTCATGTCTACCGATGACCCGTTCTCCTTTCTGCCCGAGCAGGCCAAACCCGCGAAAAAACCCCACTGGAAAAGTAAACTATTCTCCAAGGATAAGAACAAATCTGCGTCGCATCAACATCAAGAAATCGCGGACTTCTTGAGCTCTCGTGCCCCAGAGTCAGCTCCAACTCCCCCGGCTATCGATTCAAGACACATTCCTCCGCAAACCGTTGCTGCCCACCGCTTTCCTTCCTCACAAGACATCTCCGGATACACTCCCTCCAAGCCAGAATCAGCGCCAGCGCCAGTCTTGCCTAACGAGGACTATGTCCCTTTCAACTTCTCAGACCAATCTCATACCGCACCTGCCCCTCCTGCCTCTGCCAAGCCTAGTGGGCGCAAAGGCAAAGGGCTGCGGGTGGGTTTCAGCCCTCGAACCCCGGAAGTGATTGGCGAAGGAGGTGATGAGACGGAATCGCCAACAATTGAGATTTCGCGGGCTCGTGAAAGGTCGGGCAGCAGGGGAACCGAGTCTGCCAATATCCCTACGCCTCTCTCGGACCCTTCGCGATCGCATCTGCCAAATCTCCGACTGGACACATCGCTGGGCGATGGCGATGCGCGATCGGGACAGGCGGCTTATTCGCCTCTGCGTGATAGATCGGACTGGAAACCCCCGCTGATGCAAAATCCACAGGACGTGGACTTCCTGAGCGCGTTGCCTTCGAGTGACAGCGGTTCTCGATTGTCATTCCGTGGCGATACCGAGGCGAATTCATTCGCACAACGCGTCCGCGACAAGATGGAAGCGGAAGAAGGGCGCGCATTGCATCATCGTTATGAGGAAGATGCCTTGTCTCCTGGCGCTGAAGACGATGATGCCTCAACTCCCCCCAGCCCTCCCAGCCCGGAATCGCCCATAAAAGCTTACAATCCTGGATTGGTTAAAGAAACAGGCTCAACGGCGGGACTTCCGCATGCGCCGTCAATTTCTCTGTCAATGCGGTCGATTGTCGATTCGATTCGGAACCCCCCCAAGCCCTTCAACGCAACGCGCACCTGCGAATCTCAGTCCTATTGACCCACGAATGCCCACAAATCTCATCCCAGGTAGCCCCGGCAAGGCTTCACCAACACAGGCGAAACCGCCACCCCAGGACCTGCCTGCATCAAACTTGGCGTCACCTCGAAGTCGCGAAGGTCAAGAGCCACCACGCGGCACCCAACCCCCCTAAATTCTCTCTTCGAAATATTGCCAACCAAGTTGGCGATACCGCATTTTCTGAATTCAAAGATTACAATGCACGATATGAGAGTTCTATTAAACTCGCAGCAGAGGATGTTAAGCCATTGGTAGAAACATCACTAGCAGAATGGATTCGGGCTGCGGTCTGGTGGTTTTTGCGAGGGAAGACGCGATTAGAAGCATATGCTCGTTCCCGTTCGACACTGCCACCTGCCTACGCCAAGCAAGCTGTGATCGATCTTGGAAAGGCATTATGGATAATTGAAAATATTGTGCCCAGTCATCATGAACTCTCTCGATACGGCGCCATGGGCGTTGACGCCCTACTGGCCGTTGCGAGTACTACCGGCGACAGGGAGTTGGCTGAGCTTCTGGGAATACATCAAACTCTCATCAATCACCTCCGGTCGCTGTCCATGTCCATGAAACGTAACAACATCCTCGCCGTGGTTGTCTCGGACGAAGGCTCTCCCACCCAGCTGGATACTAGCATCTGGCTGCGTTACCCTTTCTATGCGCCCGACGTCTCAGCAGTCTTATCTGGCGCGGCAACGAGATCAATGTTGGCAGATAACGCGGGCAAGACACCAAGTTTGGTGCACATGATGCCTTTGGGTGACACAAATCGATATTTCAGCTATGGTAGCATGTTCGTGCAGGTCTGCGTCAGCTCCAGTGATGATGATGGGCAGCAGCAATATGCCATGCCCTGTGCATTGACCATCGTCCGCGAACGGGCAGATTGGTATGTCTTTGCGGCAATCACTAGCCAAAGTCAACTTGTCAACATCTTGATTCAGTCCGATCGCAAGCAGGGTCCGACTTGGGAGGATGTGGATTGGCAAGTCCGGTCCCATTCTATGCGAGTCAAGCTCCCCCGAGGATTCGAGTTGGACGTCATGTTCAAGGAAGAGGATTTCAAGACCCTTTGGAATATCGTGAAATATACTCAGAAGTCGGAGAACAGTCTCCATCCGGAGGCAGGCGAGACTGTGGTATTTGAGAATACTCTCAAGGTTTTCCAATATATGGATCCGGGCACACCCAAGGCATTCCCTCCAGACCCTACAGAAAGATGTCGTATTCGTTTGTTCGAGCGATCTGTCACCGTGACAGAAGGCACTGGTACTCGCAATTCGCATCGGGGATTCCGACTAGCTGTTCTGACCAGCCCGAAGGTCAAGACTTTGAGCAGCATTCGCCATACTTTGGGCAACGGCTCGCCGATAGTGTTCGGTCTCTTGCGAGGAGAGGACGGTGCTCCCGCTCTTCTCCTCAAGGTGACCGAGGACGGCCGTACAAGATCCATGTTGATGACTTTCCATGAGGTGGCCGAGCGTACGAAAATGCACTCCGTGCTGCTAGGCATGATTCCACGGGAAGGAGAGGTCAAGTCGCCCGAATTCGCCATCCAGTCTTATTGCATTGAACAGCCCGAAGATCCATTTACCGGCCAGCCGGCAGTCAAACACCTCCAGTTCCCCGCCGGAAGCGTGTCCGTTATTGACCAAAAGCATGCTTACGTTGACCATGGTTATGGACCGACTATTCTATCGGAGCATTTGAGGGCCTTTATCGCCACTGAATGGGGCTCTGTCACGGATCGCATCAACTTAGGTGGGTTTCTCTATCGTCTTCTCGCCTCGAAATGAGTTGCTAATTTTTGTTCAGGGCCTGGTGAATTGAAAATCGGCTTGGACGTCCAGAGCAAGACGAGCATGAGCTTGTTCCGCTCCGCGCAGCAAGATCTGACCCTTTCGCTTGCGGATAACCTCGTCCGCCCTGAACTGCCTGGACAGTTAACCGGCTTCCTTGAGAAGATTACGACGAAGCCTATGATCCGCCGGCTGGATTTCCCCACCATGGAGGGTATGTCGTCTTCTGACATTTTGTTTTCTTCGCTAATTGCATCCTAGATCTTCATGCCTTCGAAGCAGCTGTTACTGGCTTCCAGGTGCTTTACGATGGGTGAGTCTATCATATCCATCTAGCCTTTTGGTCAAGACCTTGCTAACCGAACTAGTATGGCTACATCGTTCACTATCTCCCGCCGACGGAGTATGGTTCCCATTTACAAGAAATGGGAAGCTGCAGTGGCACGGGTTCAGATCGTACGACAAGAGAAAGTTGTTCAAATGCTTGCTTTCTTCGGAGACTTCCAGCATGGGACATGTATGAACTTTGTTCTTAAGGGTACTGATATCATGGAATCCTTTGGGCGGTCCGGCAAGTTCGGCATTCGTATGGTAGATGCCAAGTTCGCACTGCCTAAGAAGGACGATAATCCAGCTTCCAACTTTGTGTGTCTCGACATGCCCGAGTATCCCATTGAACACGACGATCTCACCATTACGTTCGATACAGAGGCTTGTGAGTTATATATCTGCCTTGTATTTTCGTTTGCTAACTTTTGTTCGATAGCACGCGCAAGCTTCAAGGCAGCTCTTCCTGGGTCAGTGCGAGAGCCATCTCGCATGGGCTCCATCCGTCGATAATGCGGATGTTCTCCCTCTTCCCCGTGATGTCCCCACACGTGATCCATTACGTGATTTCCCCTCCTTCCCCCCTCCCCGAGATCGGATCCCGCATTCTCTGGTGTATTATAACTTTTGCTTGACGGGCCCCTTTTCTGTGCATACAATTCAAGAACCAAACATAGCATCTTTTATCATGTCGCATTCTAGCGAAGCCATTGGCGCATCCACGCGCTCCCTGCATGCCGATGATGCCCTGAACCTTGTTACTGATGTTGCTCCTCCTATGCATGTCTCTACTACGTTTCGTTATTCCAAGGATCCAACCCAGCTAGTACCGGCTGCCGATGCCACCCCTGTATGCATCTTGACCCGCAGTTCTATGCCTCATAGCCTAACATATGTACCAATTGTAGTCCGACTTTGATCCAACCTCCCACATCTACTCGCGCATGTCCGCACCCAATCCTACCCGCTTCGAAGCAATCCTCTCCTCCCTCCTCCACGGCCAAGTTATAAGCTACTCCTCCGGGCTATCAGCGTTGCATGGCGCCCTGACCCTCCTCAACCCCCGCCGCATCTCCGTCGGCGATGGCTACCACGGCTGTCACGGCGTCATCGCCCTCTTCACCCGCCTAACAGGCCTCCAAAAGCTGCCCCTCGACTGCCCACCGGACCAACTTGAAAAAGGCGACGTAATCCTCCTCGAAACACCCGTCAACCCCCAAGGCACCGCCTTCGACATTGCGTCCTACGCCGCTAAAGCCCACGCTCGCGGCGCATACCTCATCGTCGACAGCACCTTCGCCCCACCAGGCCTCCAAGAGCCATTCCAGTTCGGCGCAGATATCGTCATGCACTCAGGCACCAAGTACTTCGGTGGCCACAGCGATATGCTGTGTGGTGTCCTCGCCACGAACCGCGACGACTGGGCCGCACAGCTCAAATCCGACCGTCTCTTTATCGGAACCGTCATGGGTAGCATGGAGGGTTGGCTGGGCGTCCGCAGTCTGCGCACATTGGAGATTCGTGTCCAGCGTCAGAGCGAGAATGCCGCCCGTCTCATCTCCTGGCTTGATGCTGCTCTCCATGCGCCTAACCCCACGCCTGACAGCGATGAGGCGGCTGTGCAGGCTGTTCTCGGGGAGGTCCTCCATGCTAGTCTGCAGAAGGTCGAGGGTGACTGGTTGAAGAAGCAGATGCCTAATGGGTTCGGACCTGTTTTCTCTATTGTTATGAAGGAGATGCGGTTCGCTCGGGAGTTGCCGAGTAAATTGCATTTCTTCCAGCATGCTACTAGTCTGGGGGGGTGTTGAGACGCTTATTGAATGGAGGACTATGACGGATGCGACAGTTGATCGGAGGTTGTTGAGGATTAGTATTGGGTTGGAGAATTGGGAGGATTTGAAGGCTGATATGGCGAGGGCATTCCGTGAGCTTGCCAAGTAGATTTGGAGATTATGAGCTACATAGAATGCATACCTTTTTATTATAGCGAAGTATACAATTCATACAATTCATACGATTCATACAATTCATTATACTAACCGTGAACAACTTGGACTCCAGGTCTTATTTACCCCGCATTGAACAATTCTATTGGTCATCTAATCTGCTATCTTCCTACGGAGGACTCCGTATACTCCTTCACCTTTCAATCATCTCTTCCACTGTCATTTCAGACATTCAATCATTCAATCATTCAGTCAATTCTCTCCCTTGATTACACCCAATACCCATCATGCCGGAAACCTTCACAATCCACTACTTCGCCACAGCATCCCAATACACCTCCAAAAACACAGAATCACTCCCCGCGCCACTCAAACTATCCACTCTGTTTGGCGAACTCGAGCAGCGATACCCTGGCATTGTTCAAAAAGTCCTGTCCACTTGTGGTGTTAGTCTGAATGGGGAGTATGTTGATGTCGAGGAGGATGGGGAGCTCGTTATCCAGGCTGGGGGTGAGGTCGCTGTTATTCCGCCTGTGAGTTCGGGGTAGAGATAAGAGGTTTTCCATTTGACTTCTGTGTTGGAAGTACTTTATACGTCTTTATCTTGATTTATTCTCTTGGATTATCGATTACTTCACTTGATTCGATTTCGTCTGAAATGGGTTATTAATGCACGCATTATAAGAATAATCATAAAGACAGAAACAATCCAACTCGTCCAAACTCATAACCTTCCCAGATCCCTATATATCCCATATAATCCCATCAACCTGGTCCATTACTCCATACTCTTCACAGCAAGAGCCTTCTTCTTCTGCAGCCACAAACAGACATTGCAAATAACAGAGAAGAAAAGAGAATACTACCAAATCGAAGTTAGTAAAATCCCAAGAAAAGAAGGCAAATGCAAAACCCAAGGAAAAGAAAAAAACTCACCAAAGTCCAATACTCAACCCCCAAATAGCCTTCGTCTCGACACAAATCGCCTTGGAAGCCCCAATCCACGAAACATAATCAATCTTCCCACTAACGCTGGCGATGTAACTCGAAAGTCGAGACGCAAACGCATACGACGTCGCGTCCTTATCTCCCAGCTCGGCCAGCGCCGTGCACTTCAAGTACGAGAGCGGCTTGCCGACGATGACGGCGACGACGATCAGTGCGATTAGAAGTAGTGTGTCGAGGACTGCGCAGGCGAGGAATGGGAGAATGTCGTCTATGTAGAGGATTGCGGTGATTATGCAGTAGATTGCTGCGATGCAAGTCTGTGGGATTGTTAGTGGGTTTGATTAGGTAGGAGGCGGCTTGGACTTACCACGCTGATTGTTCCGATTAGGATGTTTGGGGGCGTGGCGTTGTTGTTTATTATTACGCTGATGAATTTGGCTGTCATGCCGATTATGGCGATTAGGGAGCAGGCTTGGAAGAGGCGGGATAGTTGGAAGGTTGCGCCGAGGGCGCCGTAGCGGGGAGACATTTTGGGGATCGAATTGGTTTGAATGACTGAATTGAAGTAATGGTCTTGGAGGGTCAAGTGGTCAGGCTGGTCGTGTATATGCCGATGGATCGAGAGTGGATTGGGTGAGTCGAGGATAGTATTCAAGCAACGATGGGATAGATATATGTCGAATGAAAGGCTTTGAAAGACTAGAAGAAAGACTAGAAGACAACAGAAAAGACCCAAGAACAAAGGGAGTGTCTGAAAGAAAGTGAAAAGTGAAGCTGATTGTTAGGTTGAAGACCTGGTTCCGGCTCTTTATATAGACATCAATAAAGACTCTCAAAGACATCAATTGTCCGAAGTCTAGACAGTCTAGACCAGATTAAATTAGCATCAAATCTAGACTCTCCAGACTTCCCCCGGGCTATGTCTTTGTGTGTTACAGGTTGGAGCGCCGTACTCATTGGATCGGCTTTCATTGAGCTCGATACAGCGATCGGCATGAATGGTAGCTTAAGATAGTATGCGATCTCATAGCTCCTTACTAAAGAGAATATACTATTGGAAGAATACTACAATAACATAATAATATATAAAATATAGGTCCGATTGACGAATCCACCCTGGCGCTTGGAAGAAAACCCTAACTCGCCGCGGGTCGCTCTCAGCCACTCGTTCCTTGAGCGTATGCGAATCTGAAGCAGGCGCCTATTTTTGATCTAATTATTGACTAGGATGGGAAATGCCGAGTAGATCAAGTTTCAGGATATTGCATCTAGCCTCAATTTCAGCAAGGGTCTTTATTTATTGATTTTATATTTTTTTGAGCCGCGTGGCAGGGATCTGAGCAAGAGGAAGTCATACTACACAATATATATCATGGGCGGATCGCCGACGCACCTACTCCCAACACTTTTCTCTCGAGCCATATAATTAAAACCAATTGATTAAGTCTTGGTAAGTCCAATTATAGACGAGATAAATATATCCAATGCATCTAGACCGGGCCCTTTAGTCCTTCAGCCTCCATCCTCCACTGGTCCGCGTCTGGAAGAACCCTTCGGGATCATACGCCTTTCTCGTCTTCAGAGCAAGCGCCTTGGACTCAGGGCTAATACGGCCCCAGTAATCCTGACGGTAGTACGCGTCGTTCATAAACAATGGTCGATACACGTCGGGAAGAAGACCCTTGTCGATGTTCTTCTGGACTAGGTTGCCCATTCCCTGGTAGAGTTCGACGGTCGCAGCGTCAACCTTGCTGTCGTCGACTGATAGGCCGTAGGAGAAGTCCAGCTCAATGACAATGTATGGTTGATCGGAGGGAATGTCGAGGAGATCCTGGGGGTTCGTTAGTAATATGATCTCCGGTTTTCTTTCATTCGGAATGGAATTCTTACTCCACCACGGTCCTTGGCCTTCTGAGAGAACGTCTTGGGCAAAGGCTGGAAGGCAATCGAGCCTAGTATCCCGGCCACTTCTAGTACCGACCCGGTCACGTCGCGGAAATGCTCATAGTACTCCTCGAGCGGGGCGGTTCCCACGGTTTTGTTGGGAAGCGGCGTAGTCTCGGTGGCGATGTTGTAACGTTGTCCCCTAGTAGCCAGTTAGCAAGTGGTCCAGGACTAGGAATTGCTCGTCTTACTTAAGAATGAAGAAGTTGTTATGGTTGAGCAGGTCGTAGTATGTGTCCCAGGTCTTGGTGGTAGAGGTGTGTTCAATAGCAGTGAACTCGTCAAAGACTCCGGAGGGGGGCTCGGGGCCATCGTAGAAGAGGAACAAGATACAGAGGTCAAGCACGAGACTGCGCTCGAATGTCACGATGATTGCCGCCTTGTCGTCGGGATACTCGTCGGTGAAGTTGCGCACTGCCGTGAGAATCTCGGGGGCCTTGTCGGCTGTGTAAACGTAGTTGCCACCCCAGACCTTGTGATCTTGAGGATGAGTCTGCATGGTGTATGCAGTAACAACTCCAAAATTGTTGCCACCTCCCTTCAAGCTCATGAAGAGGTCTGTCGAGTGTTAGTTTCGACAACTCGAAGGTTGGTATAGTATCACTCACCTGGGTTTTCGGTTTCGGTTGCGTGGACAATACTGCCATTGGCCAGGACAACTTCGAAGTCCTTGATATTGTTCGCAGCCCAGCCGTACTGCGTGCTAAGGAAACTCATACCACCTATAAATTGTTAGAGATAAACTCGGTGTTGATATCTGAACCACATACCTCCGAGCATATATCCACCGACTCCAACACCTCCCATTCGACCTCCAACAATAGTCCGACCAGTTCCTGCAAGGCCCTGTTGGGCCTCTTCCCATGAAAGTCCAGGACCGATAACAGCAGTATGATCCTCGGGGTTATAGTCAACCTGGTCCAGGTTCTTAGTCGAAACCAGCAATCCGTCCTGGATACTAGCAAATCCATTATTGGGGTTATGTCCTCCGCTCTTGATGGCACTGTTGAGGGTTAGCCGACGTCATTGATGCTGGTGTAACAAAAGAACGAACAAGAGAGTCTCCACGTCGTGCAGGTTCTTGATAACCTGCGCCATCTCTGCTGCACTAGATGGAGCTGCAATGCATGTTGGCTTGAGATCACCGCATGCCGTGGACCAGTACTCAGTCAGATCGCTCTGGTAGGCTAATGAAATACGGTTCTCGATTTCAATGCCGCCGGCTTCGAGTGTTGCGCAGATATCTGCCATTGTCTGGGGGACAAGAGTCAGGGACAGCGCCAGAGCGCGCCATCCGTTGCTTGAGAGCATGTTGTCAAAGGAAAGTAGACAATATAATAGATATAATATTGCAAAAATATACAAAAGAAAGGAATAGGTGATGATCCAGGGTCAGAATAAATACTCCCGACAGATATACGCATTCGAAACAGTTCCACGGTGCGGCCCTTGGCTTTAGTTTATATAACCCTTCCATAGCCTCGGCTTGGAAGAACTCCATAGTGGAAGGACATTCTTCAAGACACTCAGGGTACTCCTTTTGAATGGTGGGCCCAAAAGGAAAAGGAACGGGGACCAAGCCACAGGAGCAAAGAGAAGAATCTGCAGAAGCACTGTTCAGCGACTCCATTCCATCCAGGCCGGGGCCAACCATGCGGTTCTCCACTGGGTAAGACCTGCTTATCCACTCCGGAGAAATTCAGGGTCTGAACATTAATTCGTGACGAGTTCGTCACCGTGCTCGGTGGATGAATTTGGTAAGGAGTTTGCTGCTGCACACTCCACACCCCATAGACGTAGCGGAGACATATGGCAGCGTGGAATGGCCAAACACAAAACCTCGGATGCTCTGTACTTGTGAGTGTTGGACAGGTCGTCCGAGTCAATTGTTCTGAGCTCAGATCGAACTTGGCAGAGCCGAATGCCTATCTTGTGCCGATCTCGACATATATAGACATCGGATATTTGGTCACATTATTCCTATGGCCAGATAGGGCCAGGACGTTCAGCAGCGGGTCCCAATCGAGAAATCTCCTTGTTAATCGGCTAAACTTGTGCAATATACTCCGTATATGGAGTACATAGTACGAATTGAGTGGGGCAATAACCTTTTCCAATTATCAGCCCCAGTGATCGACAGGTCAACTCTGAGAGACGTTGACGTGCCACTACTCTGTACTCCGTAGAGTCGTTTCTGGACAGCGAAGAAGGATTCGCTATTTGAAAGTTAGTGGCACTAAATCAGTTGGTCACAATAATAGGGGCAAAATACAAAGTACCTGATTGGTGTTATTCCAATCGAGAAAACAAGTCAGGTTGGAATCCTCAAATCAAGTGAGACAAAAAAGATCGGCAAGTAGAACTTCCCTAAAACTCCACAAAGTACCTCGGTCCGTTTTTATATAGATAGCCATGGGTTATCACGACCAAAGAAGCGGAAAACGGCAAATTATCGGGGTAATTTACATGTAAACGTACAATATAGGTTCTAGAAAGTCCGAAGATGAAAGAATGTTTCATATTAATATAGAATATTTAAAACATATAGATACGTAGGTTATTTAAACTATTGTTCTCCTTATTATCTCTTAATATAACTTTCTTCCATTCTTTCCCCACTATTTCTTTCTTCTATATTTGTTTTCTTTTCGTCTCTATGCTCGCCCTATACCCTTCAAAGCTTTAACGGCCAAATTTTGCGGGGGATTGCCCCTGACATGCTGAAGATCCGTCAGGCCTCGCTTAAACCAATTAGGAAATGATACTCGTGACATGTCAAGTTTTGTGGACTTTCCCTAGATCGACAAGCCTCTCAATAGTCCTAGATTCATATGAAGTATGCCTTCGCTTTGAACCGGGGTCCGAGGTGAGCCCATTACATTCTATGTACTCCGTAAACGATAACGAATACGTTTTTCCCCGCCAATTCGCAGTGATCTTCGCCAATCATTTCGGTTAGAGAAAAATTTACTGGAGATCGCGGGGAATTTGGATCAACGCTGTCATGTTGAAAGTCGTCTGTTCACGAGGTTGGAGAGGTCGTGCGTTGGTACTTTCGGAGAAAGAGAGCAAGGTGCGGAGATATAGCGCAATAATTATGGATATATGCATGAATCATGCGCAGAACAACCAGCCCAATAGGCTAAAGAGCATAGGTCATCACACGAGTCAAATCACCGACGTCTTCCCACACCCCTGTCTTGAAGAGTGCCGACGCAGCTTTGGGAGTTCACCGGGATTCGAATAGCTCAGAGCTTGGGTGCCGGGGACTAGTGGATCTTGGCAGTCTGCACACAATGTTGTTTCTACAACATGCAATACGGGGGAAATAAGACCGTTGATCCCTCGGCTATCGGATTAAATTAGTCTGGATGTTGGATTTTATGCTGTTATGCGGAGAATCACATCCTACACACGTAAGTACGCAGATCGAGACCGCGATTATGAACGCTTTTTATAGAAACGCTTAATGACGACACATCCCTTATACAAACTCTGAGTCGCCTTTTTGCTGATCTGATAGGTGGCGGCTTCTCACGGAAAATGACCACGAGAATCAACAGGGTCTCCAACAGGTGTTCCAGTGCTATGTGTCTCAACCGCAACGCATAGTTGCCAATTATCTTGGTCTGGCGTATCCCTTCCTTGAAAAGGCCCGACAGGGACGGCGAGTTCGCACGAATAAGGGGTGCCGGCCGAGTCCTGCTAGACGGGAATGCTAGCGATGGTGGCGAGAACGAGGCTACTTCCCCCACTAAATCCGACGGCTCCTTAACGAACAACAAAGCAGAGACTTCAGCACGCCGATATTTGTTTACACTGTAGTTAGCTGGCTTACACCAGCCATACGCAGGCCGGCACAAAGTGGTGCCATACTCGACCGTGGTGAAGCTTTGACGGCCCCCATCGCCGCCTTAGGGTCGTGACAAGTGATGCTACTGTGGTTGGGGTCGCTGCACATACTTGTATGGACGTGGGTCTGTTCTTAACACGTCTATCTGGCCTGCAAGCAGTGATGCTTTCTGCAAAGTCGCCCGACTGCTCGATGGTGTGGCATGTTGTCTGGAGAACAGTACGGTTCTAGAGACTCATAGCGGCCGACTCGCGATGACCATGCTTGAAGAACGTGTGGTGAAGGACGTCTTCGTCTAGGAAGAAGCTGCAGTGCAGCTTGTACTCGTGGTTGCTGCTAGCAACCTCACAGGAATAGCATGACGTGCGCGACCATCTGGTCGCAGCTGAGGCTGCCAGAAATGATCTCTATGATCCCAAGTCTCCGCATAATAGTGGGACAACATACAGCAAATCTTTTGGGAATTCGATATCATTTTGATAAAATGAGAAATGAGGCCTTTGACCCAGATGGAGTTGCATCCGACCCGGGGACCGGAATCTGTCCCTACAGAGTTTGCGGGGTTAACTAGAGACCCTAGCCTAACCAGAACAGACAGATGAGGCAGATAAAACTAGGATTTAGGAAACAGAATCCGTTCTGCTATACAGGAATAAATGTGGTCAGAGCCAGATTATAAGCGGGATTTCTAAGGATGGCCTATTCGGACTTCGGGGTCAGACTCCGTCCTACTTTATACTCCGAGTATAAATGCAGGATGTTCGCTATTATATATCTTCCAATGATATTATGGTCAGGTAGTCAACGAAGCATTATATTACAAGCACCACACACCCTTTAGCGACAGCATATTGGGCAACTTTTACATCTTGCAATGGCCCACAGCTTGGACATGCCTCCTACAAACTCATTTGATTCTAAGCGGGACCACTCGGTGGAGAAGCAAGATGGCTCTGAGAAAAGTGCCTCTAGTGATGATGAACCCAAATACAACTACCCTACGGGGCTTCCACTCACCCTTATCCTTACATCGGTTACCCTGTCCTATTTCCTATTCTTCCTTGACCTTGCCGTCATATCCACGGCCACCCCAGCCATTACCTCCCAGTTCGACTCGCTGATAGACGTCGGTTGGTAAGTCTACATGGGCTCATCTCCAGCCCCGGTATCGTTTCCTTATACTGATCCATCCTTCCCAGGTATGGCGGTGCCTACCAACTTGGAAGTGCAGCGTTCCAACCTTTGAGCGGCAAAATCTACAGCCAGTTCTCTATAAAGGTACACCACGTTTCCCAGGCCTACGCAGAAAATAAACTCTGATGAAACGCAGTGGAGCTTCCTTGTCTTCTTTTTTATCTTCGAGGTTGGTTCTGCTATTTGCGGAGCGGCCCAGTCGTCGCCCATGTTCATCATAGGCCGTGTGATCGCCGGCGCAGGGTCTGCTGGAGTCGCCAACGGTGCTGTGACTACAATTTCCGCAGTCCTCCCAACGAAGAAACAGGCGCTTTTCATGGGGCTCAATATGGGCATGGGGCAGCTGGGCCTTGCGACAGGGCCCATAATCGGAGGGGCTTTTACCACGAAAGTCTCCTGGCGGTGGTGTGCGTTTTTCCATCTGTTATTTTATAAAATCCCGTGATGCTGACTTGTCACTCGTGTCAGGCTTTTACATCAATCTACCTCTAGGCGTTATTGTCGGCGGGTTCCTTCTCTTCAACACTATCCCCGAAAAGAAACCCAAGACTCCACCCCTAGAGATTCTCGGCACCGCTATCAAATCTCTGGATCTTGTAGGATTCATGCTCATTTGCCCTGCAGTCGTCATGTTCCTCCTAGGGCTCCAGTTTGGCGGAAATCAACACCCCTGGGACAGTTCAGCTGTGATCGGTTTGTTGGTTGGCTCCGCCGTTGTCTTTAGCCTCTTTCTAGCTTGGGAGTATCGCCAGGGAGACGAGGCCATGGTGCCGTTTGCTATGCTCAAACACCGAGTCATCTGGTCAGCTGCAATGACGATGTTTTTCAGCCTGTCTAGTGTTCTCGTGGCTGATTTCTACATTGCAATTTACTTCCAATCGATACTTAACGACTCACCTTTGATGAGCGGCGTGCACATGCTGCCAATCACGCTTGGCTTGGTCATATTTACTATAGTCTCGGGAGTTCTGAGTAAGTGACTACGGTGGTTATTTTTAATCTTTGTCCATCTTATGGTCCCTTTTAACTGACCGTCATCGATGCTACCTAGTCTCCCTTTTGGGTTACTATCTTCCATTCCTTCTTGCAGGAGGTGCGATATCAGCTATTGGTTACGGACTCCTGTCGACACTAAGTTCTACAACCTCGGCACCACGTTGGATCGGATACCAGATTCTCTACGGTGTCGCAAGTGGTTGCACGGGCGCAGCTGTAAGTTCAATCGTTAGCAAAAAGAGGATCCCATCCGCTAATCTGTGGCTCTACCTTAGCCTTACATCGCTATACAAAACCTCGTGCCTTCCGAGCAGATCCCTCTCGCCATGGCTATTATTATATTTTGGCAAAACATAGGAGCTTCAACCTCGCTGATCGCCGCAAACGCCATTTTCAGCAACACCCTTCGTCACGAGCTTCAGAAGCGTGCTACACAAATTGGTCACACTCCCGAAGCCATCGTCGCTGCAGGAGTCCGCTCTATCCGTGACCTCGTATCGGGACCTCAGCTAACTGCTGTGCTCGCAGCCTACGCTAACAGCATCGACAGCGTGATGTACCTTGGTATCGCTGTCAGTGTCGCCATCTTGGTATTCTCTCCCGGACTTGGATGGAAAGATATTCGCAAGGTCAAGGATCTTCAGGCCATCACCAGCTATTCCCCCAACGGCGGTGACAAATCGGCAAGAGACGAAGTAGTGACGGGTGGCGAGTAGGTCACTCGTTAATACTGGACTGGAGATCGCTGTAGTCTTCTTCGCATTGATATCCTACCGATATGGTAGTCCTTTCGGATATCATCGACTCTTTCCAACACACAAGAGAGTTGTCTAACTTGTCTTCATTCAAGAATTGCTCTGTTCCGGATAGACTCGTGTGTATAGTCTTATAGACCATTTAACATTACACTGCTCGTTTACTGCCTTGTCTAGTTATTGTCACCCATCGTAAGTTAGGTGCGAAAACAATGAGTAGTTTCCCCAGTGCTCTCCTATAATCGTCTCACGGGGCAAGTCTTGATGTACTCGTATATAGGACGTAGTAGACCTGGTTAAGGACACCGCGAAAACTGTGAAACACGGGGTAAGTATTTGATATTGCGGATTCAACAACCAAGAACACGACCGTTTTGAGAATTCCTTAATAAGTCCTTTACTATACGGAGTCCTTTACTATACGGAGTACAAGATCAAAAGTACAGGTGCGGACTTAGGGGCCAAATCCGTCTGAGACGGACATAACTCCGGAGTTACCGGCGGAGTTCCCTTCGAACAACAACGTATCTTGGAAGCTCGTCCACTACCTCTCTTTTAGAATAGTTTATCCAGGCAATATGGAGAGATCAAAGCCAGCCGGCCAGTCTAGCACCTATGGCCAAGCTTGCACGCATTGCTACAAGGCAAAGAGCCGATGTGTGCGTACCCCAAATTGTGATAAGTGTGAAAGGTCAAAATGACCACCAGCCTTTTAATCAGATGACATTCGGCTGATTATTTTTTCAGATGTCTCCGTCTCAAGAAAAGATGTCAGCCATCAGAGTCGGTTCGCAAGCGCAATACTCAGATGGCCGAGGAGTCCAATACGCGCATCGCTCGGCTGGAAGACAAGATGGAGATCTTACTATCTGAAATGCAGTCATTTGTTTCCCAAAGGGCATCCGAGGCTTCCGCCAATGTTCTTCAGCCGCTTCAACCAGTTCATATCCTCGATGGAAACAGCATTTCATCATCCACGTCTTACTCGAGTGGCACCCTGGTTAACACCAACTCAGGGCTGGGTATCAGTGGGGAGCCGACATTTGCGATGGACTCAATTGCCACATCATCGCCGAATCCAGGCCAAGCAGACGAACGGCTCGATTTCTTCCGGTCCCGAATGCTGCCGTACTTCCCTTTCATCGATCTTACTCCAGACATGACAAGCTCGTATCTGCGCCAAAACAGGCCTTTCCTATTTCAAGCCATCCAAACTATTGCCATATTTTCGACGCAGGAAAGAGTGACTCAAGTCGAGGAGCTAAAGCGTGTACTATTCACGTCTGCTTTGCTCGAAGTCCAGTCAAATATCGACTTGCTGCTCGGCTTATTAACTTATCTTGCATGGAGTACCGACGCTTTCCTTGGCAGAGCAGACCTTATCTCTCGTCTGATGATGCTCGCCGTTTCACTAGTATATGATCTGCGGCTGTTTAAACCTACCACACCAGATGTGCAGGCCATGATGTCTATTACCCAGGGGCAGGCCGACGAAACTACTGAGAGCCCTAACGATCAAATGCCGGACGGCTTTTTGGAAAGGCAGAGGGCTCTACTAGCTTGTTTTATTTTGAGCTCCAAGTGTGCATAACCTTGGTTATTCTCCTACGACCGGTACATACTAACACACTATGACTATTCCTAGTGTTTCGTCACACCTTGGACGTCAAGACGCTATACGATGGACACCCCAGATGGAAGAGGCGCTTCGAGTCATCACACTAAGCAAGTCATGCCCTACGGACGAGGTATTTGTCTTTCAAGTACGCTTGCAGCTGTTAAAGCAAAGAGCGGATTATGTTCGACAACAGGACGAGATAGATTGTGCTCGTACAGGAACAGCTCATGTGGCGGCCTCAACTCCTCGCTTCTTGTATCTCAAGTCTTTGCGAACGCAGCTGCATGAACTAAGATCTTCATTTTTCCCAAATCTCCACCAGATAGGTAAGTGATTTCTTGGGTGAACAACTTGGCAGATTATCTCGGCTGCGGTTGCTGACATCTTCACCTGGGAGAAAACCCAGGGTTATCATACAGACATACTCAATACACAAGCTCAATACGTCGGCTTATACATAAATCAGCTCGGTTATTCTATAAGTCGAGACTGTCTTGCCCTCGATCAATCTGGACGAATTGGTGACGGTGGGATGGTACTGGATTTTCAACGCCTGGAGTGTTTGTGGCAGTCGGTTGAGAATATCAAGTCGTGGCTGGGCGAGTTCTACAGAATCCCCTGCCCGAAACTCGTTGGACAGCCCTTTCACTTTTGGTCACAGATGATTCTGAGTATCACACTTTTGAAATATCTATCAACACTCAAAGACCCAGAATGGGATTGCCAGGCGGTGCGGAACACAGTCGACCTAACATCGGCAATGGACTGTATGCTTCAGAAGCTCGATCTAAGCAGCAAGGAACTGCAATGCGATGACCATCTGCTCAAGCTTTTATCTAAGCTTTTGACCAAATGTCGGCGGTGGGCTGAAGCTCGATTGACCATGGTTTCTGAGTTACAAGACATGGGTACTACGCCGTGCCAGAGTGGTAACCCTGACGCAACCGGTCACGACCATCATATTCCAAATCTAGATCAGATCGCCTGGATGCAGTCAATGGATTTGGGGAATGACCAGTGGTTTGAAGATGTACTGGGTATACCCACAACATTTTACTAGTTGGCATTGTGTTCGGGAATATTGTACTGTGATAGGAAGCAAGCACGGCTTTTTGCCACACAATCGAATGCCGTTGATTGTCCTCGGAGGATATGGGCTATGCTATGGGTGGATCTATACGTTTGTATTTTATGACCTAAATGGACTGCGTGACACCCGTGGACCGATTAATATGGATTTGTTATTACTTCATGACCTCTGATGACGGATATTGCAATAGAGAAATACCAACTAAGATTCAATCTAAATCTGGTGACTACTCTTCTAGTATTCGCAAAATAAATGAGGTTCTCACCCAGTAAACCGGATTATATACTTCTGTTCTGTGATATGATTGGTCAAAACAGGCTCCAAAATCACGGGACAATTTTTATACCGCCAAGGGCGGTATGGGTACTGCTGGCAGAATATACTTGGTTTTCGAGCCACCGGCGCATTTATTCTGCGCAAGCTCTGACAATGGCACTTATAAGAATAAGGGCTTTGCAGAAGCTATCTGGTGCAAATTTGTCACCTGTGCTCTGCACATGGCGACAGAACCGAGCAGAATGTACGTCGACCGCGTCTGCCACTCGCCTTCCAGTGTTATCTGGGGGGCGACGCTTTTTGTCTTCTACGAGGACATTGGGAGCTGAAGCCGTTCCAGCCGATAGTGAGGTATGTCACTAAGGAAGAGGCTGATATCCACCGCTAACTTTTGTTCTACCCCAACCAGAAAACAGCTGAGCTCGACGAGCCGCCAAGAATTCCCATCGATAGCAATATTTTCCTTCGGTCCCAATTGGAATTGCATGGAGACATTCGAGAGTACCTAAAGAAATGGCAGGATACCAACCCCAATGATTTGGACCCGGTGCGCCGATCTGACTCCAAGCATCGACCATTGGAATTACCGGGTAAATCGATTGGCACAATGCCTAACGGCCGCGACTCAATCGATTCTTGGGGTGACCCGAACAGGCTGAACCAGGAGGCTATGGATAAAGATGAATTCGAAGGTGAACACCTCGAGCAGGGCGACTTAATCGCCCGCTTAAACGCTGACGGAGTGTTTAATTATGGAATCTACGTGCGGTCTGTTCACAAACAAAAACAGTTCTATAATGGCAACGGGAACTGGCGCATTTGCTCCAACTCGGAGCTCGACTATGTTATCAAGGGATTTGCGCCTACTGAACTTGTCGAGCCTCTCACTCCATGGTTCCCCGATGGCGAGGCTATCGCAAGCCAAGATATTCAGCTGGCCCCCGAGGGAGGTCTTCCGAGGCCACTGGGCGCTCCTCTTCTGAGAATGATGGGCAACTTCACGACTCACGTCTTGAAATTCTATAGAGAAAACTCCCAGATATTGGATAATCTCCATAATAAGGTGGCAGACGATACCGAAGTTCGCTGCATGAGCCTTGAAGAATTGACAACAACTGCTCTTGGCATTGAGGAATCTGAGCTGACTAGCGTCAACATGTTTGCTGTTCATCAAGCTGTTCGCCGGCATCCTTTCCTCATCAAAAAAGATGGCAGCTCCTTGTTCAGCCGGATGTATATCGTGCAGCCGAAACGGATCGCCATGGTTGTTAAACAGGTCGTGGACTGGACTCATGAACACCAAGAACACTGTGTTCGTGCCACAATGCGCAAAGACACCCCAGGGTCCAAAGATCACCCTATGCACCGATTTATCAGCAAAGCACAGCGGTTGATCCGCTCTAGCAGAAGACTCCGCTCTCCAACTATTATGTCCAGCGTGGGACCATCCTCTAACAGGTATTCGCCTGGTCAGGATGGAAACCCGCTAGTGTTCCGCGAGCTCCCCACCGAACAATTCACTGCAGAGGACCAAATGATCATTGAATATCTACAGCTGTACTCGGTCCCTGCCATTGTCATGCCGTCGGGTACTTTAAGATCAACAGCAACACATATCATGCGTGCCACGGGGATGTACAATACTCTTGGTCTTAGTGAGGCTTCAACACGTCTTTTGTTGCAGGAGATTGGCATCATAGCGCCTTGGGAGAACCTTCTACCCCTTGACCAGTATCTAATGCTTCCTGGGCATGGGATCTCTCTCGCAAAGGACATGGAATTGGAAGAGATTGAGGACTCTTGCAGTAAGCTCACTGCCGATCAGTTGCAGGACTCCATGCAACACCTGAGGAAGGACTGGGGAGATATGCCAGTCTACTGTGTGGATGATGTGACGGCGCAAGAAATTGATGACGGTATATCGCTGGAGCCCATCCCAGGATCTCACAATACATTCTGGGTTCATGTCCACGTTGCCAATCCAACAGCCTTTATTAAGCATGACAACCCTATCATCCAGTATGCAGCCTCACGACTCTTCACCACCTATATTCCGGAACGCACTTATCCTATGCTCCCCAAATCTCTCACTGAGCCCCATTTCAGTCTGGCGGCTGGTCGGCCGGTACTGACATTCAGTGCGAAGATGAATCTTCGAGGAGAGATATTGGATAGTGAGATCAAGAACGGGACTATTCACAATGTCATCAATCTCACCCACAAAACACTACGCGACTTCTTCGACCCAGATTCCGAAGACCAGTTGGAACCCCTCACCTTAGGGGGCAAGTTCACCGAGCCACAAGTCCCACAGGGTAAAACAATTCAAGAAGACCTGCGGCCCGAGGACAAAGATAGATTCCACATCATGCGTCAACTCATGCTTGCATTCCGCCAGACACGCAGAAAGAACGGCGCCATGGACCTCACTCCTCTTAGCCCAAATCTTTCTGTCTCAGTGCAGTCAGGCGACGCCCCGATGCCAGCGTACGATTTACAATCCACAACCGGACGTCACTATCTCGGTGATCCAGTTATCCGGCTGAACATGCAGTCCTATGATCCATACGACGTTCGTGACCAATCCCGGGACAATTTGGTCTCCCTGATCATGAATCTGGCCGGGCACGTCTCCGGCCAATTTTGCGCCGCACGCAATATACCTGTTGTCTACGACGGCACCTGGTATGACCCGGAGTACGGACGCGTCACCAACAAAAACTTGGCCAATTTCGGCGGTGAGGGTTTCTATGAGCTCAGCGTGCCGCTGGCCTACTCTTCCACGGTTCCAACTAAGCACCACACCCTGGGCTTGGATACGTACGTCAAGAGCACCAGTCCGCTGCGCCGATACACGGACGTTATTGCGCATTACCAGATCGAGGCAGCATTGCGTTTCGAGCATGAACACGGCCGTCAGTTTGATGCTCTTGTTGATAGTCCGGATCCTGCAGAGATCGATCTGGTGGAGACAGATCCAGCAGAGACAGATCCAGCAGAGACAGCTACTGAACTCACCAATGACACAAACACCACACCCACCTCCCTCCTCCCCTTCTCCAAATCCGAAATCGACGCCCACCTCATCTACTCCCAGCCCCTGCGCACACGTCTCAGAAATCTCGACAGATATTCATCACAGCATTGGGCTTGTATGCTCCTCTTCCGCGCATTCTACTTCTCCGAATGCAATCTCCCCGTCACATTCCCATGTCTGCTACGCACGCCGCGCACCAAGCCTAGACATCTGGACGAGGAATATTCCGGCGTCATCACCAATCTTGGCGTGAACTGCTCGGTCACCATCCCACAGGATTTCCCAGATAAAGATAAGCTGGATATCTTCTGCATGGTCGAAGCTCATATCACTGCCATTGATATGGCGACTCTACAGGTTACTATGGAGGCCACTGGATTTGTAAAGCCATTTGAGAGGAAGGGCGAATGGGCTTGAGTTTTGGTGACTACTTGTACAATACTGTATTATATGCATCTCCAATAGGCATTGCCAATCGTTATATAATTGGAGGATTTTACGCCTTGGAGGACGTTCTACGAAGTATTTGCAGGCAATTTCTTTTCAAGGGGTCATCACCCCAGCACCTCGGAGATTATGCTCTAAGCTCGAAACCCCGTTTTCCTTCTCCTGCATTGAGGTATCTTTCATCGGCACGTAAGTATACAAAACTTCGAATCCCATGGCCCCGACTGTAGTAAAGCTGTCATGCAGTCAGCTGATGGATCCTCGTATTCAAAAGGATGTCACTCACAATGCAATGAAGCTGAATGACTCAACCGCATACTTCCGGCTACACACCGTCTCATTGTTCCAGAGGTGGACGGTGCAGCTGACCTGGTTGAAATTCAGAGCCAGGAAGATGAATGCAGTGAGCCAGCTAGATGGGAAGTGAGCATTCACTATTATAAACATGAGGATGCTTCACATTGTCTTGCTTACAGGTAAGAAATTACTGCGTCGGTCAGAAGCAGAGGGAGAACATGCCATCTATGGCCTCTGGAAATGCAGCTGGTGCTTAGTGTTATGGCGTAGACAATTGGGGTGAGGACCGCCTGTAAGGATTTTAGGAATTTCTACAGATTAAGATATTAAGATCTGGGAAGATGTACCACCACCAAGGGGAAGATCACTGTAAGGGTCTTGGTGTCGCGGACTGCCCAGGCTGTGATCCCGAGAACGATCAATGAACTGACGCATTGAATGATATGGGCGATGGTTGACATTGTGCCACAGGGATGTTTGAAGAAACCCATGTTGATCATCAGGGATTTATTGATTTGCTTGAAATTAGTGAAATTGTTCAATGTTCTTTTCCGAAGGTTCGGGGTTTTCTTCCTTTTTCCCCAGAATGGATGATATCACCACATGTGGCCAATGTCCAAGACGGGTCTCTTATTGGCAAATATCTATGCTAACCTCCACGGGTATCTACCTATAAATACGAATTAATTGCATAAATCAAACTGTACTCTGGACCTAAAAGTCAACTGGAACATCCTCCACACGTGGCCGAGTATACTTTTCACCCTGAGGAACGTGTCGCTTCGTACGGACGGATGGCAGGAGATCAATGATAAAGGAAAAGACAAAGAATGCGAATATGAGAGCGGCAACTGCTCAAGTTAGCTTCTTTCTGCACAATCAATAATCAGGGTTGAAACTTACCCCACTCCAGAACAGCCGATGCGTTCTTCTTATTTCCGACTTTCATGCATACGCCAAATGCAATCGCAACGGCGAGTTCACAGACGACGAAAAGCGCTTTGATGCCGAAGCTGACGAGTAAGATCCGGGCTTGTGGGTGGTAGAATCGGCCGATTTGGATGTATTCCAGACACACCAGGATGGCGCAGACGACATAGCTCGCGATGAACATAGCCAAGAACCCGTGGTGGAGGCTGTGGTGGTTTTTCGTGTCGAAGATGGACAGAAGAATGAGACCTAAAGCCCCGGCAATCGAGAAAAAGATCGATCCAACAGCACAGGTCTTGTCGAACCTTCCTTTGTTTCGGGCAAGTTGGCCGGCATGGCGAAGCCAACGCTCGGAGAGGAGACCGAGATCCATGAATACGACTGTTACGACACTGCCTGCAATGAAGAGCGGTTTGAGGCCTTCGGCTCCGATGTGGGAAATATAACTGGTTGTTCAATTTGACTCAGTCTATGTTGGCGGAGAGCAGGTTCATTGGTTTTACTTACGGAATGGTGGCCTCAACGCTCATAGTGGTGTAATGTGGCTTTCCATCCACCGCCCATCTTGACAGCAAGGCTACTAGTGTAGCTACAAGGCTGTTAGTAAGGCAAGCTCAATTCTTCGTGTGTTTCCATCCTTACCTATCCACATACACCCGGATATCACGGGGAAAATCCAGAACGAGAGAATCCACATGGTTCGTATATGACCTGTGGGGTGCCGGAATCTTCAGATCGAAAAAGAGTGTGGTGGCTGGGAAGAGCCTGTATTTTATGATTGGATGCAAGGGAGATGCCTTTCAACAATTTCAACTGTACGGAGTAAATGTCGCGCCAAACCATGAATGAGAACAGTCAGTGTTCTCAAGCAAGGGGAGAAATGCCGGGTCCACCAAGCCTGGCAGCAGAGTTCCCTCAGAGCCTAGGAATGCAACCCCACAAGATCTGAATTACCGAATTCAGACTGTCCATGTAACTTCAAAGGGCATCTCTTTTGGACGCGTGCACTCGAACCGGATCGAGCGGATGCTGACATCAGCAAGTTTTGGTGCCTGGGCAGGTGGAGTCTTTTTCAACCTCATCTTCGCTCGATCGGGATAGGATCAGGAACAACTTACAAAACCTGTACTTGTCCAGATCATTTCCAACTGGGAAGCCTTGGATATATTTGGTGGATGTTCATCATCGTCCCTCATAGCTGGTCTAGGAAATTCCAAGGCGAAGGAGGCGATCTCATTCATATTGAGTGCAAGTGCACCCTTGAATTGGAGGGTGGTACGATGGTTTGGATGGTTTGGTCGGGAAACAGGACTCTTGAGAGAATATGGATCTGGAGGTTTCCATCAAGTCTAGGATATTTAAGCAAGCATCGTAAAGAGATGTGACTGGATGAGATCTTCGAGCTTGGCATCGGAATATGGTGCTTCCCCAAAGACTCTGTAGAGGGAAAATCGGAGAATGCATCCAATCAAGGAATACCACTGTGAACTAATTCTATCTGAGTTAGCAAGAGATATTTGGGCGGGGTTAGGTGGCAGATATCGAAACCATTCTCGATCAATATAGACTTCAGTGGTGGTGTGGCCTGAGAGGTGATCCCGCCAAGCAAGGCCTCGTATATCTTAGCTTTGCGCTTCAACGACTGGAGCTTCCTGTGCTAATGGTTTCTTTCAGGGAGCTCATGAGTCGTAGGCCTGCTTTTGCTCTCACTAGATAGGGCTCCATGATTTAGCTGTTGCACCTGGCATTAAGGCATCAAGAGATTCAAGAGACTCCTGCCACATGCTCCATGTCAAATGTCTGTCACAGATGAAGGAAATATGGACTTTCATATTTTCCAGGTATCATGGTCAATGTCAGTTGGATGGAGAAGAGAGTAAACCATATAACCTAGCCATGTCATGTGACTGGGAACTATATAGATTTCGATGACGTAGCCACGCAACTACAACACAGCACATTGTATGAGATGATTATTTGAGAAAGGAGTAGGATGTACCTAGGTATGTTCTTATATCTCTCGAGCTATTGGTTACTAACTCCACTAATAAACATATAAAGTAACCAGTCTTCTTTCCATTCGCCCTGTCACAAGTCTTGAGGACAGGGTAACGTACAACAAGGCTGAGAGTATAGGGCTACCTACAGTGTAAGAACAAGTTGGAAACATTAGTCACAGTGATCTCATTTCAGTTTATGCTGGTTGGCTATGAAATTGACTAGGATGTTAATAGGTACAACCTCATATAGTAGTTGGCATATATTTCTTGGCAGGGAACCATGACGCAATTGTTTTGAATCTTGATATAGACATAATATACATCCTCCAAGGTTGATCTGATCAAGGATGACGGCCAAGTTTAGCCTTTTTTATGACAATACTCTGATTTAAGTGGCTGACTATTGTAGCTAACAGGAAAGCCAGCCACCTGGATATGTACATCATTATAGCAGATCCGTGGCACCTGAAGGCGTTTGTGTCTGTACACCATCACATTCAAAACACGAACGTCATGGGTTAGAATGTTTGCCTGAGTCTGTCGATTTACAAAGGGGGTATAAATACTCTCTTCTTCCCTCAGGGGCAATCAACTCTACTTCTCCATCAACCATCTCCTACATCCACTTAGTATCAACTTTCATCAACATCAACCAACTTCCATCAATATCAATACCATCATGGATTTTGTACGCAAGGCCGAAGAGGCTATTACTGGCAAGAAGGGCGAGTCGCACGAGTCCACCAAGTCCTCCAACCATGGACCTCACAAGTCCAACTTGGCCAACAAGCTTGACCCCCGCGTCGACAGTGACAAAGGTTTGTCATTTCACCTCACTTCACATCGCACGTCCCTCTGGATATTAAATGATACTGACCCTGTCGCCTTAGACAACCGCGCTGCTCACACCGATGTGACTGCCGCTGGCCCTGGAACAACCCACGGCACAACCTCCGCTACAGGCACGGGCAGCTCTACTCTGGGCTATGGCGCCACCCACGGTCCCTCAGGTGCTACAGGCACTGGCACCGGCACCGGTCTCGGGTCTACCCACGGCACCACTGCTGGCCCCCACAGCTCCAACATTGCCAACAAGGCTGATCCCCGTGTCGACTCTGACCGAGACAACCGTGCTCGCCATGAAGCAGGTATCGCTGGTGCTGGAACTGGTACCGGTCTTGGATCTACCCCACCTACCACCGCTACAGGTCCGAGCTATGGCACTGCCCAGGGCACCACTGGCAGCACCACTGCTGGCCCCCACAGCTCCAACGTCGCCAACAAGCTCGACCCCCGTGTCGACTCTGACCGTGACAACCGCGCTCGCCATGAAGCAGGTATCGCTGGCGCTGGAACTAGTACCGGTGTCGGATCTACTCACCCCACCACCGCTACAGGCACTCATGGCTCGGCCCTGAGCTCTGGAACTACCCACGGCACCAGCAGCACTGCCGGTCCCCACGGCTCCAACATCGCGAACAAGGCCGATCCCCGCGTTGACTCTGACCGCGACAACCGCGCTCGCCACGGAGGTCTCACTGGTTCTGGCACTGCTGCCGGCACCGCTGCCGGTGTTGGATCTACTCTCCCCACCACCGCTCCAGGAACTCACGGCTCGACTCTGAGCTCTGGAACTGGCGCTACCCATGGCACTACCCACGGCGCTCCTATTGCTACCCCTGGTAGCAGCAGCACAAGTGCTGGACCTCACAGCTCTAACATCGCGAACAAGCTCGACCCCCGCGTTGACTCGGACCGCGATAACCGTGCTCGCCACGAGGCTCTCGCTGGTACTGGCACTGCTGCCGGTGCTGGATCTACCCACGGCACTACCCATGGTACCTCACGTGTGACTGACAGTGCTGGCATTGGATCTACCCATGGCACCACTGCTACAGGCACTCGCGGCTCAACCCTGGGCTCTGGCACTACCCACGACACCAGCAGCACTGCCGGTCCCCACGGCTCCAACATCGCCAACAAGCTCGACCCCCGCGTTGACTCGGACCGTGACAACCGTGCTCAGCACCAGTCCACTGTCGCTGGTACGGCCCCTGGTACTGCTACCCACGGTACACACACTCGTGGTGCTACTGCTCCCACTGGCTTGGCGATTGGTGACCCCAGTCTTGATACTGGTGCTCTGGCTGGTAGTAGCTACAATACTCCTGCCAATACTCCCGCCGCTGGAACTACTACTGGTGCTACTGGTACTGCCGGTCCTCATGGTTCGAGCATCGCCAATAAGCTTGATCCCCGTGTCGACTCGGATGCTACCCGTGCTCAGAATGAGGGTCTGCAGCGTAAGATCTAGGTGGACGTTTGGGACTAGGCTTTGGTTTCCGTCGAGAATCAGAAAGGCCTTGACATGATGCTACGAATTTGAACTTAAGAGCCAGCAATTTCGCTTTTTCGATACAAATGATTTAATTTTTCAATCTTCTTTGCTGTACAGTTTTGTACATTTATTCTGAGTAGAGAGTAATTAGTCCACATATCTCCACTCCCTCACTCTAGGTCTAGGTATATTTGCAATATTGTACAGTGTGGTTATTTCGATCTTCAAACTCCAAAGACTTCCTTCGCCAGTGCCTTCTTATTAACCTTCCCCATCGCATTCCTAGGAATAGCCTCCAAAACCTTCATCTCCTGCGGAATCTTAAAAGAAGCAAGGGAACCCTTCAACGCGCGCCGCATATCCATCGGACCCCAAGACTGCCCATTACGACCCGAAGCAGCCGCATCAGGGGCGAGAACGACCACAGCAGCGATCTTCTGACCCCATTGTTCAGACGGCAGACCAACGACCGCAGCTTCGGTAATTTGGGGACTAAGATCCATAGTCAGTATAGATAGTTCAAGTGAATATCCGAAAGAAAAGAAACAACATACAGAGAAAGTAACTCCCTCTCCACCTCCAACGCGCTAACCTTCTCGCCCCCAGTCTTGATGATATCAACGCTCTTCCGACCCTGTATGAAATACATCGGTCCCTGAGCCCATGCTCCGCTCGCTCCACTACCGGCTCCATCAACTACCCGACGGGTAGCGACATCACCTGTGCAGAACCACGGTCTGCCTCCATCATCGCTCTGCACGAAGCTCTCGTGCGTGGCTTTCTCGTTGCCCCAGTAATGGTCGAAGATTGTTTCGCCGCGGAGCTGGATCTCGCCTTGGCGTTCTCGGCCACTGGGGTCCTTTTCTTCAACTGAGATAACAGCACCTGTCTCGATATCGGCGAGTCGGGCTTCGACGCCTGGGAGAGGCCAGCCGACGCTGCCGTCCACCCGGTCTGCGGCGTCGAGACCGCAGCTAATCGCCATGCCGACTTCGGTCATGCCGAAGCGCTCGAGGAGGACGTTGCCGTTGCTGAGGTTTGTCCAGGCGGTTTTTGTTGGGGTCGGGAGGGCGGCGGAGCCGGAGATGTTCAAGCGGAGGTTTTGCGGGGAAATTCCTTCTTTTGCGGCGTTTTGGAGCTCTGGGGTTAGTTTGGGGAAGGTGGCCATGAGGCGGTTGTAGATTGTTGGGACGGCAGTGAGGAATGTAATGGCTGGTTTTGAGGCGTTGGATGGGAGGAAGGGTGCTGCTAGTCGTTTCCAGACTTTGTCCGGGTTGAAGGGGTACATGAACTCGACTGAGGAGCCGGCTACTATTGGTGCGACGATTGCGTTTACCACGCCGTGGATGTGGTGGAGGGGGAGCAGGTGAAGAAGTCGATCATCTGGTGAGTACTTCCATGCTTCTAGTAGTGAAGATGCTTGCGCGGCCAGTGCCGATTGGGGGATGAGAACGCCTTTCTGCTTGTAGTTAGTAATAGTTCCTTCGGTGCAGGGAGGGAACTAAGCCTACTGGTCGATTCGTGGTCCCAGATGTATACAACATCATCCCACCGGACGAAGGCTGCTTCAGATCGTGCAGGGTTACGCTCTCGCCGCTCGATGCGCCTTCCATGGGCTTATTGCGGATAGCAAATAGAGGCTCATGCTCCAATCCCTCTCGCAATAGTTCCATGCCTTTATCGGCATATTTCTCAGTCGTCAGCAGCATCTTGGCCTGTGAATTATCCAGAATATACTTCAGCTCCCCAGTCGGGAATGACGGCGAGAGCGGGAGCGCAATGGCATCACTAGCAAATATCGCCAGCAGTGTCACTATAAATCTATTAGTATTCTAGATATATTCTCCAATGGGGTCCAAGACAACAGTACCTACGTAGTCATAGCTGTTCTCCGCGAGGAAGGCAACCCGCTCGCCAGCCAATTGGCCCTGCGCTTTCGCAGCCTTTTGTTCCAGGTCATCCTTAGCGCGGACGATGTCGGCAATTAAACTACCGTAGGTGAATGATCGAGAAGAGACGCTATGCACAACAGCCACTCTTTCAGGGTCATGGTTCTGGAGTGCGCGAAAGATAGGCGTGTTCGGGAGAGTCGACAACAGTCTTGCGCTGAGGGGCGTTCGCCGCGGAGTAAAGCAGACGCGCGCATTCGAACGCGAAAGCAGGGAGAGTAAACTGCTAGACATTTTGAATTTCGGATGTTTAATATTAGGGATTCATCTCACGACATACACCCCATTGAAAAAGAGGAGCAATTGAGATGCCGAGCGAAAGACAAGTTGATGTCATGAGAGTGAAGTTCCGAAATTCAAAACATCCGATTGGCTTCGATTGCGGACGTTTCTCTCCTCCTCCTCCCTTTGATCGCTTCTTTTCTTTTCTTCTAAATGCTTCCTCGCAGCCTTCCGGGTCTGCTCCCTCGCCGTCTCTTCTCTGTTTCTGCTAGGATGGCCTCCAATACGCCGTTGGAGGATGTCATGCGCGACAAGGTGAGCCACGGCTCTGCGTTGTTGGCTGCATTGCTAACATCTCCTCTCTTTTTATAGATCGTCCATGCATTCACACCTTCGAGACTCGAGATCCGGAATGACTCTCATCTCCATGCGCACCACGCTGCAATGGAAGGGTCAACGTCGAAGGAGACGCATTTCCAGTCCGTTCCCCCACATCCGAACTGCACGAGTGAATTTCTAATCTCTCGTAGTGTGACAATTGTCTCCGATTCCTTTGAGTCGAAGATGCAGCCCGCTCGGCACCGTATGGTTTACGCATTGTTCAAGGAAGAGATGGCTCGCGAAGGCGGACTGCATGCACTGCAGTTGAAGACCAAGACACCGGCTGAGGAGCAGCGCGAGAAGGAAAGGAAGGAAAAGGCATAGATAGCCGATTGATTGGGCGTTCAGCTGCTCGTTATTATGGAAGATTCTTGTCGAGTCGCATACCCCCAGACGATGACTCGAAATGCATAACATTATACTGCACAAATCACCTACGACTCCAGGACTCAGCTACGGCGGTATATAACAAAATACACAAAGGAATCGATTATTAGACGGTATTACATAAGTTCTAGCGCCAAACAGGGGGCCGAAGAAAGCAACAATCTAGTATATACATCCATGCGCCGCGACATCACGAGCCCCGAAGCAGTGACAATCATCAAGGGCTATCGCGTGTTAGGCGCGGAGCGCTGTACACGAACATGCAAGTACAGCTAGGAGGCAAAGAAACAAAGAAGAGAGGGATTGGAGGGCATTGCTTTTACACAAGGAAATGCGAAGGGGTGGTATAACGAGGGGACAAAGACAAATGGGAAGATGCGGGGCTACGTCGATCCCCGGGAAAGGTCGTACATGGAGGTAAAGGGAGGTAGTGGAAGAGAAAGGTCACTACTTTGCCTTGTTGGCGTTGCTGACACCGACGGCCACACCGACGACGATACCAATAATAATGACTAGAAAGTAGGTTAGCGGGTCGGCCAGATCTGCGCAGACAAGTAAATACTCACGGATAATGATCAGCGCGTACCACTTCCAGCGCCGAGCGTTCTTTGCGCTCTGAATAGCGGTGTCAAGCTTGCCAACTCCCTGCTTGACGTTGCTGTGCGTGTCCGCGGCTGTTGTTGCAATCTGCTGAACTGCAGGCTCCTGCTGGTGCACCAGCTCTGCAACCTCATTGTACAGGTGGCTAAGCTCGATCAAATCCTGCTCGATCTTGCGGATGGCGGCGGAACGCTGCAGAGTGGCTTGACGGGCATCGTTGGCCTGGCGAGTGCGAGTACCGGGAACCTATTCCTCGAATATTAGTAACTGGCCCCTAAAGAGACAACTGGGGCAAAACATACAACAAAGCTCTGCTCCTGTCCCATCAAGACATTCTGCACACCCTGCTCCAACTCCTCGGGGGTAGCCTCGGGGTTGGCAATCTCGTATCGGCGGCGCACTTGCTCCTCTAGACGCTTCTGGAAGTCACTCTGTGTGCGCTGGTACTGCTCAATCTCACGGCGCAGGTTGCGGCTGACGTTCTCGACCTGGCCCTGCACGCGCGGGTCGCCGGATCCCGGCGTCTCCTTGATGCGCTTGAACTGATCGCGCAGGTAGCGCAGCGCAGTGTTGATCTCATCCTCAATGTAGTCGAGTGTTTGGCGCGAGGCCTGGTCTTCCTTGCCGGTGCTCGAATCCAAAAGGGACTTTTGGGCAGCGACCAATTGGTTCTCGCGCTTCTTGGTCAACTCGTTGATGCCCTCGTTCAAATCCTTGCACTTGTTGAGAATCGCAGTTGGGCCTCCAGATGAGGATTGGTTGATGTTGGACATCTCTGTCGAGGAATTAGAGTCGTCGCAATGTGCTCGATTATAGGTCAGCATACCATAGCCACCATTTCCTTGCTCTGCGGCACCAGCCTGGTTGTAACCAGCACCATATCCATAGCTCTGCTGTTGTTCCTGGCCCGCATAGGGATTGCTCTGCTGCTGACTTCCGTACGGGTTGTACTGGCCGTAGCCGCCTGTGTTGTTATCCCCTAAGCTCTGGTACTAGGGAAAGTCACGTCAGAAAACAAACTCAGGTAATCAAGGAGGTTCACATTGGTTCACTCACACTCATGATGTGCAGATACTCAGGTTCTGAAATGCGTGAAACAAGACAATAATAGTAGGGGGGGAGATGAAGGAGGGAAGGGTGAGACGGGAGAAGTGGAGGTGACGGCAGAAGCGCTGGCGGTGTCAGGACAACGAAGCCAATAAGGTCCGGGTGTTAGTCGCGCTGAATAGAATTAAGTATTAATTTGGGAGATTAAATGGGATTGATGAGTTTTAATGTTGTTTCATAAGTTTCATAGGAGTCGAATTTAATCGAATTTACGATGATTTTTTTTTTTTTCAAGGGTCCCCTATTTTTAACAATTATTTCCTACGCAGTGGACAGTGCACCGTTGTTCCTACATTAATAGGGATACGGCTTATTTTGGAGTGGAGTTTGTGAGATTGGCCATTCACCCTGTGTGGCTGAGCTTCTATTTAAGACAGTCAGATCGGCGTTGATTCGACAACCAAGAAGGGATCGGCGGGATATATTTTCCAAGGTACTAAATACTTGGCTTTGCCAGTCGTACCCACTATAGTGACAAGTACCCTATACCTGTCTAACGGTCCGCTGTGGCAACGTGAGTCTGCACGTCATGATTATGATGTATGAATTTGATGAAAGACATATGTATGTAACTGTGGACTATTCCAATAGGAATGCAATCCAGTCAGATCATCAAATGCTGCTACCTGTCAGGCAACGAGTCGGAAATAGCATGCGTATGGTCTCCGTAGGGAACCTGACATAAGAAATGGAGGTGAAACTGGTGAAACCTGGCCAATCAGGGCATTTGGAAGGTTCCATGAGCCTCATCTCAGGCATCGACATTGTAGATATCTGTTTAGTAGGATGTATATAACTACATACATGCATGTCTGTAGGACGTCAGATCTATAATATTGATGCCTTGTCTTTAAGAATGTCAAAACGGCTGCCTGATCTAGTCAAATGATGCAATACTACAAAGAATAGTATAGCATTGCCAACTGCCTTGTCAAGTTCAATAGAGGATAATCCTAGGGAGGCCTATGCGCTAACCTACCTTGGTATGTAGCTTAAAGTTAATGTGGCCCAAAGCGGTTACGTTCGTTCCTTCCAAATTCCTTCCCATTCCTGCCTCAGAAAGTGTTCACATAAATATCCCTCCAATGTCCACGGGTTTTCTTGGACTTCCGATTCGGGTAAGCTACTCTGTTGGTATGCCACCAGAGGTTCAACTTAGAATTCCTCGGCCAATTTCGTGCCATTGCACCATCGATTCTATTTTTGCCTTATATAACATGGAACGAGTTCGGCGTACCGTAGCTGTGTAGTATATATAAACCCTCGCTCCGTTTATACCCTATTTCCGCTTTGGGCCGTATATGTATTTACTGGATGTCTCTGTTGTAGAATCCCCAGACATGGGGAAAATCTTGTCTTTCCCTTTCTAAAGAAGGGACAGCGTTCATACCACCTAGTCCATTCAATTCGCACCATTTCTTGATACATGTATCTTTGGAGTCCCTGATACCGTATTGTACTGTACATGGTCTTCATAGACGCTAATCTCAACATTTGAACCTACAGGGGTTGTTGCCGCGTTGTCACCTTACGCAGTCTCAACTTCAAACTTCTATCACGACCTTGACAGCTCGGCTGGATTAGAGTTTCAAAAAGGCTCCAAGTAACCTCCCAGGTGTGATTTTGTCCCTTACAATGAGCACCCAAGACAGCTATCTTCCTCCAGCCCTAAGCCCCGACACTATACACTATCAGTCAACTTATCGTGTCCCCGGATCTCCCCACTCCTACCTCACTTGAACCTTTCCAAGTCACAGCGGCATTTCATTCTATCTACTTGATCCATTTGGCACCCACTAGGCCGATTCATACATCGGATGGCTCAGTGCTTCCAGTGAACGCAGACGGCTCAGTATCTCTGATCCTACGCGTCTCAGGCCGTCAGCTGCCCACCATCAAGACTCGAAATGAAGTCGGAGTCATGACATGGGTCCGTCAGAATACCACCATTCCCATCCCCGCCATCATTCGCTACGATTCAACCGACGATAATATCATCGGTCATAAATTCACTCTCCTTAACAAGGTTCCCGGGAAGAGTATCGATCAGATTTACCATACTCTGTCAATCGAACTCCGGTCCAAGATCGTCCACCAACTGACCGACTATCTGATCGAGCTTCATGCGCACCCCTGGGACGGTTATGTCGGGGGATTGACTCTCACCAATGGAGAAATCACACCGGGTCCTCCAATTGATGAGAATTTCTGGCAAGTGCCCGATCTAGAGAACTATTGGGCGGGGTCTGAGTCCCTGGAATCGTTGAATCCGATTCCTTCACAAGGTTTTTCTAGTTTTGCGGCCTTTACCGTCGCCTGTCTCAATCCCTACATCTACGCTATTGAAAAACATCCGTCGCTGGAATCCTATAGAGATCTAATTCCGAGGATTCACGCCTTCGCTACTGCTATTCAGGACAATGTCGAACAGCTTAATCAGGTCGTCTATGTCCTCGCACATAAGGATCTCCATTTTGCAAATATAATGTGTGACCCCGACCATCCCGACTATCCCATTACCGCTATTCTGGACTGGGAGTTCAGCGGTGTATTGCCCGCACCTCGCTGGAACCCACCTCGAGCCTTTTTATGGAATATGAAATGGTCCCCCGAGGATAAAGAGGAGCAGACCCGGATGGAAGAGCTCTTTGAATCCATCTGTCGTGAAAATGGGACAGGGAAGACCCTACAAGATATGGAGTTGAATCCACTTCAAAACTCCATGCAAACTGCTGTGAATCATATTCGTGCTATTGAGGAAGTCTGTCCCCGCGGCCAGGCCCAAGACCGAGTTTCCCACTGGCGTGGGGTGGCTGAGGCCGCGATGGAGGTGTTTGGAGTTTAGCAGCACATCACAAGGAAATGGAATGGTGATAATACATATAGTAGTGGATATAGTACATTGAAATAAGATGTGGACTAGATTTCTTTCATATATTGATTATTTTCATTTAAATTTATAAGTTATATACTAGATTAAAGCATCATATCATACCACGTCTCACGATCTGCACAGCAGTTATAGAACACACAGAGGGTCCCGCTCCGATGATGCAAAGATGAAAAAGCACGATCCCAGCGTAAGAGATAAGATACTTGCAATGCAAATGCCAATGCCAAAAGAACAGGAGAAACAAATTATTACAAAAACACCAGCGTAATGCTTACTCCTTGGACTGGCGTCGTGACGCGTCAACCGGAGCCTCGGGCATCTCGTCGTCGGCATCGAGGGCGTTCATGTCATCTTCCTGCGCGTTCAGGTGACGGAAGATCAGGTAGAAGATGATACCGCAGAGGAAGGATGCACAGGCAAGACCGGTAAACATCCACATGATGGCGGGATCAAAGGCGGCGGGAGTGAGGGCTTCGGCGATGGCGGATCCAAACGCGTTGGTGAGCAGGTACATCGACTGCACGAAGGACTTCATGCTGGGCGGCGCCTTGGTGTAGGCGTACTCGAGACCAGAGACGGAGGCGAAAATCTCAGACAAACCGATGAAGACGTAGGCCGGGGTTTGGATGGCGATGTGCACGTTGTTGCCGTAGGCAGTGCCGTCGACCTTCGAGGCATCGCACAGAGGATTGCCGTAGCAAGGTCCGGCGGAGTAGATCAGGTGCTGAACAATAGCGGCGTACATCATGGCGAGCGAGGCGACGGCGAAACCAAGGGAGATACGGGTGATTGGGCGGAATTGGATCTTCATGCGGCGCATCACGGGGTAGATGCAGGTCTCGAGAATGGGAATGAAAACGATGATGGAGATGGGGTCAAAGTTCTGCATCAGATCGTTGGGGATACCGTGGCCATTCATTTGGCCGGCTTGGGTGACGAAGTTGCTGGAGAACTGTCCGTAGACCACCCAGTAGATCGGGTAGAAGGCAAACACGCGGCAGGCGACCAGAGCGCGCTTCAGCTCGTCGATGAAGTGGTCGTCCCAGGTGACAGCGGACGCGCCATTGTGCTCGTTCTGCCATGAGGGCTTGGGGGCATCCATGTTGCGGTTCTTGATCATGATCCAGAGGGCGCGGAAAGCATCCGTGATAATGGAACCCTGAGGAGGGCGGACGACGTAGTACTTGCGGCCGAGAATGATCACCAAAGTACCGACCATGAACATGCAGAGACAGAGAAGGAAGGCGGGCCAGAAGTCGATGTACAGCTCCATGTAGGGAGTGGCGAGAAGGGACAGCGAACCGATGTTGATGCATCCGTAGAAGATCATGTAGATACGCTGAATGGTCAGGGAGGGGTCGATGACGACGCGCTCGCCCTTCTTGGTGGTGGAAATGGCCATCTTCTTGCGCTTGTACTGATCGGCAATCAGAGGAGCCACGTTACTCTTGATACCACCGGTACCCAGACCGATGATCAAGATGGCGACAATGAAACCACCAAGACCTGAGCCGTGTTCCAAGGCAGTAGGAATGGAGGTACAGACCAGGACGAGCAAACCGACCATATAGACCATACAGAACACCACAATGGTCTTGTACTTTCCGAGATACTGATCGGCGATAATGGCACCGATGATGGGGGTAACATAACACCAGAACTGGAAGAAGGTAGTGAGACCGGTGGCACCCTGGTGATCCATACCGAGCGCACCACGTCCCTGGCTACCATCGCGAGGTCGCTGGATGTAGTTCTGGAACAGACCGGACATGCCGTAGTAGGTGAAACGCTCACACAGCTCAACGACGGCCACCAACCAGGCGGAGATGGGGAGGTTCTCTGCGACATGGCGCAAGGAAGTCTTCTCCGCGAGAGTAGGTTCGCCGCCATCCGGGGTGACCTGGTTCTCCTTGTCGAATTCGGCGTCCATAGCCTTTTCGTTTAGGACGGCATGCTGAGTGGCCTCCTCGTTATCGTAGGACGGAGCTCTGCAGATAGGGTTAATTCCACTCATGGACTTCCCAGACAGAAAGATACATACGCAGCAGGAGTCTCCATCTCACGGTCTGTGGACGACATAGCTACGAGACCAGATGGTGCCTTCTTTTTCAAGCCTGGGAAAAATCAAAACCACAATCGGAGTAGGGAAAAAGACCAGAAAAAGGACGTGATTAATATTATATATGCGATTTTTCATTTACCCAACAACCGAGGTGAAGTGGGACCGGAGTAGTTTCTTATCTTGAGTGAAAAAAGAATAATAAAAAAAAAGAATAAAAGAGGGAAATTGCCATGCGCCATATCCCCATGCCGCTAAGACTCATCTGAGAAGGTCGGATATCCATTGTTCGCAGCTCGACCGTGGGTGCGATCGGCAGTGTTTATCGTCCAACGGCGAATGGCTGAACTCGAGAAAGTTGGCCCAATGTAACCACACACACGGAAGCGAACAGTCAAGCAATAAAGCATTGAGTGTACTGAGTGGACTGACTCAGGTTTTGGGTCAATCAGAGCGACGAATAAGCTGGTCTTGCATTTTGGCATCTGGGGATTTCTGGAAAGGCCCGAGTCCACTTCCTGGTTTTTTTCATCGAATCACGTCGAGATTGCCAATCGGAGATTGCCGGTGAGGTGGGAAAATTTCCCAGTTGAGAACGTTCCCGGAATTCGCCACGAGGGCAAATTATCGTGCTTTTTTTTTTCCCCTTCCAAAATGTCGGAGTCAAGTCCATGCTCCGCGACTTTGTAACCGTCGGGATATATTCGGCAAAGTGATCAATTATCGTATAGTAATGTATATTGGCGAGGCGTCGACAACCTTTGGACTTGGCTTTCGGCTGAGGCGGCATTGGGGGAAACATATCCGTTTTCGGATATTCGCATATTCGCATATTCACAATCCCTGCGTCGATAATCATTATACTCCGGACTCCGTAATCGCCATATGATTGATCTTCCTTCCGAATGCAACGTTGGGGCCATTTCCCCCTCCTTATCCGTTGAGTCGCATGTCTCAGAAGCTTCATACCCGCTTACCCCGGCAATTTGCCCCGTAATAAGACGGGAATAGCCAATGCTATCCAATGCCGTCCAATGCCATCTGATGACCTGGGAGAAACCATTTCCATTCCTATCATGGTCTGGTCTCTCTGGGTTCCGGGGTAATTATTCTCTCGTAACAGAGAAATCGAAGCGACAGTGGATCTGATTTGTGCGGCCAAGCCCGAAGATAAGAGGGTTTCTGTTAGTGTTGGTCATTCGTATGTGTAGCTCTGGACATCAAAAGTCAACTCATAATAATAAGTTTCGGTTTTTTAGTGTGTGAAAGGGGAAGAGAGAAAAGAAAAGAGAGAGAAGATCAAAGATTGAAGATCACAGGGACACCGCCCATAATATAATCCCAACCAAGAGAACACCAAGGCTCCAAGACTCCTGGCACACGCCCTTTGGGCTCCGACTTCGCTTGTGGAGGTTGAACTTCAGGTCCACCAACAGGAGAGCTTATCACCAACATTCACTGTCAAATAGCGTAAGCTCCCAAGCCTTGGGGCCTCTATCTGTCAGCCGCCAAGTGACCAATTCCTTAAGAGAGTTTGACCAAGACTTCTCCAAGACATTGGCAATCCCGACACCGGCACTTGAAAGATATCAGATCCACGTTCAAGTCATTGGCTTCCTGGGTGAGTCTATAGAGTCTGTTAACGCCAACCTGAGAAGACCCTATGGGGTTGCTTGGGTTTATATCGTATTAGCACGGCCACTCAACCGTGTCGACTTGCGTGCCCTCCCCATTGGCTCAGGCTCACTTGCCAAGTCGATTCATTAGAGATTCATCAGAGTGGCCTCTTCATCCCAATCATCCAAGTCCTGTGTGATAGCGTTGCAACTTGACTTTTGAACTAGCTACTGCTGCCTATGGAGGCCAATATGAGAACCTCGTTCCTGCGATGTCGGCCCCCAACCAAAATTATGGAGGGCTCTACTCCGCCCTACAGAGTAGGGACTTGTATATTGCGACACCAGCAGCCACTCAGATTAGCTCGGTGGATCTCCATGGGTGACTCATTGCGTGGGTTGTATCCATACAGTGCTGATCACGATCGATGCTGTCGATATTTAGGTTGAGAATGTATACATGAACCGTCTCGAAATACGATTGTCATATCTCGCACCTTGAGGTGTTGTTCTGGGTGTTCTTACTATGGGACTCCAACTGAGACTCGGAAGGAAAGGCATCAATAAAGAATACCGTGCTGATCAGGATTCTTTGGAAGTAGCTTACTTACCTCTATAAAGGGCTACATCCTATTGGCTAGTCTATGATATCGCCTTCTACTGTAAGGCAATTGGACGCCTTTGCCCTATTAGTGTTCGACTACACTCTGAGTTCGGGTGAGTAGTTCATTTGGAGAGAACCAGGCAACCTACAAGCATGTTTATGACTTCTTTGTTATATGAAAAGTAAAGCAACCTAGTTGGATTCCCATATGTGTTATCACAATAAAAGGGTTCAGGGGCAAGTCTTGCATGTGTATTGGACAGGATCATTTCACGGCTGTTAAATTCGGAAATTTGGGAGGATGGAATTCACTGCTGTCCCTAAAAGGCGGATAATACGAGTCATAGTGTTAGTGAACAGATCATCGTGGGCATGAGGTCAACACCTTATATTTTGATTAGCTGGATCTACAGCCGTAAACATGATTATATATACAAGCATAACCTAAGAATGATTGTTCTACTCCCTTCCAATCTTGGTGGCTTTGAAACATTTTCTCTCTCTCTTCTTTAGCCCCGAGGTCTTTAAGATACTGAGCCAGGACAGGCACGTTCAAAGGAGTCCAGCTGCTCCGGTGTTTCATGTTGTCATTTCCCATACTCCAGAATCAACCGTCGGGCCATTCTATTTGTAATCTCCACTATTTATTGTCTTTGCAGAGGCACCGGTACTAGTCAAGCCTATTAGTATGTATGGTAATTCATCTACTCCACACACCTCGTATAGCTCTATTCGCTCGGTTACCATCTCAAGAAGGCCCTCAATCGTCTATCTGGTTCCGTCTTCTCTTTATCACTGTTGTGACTCCTTTAAAACTATAGTTTCATAAGGAATTAGCGTGGAGAGGATCCTTGGTCAATGCTCGTCTAAAAAGTCGGGCGTGTGCTTCTTTTCAGAAACATGTATTTCATTTTATTCCTTAATAACATCTTATCTTCACATATTTCCATCCGTTTTGACAGATTACTAGAGGATTTTAGCCATTGGGTATCTTCTCGGGCAAATTAAATTGCGCTGAGCTTCCCAGCATTGAATATATATCCGAGACCTCGTAACATATATATACCCAAAAAATCCCTTTGAACCAACAATTAGCCCTGGTAAGACCCGTCAATATCAAAGGGTTTAGTAGTTGTGGGTTCTGAGTCAAAATATCAGAATATATTGGCAAGTACATAGGCAAGGATTTCCTCTACTATCTGCGATCTCCGAGGCATGCCAAAAAGGGTTGGATCCGAATGCGACCCTCTAGCCATAATATGATAAGGGAGTGACACCTGGTCTAAACCGACCGAGCTTTTGAAGTTCAGAGAGCAGGGTTGTAGAGTAATCTGCGAGCGATAGACAGGGCGAGAGAGGAATATATCTAACAAAGAATATCACATCCTCTTTCGGAGCTGTAGAGTCTAGTAAGAGCCCGTCATCACCGAGTGTGATTGCACAGACTTCCAACCAGATCTAATCAGCGATTTTCGTATGTAAAGGCTTTCAACTTCGATGAATCGTAGCGGATCCCGGTCTCAGATGTTGTAGCGAGCTTCAGTTCTAGGGGGTCTCCTGGTCTAAAACAGCCCTAACGTACTTACTAGGCCCTCTCTTGATCACGAAAATATTACCAGACTGATTTGATAGTTGCGTGCTGGTGATACAATCCCTGTCCCGCGAAGGGGTTTTAAATCTCCAAGAGTTCATGTGAACGCAGTGTGTAAGCGCCACATCCCTGAGTGCTTACTTTTATCCTGCTAAAGTGGGTGTGGCTACATTCCAGGAAGTGCCATTAGAAGTCTTAAAAACAACTCGTGACCCTGATCAGATGAGACAAGACAAAGACCTATGAAACAGGGCTTAGGCATTTAGGCTGCTGAGCTACACCTACTGATATACTGAGACTCGCACCATAAGCGCCATACAAAACCAGCAGCTCCGAGCATAACACCAAAAAATTGAAGCATCCATGAACAGGTCATATTTGTATAGAATAATGTAAGGAAAATACCCTCATACCGGCAAGACCTCGACCCCAACCACGGCATAAGCCTCGTAAAAAATGTGTTTGGTAGAGTAAGATACAAGTCGCAAGCAATCAAGTCGTCCCTGCAGAACTATGCAGCGGGGCGGGCATAAAGGGAGGACCTCGGTCCCTATGTGAATCACCCCCAGTTTCCAGCACTGCACGTCGAGTCGAGTCAATTCCCCTCGATTCGTGTCGTCCGTAATCGTGAAATCTGCGCATCGCCACCCGTCCCCTGTTTTTCAATCTTCATCCTCATGTGCATATCACCGTCTCAGCCAATCCCCTTAAACGGTGTACTTGGCCTTCGCGCGCGTGCTGCCGCTGTGTGCACTATCGGTGTGGCCGGAGAACTCCACCACATCCGCCAGGTTGAGCCGCAGCACGTCCTTGAAGCGCTGGCCAATTGCCTCGAGGATCTCCTTGCCCTGAGCCTGTGTGCGGGTCTGCTTATCGCCTTGGATGCTCTTGCCGACTGTGCGTGTCCATAGACCAACACGGTAGAAGCCCTTGCGCACATTCACAACCACTCCCATCACTTCGTTGTCGTCGTCGTTCTCGAGGGTCTCGCCGATCGCGGCCAGCTGCGCGTGCAGCCAAAGTTCGTCGATAGGAACGGAGCGCTTGTCCTTGAATTGGTATGACCACTTTCCACCGTGCTTGTTTTGGGGGTCCTCCCACTCGGGCCGTACGCCCTTCTTGAAGAGGTGGTAGTCGGCCTTGAGGCCAAGTTCGGAGGTCGGCGTGATGTTGTTCTAATAGCGATCGGGGTTAGTCTGATCGTTGATCGGGGGAGACTTCGGATTGCACATACATAGATGCCCCAGAATTCTTCAACAGAGCTGAAGGTAACCACCTCCTTGAGCAGATCATTCCAGTTGTCGCCCTAAGTTTCCTTGGTAAGCATGATATCGACCTATCTAACCGGGTGTCTCCTACCTTGCCACTGGGGGGGCTTGGTGAACCACAGAGTCCATTCGTGCATAAGAGGGTGCTTCACGTTGAAGTCATCGGGGTTGTGGAAGACAGTAACGGCATCACCAGTCTGAGTCTCGGTGACAGGAGCGGAGTTCTCGTCGGCCACAGCCGGGGTACCATTTTCTGCGACGGCAGCCATAGTGAATGGATGTGGAGGGGAAGACGATCGAGTTCGGAAAGTCGGAGTGGCGAGAATTTCAGGAAAGCGCAAATCGGGGCTTTTCACACAAAGAAGGTAAGAGAAATCCGAGCCTGAATTCGAGTTTAGCAGTAATAGTCTGCTCCAGGCAGTGTGAGATGAGAGTGGAGGTGGGCGACAATTGACTGCAAAGAGTGGAAGTTTTGAAGTTCGAGCCACAAAAACTTGCCTTGCCTCTTTGGGTTCTTCCGTAACATAATCAATATCACATCCGATCTTCGCTTTACTCTTATTTCTACTTCATATATCATTTGATTTATTGATTTATCTGTTATTCAGTTTGAAATATTTTGATTCAGATATATACTACAATTCTATATGACCGAAAAATGCAGAATAAAAATCTTTCCGAACCTGATGCCTGAGGACCAAATAACACAACAACCCAAAAAAAATCTATATACTGGAGCGCCAATGTGAAAAACTATAGAACAGCTGAAAATGAAAGTCTTAAGGGTATCTCAAACCATGACTCGGAATTATAATTCCTCGCCGCTGTTCATCAAGCTGAGGAAGCAGTTCCACCCTACTTGATTGTTAGTGACTGAACGAGTATAGCCAGCAACACTCGGAAGCAAAGTACTCACCCAAACTGACAACGTTGACGAATAGCAAGCGCAGGTCTAGGGGGGACAAATGTAAAGTTCACACCCTGTACAAACGGCCAGACCATCAGGTTGGCCTTATAGGCGGGAACAAAGGCAGTCTTCCACCTTTCCACAGGATCAACGCCTTCCATGATAGCCATCGAGGATAGGAAACAGGTGAGCTGGACTGGGGCAAAGAAGACTTGATCGGCGGCAACACGAGCGGCGGTGGTGGACGCGGTGCCCTTGAGAACGACATGGCGCTGGAGTATGCCAAACCAGGTAGTGGCAGCTGGACCGAAGACAGCTGAAAGGAGACGATATAGATCAGCAATGTGCAAGAGAATTGAGACTTATAAACATACCTCCGCCGTATAGAGCCATTCGCCCAGTGCGGGCAAAGTCGTGCTTTTGGAGACCTTTCCGGTCGACAGCTTGTTGTGCTAGAACATCACCGCTGCCAAATAGGAACTGTTGTAACAAGGATCAGAAGCTGGTCCATGAGAAGGGAAAATGAGGGGATCGTACGGCACTGGTGATGCTTGCGGTGAGGATGGGCCTCTTTGCCAACTTGGACTGGTACCTGGTTGACTGTTTTGAGCTTCGATTCAAAGATGAGTAATAACAAGAGAGACTTACCAGCGCAACATAACTGCAATTGGGTAAGTATGAACGATCAAACAAGTAGAGAAGAATGCAAAGAATGAATAAAAAGATAGAGGAGAGACGCTGAAATACTATTGAACTGGGGGCAACTCGGGGAACAATCTTGAAATTGCGGAGTCGAGATTGCCCTGTCGGATTGCCCAAATAGGAATTGCATCCGCCTTCCATTAAATTTTTGAAGTGACGTAGGAGGGGAAATAACAACATCACAAAAACTTGACTTCGTATAAAAACATGGTATATTGCTAGAACAGCTATAGCAAGTGACCTCAGCATCACCATAAAATAAATTTAACCCCTTCTTCCACAGCGCCAATACCCCTCTAAACAACGACGATCAATCGATATACTTCTGGACCCCGTCAGGTGACACCGCCCCTGGAAACCTTAAGTGCACGTGCCATCATCCCAATCAGGAATTTAGGGCATAGGGTCTCCACTAGGGCTGCCCGCTCGCTTAGCCCACCCGCGCAAATTTCGGGCAAACAGTGCTCAGTGCAGTGAATCTCGACGACCAACTCAATCCCGACAACCCTCCCCGTCGCTTCCCATAACAACATCAAGATGGCTGACGCTGCTCCCCGTGGACGTGGTGGTTTCGGTTCGCGCGGCGACCGTGGTGGTGAGCGTGGACGTGGCCGTGGTGGCCGTCGCGGCCGTCGTGGCCCCAAGCAGGAGGAGAAGGAGTGGCAGCCCGTCACCAAGCTCGGCCGTCTCGTCAAGGCCGGCAAGATCACTTCCATGGAGCAGATCTACCTTCACTCTCTGCCCGTCAAGGAGTACCAGATCGTTGACTTCTTCCTGCCCAAGCTCAAGGATGAGGTTATGAAGGTACGGATCGACACACTTTTTTGAAATTGGAGGATTGAGCGGGACTCGACTGGAATGCGACAATTGCACGCAATTGCGCAGTGGAAGCTCAGGCGGAAAACGAATACATCGAAATCAGACCAGGAACTAACGGCAATTTCAACCTACAGATCAAGCCCGTCCAGAAGCAGACCCGTGCCGGTCAGCGTACCCGTTTCAAGGCCATTGTCCTCATCGGTGACTCCGAGGGCCACATCGGTCTCGGAATCAAGACCTCCAAGGAAGTCGCCACCGCCATCCGTGCCGCTATCACCATCGCCAAGCTCGCTGTCCTCCCCGTCCGTCGCGGTTACTGGGGTACCAACCTTGGTGAGCCTCACTCTCTGCCCGTCAAGCAGAGTGGAAAGTGTGGTTCCGTCTCCGTCCGTGTAAGTTTTATGCAGTGGTTCATATCTGATCTTGGCCCTTTTTCTGGGGACCAGTGATCTGAAAAGATGGTTTCTAATTGACTATAGCTCATTCCCGCTCCCCGCGGTACCGGCCTTGTCGCTTCCCCCGCTGTCAAGCGTCTGCTTCAGCTCGCCGGTGTCCAGGACGCTTACACCTCCTCTTCCGGCTCCACCAAGACCCTTGAGAACACCCTCAAGGCCACCTTCGTCGCTGTCGTCAACACCTACGGTTTCCTTACCCCCAACCTGTGGGCCGAGAACAAGCTCATCCGCAGCCCTCTGGAGGAGTTCGGTGATGTCCTCCGCCAGGGCAAGAAGTACTAGGTTATGGATGATGCATGATTTTTGTTCGACAATTCCAATGGGTTTCTTTTAAAACTTTTCCCTCTGTGCTTGGCGATTAAAAGATGGTTCGTGTGCGAGAGACATCTCCGCACCGCTCTGGATGTATTTATCACGGGGAGGGACACAAAATAGCGAAGTCCACCGGCCATTTGCCAGCCAGATTGTTCTTTGAGCAGTAGATGTATGCAGTAGTGCAGTAGGCTTTTCCACTTGATACACATTGGGTTTGGAATGTGCCAGTCTGTGGTTCAAGCTTGCATCTTCGACATGCAGCCCAGCAACATTGCTATGGCAAACACCTCTGGGTAGGTCGGCCAGGCAGCTTAAAGTGGAATAAGCACTAGTCCGGATCTACCTAGGTAGGCTGTCATGTCTGACACCAGGCTAAGGGAGACCATCATACTTGTCCCTGATGAACCCTTCGTACACATACACCGTAGACAGGCTCTTAGCCCAGATATATCGGGAGTCCAATATGGGTGTTTGATGTATTCACACAGGACCACAGGAACCATCAAAGTCATGTACTAATAATATGTAGTATGTTGTCCACGTGTAACCGGCCCTTACATTCTTTACAAAAATTACAGACCCTCCTAACGGAGGGTCCGCCACCCATATGAAAGGGATCACGCATATGCAATTGTACCTTTTACTAGGCGGACCATACAAAAGGTACATATAGAAATGCTCGTTTTCCTCGACTAAATTATATGATAACCTTTTATTTTAAGGGTAGCACTAATATTCTAATACTCTCCTAGTACTTCTATTAAATTTTAAGAGCAAGTTTCCGGGACGTCTTAGAAGTCTAATATCTTATGTTAGGCGCGATAGTAGGTCAAATTTCAAATTGTAATACTTTAAGAGGCATCCCTAAAACCTAGGCTAAAACCTGACTATAGTATTTAAATAAAGTAGATCTTTAAATACGATATGTTATAATAAGTTTTTAAAGACTTTTGTAGTACTAAAAATCAGCATTTATGTATGTACCTTTTGTATGGCCCGTCTAGTAAAAGGTACAATTGCAGATGGGTGATCCCTTTCATATGGGTGGCGGACCTTGCGAGGGTCCGTATTTTTTGAAAAAGAATTACAGGGGCCGGTTATATCTTACTGAACGTCTCCATATCTTGAGCTGAATATCCACACCAATAGTGTCGACATAATCCTACATCTAAAAAGACATCCCGGAAGACATCTCGGAAGACGTTTAGAAAGACGTTTAGAAAGACGTATCGAAAGACGTATCGAAAGACATATAAGAAGAGATTAGGAGAAGATCATAGTATCTCATATATATATCTCTGTTCTCTCTTATATATCTCTCCCTCCCCTCGATATACTCCCCAGATGAGCGTGGCACTGAATTGGTTTAGCTCCTTATGCGACTTCCTTCACCTTCATCTCAACTCATTTCCATTTCACCTCAGGAGTTCAGTCATATCATCCTGACCTTATTTCCAAATCTCGATTGCAAGGGCAGCATTCCAACGTGCACCTGAGCAACCCCCCACCCATTCTGCTCTGGAGTGCTTGACCACCTCCATGATCTCCAGTGACTTTTGCGTGAGGGAATTCCCAGCAAGGTTGCCACGGATGAAGAATTTCTCACACGGCTAGAAGCTCCGAACGCGAGCTTCCCCAGAAAAAAAAAGAAGACCGAGCCAAATTATCACCTATAAAAATGCACGAAGCGGGACATGCTACGCCCGCTATACAGAAGTTCTCAACGACCCAAGCTGGCACCCGAGGCAAAAAACCTGAGAATGGATGGGCCCGAGGAGGCCGCGTGGTTATCCATGGATGACCGCAGGGTGACCGTTGTTCTTGAAGTTGAGTCGGAATCGCGGTACGAGAGCGGCAAGCAATAATCGCGAGGATGGCCATATCCTTATCATCACGAATATTGGGGCTACCAATCCAACTCAGTGAAAGGCTATGAGAGTTCAGGCCTTTGAAATTTGATGGTGGTTCAACCGAAACATCATCTTATTTCCATCGAACCAAACAATTCATACAGCAGGCAAGCCTGACCCAGAAGATTTCCCAAAGTATCTCTCTTTCCATGTGCTAATGTCATATAGAAACAAAATTCCTCATCACCCCCTACGACCGTATCAGCGATGCAAAAGAATCTGCACGAGGCTCAACAAGTTAGTCTTTCCCGGAAAGAGACAACCCTAGCAGCATACCTAGGACTTTCTCGTCCTAGGGAGCTACGGAAAGCTCTGATCCAATTTCCAACATTGCCCGCATGGCGGGACTTCCAAGCCCCGGCAAAGAACCTGTCAAAGCGCAACGCGTTCGCGCTATTAGACAACAATAGCGAACGGGGCCGAATCGCTGATACTGAGGACCCGTCCCAGGCCTGCCCTGTCGGTGGAGACAACGGGACCAACCTGACGCTCTCAGGCCAGAGTAAGGATCTCCCGGAAGCGAATAAGCTCTAGGATGAATTCCTCGCTGTGAGAGCTGTACCTTCTCCATGCAAGAAGTGGCAAAATCATATCATTAATCTTTGATTTGAACGGCGGGAGGAAATCAAACGTGAGGTTCCGCGGCTTCTTGATCAGTCCCCTAGGACTGCAGTGGGAAACTTATAGCTGCTGGAAGGAGATAATCACATATCAGATGCTCGACGAGAAGCGCCCTAAGGGATATTCCTTGTTACTTTCCCCCATGCAGCAGGTGTGATCTGCTGTTCGTCATTAGCCCGACACGGCTACTATCAAAGTGGAGGAAGAGCCGTTGCAAGAAAGGTGGATGCACCTGCCCAAAAGAGAGGGTTCATTCGCAAGCAGGCCTCGGCTGCTGTAAATGTTCTTAGAGATGTGGAATGGTTTGGACTGACATTGGTACACACAATACTGTGTACAATGAGGGTGACAACGAGCCTTTGGTGTCTGCGGTGACTTCGAATGCATCGAATTACGCAACGGGGAAGAATTGACACACCAACCCGAGATGACGGTCATCTTTGGCCGTCGAATTGGCAACTCCTTTATCCGTTCAACGTTGGCCATGGGTATGCATTCGTCTTCTTAAAGATAAACAACGATTCCAAGGTGAGCCTGTTCGGCACATTTAACCCAAGTAACTTGGTTTGACCTCTACTAGTGGTGTGACTATTCAATGATCACGCGAGAAGGAAACTACGACGAGGTCCCGCACACACCTGGGGACAATCAGAGGTTATGACCCTGCGAGACCTGCAAGCCAATTCGCACGGGTGACGTCTTTGGACTCACCACCCATGACCCGGTGACCCCCTTCCGTCATTTGAACTTCTCTAGCTCCGCTAGAACCTCTGCGTATCATGGCTATACATGGTGGAGCAGAGGATAGAGATGACAGCGACGACACCGACGACGAGTCTGTCTGGCTGCTTTTGCTTTTGTTGAACCGTCAACGAAATCATATTGGGTTCGAATCGGTGCTGAGACCGGACATCAGGTCTCGTCCCACATGTCCCCTGCCCTTGCTAAAATTGAATTCCTACTGGCGGCAGATCTTGCTGTCTCATGCAGGGACCGAACCAATGTATGGGGGATCTTGAGATGGGCCATTCAAATCGGGATTCGCGGAGAAGAAACCGGGGACATTAGTGACTTATATAATCTTGTATCTTAGTAGCTAACCTATTGTTGCCCTACTCTCTGTTTCCTGCACGATTAACTTCACTTAAAGGATAGAATGGTGCTGTGCTCCGAGACTTGGAAAACCTCCAAGAGACTCTTTTACCTTTCTAATTGTAAATCTACGTTTCTGGAATTACCTTTTTTCCCTAGTTATATACAGTCTTCCACACGGCAAGCCGAAACTCCCATTGTATGCTCTGCTGCCCCTGTCTCCATCCCATTGCCTCTTCGGGTTTGGCGTCCTCACCCGAGCTCCGTGCCGCCTCTAGCCACTTTTACCCTCACCTTTGCCGATAGAACTGAAGAATTTAAAAGGACATGGATACTATAAATCGGGAAATAGTCGGATAAACTGACAATCCAGACTTTGAAGAGATCAAGTGTAATCGAACGTGCCTTTAAGAGTTTTGAGCACACATACCATTCACTGATGGATTACCTTCGACAACGCTGGACCTTATCTTTGCACGACTTAAAGAGCTACTTGCTCAACGATTATAACCCCCGGTGATGAAGAGCTGAGATCATGAAACTATTGAAGACATCCAAACATTCAAACGAAGCGTGGGGGGGTACCCCGTGAGGCCCCACAATTACGGACATTTGCCGGAGGACCAGAAAGTGTGTCTCTGCAGTGGAGTTGACCGCATCATTTCTCGGGCTTTTACCGGAGCAGTCGGCAAATGCGAAGGACGGAAGATCGCATCATTTGAACGAACCTACACCGGACCACTCGGCAGATGGGACGGGCGATCATCGCCGGCTTGTAGCTTGAGCGGGGTTTATTCTCTTTTGTTTTGATCGGCGGGTGAAACCCATGTATATACTGCATACTGCGAATGCCGGGCAAATTAATCCTACGAAGATCTCGATGAAAACGATGGCACATTGACTTCAAGAATGACAGAAACAATGAAGGTCTTCGACTTTAGAGCTGGATGGTTGAAATACCAGATCGTATTCCGGTGTGGGGATGGCGGCGTTGGGGAATGCTAAAGTCCCCGCACTGACAACAGGGTCCATCTTGGCAAATCTTGGAAGGGGACCGAGGGAATCCGGAGAAGTATATAAGGGCCGTATGCGTACGTGAAATTGCTCGCTATCCAAGGCCTCAGCATGTATTTCAAGAAGCTGCTCACTTCGGCTGCAGCCCTGAGTGGCTGTGCCTGGGCCCAGAGTCAGGCTGGTATCGAGGATCTCGATGGCCCCGGCAATGACCTCTACGAAAAGGACCTGTCCGAATGCCCAGGATACAAGGCGACAAAGCAGTGGGAGACTCGGTCAGGCTTTTACGCGGAACTCTCTCTCGCAGGGCCGGCATGCAATGTTTTTGGGACTGACCTTCCAGACTTGAAGCTGGAGGTGGAGTACCAGACTAGCGATCGACTCCACGTCAAGATCTTGGACACCAACAACACCGTATACCAGGTTCCAGACAGTGTCTTCCCACGCCCCGGTTTCGGCCAATGGTGTTCCCCAAAGGATTCCAAGCTCAAGTTCGAATTCAACGCCGACCCTTTCTCGTTCACCGTATCTCGGACTGATACCGGTGAGGTGCTCTTCGATACCACGGGCAACAAGCTGGTGTTCGAGAGTCAATATGTCTATCTCAAGACACACCTGCCACAGAACCCGCACCTGTACGGACTGGGCGAGCACAGTGACTCGTTCATGCTGAACACGACCAACTACACTCGGACGATTTACACCCGCGATGCCTACGGGACGCCTCAGGGCGAGAACCTATACGGCGCTCACCCAATCTACTTTGACCACAGAAAGGATGGCACCCACGGAGTCTTCCTACTCAACTCCAACGGCATGGATATCTTCATCGACAACAAGGGTGGTCAGTACCTCGAGTACAACATCATCGGCGGTGTTCTTGATTTCTACTTCATTGCTGGCCCGTCCCCGCGTGATGTGGCCATTCAGTACGCGGAGATTGCTCAGCTTCCATTGATGACTCCTTATTGGGGACTTGGTTTCCACCAGTGCAAATACGGCTACCAAGATGTCTACGAGGTCGCCGCCGTCACCGCCAACTACTCTTCCAGCAACATTCCTCTGGAAACCATCTGGACGGATATCGATTATATGGACCGTCGGCGCGTCTTCACCATTGATCCAGAAAGGTTCCCGGCCAATTTGTACAAAGACCTGGTGGACACAATCCATTCGAGGGATCAACATTACATTGTCATGGTCGATCCCGCCGTATTCTACAAGGAGCCCAACCCGGCGCTCGATGCAGGTCTCAAATATGATACTTTCATGAAGGGAAAGAATGGCTCCGAATACCAGGGAGTCGTCTGGGCCGGACCGAGCTACTTCCCTGACTGGTTCCACCCCGACTCGCAGCAGTACTGGACTGAGCAGTTTTTGGAGTTCTTCGACGGAACGAATGGACCGGACATTGACGCGCTGTGGATCGACATGAACGAGCCCGCAAACTTCTACAACCGCCCCTACCCCGGCAACAACACCACCCCAGAGGATTTCGCGGAGGTGGATGGTGATCCTCCGGCGCCGCCACCAGTCCGAGATGGACCGGATGCTCCTATCCCTGGGTTCCCGGACAGTCTCCAGCCAAACTTTGCTTCCGGCAACACAAACGAGAAGCGTGCAACTGCTGTTGTCGAACCCCGTCAACTTCGATCTCGTTCCCGCCGCAACCTCGGTGCTGGTCACTGGCGCTCCGCCAGAGCCCACTGGGCTCCCTCGACTGACAGCTGGCAGCACGGCAGAAAGACTGGCTCTGGTTGCGGACCTGACGAGTGCAAGGGCCTTCCGAATCGCGAGTTGATCAGACCGCCGTTCATGATCCAGAACGGTGCAGGACCCACGCTTGCTGACAGCACTGCCGACACCGATCTGGTGCAGAGTGGCGGATACGTTCAATATGATACGCACAACCTTTATGGCGCTATGATGTCTTCGCATTCCCACAATGCTATGCGTGCCCGTCGCCCGGATGACCGCGCTCTGGTAATTACGAGAAGCACATTTGCTGGCTCCGGCAAGGATGTGTCCCACTGGCTTGGTGGTATGAATGCTCCATTCACTATTAACAACGGTCCCATGCTAAATACTCTGCAGATAATGTTTCCGGGTGGAACTGGTACCGCCTCTCCATCAGCCAGATCCTGCAGTTCGCATCGTTGTACCAAGTTCCCGTCGTGGGTCCCGATGTTTGCGGCTTCGGTGGTAATGTAACGGAGACGCTTTGTGCTAGGTAAGGGCTGAATCTTCCTTCATATACGCGGCTCTAGCTAATATGGATCGAACAGATGGGCAGCTCTTGGCTCCTTCTACACCTTCTTCCGCAACCACGCCGAAATCTTCGCCAATCCCCAGGAGTTCTACCGCTGGCCGACCGTCGCTGAGGCCGCGCGCAAGGGAATCTCCATCAGATACCAGCTCCGTAAGTGAAACACGCAGTCTCTCCGAGACCGAACCTTAGGACTAATAGTGATTCAGTCGACTACATGTACACCGCCATCTACAAACAGAACCAGACCGGCACCCCGGCCCTCAATCCTCTGTTCTTCAACTACCCGAACGACCCCAACACCTACCCCATCGACCTGCAGTTCTTCTACGGCGACGGCATCCTCGTCAGCCCCGTCACAGAGGAGAACAGCACAAGCGTCAACTACTACCTCCCCGACGACGTCTTCTACGAATGGGGCACCGGCAAGCCCGTCCGCGGACGCGGTGAGTACGTCTCCGCCGAGGTCGACTTCACGGACATCACCGTTCACTACAAGGGCGGCATTGTCTACCCACAGCGCATCGAGAGCGCGAACACCACCACCGCGCTGCGCAAGAAGGGCTTCAACATTGTCATTGCGCCCGGTCTCGATGGCTCCGCTGAGGGATCGCTGTACCTCGACGATGGCGAGTCGGTTGTGCAGGACGCCGTGTCGGAGATTGACTTCGAGTACGCGCATGGCAAGCTCAGCATGACGGGCTCGTTTGAGTACGATGCTGGTGTCACTATTGAGGCTATCACTCTTCTTGGCGTGGAGCGCGAGCCGAAGGGACACCGTGATGCCGAGTACGATGCCGAGAATAAGAAGCTGGTGCTTCATGTTGATGTGCCTTTGACGGGTCGGTCTCATATCAAGGTTTTGTGAATGTGATCCTGCTGGGATGGATATTTATTACCTATAATGGTTCTTATATTGGGAGTAACCTGCTAGATATTCCTCTTGACTAGTAGCTTCAATATACCGCAATCAGCATCACCAATCTACCTTAGACTTCCCCAACTCGTACGCGTCGTCTGGATCGGCGGTTGGCGCTGGCAAAGCAGCCAAGGTTAAATCCACATCCTTTCCATTCCGGGCGAGTTCATCCAGAGCCCGAACTAGGTTTAGAGTGTTTGGGATGGGCCCATCTTTTAGATTGACAAGTAACGAAAGGGGTCTCAGGAGTGGTCACAGACCGTTCTTCTTCCAAGCACAGGCGCGACTGGGGTAAGATGAGACGGTCCGAGGATTCAGAAACTCCATTGCCATAACCGCCAACTGAAGTGTCGATGACTCTATAAACCACCCTCATTCTGAGACCGAAAGGCAACTCCTCTTGGCAGACAGCTTCGTCAGTTGCGGCAGTTATGATTGCTTTTCCCTTTGTGGCAGACCCAATGCCAATGTTAAAAATCGTGGAGGTGGGGCTGGCGCTTTCATCCACTTTCGTCACCAGGGGCCAAAAGAGGTGTGCGAGCGCGGTGTGGTTATGCATGAATGAGAGGATGTCCACCTGAGAGAGCACATCCGGGAGAGGGTAATAAGGTTTCTTGGCTGTCTGGGTCGAGTAAAGGACTGTCTTGTTGCTAGCCACACTAAATTGGGCGATCTGCTCCTAAGCAGGCAAAGATTTGAGAGGGAATATGCAGGGTTGGATCTAACAGGAAGTCATACCGACATCAAACTTGCCGAACTGGAGACGGTGGAACGTGGCTTGAAGATATTGCTGCGTGCTATACAATGGTAGAGGGATGGTTTCGGAGGTTTTGCGATCATTAGCAGAGTTAGCGAACAGAGGAAGATGTGACCCAGTTAATTTGGGTATTTGAGAGAAGTCCGACAAGCATGAATAACAACCCGCTTAAATAATAATAGCGAGTGTGTTAAATCTACAATCCGTGGCAACCCGTGCCTCAAATGGCGTGTTGGAGGGAGTTATTTCACTGTTTTGTAGAATATTCTGCATCTCTGGTGAAAGCCATTCCCACATGAAACCACCGGTTCCGCTAACATCGATGAGGACGGCGTCTTTATTGACATCCAAAACAATATTCGACGGCTTGATGTCAAGATGAGTTCGCCCTCTCTTGTGCAATGATTCTATTGCTGTCCCAATCTGCAAGGCCCATTGTATTGGCAAAGCATCAAATTGAAACCCGTCCTTCAAAATTTGCTCAAGCGAGCCTCCGGGATAGTACTCAAGAAGGAACCCTGTGATCACTGTTGCCATATCGGTTGACGGACAAGTCTTATACGGGTTCTCCGATACAACTAGGCCAACTAGTTGCGCTATGTTCGGAAGACCGCGGAGTTGTGTAAGAACTTCGATTTCGTTTAGAATATGTTCCGTGTCTCCTGGCTCATAGATAGGGCGGTCAATTTTTTTGTAAACAAACTTCTGTTGCTTGAACAAAGCCGTGGAGACTGTCGGAGGAATAACCTCGATATTCTGCAAACAATGTGCCTCAAACGTTGGTAGACAACGTTCTCGCTCTAGAGTCGGATATACGACTCTCTGCGGATCTTCTGCGATCTCGTAGCACATTTGATGGGCAACGGCAATATAGGAGTTCGCTAGGTCTTGGTACCCATCCCGTATTGTGATCGAGTTGTGGCTTTGCTCGGTCAAGCTTAAAGTAATATTGGTCACAGTATCGTCCAACAGTTGGAATTGACCGAAATCAATCGCTTCAACGAATTTTTGAAAGATGGACCGATGCTGGAGATAGCCCAGCGGTACTGCTTGTGGAACTGAGCCATACAAGGCAAATTTAATCCACCATGAAGAGCCATTGTTGTGGAGTATCAAGACCTGTGATGGACGTTCACCGTTCCAGTCTCGGTACGATTTGAATTCCAGCCTGTATGAGAGGAGGTCCTTTCCCGGCATGGCGATTGACTGAAGTAAACGTGCTCTCCTTTCGTCAAAGAAAAACAGAGAAAGGAGAACCTCTCAAGGTAAACGATTGGAAACGGGGGAAAGGGAGGAAAGGGGGCAAGTTATTCTTGGATCACATGTTGTTCACGATTCTGAACCGACCAGTTTCAACAAGGCAATGGGGGCAATGGAGGCAATGAATGCATTAAGGATGAAACTCGAACCCAGAGACAGGCCCACCGCACAGCTCTTGGACGAAGGGTTTCATCTAAACTGACCCCAATTCCGTCGGAATTTAGTCTACGGCTATTTCATCTCCGCGTAATAAGATATACTACTTGATTTTTCTTTTCCCGTAGTATTGACGAGGTGATGTGAAAGATCCGACTGATAGAAAGCGGGTAATACAGTTAAGCAAAAAGATCGAGAGAACACACTGTGATCTAAGGGGGTCTGATTCTGAAAACGTCTATCCAGAATGTTGGTAGGGATGGAACTATACTGTGTGTATGTTCTGGACTAGGATCTCTTGCAAAGTTGATACTCTAAGGCAGTGAATTGTAAATCTGCTAATCTCTCAGTTACCGGGACATGAGCCTATATTTATGAACCTCGTTCCCATACAGAATAAGCTTAATTTGTTGTTTACTGAGCACTGAGACTTAACTGGGACTTCAACAGAGAAATGCCGTATTTACTATTTATACCTAGGTAGTGAACATTGTGGCATAAATAGGTACTTTTTATATCAAACTTCATCTTAGGGTAGAGAAACACAAAAGCAATTTCTCGTATAGCTACAATGGCTAGCTACCATACTAGTATAGCAATGCATTCAGTTTATAAGCATTCAATGTCATATCTGACAACTATAAAGGTGTCTGTATGTCTCGCAAAGCACTCGGCTTCGAGTCCGCATTATGGAACTATAAGACCAAGGCCGATCTTCAACACCCTCTTGCCCCTTTGAAATCCATAGACAAGACCATCACACAATTTGCACTATTGGGGTTTAAATCAAGTATGTATTAGACTTGGGGATCATGGTATTCTCCTATCGAAGGCGCAATTGATGATATTCCCGTCTGCCTTGGTGAGGGGCTGGCATCGAAAGACAGGACCAGTAAAGCTGAGGGCTATATTGCTTCTGTTTATCATGATCTGCTTCACCCGGGGATTGGAGATATTAAACGGTAGTAAAGCATGACACGCCAGTCCGTTTAGTGTACGATCTTATAATTCTACGGCGCCGGGAAAAGAAATTGTAAGAGCCAGCGCGCAGATTGAACCGGAACCCTCGACGTTGGTCTCGGCGGATCTTTTACTTGCGTGGATAGTACCTACCTGAGATATCATTAAGGCGACGAACACACGCTTGAAGTGTTCCTCTTCGTTGTACCTGATCCTCTTCTTCTTGCTTCTCGTCTCTCTCATCCTCCATCCCTCCCCATCCTTCCGATACTTACTTTCATCTATTTTCTATTGCTTCCGATCTGAAATCAACATGGATAACGTGAACGAGCGTCAAATGCGCGAACACTGGGACACCAGCCTCCTGGGGGCCCAGTTCTGGCAAGATGCGACGAGACACGCTGATGAGCTTGCGAGAAATGAGACACAAGGTATGTTCTTTACTATGCTGCATTATTGATAATTGCTCTATTGAGTGCCCTAAAGCCCTGTCAGCAGGCGTGCCCGTTGTATACTTCGTGCTAATGCTCTTATCACCTAGCCCTAACTGCCCCGAGCCACACTCAGTCGCCTTCTAGGGAACCTGTTCAGACTGCAGTCACAAGCTCTCCTGAACAGAGTCCAAACAAGAAGAAAAGCCGCTTTCAACTGTCTCGGCTTGCTTCTTTGAATAATCTGCGACTCCGGAATACCGCTCAACCCTCCCCCACAGGGACTGAGACCACGAACTCTCCCGGAAAGAGTCCCGGGAAGAGTGAGAAGAGCTCAAAGAAAAGCAGTCTACGCCTTCCAAAGCTGCCATCATTCAAATCTCTCAGTCTCAAGCGCCGAGGCGCTATCCTTGCATCAACTGAAGGGATTGTTGAGGTCCAAAAGCCCACCCGTCCTTCAATCCTGTCTCCGTCCACTTTCCTTCCCCCCGATTCCCCTCTTCCTCCCATCCCCCCCACCTCCCCGTCCTGCCTTTCGCTCTCTCTACAAAGGACCTTCTGCTCCCAACTTTGACATTGCTCCCCCGACACCTCGGAGGACTCTCGCCCCTTTCCCAGAGCTCCTAACCAGCTCAGCGTTATCAGTTTCCAAGAGTGGCTTGAGCAGGAAAGTGAACGTCGCCCTGAAACTGTGCCCACTCCTCACCCAGATCGTAGTTCTCGGATCAGCTTATTGGTCCACCTCAATAATGGCGGCAATTGGGATGATATCCCCCGCACCAAGTCGGTCCTGGAACTGAACATGTTTTTCGATGTTCGCAAGGTCTCCCCCGAGAGCCTTGTTGATCCCAATGATGACCAGAATATCGAGAAAAGTGCCGTGACTGAAGGGGTCATGGTCGACAAAGCTATGATGACTGGCTGCAACCTCAAGTCCTCCGTCAAAAACAAAATTGCCATGGTCGACAAGGCCACCATGACTGACTTCGACATTGAGAGCTCTGCTACCAACAAAGCCACCACGGCTGAACTTGACATCGAGGGTTCTGCCACCTACAATCTGCCCACCGACAAGGGCACTGCTGAGACTGACGTTAACATGGAGAGTGCCACCAAGGAGCTGACCATCAGCGGCCATCTGGCGACTGCGAAGGCCACCGCTAAGAATGATGGTATTACCAAGTCTGTTGAAGCCACCATGGCTGAGCTTGATATCAAGGGTTCTGCCACCGACAACCTGCCCACCGACAAGGGCACTACTAAGACCGACGTTAACATGGAGAGTGCTACCAAGGAGCTGACCATCGGCGGCCATCTGGCGACTGACAAGACCACCGCCAAGAATGATGATACTACCAAGTCTGTTGGTACCGATAAAACCATCTCGAAGAAATCTGCTGCCGAGCAAGCCACCATTGAGCAGGCTGGCATCAACACCAAGTGTGCTACCGAGAATGAGACATCCAACGACAACCCTGCGACTGACGGATTCATGATGGATCTCGACAGCGAGGGCTCTGTCACCATAAGTTTGGGCACCGACACCAAGAACGCGAAAGGCAAGGCCGCTGTCCACGACTGGGACCTGGATGGTCCCAGTGCGGTCAGCGAGGAAGATGCCGCGGAGCTAGAGGATGAGATCCAAATCACCCTTCTTACCCTGGAACAGATGCGGCCCTTGACCCAGTTCCGCAACCTGCGCGTGCTAAAGCTGGTTGGCATGATGAAGTCCTACCAGCCTGTGATCTGGCAGGTGGTGTGGTTGAACCCCCGGCTCGTCACTCTCGAGCTGGAAATGGCCGTGGGTCTTGACATTGAGAATCCTGTGGGACCAAGTGGCTGGAAACCCATCACGAACGGATGGGTGATGAACGTTAAGTCATGGGCCCCGCCCGTTTACTAGTAAGTTGCACCGAACTGAGAGTAATCTGAAAAAAAGAGATGTGACATATGCTAACCTGACTCACCTGTAGTGGCCAAGGCGACGGAGAGATCAGCACCAAGATCGGGTACGGCGAGTACCTCGACAAGTACTGCATCGAGAAGGCAAAGGTGCTTGCCCGCAGCACCGGGTTCCCCGTTCCCCCCTACCTGCCGGTCAAGCATCTCACCTTGACCGGCTTCGCCGTGGACGGGGATGCCTTCGCGATGTGGTTCCGGAACCTCGAGGGGGTTCACTTCAAGAAGGACTGCGTCGACTGCGGTTTCTGGCTGTCTCGCGCCCAGCGAGACGTCCGAGTTCGTCACTCGGACCAGTTCGGAGTGGCCCGCGGCGAGGCCGGGCCCTCCGGGGCCACCTCCATCGAGCTCGGCGAGGAGACACTTGCCGAGCTCACCGCGGCGGTGGAAGGCCTGCGGGCCTAGAGGGATGTGAACGGACGGGGTCCGTGTCCATCGGCGGCGGCACGCTCATCAGAGCCTTCCCCAGGGGCTCTGGTGAGCGTGTCGCCAGGGAAATATCATTCGGTTTTGTATGATTAGGAAAAAAAAAAAGGAAAAACACCAATTGTTCAAGTCATTCTTGCTTCTTATGTAGAGTACGGAATAAATAAAATGTAAAATAGTTGGGCCAAGTCAAAGTCTCAATATCACCATGCTCCCCTCATATCTCACATCAAACCAAACCTCAAATGAAACTGAGAACTGAGAGAAAGATGAAGAAAATCAGATAGTCAACTGAAAGAAAAGAGAGAAGATATATCCCATCGCCTCAATTCCAATCTGAATGTAAGCGAAAAGTCACTTACGCACCCTCTTCATCGGAGATACGGATAGCTCCCTCATTGCCGACACCGTGGGACCAGAATCCCTCCATATATAGCGCACTACAGCAATTAGCATGACATCCATACAGAGGTTAGATTGAAACTCACATTTCAGGAGTGTTCTCATGAGCGAACAGAAGCCAATATCCAAGGATACCTTGCGTAAAGATATCCTGGATAGCGAAGAGGATAGTTTCCGTATCAACGCTCAATCTAAGCGCAAGAGCTCCAGCCGCGAGAGAACTACTCAACATTAGCATCCGCAAACCGACTCAGCAATGCCGTTCTGGATATAACTCACATAGGGAATAGCGCTAGCATAGCAATCCCAGACCCAGAGATAGACCCGAAGAGCCGTCTTGCCTGGACATCCTTGCTCTTCGCCGCTCGCTGGGCGTGGAATCCTACATGGTGGATCACGACCAGGTAGGAGATACACGTGAGGGTTAGCCAGACCCAGCGCACGCGCCCGTGGCCTGAAAATATGCCTAATAGAGCTGTTGCAAGCATGATGAAGTGGGCGACAATCGCGATGAGTAAGTTTGCGCCTGGGAGGCCCGACAGAAGAGCGAAGTTGATGAAAAGAAGGGGTGTTGTAAGTGCCCAGTTTACAAAGCGCAGCCATAGGACCTGGCGGATGTACTCTGTGTCGGTGTCTGGGACATGCTTGTGGCGTTCGTGTATTGTGGCATGTTTGGTTGTTATGCCCTGACCTGTTGACAGGGCTAGATAAATTATGAAGGAGATGGTGGTTATCAGGGAAGTTAGAATGTGGAAGATCCGCTTAGGCTGGGTAGATGTTAGATATATGCAAAGTATAGAAGAGATGATGTATCAACTCACTAGAGGAGCTCGAGCGGCCAGAGTATAGAACACCAGCGAGGAGACGCCCATCAACACAGTGACAACCCTATAAAAGTTAGAATAATTAGGCAGTTTTAAATATATATTATACACATATACACATACCATAGAGTCCGTTTTCCCACATCATGAAGTTCCTGGTAGACCTCAGATCCCGGAATAACAGTGGGAATAGGCGCCACTGAGGATGTGGTGGCGGGCGCCGTTGGAGTAGTAAACTTATCAAAAGGATCAATCATGATGAATTGAAGTTGTTGTAGAAGAAGAAGAGCAAAACAGCAAAAGAGCAAAAGAGAAAAAGCAATATATGAATGGTATGACGATGCAATGCATCAAAGCAGGATTTTGGGGATGATCGGGGACGACCGTCATTGACTGGGTACTGTCGTCATAGCCAACTATACCACTACATACATGTACATGGGAGTTAATACATGTAGATTTAGTAAATTAGTAGATTTATTGGATTAATTGTATTACAGGATTATTCCTTTTCAGCTTGGTATTTAATTTGTTTGATATGTTGTACATTATTGGTTGTACTGCAGTTGTTAAATTGGCTGCTATGTCCAATCACTGCTCTGGAGATGATCGATATAATACATAAAAATAAGTATACAGACTTGTACAGCGCTCTAGGCGTTTGCCTCATGCATCACTGTCTCACACCGGTCGCAGATCGTATTTTCGATCGCCACCGGTTCCGGAATGGCGTACCGCCAGCACCGTGGGCACTTGGAGGCCTGTGGCGCGTACACATGCACTTTGCCTGGTTGGCCACCCAGCTCAAATGTCTCCTCATATTGCCATTCAGCATCCTTGATCTCGGTCGGGAGAGCTTCACCATGGGATGAGAGGGTGATGGATGACACCACAAAGAGATCAGGGAGCTCTGACAAATACTGCTGGAATAATCCAGTGCTAGGGAGCACAATGTGTACAAAGGATTGCAAGGAGGAGCCAAGCTGCTTTTTACTACGGGCCTGCTCCTGCAAGTTCTTGATGGCGGAGTGGACCACAGTCAGCTCCTGGTAGCTGGTATCCAGGGCTGAATCCTGCCACTCCGGAGCCGGGGCAGAAATAACACGCTGCAGGGGATGCCGAGATTGGGTGCGGATAGACCCGGGAGTATATTCCCATGTCTCTTCCACAAGCACTGGTGTGATAGGAGCCAGCGCCTCTTGAAGATGGTTGTAGATGTAGAATAAGGTCGTTTGTGCAGCCCGCCGACTAGTACTGTCCTCACCAAGGGTGTAAAGTCGGTCCTTGATCGCTTCCATGTAGAATGCAGAAAACTCAAGGTTGGCCCACCGGTTCATCGTACTCACGCCCTTGTAGAACTCGAAGTTGTCACATGCCTTCTGCGATGTGAGTACCATGTCCGAAAGGTGCTTGAGTGCAATGCGATCGACCAGCTGCAGCTGCCCGTATGGGACAACGTTTTCCGGATGGAAATCGGCAAGGGCACCCAGCAGCAACTTGAAGGTGACACGGAACTTGTGCAGACTGGTGTTGACGGTCTGGAGCACCTGTTTTCCAATCACCACGTCGCGCGTGTAGTCGCTGCTCGCCGCCCACATGCGAAGTGCATCTGGGCCAAGAGCGTCGTACACAGGTTCCGGGTTCTCAGGTCGCTTCTTTCCTTTGCCTTTGCGGGGTTTGAGAGGAGGCAGCAGAGTTCCATCCATGATCGTCTGTGGGTGGATCACATTGCCAATGGACTTGCTCATTTTCCGTCCATATTCATCCAGGGTGAAACCGTGGGTGATAAGATTCTTGAATGGCGCACGAGGGGTGGATTGACCCGACCCGAGCTGGTGTGAGATATACGTGAGAAGACCGGACTGGAACCAACCACGGTGCTGATCGGTACCTTCAAGATACACGTCGGCTGGATGACTCCGTCCCTCCATGGGAACATCGATCTCGGCCCAGCTGGTACCACTGTCAAACCAAACGTCCATTGTGTCCGTTCCACGTCGATACCCCGCTCCAGGTTCGTTCCTCAAGAACGGAGGAATCCATGCAGCATCATCCGCACTGTCGGTCCACCAAGCATCGACCCCCCGCTCTTCAATTGTGGCCATGATATGTGAAACACTATCCTTGGTCAAGACAGCCTCTCCAGTGGTCCGGTGATAGATTGCAGGAATTGGAACACCCCACGCGCGCTGTCGCGAGATACACCATTCACTCCGGTTTTTGACAAAGTTCTCGAGCCGTTGCTTTCCAGTCTCGGGAACGAACCGGACATCTTCCAACGCTCGAAGAGCACTGCTGCGGATATCGGCCACGTCGGCAAACCACTGTTCGGTTGCCCGAACAATGACCGGAAGCTTGGAACGCCAGTCGTAAGGGTATTTGTGCTCGTACTTGTGTTGGGCAAGCAACTGATCACACGATTCCACCCATTCCAACACTGCAGTGTTACCTTCTCCCAAGACAGGCTTTCCGGTTAAACGCGTAGGATCGAGGGGCATAGCTTTATCTGTAAATTTGCCCTCATCGTTGACGGGAGCGAACACAGGAATGCCACGGGCAAGACATGCTTCGTAATCGTCCATTCCGTGACCAGGCGCGCAGTGAACCATACCAGAGCCAGAATCAGCAGTAACAAAGTCCGCGGCGAATATGGGCTGCGGCTGAGCTTCCGGTCGTTTGAATAGAGGTCGATATGTAGTTTTCTCCGCCAGCTCGGACCCCAGGATAGACGGCACAATGACAGAGAGATCTTCTTTCAGCATATTCTGGAGGTACTCGAACCGCGATTGGGCGATAAGAAGATGACCATGTTTTTCCGATAAGACAATAGTGTATTCCAAAGACTCGCTGACTGCAATAGCAGCATTGGCAGGCAGCGTCCAGGGTGTAGTGGTCCAAATCACTGCACTCAGGTCCTTTCCACGGAGAAGAGGGTTTTCCATGAGATACTTGGGGATATCGACAAGAGGGAACTTGACGAGGGCGGCGGTCGAGATATGATCCTCCTTGTATTCCAATTCTGCTTCCGCAAGAGCGGTACCCGATGAAGGCGACCAGTACACCGGCTTGAACTTTCGGTAGATGAGGCCTCGGTCCACCATTTCACGGAAGATACTCAATTGTCGCATCTCGAATTGTTTGTCCATGGTCTTCCAGTGGTTCTCCCAGTCGGCCATGACTGCGAATCCACGGAATCCTTTCATCTGCTCCTTCACAGTTTGTCTTGCCAATTTTCTTGCGGATGCGCGAATAACGGCGGGACTGACCGATTCGCTTGAGATGTCCGCGTCACGCAGGCCTTGGAGGGCTTTGAGCTCGATCGGCAGTCCATGGCAGTCCCAGCCTGGTACGTACCGCACCCTCTTCCCGCGAGCCAATTGTACGCGACAGATGATATCCTTCAAGATCTTGTTAAGCGCATGTCCGACATGGAGGTCGCCGTTCGCATATGGTGGACCATCGTGCAGGACGAATGGTTGGTCGGCGGGCCTTTCGCAGCGTTGCCAGGCATAAAGATCATCGGTGCATCGTTTTAGGTATTTCGTCCGATCGACAGGTGATACGCGGGGAGGGAATGAGGATTTAGGAAGTTTCAATGTCGAGGTCCATGAGCGGGGGATTGACCGCGCCAGTTCCGGCATTGTCCAGCATATCCCTAGAAAGTGATAAGGTGGAAGGTCAGGAAGAGAAGAGTCTTGGCATTTTACAAAACATGGCTTTCCAGAAAGGGTTTAGACTCCGCTGATATTTTTAATATGCTAATAACACTAGTGCTATTTCATTAATCCATCATTCCTCCCGTGCAAATGCGCTAAAGAAAAGAGTGCACTTCATTACATATGTAAATATACTAAGTAAAGAAAGGGGAATGGGAAGAAGAAGAGAGGATTGGACAAGAGGAGAGCCTTTGTCTCCTCCGATACATGCGAATAGTGCAAACAATGCAAACAGTCGGTGTGGAATGACAGAACCCTTGTCTTTGAGCCTGCCATTACCCTTATGTCGATGCGTCTGATGTGTCTGCGCCTGCTTTTTCAGCGTCCGGAATATCCCCCTTCTTTGCCTCGTCCTTTTCCACCATTCCATAATCTGTATCAAGCTCCTTACGCAAAGGTACCTCTTTTTCAAAGAACACCAATATACAAGCAAGACCACAGAAAGCAATCGATACCAACCAGACAAGTTTAAGGGAGTCAGAAAATACCCCGATAACCTCGCTCTTCACAGGATCATCCAGGCTGTCAATAAACGTATCGGACGCGTGCTGGTAGGCGTGGCCATTCGAGAGTAGTTGTCGCACGCTAGCATCTGAAATGCGACAGGCATACTTGTTGAACTGATTGTTGAAGATGCTAGCGGGAATAGCCACCCCCCATATATTGCCGAAGCTCCGCATGAATGCCCAGCTTGCCGTGGCTGCCGCCTGATCCGATTCTGCAAGCGGGGCTTGGAAGGCCGGGAGCAAGGTGTTCAGGACCATACCAGATCCAAGCGCGGCAATGATTTGGAAAATGATCCACTCCGCAGCGGAGGAGTAGCGGTCGAGGTAGGCAAACAGGCCCATACCCAATGTGAGGATGACAAACCCTACCATGTGAAGGGCTTTGTACTTTCCAAACTTTGAGAGGATGATAACTGCAATCACAGCGCCAGGGATCGCAACGAGTGTAATAGGCAGCATTTGAACACCCGCTCGGGCTGGCGAAGACCCCAAGATGGCCTGGAAGTAAACCGGGATGAAGAACAGCACCCAGTAGAGGAGAACCGTGAACAAGTATGTGTTGATGAAGACCACGAGGGAGGTTCGGTTTTTGAATAGGCGCGGTGGCACCACAGGCTCCCGACAGAACCGGGATTGTTCAAAGATCATAAATATAACCAGCCCAACAAGTCCTAGTACCAACGGCACGATAATCCGCCACGAGCTCCATGCATAGCGTGAGCCCCCGTATGTCAATGCGCAGAGCACCGCTGCGGTAGCTCCCATGATGAGAATATTGCCGATGTAGTCGATACGCTTGACCTTTTCGGAAAATGTTGTATCGCGCTGATAGTTAGTGTGCAGAAATAGGAACAAAAGCACAAGCGAAAACCCGCCAACAGGTAGGTTGATATAGAAGACCCATCTCCAAGTTGTTCGCTGGACAATGATTCCACCTACGAACGGGCCCATCGAGCTGCCAATCGAGTACACGGTGAGCACGATGGCGATGAAATTCCCGCGCTCACGCAATGGAACGAGATCCGAAACGATCACGTCGACGATCATATTGATACCACCACTTCCAATTCCTTGAACGGCGCGTCCAATGATGAGCATGTTCGCGCCATTTGCGCCACCACAGATGCCGCTTCCCAGGGTGAAGACAGCGACGATAAATATCGTCAACCATCGACGACCGAAGACATTCGCTAGCTGCCCAAATAGGGGCTGAACCGCTGCACTAGAGGATTTCAAGAAACTGTCAGTTTCAAACTCACCTCACTAGGGCTGACGGTAAAGGATAAAGTACCTAGTGAGGAAGAAGGCATTCGTGATCCAGATATAGTTATCGCCAATATTCAGGTCCTCCACAATTGTTGGCATTGAAGTCGAAACCACCGTATTCTCGAGTGCCCCTAGGAGACCGGTCACACAGAGTGTAAAGATTATAGTCCAGAACTGGAACCCTCTTTTCATTGGCACAGATTTGGCAATCACTTCCTCGCTGCCCTCCTCCCCTCGCAGCCCATTTTCCTCTCGCGGCTCGGACTCTGATTCCACTACCATGGTTGTGAAAAGTTGGCAAATCACGGGGATGCTATCTGTAAAGAGAAGGAAGGGGACAAAAGCATTAGCACTAGTATCTCTGCATAGAGCTTGAGCTACTCACCACTTCATCCGGCTGCTTGTGTACCTCGGACGATTTCGGTACCTTTCTGTCAGCTCATACGAGGCTCGTATGCAGAATGCCGGACAAGAGTGGAGGGTGAAGTGACAAACATTTCTATGAAAATTGATCCTTCCGGCGACGGAGAGACAGTCTGGCCGACATTTTCGGAGCTTTATAGTCCTCCTTTGTTTGGCCCCGACTCGGATTTTTCCATATCCCGGATCCGATTAACGACTCCCATGGACGGCATTTCGTTACCGGATAGTGTACTCTGCTGATTGCATTAGTCCGCGCCTATGAGTTAATGCTTCTGGTAGTAAATCTGGTAGTAAAATCAGGTAGGTCAAATACGGTCCACCTTGGATCTTAAGGTTCGGAAAGTTCCGAAAGTCAATCGGGAAGTTTATTGGCCCGAGACCCGTTTTGGAACCTCTTCAATGGCCTTACCTAGGTAGACATATACCATTGGGGTTTTGAGGATTTATAGAAGAGTAATATAATAATTGTATTTTCCTTCCAGCATTCAAACTTCTATATCCTATTTAAACAGTCTAGCGTCTCATCTCTCTGGCTTATATGTTTATATGTATACTCTCGTATTGCCACATCTGAGATTATACCAAAATAGGAAATCGGGGACAGGCAAGCCACATCCTCGTGTCTGTTTCCCCTCCTTTCACAGACTGACACCTACATGCAACCTTGGGAGTGTTAGTTCGATTGAAATAAATCCACAACATGTTCTTTACAAGGTAAGAAACAGTTCTAATATTTCAGGTGCTCCATTTCGTAAATATCCTGCTTCAACGTTTAGCAGAGAAAGGCGACAATTGAGCCGATTGAAGCTAGCCGCATCTCTAATACACCTTTCCCCAAGTGACAGCTACATGGACTGAACCGTTCGAATCTGTTGACCAAAAGTGAAGAAAGCTGAGGAGCGCTAGGGTAGTTTCCCGTATTACATGCAGCCTTAGTCTATTTAAAGAGCCAATCAGACCGCCTTTGCTTGACGCTCGGTGCCATCCTACAATGGTGGGGGGCGCCGGCCCCCTCAAGAACCGCAATCCATCTCCAAGTGGCAACATCTAGGTGCTAGACGTGTCGTAGTAACGTGGTACCCACCCGTGGACCAGATATCTAATGCAGCTGATATTTTGGCTTCAAATCTGTCTCTCTAACCTTTTCACGGTCCATGTCACCCTAGCCACCCCGCACAATGTCCATGCTATCACAAGAAGCTCACGCGCAATCCCCCCAAAAGATTCGCCTGTGATAGATGCAGAGAACACAAGCTGCGATGTCCCCGTGAGGACCAGACAGGCCAGACTTGTGCGCGGTGCCTGCGCGCCGGTGCCCCGTGTGTTACAAGCAATTTGCGGCCTCTCGGGCGGCCTGCACGGAAAATTACCCCGGGAAACAGCCATGGACGGAAAAGACGCCCACAAAAGGCTGTGAGAGGCCAAAGCGGTGCCGCTGACGATGAAACCGATATGCTATATGATATAGATCCAGCCCGAACTCCTATCAATCCATTCGAGACCGAGAAACATCCTAGGGCCGGGAGCCATAATGTCCCTTCAGATGGGCCAGGATCCTTCGATGCAAATAGCCCCGGCCTTTTTGGCCTTGATCCGGCCATCCTGTTGGGTCTATCAGGTTTGAGCGATAATTTCCCGGGGTTCGAGATGTCGGATGGCCAGAGCCCCTTCGGGATTCCCTCGCTAAATGGCACGCATTCCCCAAGCCCAGGCGATGCGGAGAGCGCGTATGCCGATGTCAGCCATAGATCTAGTAGCCAAAGCCAGTATTCTAGGGACAAATTCAGCCGACTGGATTCTGACTCCTTGAGAGCTGTGGATCCTTCCGAGCAGCTGGGGAAGACAATGAGCAGCGCTGATGCCGTTCAGAAGCTGTCTGTCCTGATTACATCGCTGAGCAAACAACTGGACCGGCTCCAGACCACACCTTGGAGTGTCACCCTGGTCAATATTGTGTGTGCCAAGCAAGAACAGGAGGCAGGAAAGAACCCCCTCGGGGAGGTCCTTCAAAGCACCGCCGAGTTTGTGCATGTCCTCCAAACCATCGCTCTGAAGCCCCCGTCTACACACCAGCCGGACTCCGGGTTCCAGTCGCTAAATTCGGATCCCAACACTCTATCGTCACCGGCGGCTGGCATGTACTGCTCTGGCATAGCATCAAACCTGAACAATGTCCTGCAGCCACTTCGGATCAACTCATGGCCCCTTGGCCCAATCCACACACCTGAATCAATGACCCCTCCGCCCTCGGATCATTTCAAACCGGATATCTCTGACGCTCTGGTGATCTTGACCTGCTACATTCACATTATCCGGATCTATAATATTCTCTGTTCGCGTGTTTGTGAGTCTCTGTCTGAAATGTCGCACCAGTCCATTTCATCGCTCCAAGCCATACCAGGCCTCGAGGTCGGGGGATTTCCCGTGCAGTACGGGAATCTGCAGATCAAGATTCTCATCCAGGTGATTATGCATCTTCTAGCTCACATGGAGCACTTGCTGGGAACATCTGCGGAGTTCCGTCTTGACCCGGCAAGGGGCTCCAATGATGGTCTTCTCAGTAGTTCGGAGCTTACCGCGCTGTTGCGGATGGTCATGAATCAGAAGGATGACAAGGAGGGTGATGGGATGGATGTTGGGTGTATTTCGTCCCTCAGAGAGAATATGACAAAGATCCAGCAGATGTTAGAACAGAATCCTTTTTTATAGATCTGCAGAGCTATTGCCATGTTGTTGATGATATTTCGCCGTGTTTGGCTTTGACTGAGCCACGAGTTGCGAATGACTGTTATGGATGAAACGCTATATGAACAGACTTTGATATTTTGTGATATTTAGGGCAGCATAACATTTGAAATGAAATTCAAAGATTTTGGGTATCAACCCCGATTTTATTATACCCGCTCGGGCACTCTTCCGATACAAACGTCCTCACGGCCAGCCACGTAACATACCTAAGACATATGTACGTAGATAACAGGGTCATGCAACAGGCTACGTAATGTAATATATCTATGGATGGGTAAATTCTATGGGTAAATCCTGGAGCCTGTTGCATGAGTCGCGTGGTCTATAGTACGTTGGTCTATTGGCATGGACACCTGGTGATCGGAGTGGAATATCTACAGGGCCAATTATTACCAAAATAGCATCAGTCACTTGTTAAGCTTCAGGCTTCCTTTGTTTCCATCAGTACACCGTGTCCATCCGCCGGGTAAAAGTGTCACAGAATTCGCCGTCGGTTCAACAAACTATCCGACACCCGCCGAACCGGGAAGCTCGTACTAAATACGTGAATATATAGCACCATAACTCGGTTTATTTATTTTTGTTGTTTGATGTTTTGCATTGCACCAATCAAAATAGCTATCCCAGACCTCGTGTATTTGGCAATGACCTACGTCTTCCCATTCGCAGGACTGACCCGGACAAAAAGATCCGGCCGAATCCAGATCGCAAACATCTTGATGTCCTTCTCCCAATCAATCACATCTTTATTGGTCAGTTCCAGGTCGAAGGACCATAGTAGCTTAGCCAGGATAATTCGGCCCTGGAGGTACCCAGCGTTCAAGCCAGGGCATCCCCGAGGTCCCTGTGCGAAGGGAGTAAATGCTCGTCTGTCATCGGACTCATATCTCGCATTGTAGAGCGGATGCGAAGATGGCAGCCATCGCTCGGGGTGGAAGGAGCGGGCATCTTTGAAATACCGTTCAGAATGTGTGGTCGCGAAGAAACAAGTCTGGACCGTCACCTGCTTTCTCGTCAGATCCAGTATTCAAGCCCAAGGCAGAAGCAATTATTGGAAATACATACCCCAGGAGGGACATAATGGCCATCCACTTCGTACCCGGGACTCACACGGGGGAGTCCGAATGCTGCGTTGGTGTGGATGCGCAGAGACTCGTCGATGACTGCTTGAAGGTACTTCATTGTCTGGAGGCGCTCGCCAGTGATGTCACCATACTCGGAAAATTCATCTCTGATCTCCTTCCGAGCATGACCATACTTATCTGTATCTGCTAGAAGGTAGTACAGTGCGGATGAGATCAAATTCGTCATGGGGTCAAATCCAGCCACGATAAATACATTGGCCTGGGCGAGGATCCAGTCCTCTGTAGGGTCTGGCTTGCCATCCTTGGGAAGCAGCTGCTCAACGTAATCGGGATGTTTTATTTCGTCTCGCTGCGACATCCGGCGGCGGATCTCTTGTCTGTTCAGGCGGAGGAGTGTGGGTACAGTGAGGACGACAGAAGGGGGAATCAGCATCCAAATGAAGGGTCGAAGCATGCGAAACCGTCGAGTGACTTGGTTGGTGGTGCCCCAAAGCCCAACCTTTCCAAACGTGGATAGGAAAGTCGATGATTTTCCTAAAGGGAATGAGTTAATAAGAGACTGCATATTCGCATGATTTCTGGGGTTCAATTTTGGCATACTGGTTTTGACCTGCTCAAACTGTCGACCATACGCCATATCACCCGCGATATCAAAGATGAGCCAGTCGAGCCACTGGGAATGTGTCAGTCCTTGTCCAGTATTGCACGAACCTAGGGAGTCACACCTGCTTCATCTCAATTTCACCAGTCATTCCGTATTTGCGAAGCTGAGCCACAAAACCATCGATATGTTGATGAATCACATCTTCTTGTTTTCTCAGGGCTTTGGTGCTAAATGCAGGAACAAGTTTCTTGGCGATCTGTCGGTGAACTTCTGGGTCTTTCTCAGCAGTAATACCTGGTTCATTTTCACCAATCTCCTGGAAATCGCTCTTTCGAAAAATCTCCCGGTTCTTGATAGCGCTTCCGTATATGGCTACACGCGGAGACCCTATCAGCCAACCCTGAATGTAAGAATTGGGGAATATTTACCCTTTGCTGCATTTGGGGTCATAAAAGCCAGTTCGTTTGGGGCTACTCGCACAACATCTCCTATTTGAAATCAGATAATCTCCTTGGCCTATTGGTGGTCTTCTATTCACCGTATTTCTCAAACGCGGCCTCAAGGGCCCACGGGTATCTGCCGGTAAACCTGGTATATTCTGTCAATACCCTAGACTCTTCTTATCTCGATTTCTCTGTGTATTTTGAGTCCGCTATGGCTATTTTGACCTGGGCTCCAATTTAAATTGGTGAACATACCAATGATACGCATACCACACATTTGAAACGGCGGCAAGCTTTGGCCCGGGGAATCTAGCCAAGGGGTGCAAGAATGACAGATAAATGCCTCGTCCGATGGCATAGATAAATATCTGGGATACCCGAACATTAGCGCATGGCTTGTGAAGACTCAATGTTTGATTCTAAGATGAATATCACCAACAAGTGCCAAGATATATCTGAGGAGCAAGCTAGCATCAATAACGGATAAGATCCGGTTCGTGGCGATCGACTGGAACCTGGAATCCGCAAATTTCTCCATGGTTGGAATCGTTCGAACTATACACCTTTAGGGGCTTTATATTAAAATTCCAGCAAAGCAGTAAGCTGTGTTCAATGGCAGGCATGAAGGATATAACGGGAATGGGGTTCATGCACACTACCTAACTCCGCTAAGATGATACGTAGCAAGTCAAATCCAACGTTTATCCAATCACTTGATAGGCGAATACGGGGATTCCTTAGGTGGTTTTAGTAATTCTCCGAAACATTTCAAGGTTAGAAGTAGGCTGTGATTATGCCGAATGCTTATGGTGCGAGCTACGCCGAACAATGTTCCGATGTATATATCACCGAAGCAAGCTCTCTAACTACTTCGGGGCACTATGACATTCTTGGGGACCCTTTAGATAGAATGGCCCCGGGGCTCGATTAGAACAAAATGTAAATCTGGACGATCATAGGCTCGTCCACAGGAACCGCCCCGCAGGCGAGCCCATGCACGTCGCATACATCTCAAAAAGGGCAATCTCTCTCGACAGGCCCGCAAATGATCGCATTTGGTAATTGAACCAGTAACACTGACACAAATACGTGGATGATGATGTTATTCTCTGCAGCCTTCGTAAAAGCCTTGTATACAGGATGGGCAGTCCCTTTGGAAATCAGGCCCCAAACGCAGCACGTACAGTAACCTAATGCATGTATGCGGCCCTTTATACAACATAATCCGAACCTCATGTCTACCTGTTCGTCAATCTTTGATGTAGTAGCTTCAACTCTGGTGCCAATTGTCTTGGGAATCTGATTTCGAGGACATAATAGGAGAACGAAGAAGCAAAGTCCCTAATTGATAGTGTAACTGCTGAATAACTATTCAAATACAATCTTGGAATATGGAATTACATCCAAGCCCACCTAAGCTACTGACCGAGTGGTGCAACCAATTTCCGGGCGTTCACCTGTCCACTCTTCAAAAGAGTGAACCCTTCCAAAATCCCCTTCCATCCATTAGGAAGGACATATACAGGATGTGCTCTAATTTTGTTTTCCTCCAGTAGCTTCTCCGCAACCCGAAAGAATTGTACACCGAGGTCTTTAGCAGCCTGAGAGCCAGGTCTCCCATATTCAAGGCCCAGAGCAATTTCTTTCCCATGAAGTTCGTGAGCCATGACGAATTCTGCACTCACTGCCTTGCGTGTGAGAAGCTCCTGCTGTGGAAGCTCCAGACAGGCATACTTCCCCCCGGCCCGACCAATCGCAGCGTGGCAGATTTGAGTCGAGTCAGCATCTGTAATACAATCCAGTGCATACTTCAATGAATTATTTGTAAATGACTTTATGTCGGCCGCGCAGGTAGGTGAGGCATAGTCGAATACTTGCTTTGCCCCGAAAGACTTGACCAGGTCGAAGTTCTTGGGTGAGCTGGTCGCAATTGGAGTGAGGCCGCTCCTGCAAAACACTGTTAATCTCTGGAATAAACAATGGGCCCAAAATATAAAGCTTACAACTTCAAGATCTGCACCGCCATAGTACCCATTGCAGTTGAACCTCCGTACACCAAGACAGGGTAAGGGGTTGCAGCAGGCTCATTTGGTGATGCTGACAATCCAAGCGCTTTCCAGAATGAGATGCAAGTGGTACCTAGAGCAACACCCAGCGTCGCCGCATCTTCCCAAGCCATAGATGCAGGAACCTTCATTACAAGGCTTGCGTCAGCTTTGACATACTGAGCAAATGCACCGCTGTGAGGGTCGGCCGGGTTACAGCCGTGGACGGCACCACAGACAGGATCACCTATCGCTAGCGGGCGCGAGAGCTGCGCTACCCCCGAGCCAATCTTCACAACAGTTCCAGCAAAGTCTGAGCCAATGATTGCCCCTGCTGAGGGAAACTTTTGCGACATCTTATGATCTGATGGGTTGATCGCAACAGCCTTCGTTTCAACCAAGACCTCGTTTGGGCCGAGCGTTGGAATAGGAACATCGTGAGAGAGGATAGGCTCTCCTCCTGTCCCTTCAACTATGGCTGTCTGCAAGGAAGTTCCAGTGACGGTCATTTTCTAGGCCTGGATGGTTCAGTTGAGATTGGGGTTCGATGAATGACAAATCTTTCTCCGCCAGCACAACGATATATTCCAGTCCCTCCTTATTCTCTGAAGAGTAAATCATCATTTATGGATCGGTGTCGTATTGTCGGACTCGGAGCATTCATGCAGCTAGGATATCTCGTATTCGTCAGATCCTGCATGTTCTTCGTTTAGCGGGTTCTGGCTCTCTTAGTCTGTGAAGTCAGCTCGTATCTCCTCCCACCTCCGAGAAGATTACCGACCCCCTCCTGCTCCCTCCTTACCCTCTCCCATAAATTGATCGGAAACTTCCGATTAATACTGTCTTGAAACTTGATTCAAAGTGGCATCAAGTCGGAATTCCCCGGTGATAAGGCCGATGGCGGATGGGGTTAATGAAAGGTCCCGGTGGGTATGCTGCAATGAGACCAGAAAGACCCTCTGTATGTGCAAATAAACCTCGAAAATCCTCCGACACTAGTTGCGAGACCACCAGCATGATAGGCCAGAAAGTCCACGCAGCCGACAATTCGGGGGACCGGGGGCCGTTTGTACAATGGATTGTTTGAAACCATCGGGATGAGGAAAATCGCAGGCGTTCGGCCTTTTGCCTCTCTCTGGTCGTAAAATTAGAAGCAGGCGTAATTGGACCCATTTCGTCGGTAAGCAATGCCAGGGGCTATTGCACCATATAATAACACTGTGCAGACATACAAAGCGGACGTAGCCTGGCTAATAACTGTGATCAAATCTTGACTTTCTTTTTCTTTTTCCAATCGCCGATTATTGCTTCATTAGTAGCTCCCGAGATGCCAAGTTTCACGCCCTCCGAGCCCATTGCAGTTGTTGGCAGTGGGTGTCGCTTTCCAGGAGGAGTCAATGGAGCTTCAAAGCTCTGGGAGTTACTTGTCGAACCCCAAGACCTGCTACAGGAAGTGCCCAAAGAGCGCTTTGATAGCGGAAACTTCTACCACCCCGACGGATCACATCATGGGAGCAGCAGTACCCAAAGTTCCTACTTCTTGTCCGAAGATATTACCAAGTTCGATGCTCGGTTCTTTAGCATCAAGCCCATCGAAGCAGACGCCATGGATCCGCAGCAGCGGCTCCTCCTCGAAACCGTGTATGAGTCCCTGGAACATGCAGGCATCTCCATCAGCCACCTGCGAGGTTCCAACACCGCTGTCTATGTTGGACTGATGTGCGGGGACTACGAAACGCTTCTTTTGCGAGATCTGGACCAAATTCCGCAATACCATGCTACGGGTATTGCTCGCAGTCTGATCTCTAACCGGATCTCATACTTTTTCGACTGGCACGGACCATCCATGACCATCGACACGGCGTGCTCGTCAAGCCTTGTGGCTGTTCATCAGGCGGTGCAGGTATTGCGAAGCGGTTCTTCTCGTGTGGCCGTTGCAGCAGGTTCGAACTTGATTTTGGGCCCGGAGAATTATATCAGCGAGAGCAAACTGAATATGCTGTCACCTGATGGACGATCCCGGATGTGGGATGCAAAGGCAAATGGCTACGCGCGCGGAGAAGGTATCGCATCTGTTGTGTTAAAAACCCTCAGCGCAGCGTTAGAGGATGGCGACGAGATCGAATGTATCATTCGCGAAACTGGCGTGAACCAGGATGGCCAGACCAACGGTATCACTCTGCCCAGTGCCACGGCGCAGGTCGACCTCATTCGTGACACTTACGAGAGGGCTGGGCTGGATCCGTTGGACCCCGCAGGCCGCTGTCAATTCTTCGAAGCTCACGGCACAGGGACTCCGGCTGGTGATCCCCTTGAGGCCCGGGCGATCAGTACCGCTTTCTTCCCAAAGACACAAACTGGAGAGAATGAGCAGGAACTTCTTGTTGGATCCATCAAAACAGTGATCGGTCACACCGAAGGCACAGCGGGCCTTGCTGGATTGTTGAAGGCGTCCTTGGCAGTCCAGCACGGGATTGTCCCTGCCAATTTGCTCTTTGACGAACTCAGCTCCACCGTGGAACCGTTTTATGAAAATCTGCGCATTCCAACTCAGGGAACTCCCTGGCCTACCCTGCCAAAGAATGTACCTCGTCGAGTTAGTGTCAACAGCTTCGGGTTTGGCGGTACCAATGCCCATGCAATCATCGAGAATCATGTACCTGCCCATTCAGTCAAGAAAGCCGATCCCGCCTCCACTGTTATTCCATTTGTTTTCTCTGGAAGTTCCAATGCGTCTCTCGTGTCTCTTTTGAATTTGTACGCATCGTTTCTTCAGAATACTCCAACCATCAACCCGCAAGACTTGGCCTGGTCTCTCCACGCGCGAAGAACCCAGCTTCCCTTCAAGCTTGCAATTTCAGCCAGAGACACCGACAGTCTGCAAAGAAAGCTCCAAGAAACGATCAAGGCTAGTGGTACAAGTTCGGAAGCGACGGTCGGCGTTCGCACAGCTGGATTATCCTCTCATGGGCGGCGTATTTTGGGAGTATTCACAGGCCAGGGCGCTCAATGGCCCGGTATGGGTAAACATCTCATCGAACTGTCAGGCTTCTGCAGAGATTTTCTTTCCACACTGGAGGGAAGTCTGAATGATCTCCCTGAATTTGAACGGCCTAGTTGGTCGCTGGTTGGCGAAATGTTGGCCCCCGATGAAACTAGCCGAGTCCGCGAAGCATCTATCTCACAGCCCTTATGCACGGCAGTGCAGCTACTTTTGGTAGAACTGCTCCGCAGCGCTGGCATTTGGTTCACAGCTGTTGTCGGACACTCATCTGGTGAGATCACCGCAGCCTATGCTGCAGGATTCATCTCAGCGACAGACGCCATTCGTATTGCCTATTTCCGTGGGTTTCATGCGTCCAAGGCGCAAGGTGAAAACGGGGAGAAAGGTGGCATGCTCGCCGTCGGTACCTCGATGGAAGACGCTTATGAGCTATGTGACCTCCCGGACTTCCAAGGCCTGATCAAGATCGCTGCTTGCAACTCCTCCTCGAGTGTCACACTGTCCGGTAACGAAGAGACGCTGGCTCAGGTGCAAGTAGTGCTAGAGGATGAGCAGAAATTTGTCCGGCGTCTGTTGGTAGACAAGGCCTACCACTCGCACCACATGGTCCCTTGTTCGGCAGGGTATCTTGAATCTATTGAACGCTGCAAGATCACTGTTCACGATCAAGTGGACAATTCTTGCTCATGGTATTCCAGTGTGTATTCTGGCCAATTAATGCAGCCTAGCCATGAGCTGGGTAGCCGTTACTGGGTTGAGAATATGGTACGACCTGTTCTATTTTCGCAGGCCATCGAATCCGCCGTCTCAGCCATGGAAACATTCGACATCGCAGTGGAGGTAGGACCTCATCCTGCTCTTAAAGGACCTGCATCCCAGACTCTTGTAGAGTCCGGGTTGCAGATTCCCTACACCGGGACACTGCGCCGTGGGCAAAACGACATCGAGGGCATGGCAGATGCACTCGGTCAATTGTGGATCTCTGTCCCTGGGGCTACAGCGCTACAATCTTACGAAGAGTGCCTACAAGGCAAATTAACTCATCAGTTCGTCAAAGGATTGCCAAGTTACCCTTGGATGCATGATCGTTCTTACTGGCACGAGTCCCGGATCTCCAGGGCTCTACGAACACGGAAGCGGGTCGAACACGAACTACTTGGCCGCCAGAGTGTCCATGGAACCACACGCCAAGTCCAATGGTGCAATATATTGCGGGCCCTGGATATTCCGTGGGTCAGTGAACATCAGCTTCAGGGCCAATCCGTCTTTCCTGCGGCTGGATACATTGTCCTTGCAGTTGAGGCGGCTCGAACCATCACCGAGGGAAAACCCATACGGTTGATCGAAGTGCAGGATTTCATAATTCGGCAAGCCCTGACCTTTGCCACTGATAGCACCGAAGTCGAGACTATGTTCTCCTTGGCCGACGTTCAACGGAATGAACACCAAATCGACGCCTCGTGGGAATATCACGCCGCCTGGGGTAATAATCGCGAGGATATGGTGCTGTTGGCTGAGGGTCGGGTTACCGTCACTCTTGGAGAGAGCCAAGATGCAATACTTCCTACAAAGCCAGGTGATGTTCCCAACCTCAACTCTCTCGATTCGGACCGTTTCTACTCCACCATGGCGGATATTGGATATGGCTACTCTGGACCTTTCCGAGCTCTGTCCTCGCTGCGACGCAGTTTAGGAGCTGCTCGTGGACATGTAGCAAATGCCCAGACCGGGGAGCACAAGGGCCCGTACTTGGTGCATCCCGCTTCCCTTGACGCTGCGTTCCAATCTATCATCCTGGCCTTCTGTCTCCCCGATGATGGGCGCCTTTGGTCCCTTCATGTGCCCCTTCGCATGAAAAGAATGCGGATTAATCCGCATCTGTTTGCCACACAATCGCCAAATAACACACAAATGGAGTTCGCCTCAGCTCTCACCGATAACGAGGATTCTACCATTATCGGTGATGTTGATCTCTCGTTTCCTGGGATTGAAAACGTTGCGCTCCAGGTTGAAGGACTGCAGTGTGTGCCATTTTTCCCCGTCACCCCAGCAGACGACACTCCGATGTTTACTACCGTTGAGTGGGTAGAGGCGGCTCCTAATGCAGAAATTGTTACCTTTGACGGACAGCATACAGAGGAGGAACTAGACATCGCCATCATTGCGGAGCGGCTGTCTCTCTACTATATCCGTCTCTGGAATAAGGAGATCCCTGCCAGCCACCTCGCTCGAACAGAGGGCCCATACAAGGGTATGTTCAATTTTGGAGACACTGTTTTGTCTCGCGTCCGCGCAGGAGAGCACCCTTACGCAAAGAAGGAGTGGCTGAATGACACACCGGAAATCATCTCGAAAGTCAGTGCAAAATATCCAGACAGTCTGGATCTACAGATGATTCATGCTACTGGGCAAAACTTTGCCGCAGCGATTCGTTCTGAAACCACGATCCTTAACCATTTGAAGAAAGACAATTTATTGGATCGATACTACGAGGACGGGCTTGCCTTTCCAACTTACACCAAGTACCTCGCTCGAGTCGTGTCTCAGGTAGCCCATGCGTATCCACACTTGGATATTCTTGAGATTGGTGAGCCGCTTTTTCCCTTTCAATGATTCCAATGATGGCGGCAACTGACCTACTCCCAGGTGCTGGTACTGGCGGTGCAACCAAAGGCATCCTCAAGCAGATCTCTGGTAAATTCGATTCATATACCTTCACCGACATTTCCTCTGGATTCTTCGATACGGCTAAAGAACGATTCACTAGCCATGCGGATAAGATGGTCTTCAAGGTCCTGGATATCGCAAACGACCCAATTCAGCAGGGATACAAGCCGCAAACTTATGACTTGGTTATTGCATCCTTTGTCCTTCATGCGACAGTCAACCTCGAAAAGACAATGAACAATGCTCGTCGTCTGCTGAAACCCGGAGGATATCTGCTGCTTCTGGAAATGACCAATAATGACCCCATCCGCACCGGTGCCATTTTTGGTACCCTTCCTGGTTGGTGGCTTGGGATGGACGACGGTCGTGTTCTGTCTCCTTGCATTACTGCTGCTGAATGGGATTCGCTGTTGTGGCAAACAGGATTTGCTGGAATCGACACTTTAACACCTGACCTTAATCCTCTCCCATTCCCTTGTTCGCTCATTGCCGCCCAGGCCGTCGACGATCGGGTGAGCTTCCTTCGTCAACCACTGGCTACGCCAGCCGCTCTGCTCCCTACTGGTCTCCCAATGGCAGAGCTTGTTATTGTCGGTGGCCAGTCGACCAAGGCATCTCGTCTTGTTGGCGAGCTTCGGATGCTACTACGTTACTACTGTGACAAAGTGACATGGGTTAAGGATGTCTCAAAAATCAACAATAATACTATCTCGTCTTCCAGCGTGGTCCTGTCTCTGACCGACTTTGACGGCCCGGTGTTTAAGTCACTCACACCAGACGGGTTCGAAGGTCTAAAGACGCTGTTTGGTGAGGCTGGCAGGGTGCTTTGGATTACACACAACTCACGACTTGAGCCGTGGACGAATATGCTTGTTGGGTTTGGACGGACCCAGCTCTGGGAGAATCCGCGGCTGACGCTGCAGTTGATTGATATCCCCACCCTAAATGAGTGCAATGGTCAATTCCTAGTTGAGAATCTCCTTCGGTTTGCTGTCGTCAGTCTCTGGTCTGAGAATGAAAGCAACACCGATGTCTTCTGGCCCTTGGAGCCTGAATTGGTCTTTGAGAGTGGGAAGAGACTAGTACCGCGCATGGTCTTGGACCAGAGCCGCAATGACCGGTATAATGCATCCAGAAGAGATATTCATAATATTGTTGACTTGCAGGAGCAGCCAGTTGTCATTGGGAAATCAGGAATTGACTCCTCGAACGTTCTTCGAGAAGCACACCTGCCCACCGTCCGTGGGACAAGCCAGGGGATCACGGTCAGCGTTACGCATTCAACATTACTTCCCTTCAGGATTAACTACATGACTTATTACCTCGTACTGGGTAGCATCTATGGCACTGCTCGCTCGGTTGTCGGGCTGGCGATGGCGAACGGTTCCGCGTCAAGAGTTGACGAAGGCCTTTACCTTCCTTGTGATGTCCCTAGAGGAAACGAAAGCTCCCTGCTCTCAGTTTTGGAAAGCCACCTAATCGCTATAAGTATCTTGTCAAGCCACGATCCAGGGGAAAATCTCGTGGTGCATGAGCCAACCCCGATGCTGGCAGCAGTGCTCTCTCGCTACGCAACCGCTGGTGGAAAGTCGGTGGTATACACATCACGGAGTCGACAGGAAGATACATCCATCCGATACATCCACAATCTTTTGTCTACCCGCGAAATCACGGAGCGCCTTCCAAAGGGCCCTTCCCTTTTGATCAACTTGACAGAAAATTCCTCAGTATTCCCTTCCATTCCACATGATTACCGGCACGAGGGCCTTTACTCGATTCTCCAGAAGGGCATATTGTTGCCAAACCCACTACTAAGCCAGGTGTCTAGCGTACCGGATATACTGTCTGCTGCCGTAACGGAATCAAAAGACGGGGCATACACTACAGAGGGACTGGAAGTCATTTCCCCTGCGGACGTGTGGTCGCGCGACCCTAACCGCCTTCGGGCGGTCGTTGACTGGACTTGCACAAACATCGTATCCGTGACTGTCGATCCTATAGACACCCTCATAAAGTTTGATACCGACAAGACCTATTGGCTTTGCGGACTTTCTGGATCTCTCGGTGTCTCTCTGTGCCAGTGGATGATCCGACGCGGCGCAAGGTACATCGTCCTGTCGAGCAGACGGCCCCAGGTTAGCGATGAGTGGCTTCGGAGTATGAAAGAACTGGGAGCAACAGTCAGAGTGATTCCTTGGTAAGTTATACTTTTCGCGACCTGATCCCTACAAATGCACTCCACTGGGGCCAGTGACATAATTAACAATCGGTCAGTGATGTTACGAGCCGGATTGACGTTGAAGAGGTTTACAATACGGTTAAGAACAGCCTCCCTTCAATTGCTGGGGTGGCTCAAGGAGCCATGGTTTTGGAAGATACGACCACCAGGGAGATGACCTTTGAAACATTCATGAAGGTCGTTCGACCAAAAGTGGAGGGCGCGATCAACCTGCAGGCTGTGCTCTCAAACGTGGACCTCGATTTCTTTGTCTTCTTCTCTTCAACTACTGGAGTCATCGGCAACTTTGGTCAATCCAATTATACCGCAGCCAACGAATTCCTGGCTAGTCTGGCTGCTCAGCGCCACTCAGCTGGCCTGGCCGCCTCCGTTATTAACATTGGTCCAGTTCTGGGCGTGGGATACGTCGCCCGGGAGGCAAGCCAGGCCGTACAGGATGATCTCCGTCGCAGCGGTTTTATGTTTGTCTCAGAGAGAGATGTCCATCAGCAATTTGCAGAGGGTATTTTGTCTGGTCGCCCCGGCTGGGGCAATGCATCGAGGTTACTACAGGACTTCGGCCGGTCAACGGAGAAGCAACACATAAGCCTATTTGGTTTGAGAATCCCAAGTTCGGTCATCTAGTGAACCGAGAGTCCTCGTCAACCGTAGCCACGGATGGTGCTAAGTCCGAATTGTCTGTCAAAGGACGCCTGGCGAAGGCTAGCGGAACTGAAGAGGCACGGTCGATTATTCTGGGTACGTACTGAGAAATTCGTTACTTGCAAATATTGCCACTGACAACATGCAGAAAGCTTGGTCCAGAAACTTGAGACTTTGCTCCAGCTGGAAGTGACCGAGTCTGGGGGTCTCGAAGCAGTTGCTTCACTGCGCACCGATGAAATCGGTGTTGATTCTCTCGTTGCCGTCGAAATTCGCTCATGGCTGCTAAAGAACCTACAAGTCAATGTGCCAGTTTTACAGATCCTCAGTGGAATCACCATTGGAGATATCGTGAGCCATACACTTCAAGATCTCCCCGAGGAGCTGATCGCGAACGTGTCGAACCCCTCCCCGGCAGAAGGCACGCCCAGTGAAACTTCTGAAGGACAAAGCCATTCCATGCCAGAGTCCATTCCCGCGCTGGAGACTGCGTCTGCACATGCTGAGTCCTCGTCCGGTGCCTCCGCTATAACATCCCCCGAGCCAGAACCGGCGGCAATAATGATCAAGAAGCGTCAAATCGTAAGGGAAGAACCTCTTTCCTTTTCCCAGTCCATGTTTTGGTTCGTGAAAAATTATATCCATGATCCGACCACTTTGAACCATACCGGGGTCTTTCATCTGACCGGCGACTTACGAGTTCATGATGTAGAACGAGCCGTTGCGATAGTCACTCAACGCCATGAATCTCTGAGATCGGGCTTTTACATGAATTCGAGCCAGGATATTGTCCAGGGAGTCATGGAGACCTCAATCATTGGGCTGGAGAAGAAGAGCATTAATCAGGTCTCCGACTTGTGGGAGGAGTTTAAACGCCTGAAGGCACACGTCTATCGAATTGAGGACGGCGAAACCATGCGTGTCCTGTTGCTTTTTAATATCTTGACCAGGGAAAACTACTTGATGATTGGATGTCATCATATCAGTTTCGATGGTGTCAGCCAACAAGTCTTGATGTGTGATTTAGAGAAAGCATACAATGGTCAGCAACTTGGGCCAGAGCCTCTTCAATTCCCAGACTATGCAAAGAGTCAACGACACGACCAAATGTCCAACAAATGGGCTGCCCAGATTACATTCTGGAAGCAGATATTCCCGGAAAGCCCTCCGGCTCTGCCATTACTTCCCCTGACTGAGCTCACAACGAGACCGCCAATAGACAATTACAACGTCCATGCAGTCTCGGTACGTCTCGAGCTCCCCTTTTGTAAGACCATCCGATCTGTGTGCCGCAAATATAGCTCGACTCCATTCCAATTTTACATGGCTGCATTCACGGCCCTTCTCCATCGCTACACGGGGTCGGACACCATTTGCCTTGGGATTGCAGATGCAAATAGAAACGATGATGGTGCGATGGAGAGCATCGGTCCGTTCCTCAATTTGCTTCCATTGATTTTCCACATCAGTCCTCAGCAGAAATTCTATGAGCTACTGAGAGAGACACGCAGCAAAGCATACTTGGCATTGGCTAACGGAGCTGTGCCATTCGAGGTCCTACTTCAAGAACTTGGTGTTTCAAGAGATGCAACTTACAGCCCACTATTCCAAGCTTTCATTGACTATCGCCAGGGGGCCCGTGAAAGACAGGCCTTCGGAAATTGTCAGATGGAGTTGTTGCGCTTTGAGCCCGGGAAAGCTGCATACGATATAAGCTTGGATATAATTGACAATCCCGGCGGCGACTGCCTGATAACGCTCTACGTCCGAGAGAGTCTGTACAGCCGTCACGCGGCCGAGGTCTTGACTAACAGCTATGTCGAGATTCTTACGGCCTTTTCCAGCCAGCCAGATAGCACTTTAAACCAGCCCAGGCTCTTCAAGAAAGTGGACATTGAAAGAGCCATTGGAATTGGAACTGGTGAGTGTATTTGACTATCTCCTAACGATTGTTCTGTCCGTGCAGCCTAATTATCTTGACTCTAGGGCCGATTATCCCTTCCAGTTGGAGCTCAACCCTGGCGCATCGTGTATGGGAGATTGTTGGGAAATTTTCCGGGGACCTTGCTGTGAAGGATGGCAGAGGCACAGTTCTTACATATGACGATATGGGACAACGTGTGATGTCGATCGTTTCTGCACTTCTGGATGCTGGAATTGACAAAGGACAGCGGGTCGCTGTATATCACGAGCCCACTGCTGATATTGTGTGTTGCTTGCTCGCCGTGCTACACATCGGAACTATTTATGTTCCCCTCGATCGCAGTATGCCCACGTCTCGACTGGCTGCCATCGTCTCTAATCTGGATCTGAAAGCCATTTTGGTAGACAAGGAATCTGTCGAAGATGTCTCCAGTTTTAATACTCGTGATGTACCACTGGTCATCGACACATCGCAGATTACTTCAACCAACAACACTTGGCATCCCATTGCTGCATCTCGCGATTGCGTGGCGGCGATTCTACATACGAGTGGCTCAACAGGAGTACCCAAGGGGATCATGCTGACGCATCGCAATCTTTTGAATGAAGTCGAGTGCTCCTCACGGGTGTATGAATTTGAACGAGAGACCGTTTTACTACACAGCGCACTAGGATTCGACATGTCGCTGACGCAAGTTTTCACGGCCGTTGCCTACGGGGGTACGTTAGTTATAGCGCCACGCCAGTACCGAGGTGACGCGCTCGCTTTAACGCAGCTTGTTATCGACGAGAATATTTCTTTCACTGGCGCCACACCCTCTGAATATCTGAATTGGCTCACCCACGGAGACATCTCTCGCCTGCGAACTTGTAAGTGGAACATCGCCCTCGCGGGTGGCGAACAAGTTACGGAATCCCTGTTGAAGCGCTTTAATTTCCTGAATCGACCGAGCCTGCGATTATTTAATGCCTACGGGCCAACTGAAGTTACTTGTTCATCCAACAAGACGCAAGTGTCGTATTCACCATCCGATATCATGGCGCTGAGTGGAAATCGAATTGCCGCTGGTCCGCCTAAGCCGAACACCACAGTGTATATTCTTGACGATAATCTTCAGCCACTTCCCGTGGGGATGTCAGGCCAAATTGCAGTCAGCGGAGCCGGCGTCTCGGCCGGATACATCAATGACGATAAATTGACACGCGAGAAGTTTGTAGTCGATCCAATCAATTCAGACGGCAACTCCCCAACTCGCATGTATCTTACTGGCGATGTCGGAAGATGGCGACAGGACGGAACTCTGGTTGTTGAAGGCCGGATTGCTGGGGACACCCAAATCAAACTGCGAGGTCTCCGGATTGATCTCCAGGATATCGAACGAGCAATTATGGATGTGTCAAGCGATGCTTTGACGAATGCGGCCGTTTCTTTGCGCAGCGCCAATGACTCCGAGGTGGACTTTCTGGTTGCCTATGTCGTATTCTCAAATTCATACCCAGACGAGAAACGTGACGAATATTTGAGTAAGGTCCCGTCAATGCTTCCACTGCCCCAATATATGTGGCCGGCAGCGGTGGTCGCTATTGAGGAGCTACCCATGAATTTGTCGATGAAGATGGACAGGGGATATCTCAATGCTCTCCCCTTGTCCGCGGGCAACTGGCCCCATCATCCAGTGGGCCAAGGAAATCTTACTGCAACAGAGCAGAAGTTGCACAACACCTGGAAAAAGGTGATCCCAAGAGATATTGCTCGGCAGAGTATCTCAAGTGACACAGATTTCTTTCTAGTTGGAGGCTCTTCCCTACTGCTCTTGCACCTGCAGGCAAGAATTCGCGATGATTTTGGGACTACTCTGCCATTGATCCAATTGTTCCAAGCCAGCACATTGCGCCTTATGGCGGGAAAAATTGAATTCAATCACTCTTCCACGGTACTTGAGCATATCGACTGGGAGCGTGAATCTTACCCAAGTCCGGATATCCAGATTCAAGCCTCTTCTGTGGCTCGCTCAGTGACATATCCCGCTAGAGTAGTGGTGCTAACCGGCGCCACTGGGTACGTTGGAACCGGCTTGCTGCGGGCCTTGCAAGATGACACTAACATCACCACCATCCATTGCATCGCTGTCAGAGGCGGCAAAGACCGGGATCTGCCCAAGGGCTCTTCCAGCAAGGTCCTCATTTTCGACGGAGATCTCACTCAGCCGAAGTTGGGACTTTCCGACGCGGAAGCTGATAGAATTTTCAACACAGCAGACGCAATCATACACAATGGGGCCGATGTTTCTCATCTCAAGTCCTACCGCAGTCTGAAGGCTGCAAATTTTGAGGCTACTTCAGAGCTCATCCATTTGGCCCTGGGCCGTCACATACCCTTCCACTTTGTCTCCACTGCGGGCGTGACCTTCTTTACCCAGCGAGCCGTCTTTGGAGAGGAGTCCGTGTCGTCTTACCCGCCGCCTGCAGATGGGCTTGACGGGTACACATCTTCCAAATGGGCGAGTGAACGTTATCTTGAGAAGATTCATGACCGGTTCGGACTCCCAATTACGATTTATCGGCCAAGCAGTATCTCCCATGAGGATGACACGGAAACTCTCGAGCTGATGCCGAACCTTCTCCGCCTCTCCCGAACACTGAAGGCAGTACCGGTCTCACCTCAACTCTGCGGTAGTTTGAACGTCGTTGCACTAGAAACAGTTGTTGGCGGGATCATGAATGAACTTCGCTTGTCCCCGTCGGGTTCGAACCCAAAATTCAAATATGCCAATCTGATTGGGAGTTCTGACATTCCTTTCTCGGAGTTAAAGGAATATATTGAGAGGGAGACGGGAGTTGAAGCCCAGGTTCTCCCCCCTGCCGAATGGGCGAAGAGAGCAGAGAGACTGGGTCTTCCAGCTGTGGTCGCGGCGTTTTTTGCAAATCTTGAGAAAAGCGACGCCGTGGTTTTTCCTAGGCTTACACATGGGCTCTGACTTGCGCATGTATCTAGTTGAGGAATGGACCTAGAGCATGCGAGATGAGTTGCTCGTTTAGAAATCCATGTTATAATATTCCAAGAACTACCTATAGGGGAAATTTTTGACCCTAATCGGTCTATTCTGGCTACAGGTAATAATTCTAATAATCCATATTTATCGTACAAATAAGGAATACTAATTTCTAGCCCGTCATTCCCTCGCGTATTATCCGACGTTACGACTCACTACAACTACTGGGTATGTTGATGGAATAAAATACGCCAAAATTCCACTAAAATTCCACTAGGCCACAAAAACCATGGTTCTTGTTGAGGGCCTACAATACAGGGAAGCCCGTATCCCAGTTTGACATATGTAAATACGTTAGGGATCGGACCCCGCGGACCCCGAGAGGATTTTCAGCCTGGCCAAGACACCAAAACCATCAGCAGTGCAGCCCGCGGACCCCGGGGTAGCCGCATGACCACCCGTGGACTCCAACTCTAAAACAGCCGCATATCTCGATGGTTAGGAATTATCTTCGTTCCCTCCCCAACACAGTGTATGGATCGTACACAATCAAATTAGAGCAAAGTTGACTCTATGCTCGCCTAAGGGGGTTCGCCTGAATATCTACAATGGAGAAAGAATCCGTGAAAGATAGATCAGATGAACAGGGAGTTGAGGAACAAACAAATGCATTTGGTGGTTACCTGGTAGGAGCACCCCCTCCCATCGCAGGCTCAAAGGCTAACACCAAGAAGAGGATCTTTCAGTATGGCTCGTCCAAGGTGTATACCATGCAGGGCATTGCCACTGCCTGCGCACTGGGGTCCGGGGTCGGCATGGCTCTTGTCAATCTAGTGTTTGGCCAGTTCATCACACTCATCACTGACTACACGTCGGGTCGTTCAGATCCTGCGAGGTTCCGAAGCGAAGCAGGGAGACTCAGGTATGTGCCCTGCGTTCAATCCAGATCAGCAGAAGAAACTAACATAAAGATAGTCTCTACTTTTTTGTCATTGGCCTTTGCCGATTCTTTCTCACTTATGGATACAGCTCACTGTTTACATTTGCCGCATACCGGATCACGCGAAATATTCGCCGCCTGTACCTGAAAGCAGGTCTGAGCCAGGAAATTGCCTTCTTTGATTCTGGCACTAGTGGATCGATTGCCGTGCAAGCTACCTCTAACGGACGATTGATTCAGAGTGGAATATCGGAAAAGCTGGGCCTTGTTGTCCAGGGCCTGTCCACTTTTATATCCGCCTTCGTGCTGGCATTTGTCACTCAATGGAAGTTGACTCTCATTTGCTGTTGTATTGCCCCAGCAATGCTTCTCGCCCTAGGAATCAGCTCCGCCATTGAAGCTTCTATTGAAACAAAAGTTCTCAAAGTTCACGCGCAGGCTGGAGCTTTCGCAGAGAGTATTTTGTCAAGCTCTCGGACGGTACAGGCGTTCGGACTTCGGAAACAACTGCTACGCGACTTTGACAAATTCTTGCAAGCTTCGAGGAACCTCGGAAACAAGAAAAGCCCTCTTTTTGGCTGTCTATTTGCCACGGAGTACAGCATCATCTTTGCAGGGTTTGGCTTGTGCTTTTGGCAGGGTATAAAAATGGTATCGACTGGGGAAGTGGCGCAATCCGGAGATATTTTCATGTTTGTTCAATCTTAATCATTTCACAGCTGATAATGCTAATCATGGTAATTTCAGTGTGCTCATGTCTGTCATTGTGGCAGCTACAAGCTTGACAGCTATATTGCCTTATGTGATTGATTTTGTCCGCGCTGCCTCTGCAGCGACAGAGCTATTCCAGCTCATGGACCGGACGTCGAGAATTGATCCGTTCGACGAGTCCGGAGAAAGACCGACAGATGTTACGGGATATCTCGATTTTGATGGCATTTCGTTTGCTTACCCTACGCGCCCTGACGTCAAGGTGTTGAATGATTTCTCATTGCATATCCCTGCCGGAAAGACAACCGCGCTCGTCGGAGCAAGCGGGTCTGGTAAAAGCACCATCGTCGGGCTGATCGAACGTTGGTACGATCCTTTGTCGGGAACGATCAAGCTTGACGGCCAGACTATCGAGACGTTCAACCTCAAATGGCTACGCCAGCAGGTTAGACTTGTTCAACAGGAGCCCGTTTTGTTCGCTGGAACAGTTGCCGAAAATATCGCCAATGGCCTTGTGGGCACACCGTGGGAGAATGAATCCGCAGCCGAGAAGCTGGCCCGGATACAGGACGCTGCTAAAATTGCTTTCGCCCATGATTTCATCACGGAGCTTCCCAATGGGTATGATACTGTCATTGGGGAGAGAGGTGGGCTATTATCCGGTGGTCAAAAACAGCGGGTTGCAATTGCTCGCAGTATTGTTTCCCAGCCACGAATTCTTCTTCTGGATGAAGCAACGAGCGCACTTGATCCTCATGCCGAGGAAGTCGTGCAACGGGCACTAAACAACGTTTCGAAGGGACGCACAACGATTACCATTGCACACAAACTAGCCACCATAAGAGATGCTGATAATATTGTCGTCATGGAAAATGGCCGTATTCTCGAACAGGGCACGCATAAATCGCTTTTGGAATTGAATGGCGCCTACGCACGCCTAGTGCAAGCCCAGGATTTGTCTGTGGCCGCGCAGGACCCCGAAGATGTGTTGAATAGCTCGGATGAAACAGACAAAGAAGACCATGTTGCACTGACTGGTGAATTGACCCGGTACTCGACTAAGACGAGATCCGCTTTGGAGAAGCAGTTGAGTCGGGATGATTTTGACAATTGGAAAAGATTGGGGCTTCTTCACACAGTCTGGAGATTGGTGAAATCGGCCCCTGAGCTGAATTGGACTTTCGCGATTCTGATTCTGTCTTGTCTCGCTGGAGGTGAGGCTAGCATTTTTAAGCCCAATTCCCGCGAACTGAGACTGACCGAATTGTAGCTGCGTCTTTCCCTGGCCAGGCTATTTTGATGTCGAGGTTTATCGAAGTATTTCAGTTCACAGGTGCAGCTATGCGGACGAAAGGGAACTTTTTCGCTCTCATGTTCTTGGTTCTGGGACTTGGAGCTTTCGTCGTCTACTTCGTTGTTGGGTGGACATCAAATGTTGTGGCACAGGTAAATCTCTTCCAGTGGTATATGAGTATATCTTGGCTTGACTAACTCATCCAGACAATGAACCACAAATACCGGAAGCAAGTCGTTAACGACATGATGAGGCAAGACCTGCAATTCTTTGATCGAGCCGAGAACACCACAGGGGCACTGACCAGCCGTGCCGACTCTTATCCACAGGCGGTGTTTGAGCTTATGGGGTTTAATGTCGCTCTGATACTGGTTGCAACGGTCGGTGTATTGTCATGCTCCATCCTAGCACTGGCATACGCATGGAAGCTCGGTCTTGTTATTATCTTAGCAGGACTTCCACCCATGCTCCTTTCTGGTTACGCTCGCATCAGAATGGAGGGTGCAATGGACCACAAAATTTCAAAGATGTTTTCCGGAAGTGCATCCATTGCCTCAGAAGCCGTGACGGCTATCCGGACGGTATCTTCCCTGGCGATTGAGACGTCAGTTTTGGAGCGATACACCAAGGAGCTTGACCGGGCGAATGTGACATCTACGAAGCCAGTGCTTCTCATCATGCTCCCCTTCGCATTCACTCAGACTGTTGAATACTCTTTCCTGGCTCTCGGTTTCTGGTATGTTTGACGTATATGTCCCATATGCTCGAAGTGGCTTGTTCTCTGTTTGATGACAGGATGCTAACCACCGGATCGTCCCTAGGTATGGATGCCGTCTTGTCTCATTTGGAGATGTGAGCATGGTGAACTTTTTTATCAGTTTCCTAAGTGTGTTCTTTTCTGGCCAGCAAGCTACAATCCTTTTTGGCTTTTCGAGCAGTAAGATGCATTCCAAACCTGTGTGGGAGGCGAAAGTGAGTTGCTCACAGAGATACAGGCATGACAAAGGCAACAAATGCTGCCAATTACATATTTTGGCTGGAGGAGCTCCATCCTACCATTCGAGAGACCGACGAAAACCGTGACGTTGGCCCTGGCGACCTCAAGTCTCTGCATTTAGAAAACCTGCAATTCTCTTACCCAATGAGACCTCACGCTCGAGTACTGCGTGGCATTGACCTTCACGTATGTCAGCCCAACTTGTCCTCTTTTTAATCCTGTCCTCTGCTCTACCAACTTGACGTCATATAACTGTCCTTGTTCGCTGCTAATATATTGTATAGATCGAAAAAGGTCAATTTGTCGCATTCGTCGGCGCATCTGGCTGTGGAAAAAGTACGATGATTAGCATGCTTGAACGCTTTTACGATCCAGTAGCCGGTCACATCAAAATCGACGCCCTTACATTGGATAGCTTGAATCCGTGGCTGTACCGAGGTCAAGTGGCACTTGTGCAGCAGGAGCCCACCCTCTATCCCGGCACCATTCGGGAAAACGTCGCCATGGGGACCCCGACTGATGACGGATCAACGGTTCCTGACAGCGATATTGAAGCTGCGTGTCGGGCTGCCAACGCGTGGGAATTTATCTCTTCTCTGCCTGACGGCCTTATGACTCTCTGTGGGGCGAATGGGACACAGCTGTCTGGTGGACAACGTCAGCGCATCGCCATTGCCAGGGCACTACTCAGAAATCCACGTTTACTCCTACTTGATGAAGCAACAAGTGCTTTGGATACTCAGTCGGAGAGAATTGTCCAAGATGCGCTGAATGAGGCCGCTTCCCATGGGGATAGAATTACGATCGCGGTTGCCCATCGCTTGTCTACTATTCGCCATGCCGATATGATATGCGTTTTTGATGGGGGCAGGATCGCTGAGTCTGGAACTCATGAGGAATTACTGATGAAGGGCCGACTTTATCCGAAAATGTGCGAGGCTCAGAACCTCGGCACTTGATGAAGCATCCCATCTTCTGCTCCTTCTAAAGCCACGAGTTTGAATTTGCTATATATGTAAGTACTTGGAATAATCGAAGGCGATGATGGGCTGATTAGTGGACAAGCGCAGATAGATAATGTAATTTAATTGAAGCGAATATATACTCAAAGCCGTTCGAATATTTGCCCATATACGTACAATGTCCAAAAGCCCCATATATCTTAGTCTCAGCGACCTGTGCCCTGGCCATGAGCATCCTTTCTATTCTCTCCAAGGTTGTAGATTCTTCACATGTCGTACAATTCACTCTCCGAAGAACCAATGCTTCTTATTCCGTTGAGATTGATGTCCTCACATTCCCGCTGAGGGGAACGTGGGCAGACATGACATTACTCCAAGATAAAGGGCCCGAGTCAAACTCACCAAGGCTAGCTAATTCGAGTTTCTCGATATAAAATGACGTCCTCCCCCCGCGTTCGCTGCCGTCTTTCGGGTCAGCGAGCCACCTCAGCGGCAATTGCATACAACCATTGCAGGGGCAAATCCTTGATCTGATAAAGCTCGGGATGGATTCCGTTTCTTGTCCAACTATCAATTGTATGAGCCAGTCTGATTAGACACATCAGGTATGGGGGGGCCTCGGACAACCCCAAGATTCCGCGTCAGATCGGGTGGTAGCTACAAAACGTCGCCGAACGAAATGCCAGAGATTAAAAAGCTACGAGGGCATCTACAAGCCGTCAGGTGGCCTTAATATAGTAATCGATAAGGTTGTTGAAGGATATAGTAAGTATATGAGGGTAGGGTAGTAAGTCTGGACAAAAGCCCTCGAAACCTTCATCTCGCCTGTTGTCGTTTCCCAAAAAGCCGATAATTTGATTTTGTTGAGACAAGCTATCTTCCGATTCCTGGATTGTGAGGTTTAGCAGCCAGCAGATCACTTCTAGAGTGTAGTTCGGTTGCTTCTGCTGGTACTCAGATTGCTATGTAGCAACTTCCTTTACTGGGGTCAGGCACTGTGTAGGGCCCAAAATATTGTCTCTTTTCCTCATTGACCGACTTCAGTATAGGTGGGACGGGTGTTGAAGGTCGATTTGGATCTCTAATATCTCTGGATTTGCTCATCAGGTAGGCAGCATCGCCCAAGTTACCACAGTTATCGAAAGCAGATTCCTCCGGTTTCCATGAAAAGGAAACGTCTTCGAGATCCAAGATCACCACACTCCCGTTGTCGCAAATCATAAAATTATCCGGTCTTAGGTCTGAATACTCCGCCCCGTATTGATTCAAAACAGAGAGAGCTTCTTTAAGATGACTTTGCAACATGTCCTCTCGGACTTCGACCCCGTTGCGAGGAAGCTCAGATACTGTGGATCCAGCAACCTCTGACAAAATAAGCGCAGGAATTCCGTTGAGCGAGCCTTCACCAAAAAGTTGGGGAATGACTGTTCCTTGAAGGTACTCCAGTGTCCTGTAGGCTTCTTTCTCGCGCTGAAATTCGGCGGCCCATCCGTCCTTCTGTCGCTTAACAATGATCGACTTGACATTGTGAGGTAGAGCATTGTGACATGAGGATGGCTCAGTCTCAAGGCGGAGTACAGTGGGACGTCGTTGGTCTAGAGCCTTGAGCGTTCGCGCGGCGATGATGTAAATAAACAATCTAATCCCTACGTAAGCTTGATAACTTGTCAGGTCTAGAAGACCTAGCTTACATTCGAAATATATGATTCAGGCATAGGCGCGTTGAGGATGGAAGCTAGGAGAAGAGAAACAAACAAGGGGAGGACATAAGAAACCTGAGGAGTTCCCAGACCTCCAAGGCTCCGTCTCCCCGTGGACTGCCTAGGGGGGTAGGCGGCTGATTACTAAGACAGGAATAGTCAGGTGCTGGCCAGCTGGGCAGCCCTGGAGGATTATCATGATTCATAATGCATTGAAATATGGTTAAAAAGTGCTGGCAATAGTCTCAAATCAGTACACTGTCAAACAACTCACGGCGCCATTCTTGAGAACTTCAAATAAAAGCCCCGGGAACCCAAAGAGCTCGGTGTTGCCCAACCCCCCCATCCTGCCCATCTGGACCACCCCGAGGACCTTTGGCCGTGGTCTCCTCCCAGCCACCGAGAAACTCAACGCTACTCTCAGGGCTTTCTCCCCAGCCACGGTTCAGCACCATTGGCCGTTGCAGAGCACGCTCCTCGGCGGGGCTGGCATAAGATCCTTTCCAAGTAGTACGCAGCCGTTCTGAGATTTCATCATAGGGCGATTCCGAAGTCAGACAGTCGCCAGATTCATCCAAGGAAATTAGCCAGCGACTTCGCCGGTGACGATTAAATGGATAAGAACCCGGCACGTTCCCATGGAGAATAATCTTGGTCACTGTCAGCTGGGAAGACGGTGGCTGGGGCGATGGATCTGGACGGCCTGAGTCGGGGAAGGCAGGTCCAGGTGTTGTTGGATACGAGATGAAGGCATCGAACCCATGGTGGAAGTAGTTGAAAAAGCATTCTGCGGGCAGTGAGGTGGGGTCTCCGATATTCAAGGTAGTCATCTCTTCGTCAGAATCATCAGTTACGCTGTTAGTGGACGAGTGGTCGCCGTCCGGAATCTCGATTCCTCTGCCTGGAGAGGGACTCAAGTGCAGGTCCCCACCCCCAGCTGCACGATGAATCGAGATTCGGCGGTCATTCTTACGGTAGATTGCGTCGGGTGGGCCAAAGTCTGCAATCAAGTCCTGCGGAGTCGTCTCTCCCAGTGTTATGTACAATGGAGAGCCCGTCCTGCGAACCACTTCAAGTTTCCCAGCACCAAGGACATGCCACTCCTCGATTTCATCCGCCAGCGATTCTCGGGATTTACCAATCAAAGCCGACGAGCGTGGGTACTGTGCTTGTTGCGTGAACAACTTGGCTCGGACCTCGGGCCATGACGACCCTTGGAAGATTGACATGGATGTGGCCGGAAGGGCGGCCGAGGAGGATAGCAACGCTACAAAATCACACTGGTCGGACCAGGCGGAGTGCTGAAGGGGAAACGAGAATGCAACCCCGGGATACGAGAGTACGTAGGTGCCATATGGCGACTGTGGATCTGCTGGTGGTACATATTCCCCTGGGTATGATGGACCAAACAAGCGATTGTAGACGTGCCGGAAGCTAGGCCCATGCGAAGACAAGGGTTGTTCTGCTGACTTCCCACCTTTGAGCACCTCCTGGTTTTTGTATACCAAGTTTACTCGAGAGAAGTCAAGAACTTCGATCAAACGGAGCCTCTGGTCAGGACCGTCAAATCGAAAGCGCAGGCCATTTGACGGTAACTGCAATACCACCGGTTTGCGAAGGGGATCTGCGGGGGAGTAGGCTAGGTCGATAGCGGGATAGGTTTGGGGATAGGACTTGACGCGGGTGAGGACATTATGGAGCGAAGCTCCCAGGGCTTCCAGAGTATTAGCGAGAGTCGCCGAAAAGGCCGTAAGGCTTGACAAAGAGACATACTGATAAACCCGAGTCCTTTCCCAGGGAAGATTTGCGCCTGCGTTGGGGAAGTAGAAGTAGTCATAGTGAGCTGTCCGTTTTCATGGCCGGGTGACTATGGGTGGACGAAAGTCCATGAGAAAGTCGAGCTATGCTTGTTAGCTAACAAAAGGAGGCTCCGGAGGTGTAAGGAAGTCAACATGATATGAGGGGGGATAGCGATAAGATGATGACGATAGCGCAGCCGACCGAGTCATGTGAGAGGGGGAAATGACGATATTATGTAAGCTTTGTTTATGTTTTCCCGTTTGAGACAAAGCTCCACTGATATACACAACGCTGAAAGACTCCGACACAGCTGGTGAAAAGATCAAATCAACTTTCAAAATAACCCTGAGATATTACTGCTAAAGAATACTACGATCACGCTCCGATTGTCGCGTTGTCAACATGGCTGGCCCACCACGGCCACCATCCACCCTCCCCACCACGAGGAGATCGGGTTTGCGCCAACCAGTTCGACGAGCGGGTTCGGCAGCCCCAGAACGCCATGCAACGCCTGGAGTATCTACGCCGTCAGTGAGGCCATCTGCGATTAGCGCAGCGCGTGCGCCGAGGAGCCCTGAAAAAACGGGCGCTGCGAGTAGGAGGAAGGAGAAAGATTTTGACCGAGAAGTCAGCGAGGACACAAGCATTCATGTGGTGGTCCGCTGTCGCGGCCGCAGCGATCGGGAAGTGAAAGAGAACAATGGCGTAGTCTTGTCGACACCAGAAGGCGTGAAGGGCAAGACCCTCGATCTATCGATGGGACCGAACGCGGTTTCAAACAAGACATATGCTTTCGACAAGGTCTTCTCCCCGGCCGCCGATCAAACCACTGTCTACGAGGATGTGGTTGTGCCGGTCCTCGACGAGGTTAGTATAATCGCTGCATACGAAATCAAAGGCCCGCGCTAATTCCTTGCAGATGTTGGCCGGTTACAATTGCACAATCTTCGCATACGGACAGACTGGGACGGGAAAGACATACACCATGTCAGGAGACATGACCGACACATTGGGCATACTTTCTGATGATGCTGGAATTATTCCACGTACCCTTTACGCCCTGTTTCACAAACTCGAGGACACGGAAAGCACAGTGAAATGCTCTTTCATCGAACTTTATAACGAGGAACTCCGTGACCTTCTATCATACGACGATAGCACCAAGCTCAAGATTTTCGAAAATGAGAAGAAGGGAGGACACAGCACAATGGTTCAGGGCATGGAGGAGACTTACATTGACTCTGCGTCCACCGGAATCAGATTACTTCAAGCGGGCAGCCACAAACGTCAAGTGGCAGCGACGAAATGCAATGACCTGAGTTCCCGAAGTCATACAGTCTTCACCATCACCGTTCTCACGAATCGCAAGACCGAATCTGGCGAGGATTATGTTAGCTCGGGAAAGTTGAACTTGGTTGATCTCGCGGGTAGCGAAAACATTGGACGGAGCGGAGCGGAAAATAAACGGGCAGCAGAGGCAGGCCTCATCAACAAGAGTCTACTGACTCTTGGGAGAGTGATCAACGCTCTGGTGGATAAGAGCTCGCACATTCCTTACCGAGAGTCGAAACTCACAAGACTGCTACAAGATTCACTTGGAGGACGAACAAAAACATGTATCATCGCCACTGTTTCGCCTGCCCGAAATAACCTAGAGGAGACCATTTCTACCCTTGACTATGCCTTCCGAGCCAAGAACATCCGCAACAAACCACAGATTAATTCCACCATCTCCAAAAGCAAGCTTCTGCAAGATATCGGCATGGAAATTCAGAAGCTCAAGAGCGAGCTCATTGCCACCCGGCATCGCAATGGTGTCTATATGACGCCTGATGCGTTCGAAGAGATGACGATGGAAAGTGAGTCACGACGAATTGTCAACGAAGAACAGCGTGCCAAGATTGAGTCGATGGAGGCAAGCCTCCGCCACAAGGTCCAAGAGCTACTTGCAATCACGGGCAACTTCAACTCATTAAAGCACGACAATGAGGAGACTCAGTCCAAACTCAAAGAAACGCGCGACGTTCTCAACGAAACAGAAAAGTTTTGGAAGGATACCCAGGAGAAACTGGACGAGGAGAAGATTGTGCGGAAGGCCCATCAAAATACGGAAAAGCAACTTCGTCACATTGGGGCTGGCCTAGTGACCACTTTAAATGGCACCATTCAAGACGTGAATGGACTGCACGCGAAATTGGATCGCAAAGATAACTTGGAGATGGATAACCGGCAAACTTGGCAGACCTCAACCGGTGAGGTATCGCATGTCACAGAGCGCGTCGAGGCTCGCATGCAGATTTTCCAGACGCAGCACGCGAAGCTGCTAGAGGAGATGTCTGGCAAAATCCACCAATTTGTGGGCCATGAATTGGACACCGTGCAGTCCACCCGCTCCCACCTTAAGGATCTTGATGCCTCATTTGACAAGGCCGAGGCCGAGGCTAAGAATAACACATCCACTGCCCGCAACGAGATGAATGAAGTTCTCGAGGAGATTAAGGTCCTTCGAGAAGAAGTTAAATCCAAAGTTGGCGAAGGCCTGAATGGCTTGTCAGCTGCTGCTGCTCGGATCTCCGAAGAGGTTATTGGGGAGTTCTCGGAGTTCCACTCCCAACTTCACTCATCATACAGCACACTCGGCAAAGATTTCAAGACCATGTTTGATGGCATGGCAAAGCACCTTGATGAACAGAAATCCGAGGTTCACAAACTACGTCTCGAGCTGCAGGCAGCTAATCGCCAGACGGTAGAGGCCAATAGAAAGGCTTCATCCAATCTAGCACAGGTTCTAGAAGAGGAACACGCGAGTGCACAAGCCGAGCGCGAAACTCTTATGTCTCACATCCGGGGACTCCTCGAGGACTCAAGTCATAGACAAAACAACCGCCTTAAGGGCAAATTTGATACCCTCCGCACCGACATCTCAGCATCAGGCGACTCTCTTGAGCAAGCGACTGCGCGGCACGACAGACACATTGATGAATGGATTTTCAAGGAGGAACAGTTTGCCAAGGACATCACTGCATCCAAGGATGAAATCAAGACCAGGATGCAGAATGATTGGGAGGTAAGACCAGCTGATATTTTGGAGTTGCGAAACGGAACTAACGATAGTAGACTTTTGACCAGCGCAATGCCTCAATTCATCGGGCAACGGAGGCTGTGCACCAAGAGACTGTGCGGATTGTTGATGCTCAAATGAGCGATATGGGGACCCAAATGGAGGCTTTGGATGACTTCGTTGCCAAAGCACGGTCTCAGAATGGCCGCTTCCATGAATCACATCTAGGCAGCTTGGATTCCATGGCTAAGAATGTCCGAGAGTCCCGCTCAAACGTCTATGGGCAACTTGACGGGTTCACTGGGCGTGTCGAGCAACTCCAGGAGGATGTCGACATACATACCGAGAACCTGCAACAAACTACTGCACCTCTACATGCTGAAGTCCGCCAACCACTGTTAGAAATGCGGTCCAACATCCAGAGCCACCCCTTGAAAGAGTATGTCCCAACAGGTATAACCCCTCAGAAACGACGATACGAATACCCTTCGGAAATGCCCCAAACGGAAGCTCACGACGGTCTTCGCACTCGACACCGGACATCCAAACAGTTTACTGCTCTGCCATTCAGTGAGGTGGAACAACAGGATTCCCCTGCTCCCACTTCACCACAAAATTCACCGTCCAAGAAATTCGTGTATAATGATACCCCGGAAGAGGTAGGCCACTCTCTTCCATCATCCGCAGCCCCACCTTCCAACACTGGCCTTAGAGAAGTCGACATAAACGTCGCCAGACCGGTCGTGTCTGATGGTGACGGCGAACTACCTCCCACTAAGCCGGAAACCCCCCTTTGCCCACGTCCATGGAGCTGGACGAGACGCCAGAAAAGGAAGAGCCAGAACCTTCCCGCAAACGGCGTCGCTCGAACTCAAACAACAATCCCGAGACTAAACTCCCCAAGACCATGCTCTCAAAAAGGATGGTGGGCATGAAGGAGGGTCGGGAAAACATGCCCCCCACAGCCATCGCCGGTGGTCGAAGGTTCAGAAACCGCACCTCTGATTAGGTGGATTCCATGTTATTTGCTTGCATTTTGCATTTCTTTTTTTCTGGAAATTTTCGATACCCGATAGTCGCTGGGCTTTTTACTCTGGGTTGGAGTTTTTGGCTGAGAAAACAGTGTTGGGTTGGACATTCTCTTGTATCTCTTCTTTTGTCTGAGTGTTAGAAAGGCGATTGTACTTGGCGTTTCTGGTTTGGCTACATTGACGTTCCTATGGGAACGTCAGATCCGATCTTAATACCATACTTGATCTCCCAGTTTGTCCTGGTTTGTCTTCTAAAGTATGTTCATGGGGCTCGGCACTAGCCTATTAGTAGACTAGATAGACTAAATACAAACGCCGATGCTTCCCCGCGATGCGCCAAACAGCAATAACAAATCATCAAGAATGTTCCCCTTCAGCATATGCCGCACTATCCCTCTTGGTCTGAGTGGTCTCTTCGGCTATGTCGGGGGAGAAGGGATGCTGCACGAGTTTCTCCTCATCATGTTCTCCCTTGGAGTCCGCTGCCTCTGCTGCGTCGATAACAACCTGCAACTCGCTCATCCGCTTCGCAAACTGGTCCATCATCTCCTCAAGTGTGCCCTCCTTATCTTTTCCACCCACCTTAATCGGCAGTCCACCTGTGCCACGGATCTTCAACATCAAGCCATGTCCTGGTGACTCGCCAGGATTACCGTTCTCAAAAGTTGGCGCCGGCACCACTTCTGTGTTGAGAACCTGCCATGTTGATGAGAAACTCTGCGCCTCTGTAACGCGATATTGCGGGTGTAGCTGTCCGTGGTCCTGTGCCAACGCGGAAGGGTTCGCCGGTGACGAAGATATGGACCTGGTGCCACCTCCTTTGCCTGGCCCTACTTGTTCGGTTACCGGGCTGGTTTGTGCTGCCTCAGGTGTGTGTGGTGAGGGCTCTATGTCAAGGATGACATAATTTTCTCGAACGCCTGGAACGGGTGGTGGGAGTAGGGTGCTCTTGGCTAGGTCAGGGTTGGAGGAGTCTTTGGTCTCGTCCTGGAGATTCGATGCTTGGATTTGCGCGATCCGGTCTTTCTTAGAATCGGAAAGAGCTTCTTGCTGCGCGGCCAAGCTACGTATGGCTGCCTCTGTCACGATGTCGGTATCATCGTCAGAGAATATGTAGTGAACCGTTGGGTGATAGTAGTCTGAGGTATGGGCGTCTTCGATCAAGGTGAAGAACGGCTGGAATGCGGGGTGAGATAGAGGTTGCTTTTGGCCCTCCTCGGGGTGGTCTTTGGTTTCATCCATAACTCCATCTTGGCAGGCCGATGTAACTGTTCCTGGGGGTTGGTGAGTTTCGTCTGTTGATGGGCGGCCCTCAGGCAGTTGCCCTCTCGAGTGATCATGCGGGCGCGAAGAGGCGGTGCCTGGCCGAGAGGGTGTTTCTTTGTGCAGGGACTGCCGAGATGAGGATGAGGATAGAGGGGGGTGATAGGGAGAGTTGTTCAGAGACATCTCCATAAGCTGAAGCTACATCATTCCGGAGAAGCGCTTGGGATAGGATGAGGTTCTGTATCGCGTGCGGAGAGCTTCTTATCGATATCGCCACGTGATCAGATGAAACGTGATAGCTAGGGAGCGGTGTTGTTGATCTTGTATCGAATGACTTTGATATTGGTACATATATGAATTAATATTTTAGACGGCGTTGTCATTCCTTGTGTTTTAAGATGACAGGATTCTAGTTGGTAGGTTGCTTCCAAGGTTATGATATAATGATAACCAATCTATGGCTCGATCTGGAATATATACATTGACATGCCGAAGATCGAACACTATAAATGATATGCACTGGCAGTTTTAACCACTAAAGCGTACGTCGAGAAAATCCAAATACGCATGAATAACAGTCGTCCCAATAGAAATAGCCTCGATTTGTAAAATGAAGTATAAACTGGGATCCGATCTTGTGTCGATTGATCAAAATCGCTCCAACCACGGCATTAGTTTGATGAGTTGAGACTGGCGTCCCACCAACTCTTCCAATCCAAGTTTGTATGCCCAGTAAAAACACAAAGGGGTATCTAGTATTCGTCCGACAACGCCTTGATAATCATTGATGAGAAGAAAAAAAACACAAATTAGACCGTTATTCCTTGTCCTTCCATTCGAATTCTGGAGACAGTTAGCTCGATACCCCACAGAGAATGCAGAGAATGCATACTTTGTCGGCACATTGGACATAGTCCCTTGGAAGATTCCAGGTCAATCCAGGTCATTAAGCAATGCTGTTCCAAAAAAGAAGTTGATCAGTCCAGTCCTAGCTTAAGACGCTCAATCCGCAGTCTTACCATATGAAACGCGTGGTTACATCTTCCTTGCACTGTGATATACCCAACAGTCAGTATTTAGCATCTAGTCGGGAGTAGAAAGGCCACTCACCAAGGGCGCAGTCGTCGCCGGGGAATTTGCAGGTTGGACAAGTGCCGTCGAACTGAACACGACAGATGCCACACACTTCATCCTCAGGAATATCCCAATGCCAAGTAGCAACGGCATTCCATTCTTTAATGGTGACCTTCATTGTGGAGTGGGATAGTGGAGAGCCAAGCTGAAGAGGTGAAGAGAAGGGAAAATCAACACCCGACGCTTATCTCTTATCGATATCACATGTCCACAGGTTCTCCGCACCTCCACATATGCCGCCATAACACGCAATAGTGCTTCTCGTATTGCTCTTGCTCTTCCGCTTCGTCTTACTCGTTGGCTCTGCCTTGCATTTTGATAAGGCTTCGCTACCTCGTTATGTAAATTGGTCTTTAAAAAGGCTCCCTTTCCTCTCCACCATGGCTTTTGCAGCCAGATCCTTTTCTCCTGCTCGTCTCTTCCGCCCCAACATGTCCATCTCTACAGGGCTCCATAGTCAGCGCAATGTCTCTTTTTCTTCGTATCTAGTGACACCAAAGCAGCTGAATGAAGCACTCAAGAAGAACCCCCCCAACAAAAATCTCAACTTCCCCGCGCGTGATTCCCCTCTGTGCAGCATGGTTCATGCCGAACGACCCAGAGGGTCGCAAGGGAATTGACTCGTTCCGCAACTCGCGCATCCCCCAGGCCCGGTTCTTTGACCTTGACGCTGTCAAGGATCAGGATTCACCTTATCCACACATGCTTCCCACTTGCGAGACCTTTGCCGAGGCTATGAGCGAGTTGGGGATCCGTCGCGACGACTCGGTGGTGGTCTACGATACTGCCGACCTGGGCATATTCAGCGCGCCCCGTGTAGGCTGGACGCTGCGCGTCTTCGGTCATTCCAATGTGCACATCCTCAACAACTATCGTCTCTGGATCAAAGAAGGTTTTCCGACCGAGAGCGGTGAGGCAGCGGTGATGGAGAAGTCCAAGTACCCTGTTCCGACATACGACTCGCGACTAGTGATCTCTTTCCGGGAGATGAAGGAGTTGGCATTGGACTATGGCAAAGAAGGTGCGGAGGAAATAGAGATCCTCGATGCACGTTCTTATGGTCGCTGGGCTGGAACCGACCCGGAGCCGCGCCCTGGCCTGTCATCGGGCCATATTCCTGGCTCCAAGAGCATGCCCTTCCAAGAACTGTTGGACCCTGAAACCAAAACCTATCTCCCTGCTGAAGACCTGCGAAAGGTCTTCGAGGACCACAAGGTGGATCCAAACCAAACAATTATCAGCTCGTGCGGCACTGGCGTGACTGCCTCCATCATTGAGACAGCCCTGAATGAGGCGGAATATGGCGACCCAAACCTGCGCCGCGTATATGACGGCAGCTGGACGTAAGTATACAAAGTTTCCCCTGTAATTCAGATGTCGCTACTAGTACTAATATGGACATGGAAACCAGTGAGTGGGCGCAACGAGTCAAGGAATCGGATGGTCTCATCAAGAAGGTGAAGTCATAAGCCGGCATGAAGGCTTTGGAACACTTTTTTTTCTTCATGAACATGATCTTTCTTTTTTCTACTTCTCTCTACTCTTAGACTGTATCCCTTTCTCGATATATAGAAACCTTCACTTCTCTCTTTAAATTCGGGCTTGTTCCTGAAGCCAGCTTAGTCAGCATATTTCCAACTCTGCCCATCGCATCATTTCTCAAGGTGCGTTCCTTTGGCCCCTAGCAGACTGTATTGTTACAAAGATGCTGCAGATGGAAATATCCTGTCAACTGGATTCTCATCGTGAGTAAAAATCCGGCTCCCATCAACCAACATCCCACTACTCCCTCCCACCCCCCACATTCCCGGGTCCTTCCATCATCAAACCTCCTTCCTCAGCTCTAGGCCCGTGCTGACCGGCCCCGATTTAGTCGCGGTTGTCTACAATTCTAGTCTTCCGATATAGGGTGGTCTTTACCCTGTATCTCTCACTCACTACGATCGCAGCGAGCACACTCGTTCAATATTCGCCATGTCGACCGGACGCAAGGTCTTCCGCTGTGCCGTGGACGAGACGGCCCTGTCCACCAATATTAGCGAAATCAAGAAATGGACAACAAATGGCGCTATTGATCTTGTGGTTCCTCTTTACAGTGAGTATCCGCATACTGAAGAGACTTTGATTGCCTCACTGTAGCGCTTGCCGGTCTAACCATTATCCTCCGATTAGCACTTGAACGACTCCATGCGCTGAAGCGAGCAGGATCGCAGGTCGCCATCAACGCCCGCGAAGCTGTCCGCTTTCTTGATCGGGTCACTTCCGGCAAAGATCACATCGCCGCCGACCGAGTTGTCCTCCAAGGTCCCATGGAGCAATACGAGCGCTGGGAGGATGCCGAGAAATTCTTCCTGCCGGAATTCGAAGAGGAGCCCGAGGTAATCGACGAGGCAGTTACCAATGACGAGCCTGCGATCCAACCCACCGCCGATGACACTGTGATCAAGAATGAGTCGGACGATCTGTCGCAGATGCTTTTGTCCAAGCTGAACTTCAAGAAGGACCCGGAGGCTGTGTCGATCACCTCCGTCGGCACCCCCAGTGGACCTGGATCGCGCACGTCCTCTCGCAGCTCCCGTACCAGCCCTGAGTGTGCCCAACACGAGTCTAGCAATGGAACAAAGAATCAGAAGACCAAGAGCAAGTCTACCAGCCATCAGCGCACCATCTCCGGATCCGTTATCCCGACCGCGCCGCCCGCTCTGCGCCCATTGCTGAGCGCCCTGCTCTGGCGGTTGCATGCTGGCCCCGATGCCGAGAATTCTGCGAAGACCTGTATTCTGATCTCCAATGACCGTGCGACCCAGGTGTGGGCTCAGAAATTTGGTATTGGTGTTAAGAACATTCTGCAGCTACGTACCGCTATCCAGTATGAGGAGCGCGAGTACAAAAACCGCTGCAAATACGTCGAGAAGACTCAGACGCAACCCGAGCCGAAGAGCTTATTGTCCTACGAAGAAGAGAGCGACGAGGATGAGCTAGTGTTCGTCCCTCGCGGCCGTGGAAAAGGAACTCCCCGAGGTGCTTCGCGTGGTGGTCAGCGCAAGGCTGCCCCCAAGGCCGCGCCACTCCTGCCGAGCCTACTGCTACCATGGAAGTTCCTACGAAGCCCATCGACCCGGATTCTTTCAGTCGGTCTCTGGGCGGTGCAACCAAGGCGGCCACTGTGGACTTGAGCACCCAGCAGGGTGCCGCCGGTGCCACCCGCGGTAATGCTGGAGCCTCTCGCCGCTCATCCAATGGTCGCCGTGGTGGATCTTCGCGCGGTGCACGAGGCAATGGTCGTGGCCGTGGTAAGCTCTGGGTTCCTTGATTAGCACGAGCAGAACGGTCTACTCCAAATCATCTCTTGATGATTGTAGACTGGAGTGTTTTGTGAACCAATGCATCCAGAACCGGACAGGGGTGCCTCTTTTTCTCTTTGCTGGACTGCAATAATCCTTCCCAATGCGGGGATCTGGATCTGGATCTGTCTTGCTGTGATTGCCTGCAGAGTGTGCTTTTCCCTCTTCCCCCGGCATAAACGATCCCAGAATCCCGGCATGATTCGGATCTCAGACACGAAAGGACATGAATCCCATGGTGGATTCGACCCGCGGCTGTGATGCGCTGCTTGGATATGTCTACTTCGGAAAACCTGTGCCCCACCTTTTTTTCCCCTTTCACCCTTTCCTTAGGAGACGGAGATGGGAGATCGTCAAATTGCGGAGACGTTGAGACGGTTGCTCTTTTTTTTTTCGCTTTTTTATTGCGCTGGGAGATGGTATGATAATGGATTGTATTTTTTTTGTCTTATGATCTACTAGCATCCCAATTATCCTAGATTATCCCAAAAAATTCCATGATGTTTTCTATTGTATAGTATGAGGTGTATAGACCGCCGCTTCCCCGCGTGATTGTGCCACGGGACAATCACTTGACTTTCGCCTTCTCCAGGGCTTCCAGGGCTTTTTGACTACTTCATTCTTCTACTGCTTACACCTAACACACTTTTGAGTATCATTACTTACTACAATGTCCTCCATCGAACAGTCCCTTCCCCGACCAGCGAGCGTCGCAACTCGCTGGAGAAACACCTCCAAACCCGCCCGGATATGCAGGACCTCAAGAACCGCCACATCCTGCTAGACACCAATGTAGCTCCGTGAGTGTTCCCGGGGATATTCCCCAGCTTTTCTTTTCCTCATGAGATATGGTAGTTAACAACGAATAGAGCCCTTCAATCTGCCCGCCAGGAGCTCGACCGCCAGCGTGCTACAGATAGTCTGAAGAAGAACCTGGAGAAGAGGCCTGACAAGGACGAGTTGGTTGAGCGTTCGTTTCCCTTTCTTTTCCCTTTTCGTTCTGCTTTTATATGCATTTCTTATTGCCTACTTTCGTTTTGTAGAGATTGGTACCTGGGATTCTTCTCGATATACTAACAACCCGCCAAGGTAATATCCTCCCGCAACTTCCGCCGCCCCAGCGTTGCAGGCCCACGCTCAAGAACTCAAGCGACACATGCTGGCCGATAACCTCGAGCATAAGATTCAGAACCGGCCACAGCCTGAAGAGTTGATTTCCCAGGGTATTCTCTCCGAGGATGAGAACCCACGCTCGCCCGTTTAATATTGGCCCTATCGATGCAACATTGCCACAGCTTTGGTGCAATGAGATATGGGTGATACGATCGTTTTATGAGGGCGTTTTTCTTCTTTTTTCTTCTTATTTTGATTTTTACAATTGGAAATGCTCTTTTTCCTTATGCCTTTCGACTGTTTCTGTAGTTTTCTCCTGTCTCTACCGTTTCGAACTTGTGATGTCACCATGACGCACGCGTTGTATAGCATCAAATACGGAAGATGCGCATTTCTATAAAAATACACGTATATATGTACATATGTAGAAATAAGGCACTAATGGGGGGATATTGGGCCATAAATATGAAAAGAGACATTAATTGTGAAATTAGGTATAATTCTGGCATACATGTATGGAAATGTAGGCCCGAACTATAACAGACTACATCGATGTACAGCTGGTCATTCAAAACTATGCCATTGATCATTCCTGGATACCTCATGATAAGTAGTTTTTCTTCTAGTTGTTTTTAGTAGGATCCCACCTCCACCGCAGCTGATAGATCAGGTGTCCAGCCACTCGGCCTCTCACTCCCACGAACGACAATCCCATATGCCGCCCGCTCGACCTTCTCCACACTGTTCTGCATCACATCCAGCTTCTTTGCCATATCCCGGAACATATAATGCCGCTGTGGTACACTGAGGGCCTCAAATCCTGCACGTATAGCACGTAGATCACCCACAATGCCACCCTGCGAGGACGCGACCGTCGATTTCTCCCTTTCGCTGGCTGTGTTCTCGGTCAACTGGGCAGCACTTGCGTTCCCGGAGCTCAGTGATAAAACCGCGAAGCGCATCATCTCTCCTGTGAGATCGTACAGGCCCATTAGGTAGTCTTCTTCTGAAACGAGGATCTGTGGTGGGACCCGGGCGGAGCACTCGGCGTGGGTGATGAGCGTTTGCGTGCGTAGGTAGTGGTCGAAGGAGAGGGCTTCGATGAATTCTTGGATTCCTCCACTGATTTGGCGCTGGTATCGCCAGCCATTGATGCCGAGCTGTTCGGGGACGACTTCTTCGAACAGCGCGTGGATTTGGTCGAAGCGGGTTTGGTTTTCTTGGGCGATTTTAGGTGGGAGGGGTTGGTTTGTTGCGCGGACTCGTTGGAGAGCGAAGATACTAGAGGGATCTCAGTTAGTGATGCTCTTCTTTACAGTAGGAGGTGCAGGCATACATCTTTTTGCTCAGGGCGGTAATGTCGCGGCTTTTCTTGATGATACGCTCGCGGCGGTCATGGTGCTCGTCCAGCTCGTCGCGGAAGTTCTCGAAGATTGACAGGATCGGACGAGCTGGCTCTATTTCTGCTTCTGCCATGATTGTGTCTTTAGAATTGAGGTCGAGGGGCTGGCCTTCCCAGTCGCGTTTAGTACCCATTGGCAAAAAGTTGGAGGTTGTTAAGTTCAGATCACCCCGATAAGATGTGAGATAATCTTCTCTTACATCTTACAACTAGTAGGAATGGAAACCAACGCCATGAAACAGCTATAAATTCCTCACAACTTCTTTTTATTCCTTTATTTGCTATCGCTAGCCACCAAACCCTAGGAATACGCATATCCTTTCCCCTTGAATTTCTAGGATTCTTAGGAATACACATGCTATTACGCCACAGCATGATCCCACCAAAGTCAATCGCCCGATAAGATTGCCCATAGATGGTAGAAAGCAGATACATAGACAAGAGACCACGCTAGCCAAGCTTGCTATACCAACATCGGACCATATTTGAACTTGACAATTGGCCAAGAGGCTACCCGGCAATAAAGTTAGCCTTTTAATGTTATTATAGTTGAAGGGAGGGAGAGGGGAAGCCAACGTACAAACATATCGCTGAAAATAATGCCGCGAATTTGACTCCGAGAGATGTTGATATTGTCCGATGACCTGCAGAACTGTCTGGCTGTGTATCGACAATCGAAATTATGCTATGACAGGCACAAGCATAAAAAAAAGACAAAGGCGCCGTTAATATCACCAGTCTGGTGTTGCAAAGCTTTATCGCCCCTAGGACAATACCCACTTGCCCAGAAAAGCCAGAGAATTGCTCCATTAGACATTGAGTCTATAATTGGTATCTCCTTAAGCCGTAGCGGTGGTGAGGAGTATGCCCAGGTGAGAAAAAGAAATGACAAAGTGCAAAGTAATAACCGAGGACTTTCAACTGATGCAGGTATGGAGCATAAGGCAATGAAAGCTGTAGCAGCTTTGGCAGCGAGTAGCACAAATTCATGATTTTCTCGAGATAATACTCCACCCTCTGACAAGTAGTTTGTCTTTCGAGGATTCTGTATATCGGAATCATAGTCGTAAGCATCGTTAACACCGAAAGTCACTTTGCCCAAGTTCGTTAAAATCAGGATCATTATAATTTTGTTTTTATATCACCTACCTAAGCATAAAGGGAAAGATAGAGCAAGGGCATATAGTATTGCTGGCTTTGTCGACGGAAAATCGTCGGTATGAATGATACCCAAAAAATAGAGAGAAGGGGCAACCAGCCACCAAAGTGGGCGGCTGACCATGAATAATATTCGCATCTTCTTTAATGACGTCGATGTCTTAAACATTTCCGAAGAATGATCAAGGAGTCTTAGGCTGTATGCTGTTAAGAAAAAGTTCTGCTATACAAAAATCATATTGCGGATAGAGCCAGCTCTTATAGATTCCAATTTCAGTTGCCAAACTCTGTGTGACAGTTTGTCGGGTTGTACATTAATACATATGTATCCATGGATGTAGTCTGGGTGTCTCATTGATGATACATACAACACGCCCTACTTAACATCTTTGGTTTATTTCACATGATTTGCTCCTACTATGTTGCTATGAATATGCTAGTCGCCAATTGATGGCGACCCGCAGTTACACCAATGGGCCATCGAGAGCCAACCAAATCAGGAGATGGGTTTTCAGTGGTGCCCAGTGAGCGAGTTTGGTGACTATGTACCACTCAGGGGCGTGCTCAGTCTTACTTGGTGAGCAAAAAGCGACAAGGGGTGAGCACTAATTCGGGAAGGGAAAGCCAGCGCGGACTAAAATCCGGTGTATATGCAAATCAATTGGTGGGAAAGACGAATTCGACCCTACGGACGGCCGAGAATATGGTATATAGATCATCGTAGCGGAAGTACATATATGTTCTTACGACTCCTACAGGGTTGAAGTTTGGCTCGCCTTCTTGATCTAAGAATTCAGGGAGGTCTAGATCAATGCCAGATAATATCTGATCCCAGATTCCATGCCCCCAGTCACGCTATTAATTGCTCCCAGAAGTAGTAACCAACGCTCCCAGGGTATCACCTCTCATTCCCCGGAGCTATACAGTCCACCCCGGGAGCTATATAGGATCAAATATGACCCCAGAAATGTGAGGGTCTCACTCGCGAGAGAAAAAAAAAGCGGGATCTGTTCTAGGTAATTAACATATGGTATGCAAATTGCTGTAAAATGCGGGCAAAGCGCAAAGACACTGTTTGAAGAGACATGACGTTGATGAATTATAACATGCAACCAACAGTTATTTGGGAGCTGACCGAAAGCACAATCAATATCAACGATATTTTCCACGACAATCAATAGAATAAACGAGAATAGACACATAGTCTGTAAGACATCGTCGACGAGTAGTACAAGGCCCATAGTGGTGAAAGATGAGGGATCGACGGCAAGCAAACTTGCAGTTGTTTAAACAATTGGTTGTCTGAGAAATGCGAGGGTTTAGAAAAATTATAATTATAATTAATTTGTGTCTTTAAAAAAGCAGGGTGTTTACATTGTATTGAATAATAATAATTATTGAGTAGACAGCAGTCTCCACTCCAAAATCACGCGCATTTTCCTAGACAACCCCCAAGCCTCCAGCTATACAACATCATTTATTTTCACCCGTGCCAAGCTTATTTAATGCCATATTTTGCAGAGGAGCAGCGAAGACGGGTCTTTTATGTCGGCGGCATTGAAGGTAGGTTACTAAAAAGGGCAAAACTAACCGCATATCTTACATATCCGGGGACATACTCCTTGGTTACTACATCATCTATGCATTGATATTTAAAACAAAGAGTCTTGGCTTGTATTTAACTGCTTCTGCTCATTGAAATCATATTGTCCACGGCTATATGGTAGTAGCTACTCATTCAACAACTTGGCACGATGCTTGTCCCAGGTACCGGTATCTCAGACGCTCACTTCCAAGGCCAGTAACTGTGACTGTCTGCTCATCACCAGGGACAATGTCAATAGCGTTGTCCTCAAGCTGTACACCCTCTTGCTCCTCAAAGACAAGACACTTGACTGGCTTGCGCGCATTGATCACCAACACCGTCTCACCAGACTTCCCTGTCTGCCTCTTAACCTCTACCTGTCGTTCGGACAGATTGAGATACTTCAACGGCTGTGGCCAGTCGACATCCCGTGCTACAACCTTGTTGTCCACCCACAATCGGGCGGCGAGGACATGCGGTTCTGGTTCGGCGATGTGGTCCAGAACACCATCAGCGATGATATCCGTGGTGCCATTGGCAGCAATGGTGATGTTTTCGCGCACGATCGGTGCCCGGATATCGCGGCCCGTGTTGACAGAGAGGAACCGCAGCTCGACACTGCCTTGGACGGTCTTTGGTTGATTGCTGGCGATCCAAAGTTCGTACTTGCTGGTCTTGGGTGGCTGGGCGTGTGCCACGCTCCAGTCGTGGTGCTCACGTCGGACCCCGACGGCGATCGGGTTCATGACCCGCTTGACGGCGTAGTATGCTGGCTTGGGTTTGAGGAAGTAGTCCACGATGGCCCAGGAGATTGTCGGCCAGCAGTCGTTCAGCTGCCAGAGCAGTGCGCCACCGCAGTGTCGCTCGTCACCCCATTGCCGGCGCCAGCCTCGGTAGCCAAACATCATGGTCTCTGCTTGTACAACTTTGAGTGAGATAGATATAGGTCTGGTCATGTTAGCCTGCATCGATGGCCATCGTGATGGTAGTCATACCTCAAGGTCTG